ATGGTTGATGTATGAAGTATGATTGATGTATGAAGTATGGTTGATGTATGAAGTATGGTTGATGTATGAAGTATGGTTGATGTATGAAGTATGGTTGATGTATGAAGTATGGTTGATGTATGAAGTATGATTGATGTATGAAGTATGGTTGATGTATGAAGTATGGTTGATGTATGAAGTATGATTGATGTATGAAGTATGATTGATGTATGAAGTATGGTTGATGTATGAAGTATGGTTGATGTATGAAGTATGATTGATGTATGAAGTATGATTGATGTATGAAGTATGATTGATGTATGAAGTATGATTGATGTATGAAGTATGATTGATGTATGAAGTATGGTTGATGTATGAAGATTGATGTATATGAAGTATGATTGATGTATGAAGTATGATTGATGTATGAAGTATGATTGATGTATGAAGTATGGTTGATGTATGAAGTATGATTGATGTATGAAGTATGATTGATGTATGAAGTATGATTGATGTATGAAGTATGATTGATGTATGAAGTATGATTGATGTATGAAGTATGGTTGATGTATGAAGTATGGTTGATGTATGAAGTATGGTTGATGTATGAAGTATGATTGATGTATGAAGTATGGTTGATGTATGAAGTATGGTTGATGTATGAAGTATGATTGATGTATGAAGTATGATTGATGTATGAAGTATGATTGATGTATGAAGTATGATTGATGTATGAAGTATGATTGATGTATGAAGTATGATTGATGTATGAAGTATGGTTGATGTATGAAGTATGGTTGATGTATGAAGTATGGTTGATGTATGAAGTATGGTTGATGTATGAAGTATGGTTGATGTATGAAGTATGGTTGATGTATGAAGTATGATTGATGTATGAAGTATGGTTGATGTATGAAGTATGATTGATGTATGAAGTATGGTTGATGTATGAAGTATGGTTGATGTATGAAGTATGATTGATGTATGAAGTATGGTTGATGTATGAAGTATGATTGATGTATGAAGTATGATTGATGTATGAAGTATGATTGATGTATGAAGTATGGTTGATGTATGAAGTATGATTGATGTATGAAGTATGGTTGATGTATGAAGTATGGTTGATGTATGAAGTATGATTGATGTATGAAGTATGGTTGATGTATGAAGTATGGTTGATGTATGAAGTATGATTGATGTATGAAGTATGGTTGATGTATGAAGTATGATTGATGTATGAAGTATGATTGATGTATGAAGTATGGTTGATGTATGAAGTATGGTTGATGTATGAAGTATGGTTGATGTATGAAGTATGGTTGATGTATGAAGTATGGTTGATGTATGAAGTATGGTTGATGTATGAAGTATGGTTGATGTATGAAGTATGGTTGATGTATGAAGTATGGTTGATGTATGAAGTATGGTTGATGTATGAAGTATGATTGATGTATGAAGTATGGTTGATGTATGAAGTATGATTGATGTATGAAGTATGGTTGATGTATGAAGTATGATTGATGTATGGTATGGTTGATGTATGAAGTATGGTTGATGTATGAAGTATGGTTGATGTATGAAGTATGGTTGATGTATGAAGTATGGTTGATGTATGAAGTATGGTTGATGTATGAAGTATGGTTGATGTATGAAGTATGATTGATGTATGAAGTATGGTTGATGTATGAAGTATGGTTGATGTATGAAGTATGGTTGATGTATGAAGTATGGTTGATGTATGAAGTATGGTTGATGTATGAAGTATGGTTGATGTATGAAGTATGGTTGATGTATGAAGTATGGTTGATGTATGAAGTATGGTTGATATGAAGTATGGTTGATGTATGAAGTATGGTTGATGTATGAAGTATGATTGATGTATGAAGTATGGTTGATGTATGAAGTATGATTGATGTATGAAGTATGATTGATGTATGAAGTATGATTGATGTATGAAGTATGATTGATGTATGAAGTATGGTTGATGTATGAAGTATGGTTGATGTATGAAGTATGGTTGATGTATGAAGTATGGTTGATGTATGAAGTATGGTTGATGTATGAAGTATGGTTGATGTATGAAGTATGATTGATGTATGAAGTATGGTTGATGTATGAAGTATGGTTGATGTATGAAGTATGGTTGATGTATGAAGTATGGTTGATGTATGAAGTATGATTGATGTATGAAGTATGGTTGATGTATGAAGTATGATTGATGTATGAAGTATGATTGATGTATGAAGTATGGTTGATGTATGAAGTATGGTTGATGTATGAAGTATGATTGATGTATGAAGTATGGTTGATGTATGAAGTATGGTTGATGTATGAAGTATGATTGATGTATGAAGTATGGTTGATGTATGAAGTATGGTTGATGTATGAAGTATGGTTGATGTATGAAGTATGGTTGATGTATGAAGTATGATTGATGTATGAAGTATGATTGATGTATGAAGTATGGTTGATGTATGAAGTATGGTTGATGTATGAAGTATGGTTGATGTATGAAGTATGGTTGATGTATGAAGTATGGTTGATGTATGAAGTATGGTTGATGTATGAAGTATGGTTGATGTATGAAGTATGGTTGATGTATGAAGTATGGTTGATGTATGAAGTATGGTTGATGTATGAAGTATGATTGATGTATGAAGTATGGTTGATGTATGAAGTATGATTGATGTATGAAGTATGGTTGATGTATGAAGTATGGTTGATGTATGAAGTATGGTTGATGTATGAAGTATGGTTGATGTATGAAGTATGGTTGATGTATGAAGTATGGTTGATGTATGAAGTATGGTTGATGTATGAAGTATGATTGATGTATGAAGTATGGTTGATGTATGAAGTATGGTTGATGTATGAAGTATGATTGATGTATGAAGTATGGTTGATGTATGAAGTATGGTTGATGTGTGAAGTATGATTGATGTATGAAGTATGATTGATGTATGAAGTATGGTTGATGTATGAAGTATGGTTGATGTATGAAGTATGGTTGATGTATGAAGTATGGTTGATGTATGAAGTATGATTGATGTATGAAGTATGGTTGATGTATGAAGTATGGTTGATGTATGAAGTATGGTTGATGTATGAAGTATGGTTGATGTATGAAGTATGATTGATGTATGAAGTATGATTGATGTATGAAGTATGGTTGATGTATGAAGTATGGTTGATGTATGAAGTATGGTTGATGTATGAAGTATGGTTGATGTATGAAGTATGGTTGATGTATGAAGTATGGTTGATGTATGAAGTATGATTGATGTATGAAGTATGGTTGATGTATGAAGTATGATTGATGTATGAAGTATGGTTGATGTATGAAGTATGGTTGATGTATGAAGTATGGTTGATGTATGAAGTATGGTTGATGTATGAAGTATGGTTGATGTATGAAGTATGGTTGATGTATGAAGTATGGTTGATGTATGAAGTATGGTTGATGTATGAAGTATGGTTGATGTATGAAGTATGATTGATGTATGAAGTATGGTTGATGTATGAAGTATGGTTGATGTATGAAGTATGGTTGATGTATGAAGTATGGTTGATGTATGAAGTATGGTTGATGTATGAAGTATGGTTGATGTATGAAGTATGGTTGATGTATGAAGTATGGTTGATGTATGAAGTATGATGTATGAAGTATGATTGATGTATGAAGTATGGTTGATGTATGAAGTATGGTTGATGTATGAAGTATGGTTGATGTATGAAGTATGGTTGATGTATGAAGTATGGTTGATGTATGAAGTATGGTTGATGTATGAAGTATGGTTGATGTATGAAGTATGATTGATGTATGAAGTATGGTTGATGTATGAAGTATGATGTATGAAGTATGGTTGATGTATGAAGTATGGTTGATGTATGAAGTATGGTTGATGTGTGAAGTATGGTTGATGTATGAAGTATGATTGATGTATGAAGTATGATTGATGTATGAAGTATGGTTGATGTATGAAGTATGGTTGATGTATGAAGTATGGTTGATGTATGAAGTATGGTTGATGTATGAAGTATGGTTGATGTATGAAGTATGATTGATGTATGAAGTATGGTTGATGTATGAAGTATGATTGATGTATGAAGTATGGTTGATGTATGAAGTATGATTGATGTATGAAGTATGATTGATGTATGAAGTATGATTGATGTATGAAGTATGGTTGATGTATGAAGTATGGTTGATGTATGAAGTATGGTTGATGTATGAAGTATGGTTGATGTATGAAGTATGATTGATGTATGAAGTATGGTTGATGTATGAAGTATGGTTGATGTATGAAGTATGGTTGATGTATGAAGTATGATTGATGTATGAAGTATGGTTGATGTATGAAGTATGATTGATGTATGAAGTATGGTTGATGTATGAAGTATGATTGATGTATGAAGTATGATTGATGTATGAAGTATGGTTGATGTATGAAGATTGATGTATGAAGTATGGTTGATGTATGAAGTATGGTTGATGTATGTATGAAGTATGGTTGATGTATGAAGTATGGTTGATGTATGAAGTATGGTTGATGTATGAAGTATGATTGATGTATGAAGTATGGTTGATGTATGAAGTATGATTGATGTATGAAGTATGATTGATGTATGAAGTATGATTGATGTATGAAGTATGATTGATGTATGAAGTATGGTTGATGTATGAAGTATGATTGATGTATGAAGTATGGTTGATGTATGAAGTATGGTTGATGTATGAAGTATGATTGATGTATGAAGTATGATTGATGTATGAAGTATGGTTGATGTATGAAGTATGGTTGATGTATGAAGTATGATTGATGTATGAAGTATGATTGATGTATGAAGTATGGTTGATGTATGAAGTATGGTTGATGTATGAAGTATGGTTGATGTATGAAGTATGATTGATGTATGAAGTATGATTGATGTATGAAGTATGGTTGATGTATGAAGTATGGTTGATGTATGAAGTATGGTTGATATATAAAGTTTAATTACAATGATCAATTATTTGTCAGGGGATTTTGATGATGAAGATGATAATATTATCATCTCAACAAAGCCTGAGATACATGCTGCAAAAATAAAGCAAGAAAAATATGGGGTATTGTATACAGTTATTACGTATTTGCACTATTGTTTGGTGTAGATTGATTACGATGTCAGACTACATTAACTTTTTGCATTGGGTGTCTGAAGTTTTTAATACATCTGAAAATTTATGTTTACCAATAAATTTTATGTTGTAAATTTTTTCTTCAGACTGACTTGTACATCGCATCATTTGTAAATTACATTTATTTTCCCCGTTTAGTTGAATATTTAAATAAGAATTTTAATTTAGATAGTTATACAAGTCTATTCAAAATTCATAGTAAATCTGTATAACAATCTGAACTTAATATTTTGATGACCTTGGTGGTCATTTGAACCCAATTTAGCTACATCTGAATCTTTGCAAGTTCGTCTGTAACATCTTAGTTATGTCAGTTAAACTGAAACGTTGAAGCAACGTCTTGACAATGTATGTTGGTATGAATTGGTGTGTTGATTGGAAAATTTGATGAATGTCGACATTGGGAAACTTTATAAAAACTTTTTATACAAAATGTCAAACAATTAAGCATTTCACGTAAAAATAATTGACGGGATGTTTTTATAAGATGTGCATTATGAGTAAGCTGTTTATGAATAATGTCGTCTTCATTAAATAAACATGCAACGCGTTTCTACTAAAAAACGCTGCAAAATTGAAATAAAAGAATCGTATCCACACAATGACAATTGTAATGTAAGAAAACGGATATTTATTTCATGATTATTTTGACGCTTTTCTCTCGCATGAATTACATTGCATGGAAGTTTATCCAACGTTATTTTAAAAAGAAATTTGATTCGATTTAGTCTATACAAATGACTTGTCTTATTAAATGTTATCATTGTCAAAACTTAAAGTGTTTAAATCAAAATGAAATAGGATTTAATAGAGACACATGAAATAAACTTATGAAATATTTTATGGTTCATTCAAAATCAGTGTTTTTTTGAAACTTTGCACTATTGTTGAATGTTTATTTAGTCTTTCACTCTTGTTCAAACGCATATATATCTCTTCTCAATAATTTTTCAAACTTAACACTGCAGGATTCAGACAGCGAATACGACAGTGATGATGACAGGTTTGGCTCATCTAGCGGAAGTGACAGTGATTTGGATATTCCACAAGGTGGAAAAGTTACAGCTGCAATGTTTTTGAAAAAGTAAGAGTTGTTGTGTGATTTATTTTTTTTAATTTTTTATACTCCTAACTTTTAACATCTTTCTTTATGTCTTATCTTCCCTTTTACTTAATTCTCATTCCTTGTTCATCCCTTGTTATTCCACTCTGTCATAATCAATGTGTTGTCAAATATTTAGAGAAAAGGATGATGGCGAAGACAAGAAGGAAAAGAAAGTTAGAAAAGAACGTCAGATAAAACCAAAAGCAAAAATCGATGATGCTGAAGAGGTTGACGGAGCTGAATGGAAAGAAGTGAAATCATCACATACATCTGTATGTTGTATTTTTCCTACCACATGTATCTTTCTATTTCTTCTTCAATGATTTCACGCCTGTTCACTTATTTAATAATGTTCATTCTCGACAGGAAAAACCAAAGATGTTATTCGCAAAAGACACTGAAATCAACCCATCAGTTGTTCTGAAGAAACTTCATGAAATACTTAATGCTCGTGGAAAGAAAGGCACAGATCGAACTGAGCAGATTTCCTATCTTAAAGATCTGAGAGCTGTTGCAGAAAAACACAACCTAGGTGTGTGGTTTTTGTGGCTATTTATCTTTTAAGGGAAACAGTATTTATATATGGTTTCAATATAAACACGGATAGCGATGGGTTGCGTCGTGTGTGTGTGTGTGAAGACTACATGCTTATTTTTATGTAACTGGAAATAGTTACAGGTAGCTTGTTAATGTTGAAAAAGCATTATGCTACATTATGTTACATTATCTTAGGCATTACAAAGAGTTAATACTTAGTCGCAAATACTTAGGCAAATGCTTAGAAATGTCTATTACAAAATTGACGCTATTTTGTGTCTTTTCATTAACATTTTCACCAATTGTAATATTGTACATCAAAACGTCAGTTAACGAATAAAAAGAATAAAAAGTAGCTGCAAAATAGCATCAAATTAATAACTTTGCTGGACGAAACTATAGTCTAACTACAAAACAAAAGCAAACCGCATGTTTGGCTCTTGTGTTCGTTATTTCTATCCATAACATTTTTAAAATTTTGCTTTCGTATTTTCCAATGTTTTCCAGAAGAATTACATCTTGCTACAAGTACAGATGTTTCACAAGCCGCGAAGTGCGAGCCGTTGATTCGTACTCTTTCAATAGGCAACATTGCGTTAACATTTGCTGCACAATAATCTGTACTTTGTTGTCCATTAATATCCCTAGGTGCTGCCATGAGTGTGAAGATAATGTTCAACATCATCTACAATAATCTGTACTTTGTTGTCCATTAATATCCCTAGGTGCTGCCATGAGTGTGAAGATAATGTTCAACATCATTGCCTCGATATTTGACTATAATCCAAATGCGGCAACATGTATGAAGTCGGAAATGTGGAAAAGGTCACTTGAACTATGGCATTATGGAAAATCTAAATATTGCGTTTATGCTTCATTTATCTTTTTGTTTTTTCATTTTCTCCGATACCTTATAGCTGTCTACAGTATGTCGATGAACTGCTGACAATTTTGTGTGAAAGTCCAAACATTACCGTTGGTGAGAATATTCTTGAAGATGCTGAAAATCTGGAGGCAAGTGACAAAATAATACTAACTACAGTTGTCATAGTTTTTCTTTAGTAGAAACGCTGGGTTGATAATTCTTACTAGATCTCTTTCAAGTATAGCGTAGAAACAAATAATGCTAAATCTCTAACATTTCTGATACACCATTGTCTCTAATGAAGGAATGTTTGTATCATTACAGAATGCAAATGAGGAGGAAAAGTATAAAATACGTGGATGTATTTTAATTACAATCGAGCGAACAGATGACGAATTTACGAAAATGTTGCAAGGTTGTGATTGCCATTCAACAGAATATGTGGAAAGGTTATCTTTCTTTCTCTGCATATAATGATTTTTTATATCTTCCTCTCGCTCTCTGCAAGTTGCAATATTTTAGATTAAAAGATGAGATTACAATGACGTTGCTGATCAGTCGCGTGATGAAATATCTTGAGGATCACGATGCAGCTCCCAGCATGCTTTGCAGGGTTTATTTAAGATACATTGAACATATTTATTATAAGGTGAGCAGCGGTTTTTGGTAAAATTGTGTTTCGTCAATATTACAGTGGTCATAGAAACAATGTGTTGCATCAGTTTCATTTTGTTACTTATTGTTACAACATATGCATATCTTTATGATATTAAATAACTTAAATTTTATTACTTTTCAGCTCGACATGGTCCGTGTAAAGGAACTTAACGAGGAGAAATTATTGAACCAATCTTCAACTGACGAAAACTCTGAAGAAATAACACTTGAAAAAGCAGCAGCATTGACAACATCCAAAATGGAAAACATGTGTAAATTTATCTACACAAAAGATGACTCGAACCGCATAAGAACTCGAGCCATGTTGTGTCACGTGTACTTCCTTGCACTTCATGATAGGTGGTATGAAGCACGTGACCTTATGCTCATGTCTCATTTGCAAGAAAACATTCAGCATTCTGATATACCAACACAGGTGAGATAACTTATTGAAAGAAAGAACTCATCATTATTTTGACTACCATTCGTTGAAGTTCATTTTCTTTAGATATTGTATAATCGTACGATGGTTCAACTTGGATTATGTGCGTTCCGACATGGCATGATTAAGGATGCTCACAACGCTTTACATGACGTGCAATCTAGTGGGAAGGCAAAGGAACTGTTGGCTCAGGTGTTGACCGATTATTAAATTTTACCCAGTGGCATTATTACTCACCAGCACAAGGTGACTTTGACTAATTCACAGTGATACCCTCCTATACATGGGGACACTCGCCAGTACAAGGTGACTTTGACTAATCCACAGTGATACCCTCCTATATGGGGACACTCACCAGTACAAGGTGACTTTGACTAATTCACAGTGATACCCTCCTATACGTGTGGACACTCGCCAGTACAAGGTGACTTTGACTAATCCACAGTGATACCCACCTATACATGGGAACACTCACCAGTACAAGGTGACTTTGACTAATCCACAGTGATACCCTCCTATACATGGGGACACTCACCAGTACAAGGTGACTTTGACTAATCCACAGTGATACCCACCTATACATGGGGACATTCACCACTACATAGTAACATTCACGAGTGCACACAAAGACACCCGTAAATTCATAGAGAGACCAAACATTTCATGCAGACAATCACATTATTTACCTTGAAGGGATTGATGCAACAAAGACAATACGAAAGAAATCCAGAACAAGAAAAATAGAACGTCGTCGATTAGTAAGAATACAAAATATAAATGATGCATCAATTTGAGTGATTTAATGACGAATTTTTGAACGTTATTCAAATTTTGAGGTGCCTTTTCATATGCACATAAATTTGGAGTTGTTGGAATGCGTCTACCTTACTTCAGCAATGTTACTGGAAATACCGCATATGGCAGGTGATTTGAAGTATATTTATATTGCTCATTTTATCGTTTTTTATTCAATGTTTGTAAGTAAACTGATCTTTTCATTATGTGTTCATTTTGATTGGCATAACAAAGAATTATAAAATACAAACTAATCAATTCACCCAGATCAACTTCGATGTTAAACAGTTGTTTCTCAAACTTCTATATTTGTTGTTGTTTTATACAGTTTTTGGTCTTTTTAATCATTCTTAGCTCGAGAATTTGAACATCGTCGCAAAATGATCAGCAAAAGCTTTCATCATCAACTCAAGATGAGCGAGAGACAGCCTTTAGTAGGTACGACACATTTGCTTCATGAGGTCGACAATAATGATGTCATGATCATTGTTGATTCAAATTATGATGTCATTACCTACTGGAAATAATGATGTCATTGTCGTTCTTATCGTTAAAATCCGATGTCTGTTGGATCAGTTACTACCGTTGGAAATTTCATGATCCAGTGTATGAATGGTTTCGTAAGATTGTGAATTTTAATGATTTAGGTCCACCAGAGAGCATGCGTGAACATGTTGTTGCTGCGTCAAAGGAAATGGGCAAAGGAAATTGGCGCGAATGTGCTGAATATATTCTTGCTGTTAAGGTAGATTTGTGGTTAAAACATTTTGAAACTATTTTATTTTGATGCATTTTCTAATTTTCTTTTAAGGTGTGGAGCTTATTTAATCAATCTGATGAAGTAAGAAGCATGTTAAAAAGGTTGGAAGAAAATCTGTAGTATTGTGAGGAACAACTGTAGTACTGTAAGGAACAACTGTTGTACTATAAGGAACAACTGGTATTGTAAGGAACAACTGTAGTACTGTAAGGAACAACTGTAGTACTGTGAGGAACAACTGTAGTATTGTAAGGTACAGCTGTAGTATTGTAAGGAACAACTGTAGTACTGTGAGGAACAACTGTAGTACTGTAAGGAACAACTGTAGTACTGTCAGGAACAACTGTAGTACTGTAGAACAACTGTAGTACTGTCAAGAACAACTGTAATATTGTGAGGAACAACTGTAGTACTGTCAAGAACAACTGTAATATTGTGAGGAACAACTGTAGTACTGTCAAGAACAACTGTAGTACTGTAAGGAACAACTGTAGTACTGTAAGGAACAACTGTAGTACTATCAAAACAACTTATTAGTGGGCGAAGTTGCTTTATTCTAGAAGCCTGAACCAAAGACGGTTCAGATGTAGTGAGCGTGTTTTTCAAAGACTCGCTGTAGCTTTAATTAATGGAGAATATTTCTTGTTAATGTTATCTTATGTAGAAAGATACAGGAAGAATCGCTGCGAACTTATCTTTTCAGCTATAATAGTGTTTATGATTCCATAAGGTAAGTGGTTGAATTTTATGTTGTTGTGGAAAACATTTTCAAAACTACATTTTCCTCTCGAGAGAAATGTGGAGCTTCTGTGATGTAGTATGTACGAAAGACAGTTACACAGTGCGCTTTTTACAAGTAAAATGAACTGTAGGAAATCTGCTCCAGTACTTCCTAGTAGAGCAAATTTACGCCTAGACTGTATAATCAATTGCGTTTAAACTGCAGCGATTTTTTCTGTTCTCTAGCATGAATACTTTAGCTGAAATGTTTGAGCTTGACCGTCCTGTTGTTCATAGCATTATCAGTAAAATGATCATCAATGACGAACTGCAGGTATAGCTACGTTGATAGACATCTTTATAAAGTTTATTGTTTGTTTTTTCTACGAGAACTCCTGCTACGTTCAATCCACTTTTTCGACGGTAGACACACGTGTCAAAAATACGAGATCAAATTACATAATTCGGACAATCATTGAGTGGCAATTAATTTATTGTCGTATTTTTGACCCGTGTGTTTACAGTCGGAAAGGTGGATTGAAGAACCATTTATTTATTCTTTCTGTGATGAAAGAACATGGGAAAAATCATTCATAAATCAGATATATGCTTGCCTTTAAAGTATAAAATAGCCGATTATTGATTTCAAATGAGTTTAGGAAGTAACAGAATTCTGCTTTGCTTTAGAAATAAATGATTCCTGTTGATAGCGATGGACAAAGTTTAGTGAGTGTAAGTTATTAATTGTTGTTTTCAGGCTTCCTGGGACGAGCCTACGGAAACAGTCGTTATGCATCGAGGTGCCGAACCATCACGTCTTCAGAGTTTAGCTTTGCAACTCGCTGATAAGGTAAATATATGTATCATTACTTCATATAAGACTATATTAAGTAAGCAATGCTTACAATAGAAATGTAGATATTGCACTGAACGTTTGATGTTTGCTTGATTAGACTGACAATTGAACTTGTTTAGTCTTATGGTGAACATACTTTATTTTTCAGATTAGTTCACTTGTTGAGAACAATGAACGCATCTTAGACACGAAATATTCCTTCAACTACAGAGACAGACAAGGTAAAATGAATACTTGCGATTGGCTTAGAAACATTTAAATTGTCAGTCCAGTGCTTTGTCGTCCATTGCGAAAAAACAATGTTCGTCTATGTACCTAAAACTTACCCCACTTTCTATCAAATAATGCGACAGTCTGCTTCCCTCCAGTTTCCTCACCTTCCTGTCACCACATGGTCAGTACACACCCTTTTCCCCACTTGTCTGCCCTTCTCCCTGCTCCTCACCTATCTGTCAATCCAACCTTTCCCCGCCTGTTTCGCTCATGACTGTACTGTACTATTACGTCATTACTGCAACTTCTTCAAACTATTCCAACTGAAGCTTAGTATTTCGCAGAAAAATTGAACAAATTTTCTGCTAAAAAAATTGAGTTTCACCCATCCTGTTTCAAAATTTCAGTACATTTTTCTAACTTTTGTAAAATGTTTTTTAGGGCAAGGAAGATACAGAACACAACGCAACCAAACCGTTTACTAGAGTTAGAAATACTCTTAAACGTGTTCGTAAGACACATACAAGTAATAAAATATGTTAATCAATCATAGAATTTCAAGCTTCGGTAGTTTTTAAGCACTTAAAACATTGCCTATAACACAAAGGTTTCTTTGTTTTGAAAAATAACAACAAAATCCTACAACGTGACTTGCACTTTTCATTTCAACTGTCATTAAAAAAAATTAATTAACGAAAACAGACAAATGTAATAAATGCGTTTTCACCAAAACTCCAGACTTTTCTACTAAATTTTGAAATCTATTTGAAAAATTTAATGTATGCATAAATAGCTAGATTTTTACGTCATGTGCAAGTTGACCTCGGAAAGGAGTGATTGTCATCGCGCAGAGTCATGAAATGTTTGGGTAAATTACGGATACGGACTGACGGTTACAAACTTTTCTTAATAAAATGATTGAAGTAACACAAAAACTATAATTTTGTTTTATAGTGCATCAATTCTTTCATTTATTATCATTTATAACGAGTAAAAATTACGTAGATTTTACTTACATTTACTACTTTATTAGTTTTTCCCATAATTTTAAAATAGTTGCCTTAGTAACAAGTGTTATATGCATAGGAAATTTTACTGTGAACTAACATTACCTCAATAAGAGTGCAATGTTAGTAAACAATGCATCTATTTGGATGGATGCTTCAAATACAGAGAAAAAATAAATGGTTTTCAATCTGTTTCACCCCCATTTGACTCCTTGATACAGCATGAAAATGAGATTTTAGATTATATCAACTTTGAATGAACCTTATAACACAGCATGAAAGTCACATTTGGGTCACCCTCGTGAAAGTCGTGATGTGAACAACCCCTAAAATATACGGTTTGTATGAATTTAGCTTTTCCTTCCGCTATCGTCCTCCACCGTAATCGTACGTCCGTATCTGCATTTTACTCTAACCCAAATTTTCCAACTTAACTATTGACATTTAGCATAAAAAGCGTACGTAATACTAACCAACGCCTTTATATGTTTTGCCTTATATGGACATGGCCAACAATTATAAAGTCGTGGGATTGCTATAACCGTGTAAGAATCTACGTTTTATTTTCCGGAGATTAGACTTTGAAGGCAAACTAATTTCACAAAGTCATCTGAATTATTCAAGGATAGAGAAATCTTGTGTTGGTCTTACTGAATGTTAGCATAGTGGGACATATTGAGCGTTCGAAAGAAGTCTGTTTACTTGTTCAATCAACTGTTCATATGGATGACTTGGGTATGTAGTAATTTAATATGAAACACCTTGTGTTTTATCTTGAAAATATCTGTTCTTTGCCTAAATCTATTTATTATTTTCTTTCGTATCAAATTGGACGCGTTTATGCTTTACTTAAATGTGTACAGTGTATCAGAAAGGATATTTGTCAACAAATCTTGTGCCATAAACATGCGAGTTAGTGATACTGTCGATGGATTACCCATTTCTTGTGTTCTTTCTTTTAAATCATCTGAAACTATTGTTTGTCGTGAGAAAGACAATAGATTAAATAATCTTTGAATTCTTTCCTATTATCTTTACCTTAATGTTTATTTGGTGAGATAATTCAGAATTCTGTGAGTTGCTTGTGTATTTACTCCTAAAATATTTTATGTCCTCTATAGCCAAAGTTTGAACATTTGGAATATGGCTAAACTAATTCGAAAACATTTTCAATAGCGATTAAAACGTGTGTATAATAAATTATTATATAGAGATGTTTTTTACTATAAATATTCATGATGCCTGTATGTCACATTTATCTATACCTCTTGTCATATTTAATCAGTGCGATGTATACCAAAAAACACGTGAGAAATTTATCTGTTAGTCGTTTAACAGCTAGCTGAGTCAGTGAACGCAAATATATTATGGCACATCGTTTTTAACATATTAACTATTGACGTACTTTTATTCTAATATCAAAACGAACTTCTCATCGTAATTCATTTGTAAAATGGCCGAAAGTACGACTCGAGATTATTCTGTGAAATTCAAGGAAAATATAAACTTTTTAGACGCTTTGTTGGCTGATTTGCAAGCAATTCCAATTGGAGGAAGTCAAAAAACTACGAGGGATCCTAAGGACCCACCACCACCTTTACCGACAGAAAATGACTCTTCACGGCATACATCAATCAGTTTAGGATCAAATTTGTCAGAGTTAGATAGTTTGCTGGAAGATTTGAACATAACAACACATCCTAAAGGTATGAAAGACTTTAATACAGACTAAATTTTAGCTCAGTAAAAATGTCTGGCCATTAAATTACAAGGATAGTTGTTATACTCGTACAGTGTTTGTTGCTGTGTTTTCTTCGATAATCAACAACCGTAATTTGTGTAGTTTAGAATACATTTGCTGAATCGCCCAGCTAATTTTGAATTGTTTAGACTCATTACCATGTATGTTATTTGAGCTTATCGATATATTTCAATTATAAAATAACTGGCTTTATCTTCATACGCAAAACATGTTTCATTCGTTTTAACGAATACTACCCGAAAATGATCAGCTCAACTACATATTTTACATAGAATGTGCCATAATTGTATTATAAATACATTATCTGCATTAACTGAACATATGTGTGCTCAATGTCAATGTGAAATGCCGTAATAGTTTCAAATTAACGTGAGGATTGTTGCAAATTATGTGACAACTTTCATAGTTACATTTTTATTTAGGCTAAGATTTCATTCTAATTTACTGAATGAAAAGTTTATGAATTTTTTATTATTGTGCATGATATCTATCAGTATGTAAGCTTAGTAAGAAATACCAATACCTCTTACCATGGTTCAAATATAATAGAATATGCAACAAATGTTTAGGAGAAAGTAACAGTGTAGATGGAGTGTCAGACAAATACATCAATGATCCACAACAAAACCGACAACCAGGTTAATATCTCATATTTCAGTTACTAGTCTACACTTTTGTATGTGTTTGATGTGTTATGGAAATTTGTTGAAAATTTTAATGTATCAATATTTTATTTTTTAATAATATAATATTTATGTTTCAGTTGAATCATTACTTAGTGAGCTTGATAGTGCTGTAATAAATACACTACAGCAGTCAAATGAATCCCCCTCACAAGATTCAAATTCTCCAAACAAGGCATCATCTGCAACTAAAGAACTAGATGACTTGATGGCATCATTGTCTGATTTCAAAGTAAACGTACAAACTGTTGCACCAGCTCATTCCGTAAAGAATAATGATGAATATGCTAAACCACAGCGATCTGTTTCTTCCAACAAGACTCAACAAGGTATCCTGTAGTGACATAGAAAAATCATTTATTAAATCATTAGCTTGCCCCTACATTTGCCTGTTCATTGTTGCTCCTTGCCTCCACTTGATGTTCATTCCCATTCCTTACCTTTGCTTGATGTTCATTCCCATTCCTTGCCTCCACTTGATGTTCATTCTATTCTTCCTTGCCATTCCACTGTTCATTCTAATTCATTTTTGCTTCATTCATTCCTTGCCTCCACTTGATGTTCATTCTAATTCCTTACCTTTGCTTGATGTTCATTCTAATTCCTTGCCTCCACTTGATGTTCATTCTAATTCCTTACCTTTGCTTGATGATTCATTCTCATTCCTTCCTTGCCTCCACTTGATGTCATTCTAATTCTTTACCTTATGTTCATTCTTTGCTTTGCTTGATGTTTATTCCCATTCCTTGCCTTTGATGTTCATTAATTCAGGTAGTCAACCAGTAAGAACAAGTCAACTGGATTCTATGTTAGGTAGTTTGCAATCTGATATGAATCGACAAGGTGTTAGTACTGTCAAAAAAGGAATATGTGCTGCTTGTAACAAACCAATTGTTGGTCAGGTTGTTACAGCTCTTGGAAAGACATGGCATCCAGAGCATTTTGCATGTGTAGTATGTGAGTTACCTCTTGGATCAAGGAATTTCTTTGAGAGAGATGGAAAGCCTTATTGTGAAAAAGATTATCATGAGCTATATGCACCAAGGTGTGCATACTGTAATCAACCTATTCTTGATGTAAGTCTTAGCAACTGAATTTTTATTGACTTAAGTGTTGTTCAAATTTTCAAACTTTCATTTTCAATAGTCATGTGTTACTGCCCTGGATAAAACCTGGCATCAGGAATGTTTCTTTTGTCATCAATGTGGAAAACAATTTGGTGACTCAGGTTTTCATGAAAGAGATGGAAAACCATTTTGCCGTGATTGTTATTTTGCTGCATTTGCTCCCAAATGTGGTGGTTGTGATCAGCCAATAATGAATAATTATATTGCTGCTTTGGGTCAACACTGGCATCAAGAATGCTTTGTGTGTTATGTAAGTGATGAGTTAACTTATAATTAAGTCATGGTAGAATTTCTACTAACTTTCATTTTTGTTTTTTCCTATCACAAAAACACTTGTATAATAAACATTGCAATCATTTTCTAGGAATGCCATGAACCGTTTCAGGGAGGAAGTTTCTTTGAACATGAAGGCAAACCTTATTGTGAGATGCATTATCATTCAAAGCGTGGTACCTTGTGTTATAACTGCCAGAAACCAATCACTGGTCGATGTATTACTGCCATGCATCGTAAGTTCCATCCTGAACATTTCATTTGTGCATTTTGCCTTAAGCAACTGAACAAGGGAACTTTCAAAGAACAAAATGACAAACCATATTGCCATTCTTGCTTTGTGAAATTATTTGCTTGAAAGTTCAAGGGGACAAAGTATTTTTGTGGCAATATAAAAGAGATGGAAGGCTTTTGTAGATGAAAATTTTATCAGTGGTTCAAGAATTTAGGTTATATTCTGAGAAATATTGGTGGATGTACCCTCCTTGCTTGTTCAACTACTGTTGGTTCAACGAGGAAAGGAATTTAAATTTGTTGGGCATTTTCATAAAATATTAATGTTGTAGTTTTTGACAAAAGCATTTGAGATATGAAATTGCTCAGATAAACTTTTCTTCTGATAAATGAAGAAACTTGGATAAGCAAAAAAATGTAAATGTTTATGTGAATCTTAAAACTTGCTTATTTTCTCATGTCAGGTTCAAACCTTGTAACATATGAAACTTTTTTAACCTTGTTTCCATACAATAAAGAACATTTTATAAAGAGTAGAAAATAAAAACTGTCCATTGTTTTAGTTTCTGTGTTATTAGTGTCTTCAAATGGAAATCAAGGTACGATACCACTATATTATTGAATTAATATATATATTTTTTAAAGTGTCCATTGTATTTTGGTGGACACATGAACCATGAAAATTTTCATAATTAAAATTAAGGAATTCATGACATCCTGGTCGGGCCTCAATGATTTTTTCTTTACCACCTTCAGTATACCTGGTAACTCAAAAACAACTTTCACTTAGATGGAAATAAAAATTACCTCACAGGAAGTAATCAATCACTGGTCTTTTAGTTGGAATGCCTCGAACATCCTAGGTATAAATAGTAGTTGCAACTTTCAAATTATTTAGGCACACACAGGCAATAAAATTTTCTTTAACAGTTTACCTGTGGGGCTGCTTCAAATATTGTAAAATCTCGCTGGAGATGTTCATCCAATTGCAATATAGCTGCAACATTTCCACATCTGTTAAAAATATATTTTATTCATTCTTGGCATGTTGATACTATCTTATTAATAATATATTTGAGGCTGAAAGACCAGGTAATTTATCAAAACTAAAATTTTATAACATCTTTATAAAATAATAGTTTTGATCACAAAGTGTGTATTGGTCTTTGATTTATCTGATTGTGTGCCTTTGCTACCTGTAGCAATAGTTTGGTGCTGACCAAACTGTGAGAACTGTTTCATTAAAATGCCATTTGTAACCTTCCATGACCAGTTGATGAGCACGACAAATGATGTCAATGTTATTTGTTGAATTAAACTGTAAGAAGCAAAAAATAACAGTCTTATTGTGTGCAATATGATTTCAAGCAAGTAAATTGATCATTAAAGCAGGAAGAAATACATAACCTGTGAAACAACATCACTTCCAAACAGATAACCCGCTCCACGTGGACTTACACCCCAACCTTGTGTATCTTAACATGAAAATCTTGTCACAATGAGTACTTATGTGTATAAATTTCTAGTCTTAGGATAATGAATAAAAACTTGTAGCTACCAATACAAACCTTCAGGATCTGACCATAAAAGGTCACACATTGGTCCATCATGTGGAACTTCTTGCTTACGATCGATTGATCGGATCTAAAAAATCATAAATAGAAATAAGTACAGTTGAAACATTTATTACCAAAGATTTTTTATCACCTGGTCTAAAGTAGTAATTGAAGGTGACAGACCTCCATGAACACAAAATATCTAAAAAACAAAAACAAATATTGATTGAACTACTTTCAAAGGTAGAATTAATAAATTGATTGCAAAAAAAAACATACTCTGTTATCAATGATAGCTGATAGGCTAAGATAGTCAAATATTTCTGTACAATATCGCCACACAGACACAGAACCATATTTCTTAAGACATTCATCATAAAAACCATAAACTTGTGTGATCTGTCTACTTTCGTGATTGCCTCGAATAAGTGTTATTCTGTCAGGATAACGAACCTAAATGAAAAACAACATACTCAAATAAACCTATTATTTTAAAAAGAGTAGAATTATGATGAAATACCTTCAGTGCCAAAAGCAAAAGAAATGTCTCAACACTATAAAACCCTCGATCAACAAAATCACCCATGAAAAGATAGTTAGTCTCTGGTACATCACCTCCAACCTAAATAATTAACATTGTATCATAATTCATCATTCAGTTCTTTTTGACATGGGAACTGGGGAGATTGGTAACACATCATTAAAAGTTGGGCATAGTTCATACCTTGAAAAGTTCCTTAAGATCATAGAACTGACCATGGATATCACCACATACCTTTATAATTGTAACAACAGTCAAATTTTATGTATGTACAATGAAGTACAAATATGGCTAAAGCAAGTAGAAGGCGAAAACATGAATTAATACCGTTACAGGTGAGTCTACTCTCTGAACATTACTCTCTTCAACCAATATTTCTCTGCATAAAATACAAACATTTTATCTTATTTGTTGTTTGCGTATAGAGTTCAGATGACATAACAGATTTTTGTATTTTGTAAAATTTGTTGTACCTTGCCTTTCCACATAATTGTTTAACCTCGTTTTCTGTAATAAGCTCACATCTACGAAGTTTGTCTATTTGACTGAGAAAAATACGGAACAAATGTTCAAAAACGAGAGAAGAAAATTTTAAGGTTGTCGAAACGTCAGTCAGAAGAACGTATTCATATTTGCTGGGAAGAAAATTTTCAGCGCGATAAAAATACATTTTAACATTTTAATGTTTACATACCGGTCTAAGTCGCTGCAGGAATCTAACATCTTAGAAACAAAAAATGCTGTTTTCTTGATTCAAATACCTTCCCATTAATTGACGATTATTGACTACAAGTCTTCAAGATCGTAGAGACCGTAATACATACAGTCATCAAGAGATCAGTGTCAGTGATAAGTATCGTACATTGTACAAATGTATAAATGTACAAATGTACAAATGTACGACATAAAAAGTTGTGAATTTGAAAATCAAAACTGGTAATTGATCGCCGAGGACTAGGTTCCAACACAAAAACAATCCATTTATAACACTGAGTCTACTGAAGATACGTTTAAAAGAAATATCGATGAATCTCATATACAGTTTGGAAGCTCGTTGGCTCACGTGGTATATGTAGCAGTCGTAACTGTGCATGATGTTACTGAAGATATGTAAATATAACTACCAGCGTCTTTCCTTTAGGACGAGGTATCTGATTTCGAAAGTGAAGAGGAAGCAATCACACAAGAAATTTGCAGGAAGATTCAAAGTGCTCTGCAAAGTTTGCATATACAGATGAAGTATTGTGAGAAGAGTACTCTATGAAATGTTACTGACGAGGGATAGTACAAGGACCAAAGAAGAAAAATGCTGCTTCTCTGTGAGACTGTAGAAGGATTAATTCACGTTCATTCACGAGAGAAATGAAAATGGCTGTGATGATGGAGATGAGTCTCCTTATTTGATGCCTATTTCTTTCGGGTACGCTGCGAAAAATTCCAGAGTTCGGAATGAATTTGACGTGTTGCGAATGCTTGGAAAAAGGAGGGTTTGCTTCAGTTGTCAAGGAAACTTTTTCTTACATACATCGTTTAAATAGATGGTAATTTGGTTGTGAAGGAAATTTTGTACGTGATTTGAAAATGCTATATATGCACTTAGGTACGTATTAAATTGGACGACTGTCTCTATGCGATCAAAAGAATTCGTTTGAATCAGAAAAGTGCACAGTTTAATCGCAAAATTACTCGAGAAGAGAAGTTACTTTCTAGATTGAATCATGAAAATATTTCAAGGTAAAAAGAAGTTTACTATCCATAATGAATCAAACTCTATAGCATATGGGTTGAAAACGAGGTTCAATTTAGACGATACAAATTGCTTGGCTTATTAATTAATGTTATCTTTATAGAACTGTTATAAAAAGTAGATAATCCCTTTTTTACACAAAGCCTATGGATGCTTTTGTTCATGATGAGAGAGTTATATTATTTAAGGAGATTGTCGTTCATCACGAGAGAGTTATGAGAACGTTACAATGTAAAAGGTAATAAGTAAAAAACGTATAAACATGTTTAGAGATGGTTTAAATTATAAGTCAAAAAGGCAGAAGTCGTTTGAACCTTTGCAGTAAGAACTCTTGTAAACAAAACGATAAAATTCCAAAGCAAAAAAACCCTGTTTTCGGTCCATGCTTCCCGATACCTTCTTAAGCGTAAGGCACTAGAACGCCGCATGTTAATGTAATTTATGATCCACATGAGACTATAAATTCTACGGCAACGCATTGCTCCCGTCGTATTGTTTGGTAGGAGATTTCGGCCCCTCAAGCTATCCTACTTGGGAGATGCAATAGCAAGCTTCCGCCCATCAGACCCCGAGATCACCTGCGATAGGCTTTGCTCGGGGTACGCAGGGAGAGTGCGGTCGCCACCGAAGTTTGGGCTCCGCTTCGACTGAGCGCTCTAATTACTCCATATTCGGTACTAGTACATACAGTTGGTCTTTGCCATGACGATGAACTTGAAGAGTTGGCGAAGTTGACTACGAAGGCTCCGATTAATTCTCAATTAATTTGTGACGGAGCAAGCTCTGAAATTGGTGCTTGTATATGCGCTTAGCAAATTTTTCAATCATATATTTTTGGCATGCTCTTTGTCTACTTAAGCTTGTTTTGACAAATGCATATCAAACTCATCAACACTTTGTAAGCCACTCGCAATATCCTTGACAATGTTTGAGATATTTTTGTTTTTCTGCAGAACTTTGTATCTGCATATTTTGTGCACAAACAATGCTCTGATATTTATGATAGATATTATAATTCGTGGATTGAGGTAGAAGAAATACTTGAAAAGACACTTCCAACAGTGAAACAAAATCAACAGACGAAACAACGACGCCAGGTTGAAGATAGCTTGATGAAATTGAACGTAGTTGAAGTACCTAGCGTACGCTCGAGAGTTTTGTATGAGGACTCGTTAACCAATGAAAACACGTATGATTCCAAGCATGTTGACGACTATAAAAGCTCTAGCGAGGAGTATTGATAGTTCAAAAGTAAAAAAGTTCGACGAGAGAGTTGGCAGGAGTCTTGCTGACAAAATAGTACTGACAAAATACTGACAAAATTTTGGTGCTAAGCGACCGCTATATTAATCTGATGGCTGTCTTTGACTGTTGACTATGACATGACTGTTGACTATGACACGACTGTTGACTATGACATGACTGTATAATGAAGTGGCAGGTTGATCGAATGAACGAAATGGGGCTGTTGTGAAACAGATTATATGTTTTCTTGTTCGCACGTTTACAAAAAGAAGATTCGGACATTTTTATGGCGATATATATCATTTGGTTGAATATAATTTCTCAAAACAAACCAAAATAAATGAAACAGGATCAAAAATGTTGGTCCATTCATTTTGTATTAAAAACCACCTGTTGGAATAAGCTTCTCTTATGAATTATGTACTAAAAATATCTAGAAAAGACTGTATCATATTATGCATTTTCTAACGTTTGTTTTGCTTTCTACTCACTTTTGGATGAAAAATATCTATATATTTAGTTTTGCCACCAAAATATGTCGATACGTTTGTACGACTCAAATTTAGAGAAAAAAGGATTGCATATTTATGTATTTATTTTAGAGAAATTTACGTCGCTCAGATCTGAAATCTACTCAAAACCGTTTCATTGCGATGGTCATCGATGGAAACTGCAGGCTGGTATAAAGGAGAAATATTATTTCGGCGTGTTTTTACGATGGTTAGGAGGTGGAAAACTGACGAATGGAGTAAAATGTAAAATGCAATTCACATTGGGTATTTTAAACAGAAGAGAACCTTCAAAATCCATTCGTCGAGGTGATTTGGATGGGAAAGCGGACGAGTTTACAATATCTGGTTGTGGTATAGGTTGGGGAAAACTAGCCACATTAGATCAGCTGACTAAAGATCGTGGTTTCATCATTGATGATAGTGTACTTGTTGAGTTACAATGTCGTATAACCGAGACGACTTTTCAACAAAAACTTGCGTGTGATTTAAGCCCTGGTGAAAAGTTTGTGAAAAGTTCCATGTTTTCAATTTGCAATGGACGATGGTCCATTATAATGTTTCCACAAGGATTACCTGTTAATTCGTCTGGTAGTGATAGCATCCATGAAAATCCTCAAAGTGATGATGTTGCTGTGTATCTTCTTCGTGAAGATACCACTCTTCTTCGTTACAAGATCAGCTTTTCATTTCATGTTCGGAGCAAGCTCGCTAAAACACATGAGATCACGTACAATTTCTATGAAACTGACGAAAACGCTTGTAATGATGTCTTTGGAGTCGAGAACTTTATTCCAATGAAAGAAATGAAAAAAATTTCAAAAAATGGAAAAGTGAAAATAAACGTAAAAATAAAATTAATGGAACCATATTTCTATCTTGCTTTGAGCCCGGAGAAAATTCGGAACAACTATGGTGATACGTGTACACGAGAGGATCTTGTTGATCAATGTAACAATTCCCTATGTCTTACGCTTGCTGCATCTCAAAACGAAAAAGTAGTGTTTACACTTACATACGACCCACAAGGAGAGAATAAAACCATTGATGAAACACCTTATTTCAAGAAGATCTTTTGGCGAATTATCCTCAATTCTTTAGAAAATGATTCCGAAACTGTTGTCGTCTCCTCATCAGATGAGCCCGGAAGAAGCTCGTTTTGTTACAGCAAAGCGATGAACTCGATTATATCTAGTTTAGATATTCAAAAGGTGAGAACCGCCCGCGAGAAAGGGGGGTGGGTGGGTGGGGTCGGGGAAATGAATGGTTTTTTTTAATTACGTTTTCAATTTTTTTTATGGTTTAGATCCTCGAGAAAAACAGTGTATATCTTGATGATGAAGGCTTTCTTAGTGTTCATATGCTTATTATGGATGCAAATCTGTTGTATGATCCATTGCTTAACCCTCTTACTAAAAACAGCGTCTCTAAATTAAAAGAGGAAAATGAACATGGACTGAGGAGCCTAGAACGCGAACGGTAAATTGATCAAATTCGTGACAATCATGTCATACTTTTCGTTGTTAGTCAATTATTTCTTATATTATATGTAGTGAAAGTTTTATTCACGAGAAATTGACGGAGAAAGATGAAATCATTTCAGAGCAAAAGGAACTGCTTGAAAAGACAGACAGCATCATTGAAGCGCACGAAACAACTAACGATGATTTGAAGAACGAGAAGGAGAAAAATGTTAAATATTCCATTGATCTTGGTCACAGTAAATCAGATGTATTCATGATAATTCATACGAAAATTTATGACCGTGTATCAAAATGTCAGAAATGTTTTATGGTTTTTGCAGGAACATCTTGAACGAAGTTTGCAACAACTAATCAGGAACGCAAAACCATCGAAAGAAGATTTAAAAGCCCAGAAAGCTATCGAAAAAAAACTTACCAAGTTTTTAAAGGTTTCTCTTGTGTTGAGTTATTCGTGATTTAAAATTCATACATAATTCCAACCTAATTTCTCATTTTGCTATTAGAAGAAACTTCCGTTTAACATAAGCCGTGTCTCAGCTATAGATGCTTACGGACAGAACACAACATTGAAAGGAATTAGACAGTGTAACTTGGCCATTGCCATTCAAGGTCATGTGGGTTATTTTTTGCTCGAGATCAACAAGACATTATCTTTATTTGATGTATTTTTGTATCTCGTTTCCAGACCTTCCTAGCACGGAACATGACAGTTGGCTACCCAGTATCATAGAAACAATTAAAACATTACTTGAGCAAAAAGACGAGAACGAAACGACTCTGCCTTCGTGCAATGACTTCACTACGACATCGACCACTGTACACTTTAAATGTGATGAAGTCATTGTATCGCTTGCACCAATCAACGACTGGGAAGAGAAAGGTGGAGTCCAGGCCCTTTATCAGATGAGCATGAAGCAAGATCCTTCTGTTCAAATTTAGTAAGAAATTGGTTTTGTTGGAGTTAACTTTATTGATTCTCAACCATTATATTTATTGTTTTTAACATTATTCTATTGCAGTTATCAAAACAATGTTTGTGAACTTCAAGCAAAATTTATATCCAAACAGTCAGATAAGGTTGTAAAGTTGTATCATTAATAGATAAAATTCTTTGATGACTTTGACTGGATTTTCTATTTCAAGTGCAAAGATTTGATACGAGTTGTAAAGAAATGGAGTTATGATACTGAATGGAAAGATGGACGTCGACCTGGAGATTATCTTCTTGCATTACTTGTTGTTCAATCTTATGAAATTATTCAACCGTATGTTTTTTTCATTTTTTTAATTTTTGAAAACGCTACAACGCCTACAAAGTATGATTTAAGTTTTTATTGTTTTTTTTTTATTCGATGTAACATCTGTTCACGTATAAAAATTAATGTTTTAGTGACATGTGCGAACCAACTTCAACTGATCTAGATATTTTGATAGAAATGGCCGAACTTGTGGACGATGTCAATCTGGAGTAAGTAAATAAATCTCGAGTGTGTTTAAAACATAAAATTCTTCGTTCATGGCTGGGGTGTTACACTTGTTGTTAAATAGAAATACTTTCTGACGTTTATTTTTTGTCTATTGTAGACTATCTTGGGATACATCCAACTACATATCTGCTCAATATCCTCCAAAGTACTTTCCTAAACCATTTTTACATCCTATCATTCAGGATCCTGCTATACCCACACATAATGTGGCGGAGACAAATGTGGGAGATTGGAACGAGTTCAGGAGCAAATTTAAAGACTGGGTTTTATCTCTCTCACGATGATATAATAATACAAATGATGATCACAGAAGTTTGCTAAATAGTCTTCACTATAATATCAATGCAGCATTGAACCTTTTTTACATAAAATCAATGGTTTTGGGGTAGATCCTTTTTTAGTATAGTTGAATGGAAAAAGCATTATCAAGGGGTTTTTCTAGTAAAATTATTGATGAAATTATTATTCAAATATATCTTATAATTGTTTTCATATAATGGTTGAAAAATGTTTAGACAAATATGTTGAGAACTGCAATTATTTTACATTCACGGTAAAATGGTTGTTAAAACATGCAGTACTTTACTTAAATCATTGCGTCGGCTGTATCAAATGTTGATAAATTTAATGGAAAACTTATCTGCATACAACAGTACCATGAATTGTTCCCATCACCTATCATATGTTCAGGATTTGTTATTTGAAGGCGCAATTATAAAAATTGCAAATAGATCCATAATGGATAATACGAGGAAAATATCAGTTTGAAATTTAACCGTGGATTACTATTTTACAAATGACAATAATATTTTCTGAATTCACGCATGATGCACCAAGCAGGTATAAGATCAAAACAAATAATCATAGAACGAATGATTTCTGTGTACTTGTAGTGATTTTATGCCTTGAATATCTTCAACTATTTTACAAACAAAAGTTTTTATAGATTTCAAGATCAAACCTAACTCTCTCGTCAACCAATGACAACAATGTGGAACATTTCATCTCCTCGTTTTGCAACTGAACTGCGTCAGCACTAGACTCTTTACTTTTTCCTCGACTGTTAGTGATATATTGTAAATAGTTGAGCTCCGTAGTATCGTGAGATGTTTGTCAGGATCATTCCAGGTTAGTGCAGTCTTGATCACTAACACCAACAGTCCTAAGACTGGCTACACTAACTTGGACGATCAACATCTACTAACATGTAAAGATAGAGATATTTGTGATTCGGAAGTTTTGATATAAATTTATAATAATTTGGATTTTTTGTTTTAAAATAATCATATGACGAGTATCATTTCAGTGTAAATTAAGATGTATAAGTTCAGTGGCTAAAGGTGACCAATCATTGTTGAGTATTTATTTCACAAAATTCAAAATGTCGAAGAAGCTAATTTCTCGAAGGAAGAAAGTGAGCTGAGAAAACTTTTTGTTTTTATAACCGTCGCTTATAGTTTCTAAGATGTTCTCTACTCCAGATTACGACCAAGAAAACATATTTAGAGAGGTTCGTTGCAAGAAAGCGCTCTTTTTTTCACTATCCCGAAAATTTGATTTTAATAATTTTTAAAATTTCATATTGTATGCCACAGGGTTTAGCAACGACTCCATGTCGAAAGCCTTTGAAACTTATTCAAAAAGAAAGTTTATCTGGCACACCAGTAACGAAGAAAAAAGCCAGACCAAGATCTTGTCACCGCTCCAATATCTCACGACATGGATTGGCAAGACAGCTTCAAAGAAAAAGTCTGCCGTTTGCATTATCTAAGCCATTTTACATATTTGAAGAGGATTCAAAGAAGCAACTGGCAAATAGTAATTTTACGGACAGTATTTTATCCGAAGTGGTTAATGATGACTTAAACAAAATGGTTCAAAATAAAGTTTCAGAAACGATAAGGAAAATAAGAAAGGTAATGGATTGAAGTGAGATAGTTTTGGAAATTTTTGTGATTTTATTTAGTTTGACGGATTAAGTGAGTACCTTTTGTTGCAGAAGTATGAAGAGGAAATTGAAGAAAAACAGCAAGATATAGAAGTGAAAACAAAGACAATTGCATGTCTTCTTTCAGAAAATGAAAAGCTAAAAAATTCTTGTAATCATGTTGGAACTGTGGAACATGTTGTTGATAAAGATGAAGGAAGTATAATATCAACGTTTGTTCAAGAAATCATCTCAAATGCAATCGATGAGATTAAAGACGAGCTTGATAATCCTGACCAAAAGTTTCCATTATGTGATGGTTTAGCTTCTATTCTTGAAGAGGAAAAAGGGTCATCACAATCACAGGAAACTCAAACGAAATCTACAAATAAGAATGTCATTAAATGCAAGTATGTTGATGTATCAACTTTTACAACACCAAAGCAATGTACGTCCAAAGAGAAATGTACTTCTATCACACCAATTCAAAGAATGGATATTTCTATAGAAACATCTCCACTTGTAGCTGCCCTACAACCTGAAATAATTACCAGTCTTCCATTTCACCGATTACAAACAGAGTTAGAGTCCGCAGCAATCAGCAATGAGTTATTGAGAGCAGAATGTTCTCATCTCAATACAAAAGTTGATGGTTTGCAGGCAACCTTGACTAATGTTTCAGAAAAGTCAAAATTTGAGTGTAGCTCCTTGCAAGAAAAGATCAACAATCTTGAAACAAGACTGGATGATGCTTTGGAGAAGAATCATCAGCTAGAAATGACGAAGGTTTGTCATTTTATACATATTGTGGATAAATTGTTGTAAAATTGATTTTTTTATTTAGTATTATTTGAATTTTTCAGCCTCTAAATGTTGAGGAATATGATGCAACAATAGCCACACTACAAAAGGAAATTTTATTGAAAGAAAAACAAATGTTATTCTATATAAAGGTGGGTTGGTATTTGGTTAAAACTCATTTTAAATAATCAACAGGCATCAATTGAAAATTGTGACGGGAAAGTTGATTTTGTTACTTAAACTTTTCTAAATAGAAAGCATCAGAGACTGAAAACTTGCAACAAGATTTAAGAAGAATGTACAGCAAATATAACACTGAGGTAAATCTCAGATTTAATATAATAATTTAACATAAATTGCATTCTTAACTTGAATTCTCATAAGACAATAGATAATAACAAGTTATCAACTTCAGCATCAGCAATGTACAATGCAGTTACTGTAGATGGCAATGCATCATTTACGAACTAGTTGTGTGAAAGCAGCTCTAAATGATGCCATATGTAACCTGGCAGAACAAGGCAAAGTAAGAGAAGAAGCAAGAAAATCTGAAATAAAATGTGTGAAACTTCAAGAACAGATTGAGGTTTGTTTTTATTTATGTTTGTTGTTAATTCATCGTCTTCATCATTAACATCATTAACATCATTAACATCATTAACATCATTAACAAAATCAACATCATTAACATCATTAGCATCATTAACATCATTAACATCATTAACAAAATCAACATCACCAACATCATTCATCGTCGCTCACATCATCATCAATCATCAGAAGAAGAAGAGGAAAAAGAAGACGAAGAAGAAGAAACAGAAATTGGTGAACAACATCTTACTATGTCATCAATATCAAAAAGTACAGAAAAAATCCGTTTTTTGAACACTTCATCTTTTGTTACACTAGCAAACGGGTTTTTTAAGCAATCCACAAACTTCTTTTGATATGTGAACATACAGTAATCACATTGTTTTGCCTGATTTAAACTTCGAGCATTTAAACTTCCATGTTTATGGCAATATCGATATCCACCAGATCTGCAATGTTGCTCAATTTGCTCGATCATTTTCATTATCAACGTATGAGCCATTCCCATTGTGTTCTCCAAATGTTTACATTTAGCTAACGCTACCATTGTTAAGCGTTCGCTGCTCAGATTTTTTGAAAAGTTTTTCAGTTCATCAGAAGAGACATGCTTTTTGATGACATCAATTGTAGTTTCTATAGGTAGATTATTTCTTGCAGCGAACGTTAATAGATGCATGGCTGTTTTGGGATGAATGTTGTTTACTTCTTTTAGACATTGTTTGACGACATTCATTGCTTCATATTTATCTGCCAAATTGATGACTTGAAGAATATTATCGTTGTTAAGGTTGACTTCATTTTCATCCAACATGTTTGCAGGGTATAACAACATCAAGAAATGTATCATTGCTTCGTATTTATCGTCTTTTAGTTCAATCTTTTTTTGAAATGCGTCTTTAAAGTTACCATTCAACATAGATTCGAAAACTTTTGACTGCATTGATAACATCCAACGATGAACATGAATTTCTTTATCTTCGACTTGTAGTATTAAATCACTTTTTTGCCAAGGTTTCGAAAAGATGGCAGCCACAGAAGTACATTTTGACTCTGTTTTTGCTTCTTCACTTTTAGCCATTGCCTCAAGGATGAATCCAATCCATCCACCACCACCAGCACCACGATAAATTCACCTTTTCAGCAATATGTACAATTTAGTAAACCCACGTGTGTATGTGTACCAATATGTACCAATGTATACCAATGTATACCAACTACCTACCTTCTTACGTAACTATGGATCTCGCTGTATTTTGAACCAATCATAAACACGAACGGAAAGTTCGCGATATCAAAAAACAGAAACGTTAAAAATTAATTGGGGAATAGCAAATTTTGACGTTTACTTTGTAATCGATTTTTGGATTCTTCGTCTCTTCGCCTTTAAAAAGGACGAAATATATTTCAGTGTTATTACATGTCTTGTCAATGGAAAGAATTTGCTGTTAAAATAAGTTTATTATTACTCTAGTTTTATGCCTCATGATTTTTTGGTTTTATAGATTTTTCAAAATCAACAAACAGAAAATCTCGAGTTTTTGGAGCAGGAAAGAAAAGGACTGGAGGAGAGCTCACGCGAATGGGAGCTGATGGTAACTATGTAAACTACTTAGAAATAAACTTTAGTGAAATAAACTTTAGTTATAATGAAATACAACATGTTGGTTTGGTTGGCTTATTGAAGTGAAAAAGTTTATCTTTTTGTTTACGCTACAGGTGATAAAAGTGAAAGAAGAACTTTGTGAATCACGACTGTCTTTGAAAGAAGAAAGACAAAGAAGTGATGAACATAGCAATACGTCATATAAACTACGGTATGTTTACGTCATATCAACTACGGTATGTTTACGTCATATAAACTACGGTATGTTTACGTCATATCAACTATGGTATGTTTACGTCATATAAACTACGGTATGTTTACGTCATATCAACTATGGTATGTTTACGTCATATAAACTACGGTATGTTTACGTCATATCAACTACGGTATGTTTACGTCATATAAACTACGGTATGTTTACGTCATATCAACTACGGTATGTTTACGTCTACCGTATGTTTACGTCATATCAACTACGGTATGTTTACGTCATATAAACTACGGTATGTTTACGTCATATCAACTACGGTATGTTTACGTCATATCAACTACGGTATGTTTACGTCATATAAACTACGGTATGTTTACGGCTACCGTATGTTTGCGCTTCTGTATGTTTACGTCATATCAACTACGGTATGTTTACGTCATATCAACTACGGTATGTTTACGTCATATCAACTACTGTATTTTTACGTTGTATAAACTACTGTATGTTTCTCGTGAAAATTTAACTTTAGAATAAACATACTTGTGCTAAAATATTTTTTAAGCATTCAGTCATTTTGCAAAATAAACTATAGCTTATTCTTAGTTTAAGTCATGCATTTAAATAAGCATGTAACAAAATTATGGATATTTAATGCTTTATTTTAGATACTCTATTAGTTCATGGCGTATACAGTAGCCAGGATCCAGTGTCGTTCAGAATACATTACTGAAAATATTTTTCCATTTTAAAACACTTTCTAATTGGAGTATTTTAGTCTTAAATATTCTTTAGAAACATTTAACTAACAACGTTTTTAAAATAGTCTTTTGAATTCAAAATGAGCTTTTATAATTTATTTTGACTTACCCTAGATCCGACACTGGGCGTATATTCTCCATGCTCAACCAGAAAGTTTTTCCATTTTCAAACAAATAAACCGTCTTTTTTATTATTTAGTACTCAAGTATCCGATTTACAAGATGAATTGAATGCCGTTAAATCTCAGTCATATCTTGTAATGTTAGAACAAGAGAAAGAACTCGAAGCTGTGTCGCGTGTCTTGCAGGAAACCTGGGAACAACTGATGAAGTTTGCTAGTGATTGTTGTGAAAAGGTACTTCTGTATTATTATATTTAACATGCCTAATTTTCAATTGTAAATTGACCACCAAAATGCATATTGTTTGTTTTAATATCGGTTATGTTTTCATGTCAGACTAGGAAATTTGAGAGAAAAACCATACATTCTGTCAATGAAGAGAAGAAGTCTCTTGTTTGCTCTGTATTGACTGCGGTCTCCACTAATATATTCAAGGTATTCATCGCTCTACGTAACTGAAGCACTCCTTGATGTTAATTAATGCTTGAATAAAGCATTTGATTAAAATCTAAACTTATACCGGTGGGCTAGTTCTTTCATGCATTTTATAGGGACATTGTATATGGGACCCCCACCACCACTGATTAAAGATCTTACGTCCTAGATGTGCGTTGCATGTTAAATTTTGCACTCCTACCCCCCTCCCCCCCCCAATTAACGATGTTCTTTTATCCTTGGTGTCCAGTGATAAATACGTCCTTGGTATGCGTTATAACGAGAGAAGAATAATGAAGTTGTTTGTTGAGGACTACATACATATAGTGTGGGTAGTGTCGTAATAAGGGTTTACTGAGGGTAATTATGAATACATTTCATGGTAAATTCAGCTGAAGATTCACGAAATATAGGCATGTTGAGGAATGCTCTACAAAATAATAAAATACACGACAGTTAGGAAAAGTAATTGTGATAAGTTTTTTTATGGCAGAATTTAATAAAAAAAAAGTATCAGAATATAACAAAAAAATCTGACAGTAACAACTAGCGACATAGAGTCCTCTCCTTTACAAAAATATCGTGTATCATTCTCTGAATAAATATTCTTCATAATAAAGCGCGATTTGACTGTCATTTTACAGTTATGTGACACTTCATGTGATAATAGTGACTTATAGTTCATATAGTAAAACAAAAAGTCCAATTTCATTGCAGTCCCAAGACACAAAGAAATATTTCACATCAGAAAGTAACAATGTCTGCATTAATGATGTTGGCGTTTCAGCAGCTGTCATGAAGGATGATGTCAACGAGTTTAACGAGTCAGAAGATGAATTCACGCTAGTGAAACGAGTAAAAGAAGTTCAAAGACTTCTTTTACAGTTCCACAAAGATTCTCAGACAATTATACAACGTCAAGTTGATGAGATGTGAGCGCTACAAATTTTCATGTTGCAAGATATCTTCAATAATGCAATTTTGAACTATGCAATGGTTTGATATTAATATTTGCTTGATTTATGTGTTACAGTTCCGTTCTACAAGAATCGTTACGTAAGAATGATGCAGAAATGAAGAAGTTAAAACGAGACTTAGAGAATACAAAAGAAGAATCGGAGAGTCTAAAATTTCAACTTACGAACGCTATAAAAGATGTGAACGAGTTCCGTGATAGGAAGGATGTTTTGGATGAGAAATGTCGAGCAATGATGGAAATGGAGTCTGAAAACAAGTTGTTGAAAACCAAACTTCACCTTCTGAAAGAAGAGATGACAAATATTCAGCAGGATAAAATTTGTGCAGAAAAGGAATTGCAAAATCTTGGAATAAGATTGGAAGAAATAAAAGAAGTATTTGAAAGGAAGGATGACATACAACAAATTAGTTTATTAAAAGTTACATTCACTGAGTTATTGGAGAAGAAATTGAAACTAGAGGAAAAGGTGGGGATTCCATTATGTTGTTTGATGTGTAAATCATATGTTGTGCTATATTGAGATACTTATCTTTGCTAAATTAAAGGTTGACAAATTAGGCCGTACAAAAGCCAAAGTATTGCAAGAGAATGAGAGTTTGATGCAATGTAATGCAAGATTAGAAAATAAGGTAAAAGTTTTTAGCTAAAATACCTTTTTGAACTATAAGTCCAACACATTGAGTTTTATGTTGTCTTATCAATATCTACTTAGATCCGTTTCATTCGTGGTGCTTTAATCAAAGCTGAAAATGAAATATGCAGACTTGATGATATTGTTGACAAATTTTGCCAGGTAAGTAAAGCTACTGAACAAGTTTCTCCAAAATTTTAAGTTCTTCTCTCTCAGTAACTGCAGTTATGCTTATATAAAAGTAAAACTCTTTTTTGTCATCTTTTCATTAAATATAGGCAACAAAAACTAGCATTCAATCTGGGTCAATCTCTCTCGATTTGATGGAACTTTTGAAAGTGTTAAATATTGTGATAGACTAAGGACTTATGTTTATTTGCTCAGTTTATGTATGTTTTGTTCAGTTTTAGGCATACCCTGCTATCTCCTTTTACAGGGTATTAATTTGAAATACCCTCCACATATCATTTGCTATAAATTATAATAAATGTTTAGCATGACACATTTTAATTAAATGCATATATATTTTAAAGCTGTGAATACAACGCATAGCAATATCAACTAACAAACAACTAAAATATACAAGCTAAAAAGGATGAGCAAATGTTGTTACATCTTTTGCAAGAAACTTTTCTTCTCTTTTATCCTCTATATGAACATAAAATCAAAACATCATTAATCAAACAATTCATAGAGGTTTGTAGCTGTTGATGTATTGACTAACTCTGATTTAATTTCTGTAACGCCTTTCTTGAGATCGTGAGCGGCTTCTGTAGTTTCTAAAGAAAATAGTAGCATAATTATAAAAGATAACATATTGAGCAGTTTTTCCTTACCGCTTTCTTCATCTCAACACTAAAGTATCTACACATGAGAACAAAATGCCCTTGCCATATCAAGTATACCTTTTTAACTTGGTGATGTAATCAAGTGGGGATTTTGGTGATTATGGTGATTGCGAAGTTGCAAAACGTAACCAAAATACAACCAAAGTTGATGTTTTGATTGTTGGATCAAAGATGCTAGCAAACTAATCCGATGTTCTGGTGAAATTATTTTTTGAAGACTTTTAATGCATAACAGTTGAAATAGAAACTTCAAGATGTGATGCGTCGTTCACAGATGAAGTCACCAACGAACTATAGTTGCGCAACATGTTATAAGGCCGAGCGAGTAGGTCGTAACTTTTATCAAGTTGTTGAGAAAAAATTGTAGATAAGTAAGACCATTTGAAGTCTTGGTTTGATGTTGAATACGAGTGTAACGAAGCGTTGGATGAAATTTAAAAATAGAGAGAACATAGAGTTGCGTAGCTGTTAAAAAATAAAAATATTGCTGCATGTTTAATATAGTAAATTAACTCATGAACCAAGCTATTTTGTAACCTTGAGCCTCGACTGTCTTCATATCTTCTTCCACGATCATCACGTCGGTCATCACGTCGGTCATAACCCCCACGACCTCGTCCTCTGCCACGAGTCTTACCATGTGATAGCTCTACCCTTACACGTTGTCCACAGACAGTTCTACCATCCAATTCAAAGCATGCATCTTTGGCATCTCGCTCATCATAGAATTCAATGAATGCAAATCCAGGGGGGTTACGAGCCACCCAGACATCTTGGAGCTTGCCAAAACGTGAGAATTCATTTTCCAACTCTTCTTTACGAGCATCGTTTGGTAAACCTCCAACATAAACCTTGGTTGTACGAGTTTCTCGTGACATGCTAAATGAAAAAGGATTGCTATGATTGAGAGAAAACGTCGAATTGATATTAACAGTTTATTTTTGAGATGAAATGGTAGATTAACAGAAAACCTTTACATTCCCTACATATAAACACACAAAAAAACATTTCTTCAAGATAAGTCATACGCTGTGCCCATAGACGTCCATTACGAATAACCATAAACATCCGTGTTAGAAACATCACAAAACAACGCTATGAACAAAAAAGAAGTAGCCAAAAGCCAAAGATTACCTGTAATCAAAAACAATTTTTGATGTTTCAAAATATTGAAGAAAGAAAAAAATTTTTTGTAGCCAAAATCCAGATATAAGTAAGAAATCGCGATTGTCTGACTACTGACTAATTTAAGATAAACAGGCAGTGTCTTCAATTTATAGAGCCTGTCATGTGACCAGAACGTGTCATTAGTTCCCAGGTACAAATTAACTACGCGGTCATCTTTAAATTGATACTTCTGTTCAAGTCTATGAACTGTTATAATACGAAGAGAAAGTTTTTTAGAGTAAACTGCCTTGCTTTAATTATGACTTCTTTTTACCATGTGCTTGAGATAATTGGTGAATATAAAGGTTTGTAATTATAAATATTTTATTTTAGATTTGTCATCACTTTCAATACACTTGTCAAAATCACATGTATATGGACGAAGATGTTCAGCAAAATGACATTGACTGAGGGAAAACTTACAAAAGGGAGCTTAGTTTTGACTTTAGCTTTAGTTGGAAATCACTCTGAAATGATTTTTTAGATGATCATCATTTATCATCGAGAAGTCATTGATCAGAATTTCGCAAAGGAAAAAAACTCTTATGACAACAATACAGTCATAATTTTGTAGAAATAGCAGGACACATGGTTTACTCTTGCAATTTGGTATAATGTACAAACTGGACATTAACTATTACAAACTTATTTGAATGGCTTTTCCAAACCTTGATAAATACAACAACTTGTGAACTTGATTATTTATTTACAATCTTTGTACAAGTTGTTTGTACAACTAACTAAAAGTATAAACTATGAACCTCCCATTGATGGCAATTTTAACTGCTTGCTTGCTTTACCTCAATCTGTCTGGAGGAGTATTTTAACACATGCATATTTTCTGTGCCTTTTCTAAACAGCAGTCAGATTACTGCCATTGAATAGCTGCAGTTATTAATTGAAAAGACAAAGTTGAGAAAAGAACAGGAAACCATTCAACAAATCTTGTTGTTATATTGTGTTGCTATAAATGACTAAAGAGTGTGTTGTATTTATGAATTGATTGAATTATAATATTCATATTGCATAAAGATACATGGTGCGATAAACTCTGATATCATTTATGACAGGACAAATACGACAAAGTAATCGTACCATTTTCTTTCTTTTGATGTTATGCTATGAAGTTGTAAACTTGAGCATTCCATAGCAGATTTCCAAGCTCCATTCATTACGATTGCAATATCTTTTGTTCTTGAATTAAAATGTTGTTTTGTTCAGCCAAAACAAGTTAATTGGGTTTTCTTTACCAGATGCAGTTAGCACATTACATTTTTTTCTCATTTAATTTCATGTTATTGATATTTTATTGGTATTACTCCAAGTCATAAAGTGCATTAAGGTTTGTTGCAGAAGTTGGGCATGAGACACAATGTTATTTTGTGATACGTGTTTGCACTACGACATGCAAATGAACATTTGCGTCCTCGCGAAAATTTTTTCGCAAATCATTTATAAATGACTCAAACAGGAAAGGACCAAAAGTCCTTTGAGGAGCGCCAGTTGAGAACGTCATATATGACCAATATAAACCAACTAGGAACAACGCCATCTATCGCAGTTTGTATCTTCCGTGTTAAAAACTCCTTGAACCAATCATAAATGCGTCCACAAACATCGTACTGCTTGATTTACTTCATTATTATTTGTGTGCAGAATTTATTAATGTGTTTATGGCAAATGCAAAAGAATACATTTAGGTTTTGGGTTTACTTACTAGGAATAAACAAATATCTAAAAGCACTGCTGAGGAGACTAAAACATCAGAACCAATGATCAAAACAATCAATGATCAGAACTTACCACTGAACGCTAAGAACTTTTAATATTTGAATAACGTCATCAACACGATGGCGTGGCGAAACTGTTTGGTTTTTGTGTGTCCAAAATAGTAAATGCTTTTCATGTTAAAGTATGTGTGATAAGTTAAAAAAATACTTCACGAACGATTTTTTTAAGCGTGGACAAAATAGATAATTTATTCTACTTACTTTTATTCTCATTGCTATGTCATGTGTCTGTAATTGTGCCACTATGGGCGACTTGTCCAGCGAGAACGTTAAAGTGGTTCAATTAAACTACACGAATCATCAAGACGTGTACCTTATTATTGAAGAGGAGATGTAAGAGGAGAGAAGATGAGGGTAGACTAAATCAAAACCATTGATCAGAACTTACCACTGAACGCCAAGAACTTTTCTTATTTGAATGACGTCATCAACACGATGACGTGGCAAAACTGTTTGGTTTTTGTGTGTCCAAAATAATGCTTATCATGTTAAAGTAAGTGCGATAAGTTCAAAAAATATTGCACGAACGATTTGTTTAAACATGGGCAAGATAAGGATAGACATTGTACATATTTTTATAGTTGTTTTTACTATCGCTGCTATGTCATGTTTCTGTAATTGTACAACACTGGGGCATTTGTGCAGCGATGTTAGAGTGGTACAAGTAAACTACAAGAATTATGAGAGTTTGTACCTTGGTGACGGATTACTTGGAGGAGGCTTAATGCAAAACGGGCTTTTTGTGCGTATGCTAAAATTTGCTGTTCCAAGATGCTGTCCAAATGCATCTTTGATAATTGATTCTGTCGGTGAAGTGGAAGAGGAAATTCAAGAATTAGTTTTGAGCACTTTGAAGGCATCAAGAACCGGACTACGAGATGGTGTTCATAAGTTATATTTTCCAGAGTTTGCACCTAAAAAAATTTTAACTGTTTACGATGCGAAAGTTCCATTTGTTGTTCTTTCTCGTTCTCCTGGACCGGCATTAATCATGTTAAGGCCAGCCGAAAAAAAGCCTGTGTTTGTGGGCGAAATATTCGTGAAATCATGGGCTATAATGACCTTCCTTCTCACTTGCGCTTGGATAATTGGCATTGTTGTGTGGTTTACAGTAAGATTTTTACTTGTATAAGGGTTAAGAGTAGTTTCTTTAGCTTGTAAATTGCTACTGAGTTTTTAGGAATTTTTTTGTTTTTCTGTGAAAGTTTAAAAGAAATTCAAAAGTACGTTCAACCACGTTTTCTTACAAACTACTCCCTAAAGCCAACTACTACATTACAACCAATGCACGTACAGTTGCTATTTTTTTCTACATCACAAGATGCTAATCAGACACACAATACTAGAACGTATGAACCGGACAACAAATACGGTTAACCTGACTTTTACTCCTCACTTGATTCCGAAGATGACTACCGCTAAGGTTTTCAAAGCGTCAGTCAACAACAACACCAACAGTCCTTCTCAGGACTGGACGATCCTATTTATAAGTACATCCAGCAATACTGCCAGGTTCAAACCATGTAGGTTTTTAGCACGTAGCTGCAGATAACAGACATCAAATCATTTTCCTTAAGACAATACTGTTTTAAATAACGATAAAAAAGCTCATCACCAATTTTACATGCAATATCAAAATTTAATTTACATTTATCATAGTTGCACAGCTATATTGTTGATGTGAAGGCTTTGCATTGTTGTTGGTATAAATACAAGAATTTTTTTTTTTTGTTTTTTTTTCAGAAGAGACGACTAGCAATGCAAAACTAAAGTTTTGATCACAAACAAGAAATAATTTGAAAACGATATTATAGCCCGAGTTAAAATTATAACGAATAACTTACCTGGGAAACTTTCTTTTAGGACCACAACTTCAATGCGCAAGATTTTCCCAATCCATTTTACGTGGGAATGATGCAAGGATTTTGGTGGAGTGTTATAACAATGACAGGTGTTGGGTATGTTCTTTACAGTGTCACATTTTACAACTTTTATCTTGTGTTTTATCTATCGATTAAGAAGCTTTATTAAAAGAAAAATCTTTCTCGCTTTTATTTAAGTAAGTTGAGATGCAAAAATCGTTTTCATGACAGCTGATGTAAAAATGATAGTTGGAAGTAAAGATTAGTTGTGTTCAAGCTATCCAAGTCTGCCAACAAGATAATAAATTGTAATTAATAATGGTAAACTTTCCTAAAATTGTGATTTTAGTCATTTTTAAGAGAATCACGTCAAGTGTTGTTTCAATTCTAATTTCCACATAGTACTAAATTTTCTTTAAAAAAAACAGTTTCTTTATTTAGGCTTACTTAAAGTATGAAATTCTCACATGAAATTTTGCCTATCTTTAGCAACCATTTCCTGGTTTATACTCTTCTATAATTTTTACATGTAGATACGGAGACAAGACAACCAAGGGACCCTTTGGAAGGATAATGGCTGTTTTATGGATAATGATCTCAACAATTTTCGTGTCGCTGTTCACAGCTAATGCGTCTTCAATATTGGCAATCAGCCAGGCAGAAGAGGATCACAGTATTACTCTTGGAAAGAAGGTAGTAAAAAGTTCAACAACTAAATGATCGGAAGGCCTTTGTGCAAAGTGGCATATGCTTGTCTTGGCTTATAAAATATTGATATTGTACCTAAAACACACTGTACATACTGTCTAAAACATGCAAAAATATTCAAAGAATTCTTTAAATGTTTTTTGGTTATGCTCCTCGCTGTAGTTATTTTAGAAAACAGAGTTTAGTATATATAGCTATACCCACCATCACCTAAAGTCGCGTTTGGTGTTTAGTCTTTCACCTGACAGAGTAAATGTATTGTAAATTTCATTCTTTTTTTCAGATTGGTAGTTTCAACAGCAAGCATTTTTTCGAGGATCAATTGAATCTTGGTGGTCAAATGATAAGTATGTTTATAACAAAAGGCTGAAGTTATGCATCTAGAATTATGTATTACACGTTCAATACACTTTACAAATATTGTATATGCTATAACAGTTTAGTGACAAACAAGTTTTTTTTATGACGAAAAATTATAGCTGCCTTGAAGAGAAATTTTGTCATGTAAGCTGACAAACTGACACAAGCCACATGTCATGCATTGCATTTCTTAAAACAATGTTGACAATATAGCTGTATCAATAAAAATATACATGACTTTGTTTGTATAAAGAATGAACAGAATTCTACCCACTAAGTCAAAGAGAATATTTTCATGTTGTATCATAATATTCGCGATAACATGTACCTAAACTGTTTTGAAATTTAAAAAAATTAAAATAGCAAGTTTTCTATCCTAGATCATCCGACTGGAATGAGTATGAGATTAAGTATACTAAATGGAGATACGGATCGAGCAATATTTCCTAATTACCTGGACTTTATTCATGCTTTGACGTTACCGGAATTCAGTTCAATGAAGGATGTCTATCAAATCTCAAATACATTTGACTATCCTTTTCAAATCGGCATGGCGTTTGCTGTTGACCCAAACAACATGACATCGTCTGAACTCGGTCTCTTGACGTGTCTACGGTCTTCCCTTCCACCTCTTGAATTACTGGTAAATATCTACAGAAATTTTGAAGACGTTGAAATGAACGACACAATTTTCTTGACGATAGTTAATACTAAAATATTTTACAGTTATATTCAATCATTTATACATCGTTTGCATAGTGAACGATACAAGAAGTTTGATACAAAATTTTGAATTTAGTACAATTTGGTAATTGTCATTTGTGAATATCTGGTTCACTCTGGTTAAAGAAAATGTTAGGTACAATGCAAATGGTATTTATCACATTTTATTTTGACAGGCCCATAAAAAGAATTGGTTGTAAATAATGTGAATTATTCTCGTGTATCTATTTGATTTTATGAACATACAATACATACGTTATTTAAAAAAGCTGTTGCTCGTACTTTATACGATCTCTTTGTTCTTTTTAATTCAAGCTTCGTCGTCAAATTAATGTCGTCGGACTGCATGATGAATCGATCAGTAAGAAAAAGAAAGTACCTTTGGATAGCAATACCATATTGACTTTAAGTTATTGGTGTTTTCTCATTATTGCTTGTCTTGTGGCCTTCGGACTTTCATATGACTATTGGAACTACAGACGTAGAAATCATACTTCTGAGCATCACATTGGTGATATTGAAGAAAGTGTGATTGAAGGTTAGGTGCTCACTGTATTTTTTCTTCTAAAATTGAGTGCCAATCATTCCTTACCTAAACCTGCAAACAATGACGATTTTGTCTTGGTTAACTAAATCATTCTAGATGTCCTTCATGTATTAAAATCTTTTGCTGAATTGATTATATATGGACAAACTTTATCATTGGTGATGTATATTGGTGTATGTTGTTGAAGGTACGAACGACGAAATAAATGTACAACAACCAGATGTTGAAAACCAGGAAAATGTTCAACCAGATGTTGAAAACCAGGAAAATGTTCAACCAGATGTTGAAAACCAGGAAAATGTTCAACTTTATTGTGCTGAGTCATCACAAAGTGTGAAACAAGAAGCTGTTGATTGTTGTGAAAACAACGTGACTGTGAATGATGAGACTGATGTTCCCCAAGATTCCAACTACTCTCTCCATGAGTAGTTATTGTAGATTGACGTTCGATGTCAGTGTTTTTATTATTTGTTTTTTAACTACCTTCATTTTCTGTAGATTTATTAATTTGATATTTTTTTTTACTTGGACAATTTTTGGTCAAGTCTTCACTCTTTTTGCAGCAGGTATTTTTCATGGAGAATTTTGTATAGTTTTTTCATACTAACAGGATCATTAATAAATAATTTCCTTGTTTATTTAACAATGCAGTGTTTTTTTTCGACTCCTATTAATATGTGTCATGTTTTTTCTTATAAATCAGGAAAATTATCTCTATAAAGGTTTCATAGACGCAAATGTTAATATTTTTCATATGTGTGGTCAAGTCAATAGGAGTTTGGCACGAGAATTATACCATCGGTAGCACCTATACACCAATAATAACTGCTATGGAAGGAATGATTTTTCTCTCTGACATTTCACTTATCGCGAGTTCTTGTAAATTTGATCGATTTGACATTTGATTGATCAATGTTTGTAAAGAGTATTTATCATGTGCCTGCTTCCCAGGCTATCAAGAGCATGCGCTGGAACCTAGCAACCCTGACGTTGGTTGGTGTTAAATATGGCTTCTTCTTATCATGTTTTGGAGCTCATTGGCGAAGGCTCATTTGGAAAGGTTTATAAGGGACGGAAAAAATACACAGGAGAGGTAAATGCTCAGTTACTTTCAAGTTTTGCTGCGCTTTGTGGGAGAAAAACGAGAATATGTTTTGCATGTTTAGATAGTCGCATTAAAGTTCATTGCAAAGAAAGGTAGATCATCCAAAGACTTAACGAATTTGCAACGGGAAATTGATATTATGCGAACTTTACACCATCCAAACATTATAGCATTGCTTGATTCTTTTGAAACAGAAGAAGAGGTAAATATGAACTATGAAGTAGAGTGTTATGATTCTGGTTTATGACTTTATTTGACATCTTTTATGGTGTTTTTTGGGTTTGCTGCAATCCTTAATTTGATATTAGTTAAAAGAACATCTTATAAACGCTGACTCAATGCATTTTACACTTGTATCGCTGGTTGGTTCATAGCATTGTCTTTGACATAGATTATTGTAAACATGTCATTTGTATCTAATCCATACTTATGCTGTTCTGAATTTCAGGTTTGTGTTGTCACAGAATACGCTGAAGGAGAATTGTTTCAAATCTTGGAGGATGATGGCAGTCTTATGGAAGATCAAGTTCAAGATGTTGCTGTTCAACTTGTCAAAGCTTTGTTTTATCTTCATTCTAATCGCATTTTACATCGTGACATGAAACCACAGAATATTTTAATCGGTAAAGGAGGCATTGTTAAACTTTGTGATTTTGGGTAAGAAACATATCATTGAATTGAATTTTATTGTAATGCATCATAGCATCCTCATAAATAATTCATTGTAGCTATGGTATTTGTTCTATAGGTTTGCCAGAGCAATGAGTATCAATACATTGGTATTGACTTCAATTAAAGTAAGTCTATTTTAGTTGAAAGTGGCCAGGAACTCATCCTTTATAATATTTACAACACAATTAAATTATAGATGTGGACTCCTTTATTTGTGCTGCAATATAATTGGTTGATAGAATTATGTATTGTCAGTCAAAATTGGGACAAATTGAAATTATCATTTTCATCAATTTAGGGTACACCACTTTACATGTCACCTGAGCTTGTTGAAGAAAGACCTTATGATCATAATGCTGATTTGTGGTTTGTTTATTTCATTTGTTGATATTTGTACAGCCTATAATGTAGCATTCTGTTTGACTATCAAATAAAATTTAATTCATTAACAATAAGATAATATTTTTAGTTTTGAGATACTTTTTCGTTTCTAAAGGTCTTTGGGTTGCATTCTTTATGAATTATTTTCTGGTACACCACCATTTTATACCAACAACATCTTTCAATTGGTCAATCTCATTTGTAAGGTATGTTTCCAAGTATAGCATTAACTCCTGTAATGTTATGATTGTTGACTGTTATTTTTTAAAGGATAGTGTCAAATGGCCAAAAGAAATGTCACCAAACTTTATGGTTTTTTATTTTGAAATATTTTTTTTCATTTCATTAGTGTGTAAAACAATTGATTTGTGCTATTTTTTAATGTGCAGAGTTTCATTCAGGGTCTACTTACAAAAGACCCGAGAAAACGATTGAGTTGGCCAAATTTACTACATCATCCATTTGTTGCTGCCAACATCTGTGGTATTGAAAATATCTTCACTTGCTGATATACATAAATATATTTTTTCTGGACTGAAAGACTTACAAATGAAAACAATAGGAAGATCTTATAATTTAATTCTTTCAATGTAGAACTTTACAATTTTTTATGAATAATAGTTCAATGTAGGTGTGGATTTTTTTAGTTGAGGAATTCAAAGGTTTACCATTAAGTCCAGAGGAGTTTGGAAAGATGCAGCAGTCTGAGGAGAAAAAGAAACTAGAATTGCAAACAAAAACAGTGAGATGTTTGTTGTCAAGCATGGTCATATCCTTGATTTGCCAATGTGTAAAAATGTGTTTCTCTCTTAAAGAAAAAATCAGGAGGAAAAAAACTGAGTTGGGTTGAAAGACTTCAAAAGCAAACTGAAGAAAAAAATAAATCGTACAATGATCAGAAGGAAAACAAGAAAACAGAGAAAAACTTGAGAGAGAAAAGTCGAAAAAATAAAGGTGTTTAATTAGGGCTTAGCTGGCATATTTACTTTATGTAAGATTTAATGAAGATTGTTTATTTTAGTTGTTAATCATGATAATGAAAAGGGTAGAATCAGTGAGGATTATGACAGAGAAATGGAAATAGTTGGCAGGGTAAAAGAACATCAAAAACAAGAAGTAGTAACATTTAATGTTATAGAACAAGTAAGTTTATCAGAGCTGCTTTATATAATGTCATGGTATATTGTGTTGCACCACAAATCATCTTGTTACACAATGTTACACCATGTTATGCCACATTACATCTTGTTACACATTGTTACATCATGTTAAACTGTATTACAACATCTTACATCATCCTATGCCAGTACATTCAATTTTACACCGTGTTACACACGTGTTAAACACGTGTTACATACGTGTTACACACGTGTTACACATGTGTTACATACGTTTTACACACGTGTTAAACACGTGTTACATACGTGTTAAACATTTGGTAACGTATTGCATGTTTCCAACCATCAAGGAGCAGTAGGTGTTAATATAAACACACAAATTGTTTTAGGACCTAGACAGTGAAGATGAATGGTTAAAACTGGTGGAAATTACAAATAAAGAACTTGCTTCTAGTGAAAAAAATAGTTCGTTGTTAGAAAAACTTTTAGAAGACGACAAACTTCTCGTTAAGTTTAAAACTGATTTTGACAATGCTGCTAGTGATGTCACGAAAGGCGTTTTGGAAGGTGCTTCAAGGTTTCGTCAAATTCTTAAAGTTTTTCGAAATATATTACTTTTACCATGGTAAGTGATTTTATAAATTATTATAAAAGTCAACTATAAGCATAGGAAATTATATTTCTTTGCTACCTTGTATCTAATGCATATCTAAGCTGAGTAAATTCTAAACCTTTTTCCTATAAATGTCCTAATTTAGTGTAGTATCTTGGTAACCGTCCACAACCTTATGTCTTTTATTAGCTCTCCTGTGAGAAAATTAGACTTATGCAATGCCATTCAAGTTCCTGAAAAATGTGTGTTTGCTTTAAATGATCTTCTATCAACGAGGCATTTACAGGTACGTATGTATTTAAAACTTGCAAAAATTTTATATGTATTATCAAAGGTTTGTATAAATATGAATGATGACGTACGTAAATTGTTTTTCGGTTTGTTTTACATAGTTTCAATGGTGTGTGGAGATCTTGATCGACTGCATTTCAATATTTTGGACCTTTTTAGAAGAATGTTTAATGAAAATAACCGATGAAAGGTGAACGATTTCTGACATTTCTTCTAAACATCCCAATCTTTATACTACATAAACATTTTTTACAGGTCGTATGTCACTCTTGAGGACATTTCAACCGTGTATTTGACAGTTTTCTCCCATTTAGCGACCACGGACAGTGATCAACGACTGAGCAACTCTTTACTAAATGTATGTGTATTTTAAATATTTTATCAGAATTTTGTTTTGAACAAAGTTACTGAAATTACACAATTGCTTTTGTACGTATATGTTGTGAAACTCTTATTTTTGTGATTGGTGAGTTGATCTTAATCTTCCTTTTTAAATCTTTTTTTCTTTAGTGTTTTTCTGTTCTGTGTGAAGTCATGGACACTAAAACAAGATCTTTGTCGTCTGATTTCTACGGTAACATCGTTACTACAAATATTAAAGTTCTCGACAATCTTATAGAATCCTTGATTGTAAAAGACCATGGAAGGATAGTTATGGATAATGGAGTAGCTATCACTGCCTTAATTTCTCTTATTTCTCAACATTCGTCAAAGAAAGAAAGCCATAAAGAAACTTTAACTCGACTTTTAGCGCAAAAACTTCTCTCTGAGAAATTTCACGATCATCTGAATAGTTTATCTTTAGTGCAGTACACGAAAGATGTGAAGATCCTCAACTTGTTGTGCATGTTATGCAACACATCAAAAGAGATATGCGTGATAGTTATGGATAAAGAGGAATACACGACTGCTCTGGTAGTGCAGTTTAAAGAACTTGTTTCTCAGTCAAAGAATATCAATGATCATGAAGAATGGATGTTAAATTTTCTTGTGTTATGGTGCTTATTGGACTATCATGGACAAGATATTAATCAAATGTAATAAATTCATTCAAGTTCTCTTTTTTTATTTCACAGCAACGTTTCTTAACGTCTTTTTATCACATTTATATGTTGTATTTTGATCTTTAGGTTCAAATTATGGACAGTAAGTGATTTATACAAATGATTAATGTAAAATTATTCACTATTTGTCTTAGGTTATCTAATACTGCTGATATTTTGTTGGACCTTTTTCTCATCTCTGACAACGTCAACTTTAAAGTGACGTCATCGTATCTCCTTAAAAAAACAATGATGTTACCAGAATTCATTGGGGTCTTCAACCAATCAAAAGACGCAATTCTTGCCGCTTGTTTAACGACAATAACTAGTATGGCGAAGGTCGAGAGAAAAGGTTTTTCAATTCAGTTTTATTATTTCTGCTTATATTGGTATTTTATTTGTAGATGGAGAATTTTTCATATATTGAAATCGGTTTATGTGATGGAATCGTTTGCATTCTAAACAACTTAATGTCTCAGGTAGTATAGTAGTAATAAGTAATTTCCTTATTTCATTTTATCATCTTCGTTTTTTCCATCTGTCAGGAGTCGCATTTTCTAAATGGTAATGATGTTATCTCATATGGAGTTTGGGATGCAATATGGTTTCGTCTAAGTACGACATTGCAGGTGACGCCATCGATGGGAACCATTAGGTATTTTATTAAATGATCTTCAAAAGCCTCAACGACTAACGCCATTTGCCCGTGTACCATTCAATTCAAGTCTATCATTAACTCTCCAAAACATATCAATGTAGTGATGATGACGATGATGGATACGAAAAGAATCACGTGATCTCTTATGAGTGGATCGTCCTTTCTCCAGAAGGTGTTACGATTTTACTACATCTTACTGGCAGAATGATGACTAAGGTATGAGAATTGAAATGATGACTAAGGTATGAGAATAAGAATGTTGGCTAATTTCTTTAATTAATTTTATCCATTAGTATCCACTTTTAACCATCAAAATCTGTTGAATCCTTCCAATAAAACGCTTCATGTTCTGGTCTTGTGGATGTCAACAGAATTTATACTTCTCATGAGCAAAAGGTACGAAGTGTGACATAACTTTATAGCTACATCCCTCTCATAACTTCACATATCTTCTAACTATCCTCAATTGATTGTATTAGAAAATTTCACATCACTTATTCCCTTTGGTATTACAATATTCTCTTGTGCATTGCTTCAGATCAAATCTAAACTCGCTCGCCATGAAAGAAGAGAATGTTATTAAACCGTTTATAGATAAGGTACTCATTTATCGTTATTTGTTGATGTAAAAAATACTGTTTTTGTGGCGATTTTTGTGACGATATTACCATTCCAGATTCTTCAGATATTTTGTATTCCGTTTACAATGGAATTGGATGATTCGATTCTTCAAGATATAAACAGGTAGTAGATATAAATTTTATTCTTTGTTGTCAAACACAATTAAAGTAAATAAATCTTCCATTTCAGTGTGTATTATGAGTTGAATGTTATGGATTATGTTGTTGATGTTATGGCAAACGTTTTGTATCCAGATTATTCGCAAATTGCGTTAGGTTGAATTCAAGCTCATTTTTTTATTCATTGATTAGCTCAGTGAAATGTATTTGTGTTAACAAAAAATATGCAAAATTATTTCTTTTTAGGATTAGTGCTACGACTTGTCTTGAGCGATGTAATGTTTATCGGCCAGTTTTCAAAGATAGTTCAATGTCATAAGGTATTCTGGTATGCAGCTAATATTATGAATAGCAAGTTAAACGACATGATTAGTTTATTGAAAAATTTCCCAGAAGCAATGGTTACTGCGGTCGTTACTCTCTTCAGATCAACCTGACGTGGTTGTCATGGATATGCTATCAATTTTGAGTCATGTAGCAAGGTCCTCTGTTGACCACGTGCAATTTGTAACATCTGTACTTGAGGGCGAGCGAGGTGGGTGAATGTCTAGTAGTTTGGAAAATTTTACATGCGAGCTTTATGTGGGTGAATGTGCAATTTGTACATTGTTACGTGGAGGGCTTGGGTGAATGTGAAATTTGTAACATCAGTACTTGGGTGAATGTCTAGTAGTTTGGAAAATTTTACATGCAAGCTTTAATGTTTTAATGTCTTTTTCAGGGGAATATGATGTGCTCGTACAGTTATTACGTCATAAGAAAGTCATGCTTCGTTCAAAAACATGTGGCATGATGGGAAATTTATTGAAGAAAACCGTTACATTCATCTCCGCTTTGAAAAGGTGCATTTAGTATGTTATTATTTATAAAGTCAGTCTTTTGTTGTTCATGATAAAAATATTCATTTTAAGAATTTCAATACCTCGAAAATCTGTCCATTTTTTGTCGGTCATTTCCGTCCAAAATATACTTTCGAATGTCAGGAAAATAAGAATTAATTATGCAAAAGTATCATAACTTCTTTTTAACTCTGTGTTTTCGTCAGTACTGATTTTCTTTTTTCTGGTGCTCCGTCATATATGACAAAGGAAAAGATTCGTCTTAAACTTTAAAAAAAAGGCTACACTATTCATCACTCATTTAACCCAACAATAGAAACCACACAATAGAAACAAGACAATAGAAACCAGACAATTGTTTCGCACAATGGAAAACTGAATCATGTCTAGGAGATGATTTTAAACCTATTGTACCCTCTCTGACTGTAGACTTGCGTGTAGGCTTCCATCTCTACCATCGTCAAAATTCTATACCATACATTCACATACGTATAAATTGTCTAGATGTAGTACTCCATATTCATCTTTACCATCGTCAAAATTCTATACCATACATTCACATACGTATAAATTGTCTAAATGTAGTACTCCATATTCATCTTTACCATCGTCAAAATTCTATACCATACATTCACATACGTATAAATTGTCTAAATGTAGTACTCCATATTCATCTTTACCATCGTCAAAATTCTATACCATACATTCACATACGTATAAATTGTCTAAATGTAGTACTCCATATTCATCTTTACCATCGTCAAAATTCTATACCATACATTCACATACGTATAAATTGTCTAAATGTAGTACTCCATATTCATCTTTACCATCGTCAAAATTCTATACCATACATTCACATACGTATAAATTGTCTAAATGTAGTACTCCATATTCATCTTTACCATCGTCAAAATTCTATACCATACATTCACATACGTATAAATTGTCTAAATGTAGTACTCCATATTCATCTTTACCATCGTCAAAATTCTATACCATACATTCACATACGTATAAATTGTCTAAATGTAGTACTCCATATTCATCTTTACCATCGTCAAAATTCTATACCATACATTCACATACGTATAAATTGTCTAAATGTAGTACTCCATATTCATCTTTACCATCGTCAAAATTCTATACCATACATTTACATACGTATAAATTGTCTAAATGTAGTACTCCATATTCATCTTTACCATCGTCAAAATTCTATACCATACATTCACATACGTATAAATTGTCTAAATGTAGTACTCCATATTCATCTTTACCATCGTCAAAATTCTATACCATACATTTACATACGTATAAATTGTCTAAATGTAGTACTCCATATTCATCTTTACCATCGTCAAAATTCTATACCATACATTCACATACGTATAAATTGTCTAAATGTAGTACTCCATATTCATCTTTACCATCGTCAAAATTCTATACCATACATTCACATACGTATAAATTGTCTAAATGTAGTACTCCATATTCATCTTTACCATCGTCAAAATTCTATACCATACATTCACATACGTATAAATTGTCTAAATGTAGTACTCCATATTCATCTTTACCATCGTCAAAATTCTATACCATACATTCACATACGTATAAATTGTCTAAATGTAGTACTCCATATTCATCTGGGATGATTAAACGGAAATGAATGTTCTCATAGCTGAGAATACATATTTCCACATTTAAATGCCCAGCTTTACAAAAGTTCCTGTGAAAATAATCATATTTTGGAGAAAAGAAACGTATTTTTGAACCATTGATTGGTTATGGTAAATTTGAACTTTGTAGAAAACCCATCGTAACAGAACTAATAAAATATTTACAACATGAAGACGATGATTTACGTAAGGTGTGAATGTTTATGGATACTGATGAAACTTCATAACTGTCTAGGTTTCTCCTTATTAAATACAATCTTCTCCATTTTAATAGACATCCAGCTACGTCATTGCTAACGCTTTGATTCACAGTGATTCATTGTATACCGTGCTATCACCTAGTATCCCATGTCTTGTACGACTTCTTTCAGATCCACTCATTCAAACAAGATTAAATGCTGCAGGTTTTTATAAAGCTTCTGTCATAGCCATTTAAAGTTGTCAAAGTTACTTGTTGGTGCAGAGCTAGTAAAGACAAATTGAGATAACATTGTGTTTAATTCATTACAGGAGCTCTGGGAAACTTAATACGTCACTCCCCAATACTTTGCCATGAACTCCTTGAGTACCATGCTCCTGAACGGTTTGATGACTTTCTACCAACATTTGCAGAATGTACTATTTGAAATGTAAAATAGTAGCTACACCTTACTTTTCTGTGTTGTTTAGTTTGCTCGAGGTGGCTTGTAATGATAATTCTATTGATGTGAGGGAAGTTGTGCTTGTCTCTCTAAGACTGTTATGTCGAAATTCTTCATGTCGTGAAGTAAGTTACTAATTACTTTTATAGATATTTAGGGTTAGCAGCCGATGTTTTTTGAAAGAAACCTAGGGAGATTGTTCATTGGGTCTTACATGTGAAACAAGACATTAAACCACATCTACAGTACTGTACCTAGGGAGATTGTTCATTGGGTCTTACATGTGAAACAAGACATTAAACCACATCTACAGTAGTGTACCTAGGGAGATTGTTCATTGGGTCTTACATGTGAAACAAGACATTAAACCACATCTACAGTACTGTACCTAGGAGATTGTTCATTGGGTCTTACATGTGAAACAAGACATTAAACCACATCTACAGTACTGTACCTAGGGAGATTGTTCATTGGGTCTTACATGTGAAACAAGACATTAAACCACACATGGTGATAGTATTTGGCTTTAGAAATATTTGCAAGAACTAATTTGTAGGAGTTGTTATCTCCTTAATTGCTAATTTTGTTCTTGTTTTAGAGGCTAATGGTGTTAAATATTCAGCAAATAGTTCAAGGTGTACTGGATCATTTGCAGCAGTCATCAAACAGTCTTCATAGCAGCTACATACCATCTACTCCAAGTTTAATTGCAAATGACGAAAGCAATGCATCTGCGCATTGCTTAAAGATATTAAGGAAATTAAAGACTAATATGGGATAATAGGTATTTGTTCCAGGTGGATTCAGCATCATATTACATACATCATGAGAAAAAACTGCTGTAGTCATTATCAAGTAATCATCATATATGATAAGGTAGCAAAATCTCTATGTACAGAAGTTATTAATTTGAAAGGAACTTTCACTTTGACATATTATCTCCACTGTGTAATTATTTGTATTGTTTGTGTAAAAAAGGTTGTAAAATAATAATTTAAAATACAAAGTTATATAACTGAAAACAGAAGATTTTAAACCTCCAATTACTCAGTCTAATATTGATGTGTATTCAAGTGTCATCATTTTAGAAAAAAAGATCTTTTATTAATCTACTTTCACAGTTGGCGACTGAGGACCTGGATCTTTGTTACATGAATTGAAGAATCTGCACTGGCATCTTGTCATAATACATCCCACTCTTGTTCAAATGCCGTGCAAATCTTTGCACAGGTAAGAGCAGCAGATAAAGGGTAACTACTGATTGCTAAAACTTCCTCCGTATAATCCACTTTAACCTTGAAAAAAAAGTTTTAAAAATGTTGCCATTTGTTCATTGATTGGCATCACATCCTATTTTCTCATAAATAAATTGATTTACTAACCTTGCCATGGGCCATTGCACCAATTACTACAACAACAGGATTGTCTTTTGGTACAAGATCATTCATTTTGACAAGCTTTGTTGAACTATAAGAAGTCCCTGTAAAGAAAAGCGCTTTAGTTTCCTAATTACTAGTCCTGAAATGACTTTTATTGTGGGCACTAAAGTTAAAGCATCTTCATCTCACCATATTTCTTACATCCAGTTGGTAAATATTGTGTCACAGGATTTTTAACCACCTTCAATAACTTTTGTGGACCATTAGACGCATGGATACTTAGCTTATGCAGTAATTGAACTGTAACAAATAATTCATGTTGAATTCTATACTGTAGTATACAATAGCCTTAACAAAATGTTTGCCTCTCCTCCAACCCACCTCCCCACACAATACACACAAAATCATAGTATGCAATTGGTATCCTCCATTACCCATTAATCCACAAAATCTGTCAAATGTTCGAGGAATTCTTGTGTGAGGATTGATCTCAATTAAAACATTTTTCTCAGTGTGGATGTAAACTTGAAGAAGACCAGCTTTGTTCAAAGGACTATCCAACAACATCAAGAGACACTGGGGAATACAGATGAATCTTATTGTTTGTTATTTTGTTAAATATTAAATAGCATAAATTATCAATTTTGATAACACTTTAGTGCAAAACCTGGTGAGTGATATCTGGTCTTACTGATCCAATATCTCGTCCATTTTTCTTTAATATGTGTTTATGTTGGTCACAATTTAACAATTCGAAATTCTTCCCATTCTAGAACAAATAAAGCCATGTGGGAAATGAAGGAAAGCTTGCGCGAGGTTTCAGTCCCGTTCATTGAAAGGCAAGATAAGATTCATGAGCAATGAATTTCAAACAACCTTAACTGTTTCCAGCGAGGCATTTTCCAAAACAACAATTAAGCGTTTCAAAGAGTCTTTTTCTTTCAATGTTTTTGGGATTTTCGAGGTCGTTCATCATCACTTTCCGCCATATTTTTACTATTGTAAAATTGTAATTATGTAATTCGGTATTACGCATTTCCAGTAGTAAAAGTGTTACGTCACAGTTAAATAGACCAATGGTCAACTAGTGCTATTCTCTAGGCCTTAAGACGCAAGCGGGCTGCCGGTGTAAAATACATAATCACTGCCAAACATAATACATACCATGAATATTGTCATTAATTCTGTGAACAAACTGCTCAAGGGGTGATAACTACAACAACCAACAACTAGCAAATTGTAATCAATATTGCCATGGAAAATCTTAGTTTCCATGTAAATTGGTTTAAGATTTGTATCTTTTCTGCTATTTGTTTTATACTAGTAAACAAATATGTTGTGCTGTTATTTCCAGCGCCACCAAAATTTATTGATAAGTGGAAGAAAATTTGGCTTTGGAAAAATATTTTGACATCGTTCATTCATTCGTGTTTGAGCTCAGCGCTGGCCTTTTACAGGTATTGAACTCCGATTGGTTTTTGAAAATTGAAAGCCATTGGAAAGGCAAACGTTTTGTTTTGCATCGTGGAATATTGCTAAGAATTGGGCATTTTCAATTCTATTTCTGTAGCTTGTACTCTAGTCCCGCTATGCTCAAGGATATGCTGTACACATGGAACTCTTTAGCGTATTGTACACTCTCTCTATCAATGGGTATGTATTATGTATAATATTGATGAAGGCTCCTATAGCATGAAGCTTTCGTCTGCAAGTTATGTTTGACGAAATGACCTTTATTTCTTCAATAAAGTATCTATATAAACTGCGGAATTAAAACATGAAAGTGAAATTGAAATTGCTGGCGCGAAACTTTTGTCGTGTTTATCATTGGATAATACTTACAAGATTATTTTATGTTTTAGGTTATTTCGTTTATGATCTGATGAACTTAATCATCAATGACTTAGGGAGAGGTCTTTGTGTTATCATACATCACATTTTAGTAAGTAAAATGATGTTAAAGTAAAATTAAAAATAACTAAACATATCATTTAACGATTAGTTTGAGTTTAAATTTTATTGCAAAAGCAATGATGCAAGAACGTAGCTATTTTTAACTCTCTCGCATCAATTGGTGCGTATTTGCATTTTTAAATGGGAGTTTGTGATTTAAAAATTTAGCTATGTATAATGTTATTATTATATTTGAGAGTATAAAAACTGCACAATGTGATGATTGAACTATATCAATTAACATTTCAAAATTAGACTTGATTTCATTATTCAGCTCCAATAAACTTCTTCCATGTTGTCTTAAGCAAATAGAAATTCTTGAATATTTTTGCCTGACTAACCATATGTTTATTTTAGGTCATATTCATCTTCTATTTAAGTGTTTCACACAAGAAATACATTCCTTTTGCTTTATGTGCTCTTCTCATGGAGATAAACAGTATATTTCTTCATTCTCGACGTTTATTGAACATGACTGATGCAGACCCAGATGGTTTAGCTCTCAAAGTTAATCGTATTCTACTCACAGTAACATTTGTCATATTTCGGCTTGTTGCTTGCAGTTGGATGGTCACTTTTATTGTTGCACAGAGACATTTTATTAGCCAATTGCATTTTCAGTTTGGAATATTAGGTATGAGTGTGGTTATACCACAAAATATGTTTTTACTTAAGCAAGTATGGACAAGTGATGCCAAAAGGATGAAACAACTGAGCCAAACAGAAATTGAAAAGGCAAAGGAGCAAAATGTAAATAACAATAGCCGTTTAGCAAAAGTGAAACAATTTCTTCAGATGACAATTGATCGTAGTGCAGAATAATAATACGAAAAGTATTTTCCCTCTATATGCTCCAGGTGGAAATCTGACACTATATTTCTTCTCATATTTCCATCATTTGATGGTTAAACTTTTCAAACTTCCTTTATTTTTAGTATGAAATACATTCAACAATCATTACAACCATAAATTGTTTTTCTTAAGGAATTTTTATGGTGTGTATAACCAATGGTATTACCTTTATTTGATCTGTCTCAATTTTAGCTTTCCATTTGATTTTTGCATTGCAGTGTTTTTGTATAAATGTGAACTAAGGTTTATTTAACACACCATTTTAATCCAGTGTGTTGAAATTCATTAAAAAAGTCAAAGGATTTAAAGTAGTTTATTTACCATTCTTTGTTCACTCACTTTTGAATAATTGTCACTCTTAGCTGCAGTTATTGTAAAATGTGTTTGTTCGATCTAAATGTAACGCTTTCTTTCCTGATGACTTTATTACTAAAGCTGAATTAATCTGCAAATGGCTTTAGTGAGTTGTTAATATATTTACGACGCTTAACATAGAAAGAAACTGGTGAAGTCCTTATTTTATCATTTTGAATGATTGATAAGAGTCAAGTTTTGTTGAAGCTTAGGCTTATGCATGTTGTGGCAATTAAGCCAATTATTCACAAACCGTAAACTTCAAAGATTTGTAAATACGACATATTTTAAAGTATCTTTCCAATGTCTACTGAAGAAAGTCATCAACATTTAAAAGATATTGGTGCACAAACTACGAAAGAGGATCTTATAGAGATCTATAAATCGTGGAGCAACACATACGATAAGGTAATGAATTAAAAATAAGCAGACAAAATACATCTTATAAACTCAAATATATGTAATAACTAAAATACCATTGAACTGTAATATTTTGGTTTTATTTCAAAGTCATCATTCATTAATAATGATGATCATGTCTGGTGATCGTTTTGAAATAAAACCAAAATGAAACATTACAGTTTCCAAGTTTCAATGGTAGTATGGTATCTTGGTTGGTTATAACTTAGAATATTTTTTACTTCAAGACTTATTTTTTTAATTCATGTTGAACTTTATACTTTATGAAATTGTCCTCTAGTCAAAGGTTACGGTATTAATCTTGATGCAATTTCTTCTTTACTGCTTTGGTGGTTGGCATTTTATGGTGTTGATGACTTTAGACAATGCAATAATTTTTCTTCCTAAGGATGTGACCAAGGACTTGTTATATGTGGCACCAAAACTTGCAGCGGAAGAACTGTGTAAGATTCTTGATGAGCGTGGGGTGTCTAAAGTCACTGCTGAAGTCATTGATTTAGGATGTGGCACTGGTTTGGTAGCAGAGCATTTAAAGAAACTTGGTTGTGAAGCTGTAGATGGTTTGGACATTAGTCCAGAATTACTGAAAATTGCCGAAGAGAAAAAATTATACAGGAGATTGTTTCATGGCTATATGGCATCAGAAAACTGTGAAGACCTTGGTTTAGATGCAAACCAATATGATGTTGCTATTTGTGTAGGTGTGTTCACAATAGGTCACGTTAAAGGAAAAGGGTTTGATGATCTTGTTCATGTGGTTAAACCTGGAGGTATTGTCTGTTTCACTATTAGAGATTGTGTATCTAATGATCCACAATATGAATATGGTGAAAAAATGGAAGCACTTTGTAAAAAGAAGAAATGGAAGTTGGTGAGCAAACATCATATTGTTTATCATCAAATAAATCACTTCAAAAGTTGGCTGTATTTTTATGAGATTTTGTGATATTATTTTATGAAAAGAAATGTACATCTTTTATATATCATTGTCATAGGTTATTGCTACTTATGTAATAACTTTTCTATCTCAATGTAAATTGTTTGAAGTTCTTGCAACTTTGGCATGGTATTCTTGAAAAAAAGGATGGACAGTGTTACTTCTGTAGTTATATTAAAAATCTGGTAATTATAAAGAAAAAAATTGTTACCTGGAAGAGTGGCATTAATTTTAGACTACCAACATCATTGCATTTTTTTGTTTGTACTTTTGGGTGAATTAATAATGCCAAATAAAAAAGAACTCTTTGCTATGTAAAATAAGGCATCATTAATAATGTATAATTTACCATAGCAAATGTGTACCAAGATAGACCTACCATTTTGATAGCTTCATTTATTACAGCATCTTCAATTTCATCAAATTCAAAAAAATCTTTACTTTCTTTTCCAATACGATCTCTTGAGCTGAGTTGGATGCCAAAGCCATCAATCATGTCAACTGATTCTGTAAATATGAAATAATCCTGACAATTCTAAGTTACTTTCAAATTACATTTCTTAGAACAACTTAACAAACCTTCAACAATATCAGAGGTGACACAGTGGAATGCTGTAAGAACAATGCATATGATAAAAAGCAGCAAAACTCCAGTTATGGGAATGTATTCAAAGCAAGTCTATAAAAAGAATTTTTTTTTAACTTCAAGAAGCTACAGCTGTATTTTTTACTAATTTCATTTCACATTGATTGCGTTTAACATCCTATTGCCACGTAAAAACTATTATAATTGTAAATACGTACCTGAACAAATAAACCTAACGTGAGTAAAATGCCAAGAAACCGCCATAGATACTGAAAGTAGTTTATTTCAAACGACTGATGACAAACTTTCGGAGTGTAGTGCCCAATGAAATAAATTTTAGGTTAATTTCTTCTCCATAAGCGTTAGTAGTTGTTAAAATTCGATGAGTATGCATAGCTAAAAACTGGGCATGCGTTGTTTACATAAAATAAAATAGACTTTGATAAAATATTGTGAACGTAAAAGTTTACAATATATGCATTTATAATATGATTTTTGTGTCCAAAATGAACCTCGTTCTTTGGTTAGGCATAAATTCTTTAGCCCAAATGAGTTTTCTTTAATCTCAGTAGATAGCATTGCTTAGTAACATCAATGCTTGTGGTGGGTGTGATATATGGGACAATTCAGTTTCCGTTTCTTGTGGAGAGTTGTTTTGATCAGAGTATTTAAACACTTACTGAACTATTTTGAATGGCTAAAGATGAGCAGGTTTTTATCACCCAGGCCTTCTTCAATGCATGAAGGTCAAAGATCCGAGAAAGATTGGGTATGTTTGTTTGACTTTAATACTTCAGATTTTATGTTTTACAATTGAAGTGTATTAACATACATATATGTTGAAATGATTTTCCCCAATCAGTTCTTCGAGTTCAATATTGATATTAATTATCTTAAGAATCTTTACCATTAAATTTAAAAACCTTAAGGTTAGGTTTAGTTAAATAACTATGATTGATGTGCAGTTAAAGCTTTCGAAAAGTTTTAACGCCTTTTTGTCAAGCACCGTGTAGTTTGAAGTGCCCAAATTCATTTTATGTATTTATGAACTATTTAGTAGTCGTCGTAAAAGCAACTTCTGAAAAACTCTCGTTGACGGTTTTTTTACCTTGGAGATTTGAATGCTGGTCCACATTGCGTAAAAAATGATATTTCAGGAAAAGAGAAAACAATAGGAATAATGAAATTAATTACATTGCCAATTATCAATGCGTTGCAATATGTCATTTTAAATTTGGCTATAATTTTAGGCAGAGCATCTTAGCAAAGCTATAAATACGTCAGAAAATGCTGTCAAAGAAAAACATCTAAGAAATATCCATTTATTTTTCTTTAACTGATTATGTATTTTTTGAATATAATTTTACACATTTTTGTTCATCATCCTTGACCCTACTAATGTACTATTATTGGAACATGGGAAGAAAATGGATCAAGTACATTCTGGGCATGCCTTAAAAAGATGAATATTTCAGCTAATGCTATAATGTCTTGGAAAGCCATGACTGTCATCTTCAAACTTTTAAGAGAAGGCCATCCTAAGGTTTGCTTCATTTTCATTTTACATGTTTTGTGTTTCTGCAGATCCAGAACACCTTGATCATGAAGAAACTAGCTAATTTTTTTTATATTCTTTATGTGTTTTGATAACTACATCTAAATGTTTGTCATAAAAACCAGCCATGAAACTTGCAATCATTGACGATAAGTATGAATTTCCTCTCTTTGATTAAAAGGTTTTGAAAGAATCCGAATCTGAGAAAGTTATGTTGACGGAAATGTGTAATTACTGGGTAAGTATTCAAGCACAATTATATGGTATTAAAAAGTTTTTTGTAACATATCTTACTAGCAAAAAAGCATGTTAAGAACAAAGAATGCAAAGTTTATGAATTACATGATATAATCAACAGTACACTATGTATATCTCTTCAAATTTACATTAATGTCCTCAGTGGCAGATCTAAGGAAGATCAAAATGACATGTAGAAGCTCAATTTAAATTCAAAAGATTTTTTACCCATGCTTTTGGTTAAAAATTGTAAAGAATATTTAGAACTAAAAGACTCCCAAATAGATTCGCTCCAAAGTAATTTTAAACAGAAAGATATTTTCAGTTATGTATTTTGACCAACCCTGGATTTGTTACTGAATATCCGTCATCAACAAGGCTGTAGTAATTGAAATACGTTTATTACATTGTGTTGTTTATAGTTGTATTTACGTACTTTTAGAAACATTCACAGGAAGGAAGTTATGGAAAACTGACACATCTATTCCTGGTGATCATATTGAAGAAATTAGCATTTCACAGCAAAGTACAATTACGTCTTTACTTCATTTGTTTTCAAATTGAAAATATGACATTGAAACATAATTATTTAATGACAATTTTTACAGTATGATTATATTCCTGGAACAATCCAACCTGGAAATTCAGATGTTATAAAATACCCAACAAATGATAAAAATTATTTGTAAGTAAAATAAATTATACATTGCTACATGGTAGTTGAAATTTTCAAATGTTTGCTTAAATATTCATTCATCAATTTTTTTAAAGTTTTGAGTTAGTGATAGATATATTTGATCAGCTGGACGGATGTTTGGACTTATTTGATTCAGGTTGAGCTATTTTTTATAAATTTGCATTTTGTGTTTGTTTGTATTCTTTGATTTGTTGATCTTAAATATATTCTAGTGTCGAAAAGCCTCAATCCTTATAAATCCAACTCTCAGATTCAAGCTGTTCAATGTAGAATATGTTCATTTCCAATGTTAATACAGGTGTGAAAAAAATGTCCTCAATTAAGCTTTTGTGAAAAGCATGATAATGATTCTATCCTAATCATATCTGGGATCCTGTTAAGTCTTATTCAAGATCCTGTAGGGTCTTATAGGATCTTTTAGGATCCTGTAGGATCTTGTAGGATCTTACTCAGGAATTTTACCATGAAAAGATTATATACCAAACTGTATAAAATATTGTTCGCTAAGATCAAATTAAATTCTTTTTTGTTCTTTATTCTTTAGGAATCTAGCGCATTTTACAATTTATCTGTCGAAATGATGTATAAACTACACAAAAGTAAGTTTGCCTGTACTTATAGTAATTTATGTAACAGTAAAACCTCTAAGATGATTTATCTTTCAATCATTTTTACTGATTAAATTTTTTTTTTAGAACTAATGCATGACATGTTGACTGGTCATCGTAATAGATTTTATCCTATGTTTCAACGTTTGAAGAAATTTTTCTTTGATGCAAGAACTTTGACATACGTCACTGCTTTGATAAATGTCCCAGAATTACCATATGTATGTTCTAATGCATATATATGTACATAAGGCTGATATTGTTACATTGAAAATATTAATAATTTTTTCAGGATCCCCCTACATTTGTTGGTACTGAGCCAAAACCTGTTGAAGCACCAAAACCCATTAAACAGGTTGAAGATGAACCTCCATCTCCTCAACCAGATGAACGGTCTGTTAAAGCATACAATATTCAGCATTAAACATAGCCCAGACATCTAGCCCAGGCATACAGCCCAGACATACAGCCATACAGCCCAGACATACAGACCAGACATACAGCCCAGACATACAGCCCAGACATACAGCCCAGACAGACATACAGCCCAGACATACAGACCAGACATACAGCCCAGACATACAGACCATATACAGCCCAGACATACAGACCAGACATACAGCCCAGACATACAGACCAGACATACAGCCCAGACATACAGACAGCCCAGACATACAGACCAGACATACAGCTCAGACATACAGCCATACAGCTCAGACACAGACCAGATATACAGCCCAGACATACAGACCAGACATACAGCTCAGACATACAGCCCAGACATACAGCATACAGACCAGACAGCCCAGTACAGCCCAGACAGACATACAGACCAGACATACATACAGCCCAGACATACAGCCCAGACATACAGACCAGACATACAGCCCAGACATACAGACCAGACATACAGCCCAGACATACAGCCCAGACATAGACCATACAGCCCAGACATAAAGCCCAGACATACAGCCCTAACATACAGCCCTAACATGCAGCCCAGACATACAGCTCAGACACACAGCCCAGACATACAGCCTAGACACAGACCCAGACATACAGACCAGACATACAGACCAGACACAGCCAAGACATACAGACCAGACATACAGCCCAGACATACAGCCCAGACATACAGCCCAGACATACAGCCCAGACATACAGACCAGACATACAGCCCAGACATACAGCCCAGATATACAGCCCAGACATACAGACATACAGCCCAGACATAAAGCCCAGACAACAGCCCTAACATACAGCCCTAACATGCAGCCCAGACATACAACTCAGACACACAGCCTAGACATACAGACCAGACATACAGCCCAGACATACAGCCCATACAGCCCAGACATACAGACCAGACAGCCCAGACATAGACACAGCCCAGACATACAGCCCAGACATACAGACCAGACATACAGCCAGACATACAGCCCAGACATACAGCCCAGACACAGCAGACATACAGACCAGACATACAGCCCAGACATACAGACCAGACATACAGCTCAGACATACAGACCAGACATACAGACCCATACACAGACATACAGCCCAGACACACAGCCCAGACATACAGCCCAGACAGACATACAGCCCACAGCCCAGACACACAGCCCCATACAGACCAGACATACAGCCCAGACATACAGACCAGACATACAGCTCAGACATACAGACCAGACATACAGACCAGACATACACCAGACATACAGCTCAGACAGACACACAGCCCAGACATACAGCCCAGACATACAGCCCAGACATACAGACCAGACATACAGCTCAGACATACAGACCAGACAGACATACAGCCCAGACATACAGCCCAGACATACAGAGACACACAGCCCAGACATACAGACCAAACATACAGACCAGACATACAGTCCTGTCACACAATTTTTTTCTATTAGAGATAAGCTGATTGAACAGTTGATTGCGCAGGTGAAACATCTTCAAGAATTGTTGCAAAGTGAAAGACAGAAGGTAAATTTTTTCAAACATAACTGCGAACTAAGGAGCGAACAAATTCATCAGGATTTTTATAAAACACTCAAGGTTCTTCATAAAAATTAATTTTTTTATCGATATTCGACTCTGATTGGTTGGTTATGACGTTATTACCGTATTTGTTTGAACAATTACTGCGGTAATCATTTCTCTACCTTTATGACTTTAAGACAGCGAATATCGTCATTTGAACCGTAGTCTGACCATTGATAAACAGTGAACTTCCATTAAATGTTTAAGCGTTTCATTTGGATAACGGAGCTTGTCTGAGAGCGCTGCTAGTTTAAACAAGTTTGGAATGCCACATTTTTTCAGTTGTGGAACGTTGCATTTTTCTTGCAAATAAATGATTGTATTACATTTTTTGGTATATTTCCATGTTTTGCAACATGATATTAATGAATTCTGTGTCAGTGTGTGCGTATTGCTTTGATTTTTTCATTGCAAGAGTCTTGCGTATGTTGTGTCTGCAGTTCAGTTTTCTATCTTTAGTCAAAAGAAATGGAGAACGCACTGCGTATGAAAATATCAGAGGTACGTATGGACTCAGCAACTCTTGGTTCTTGGTTCAGTTGCTTCGTCTCAAATATCATGTTGGGAAACATCTGAAGATTTGTGTCATGCGTTTTTTTCCAACTTTTAGCTTTCTGCCGAATTAAACGAATTGCGCGAAAGTAATGAGCAATTGACTCAGGAGAATCATGAACTGCACTCTAGATTGCAGGAAGATTTGAAATGTAAATATCAAACGAAGCTGTTGTATTACTAATTATTATTAGCTTGAACAAAATTGAGCCATCGTTGCATACAATGAGTGTTTAGTGATGTAGACATAGTTCACATTGCATGGCTATAACCAAATCTAGTGACTTTTACATAGTTCAAGATGTAGCTCGATGTAGATGGAAAAGTCGATCTAAATCAACATGAAGCGTCTTTCTCAAGACTCCACTATCTTCGACAATGTACATCTACAAACTTACAATGATATATTCCTGTGTTCAAGCCATTGTTATTATTTGTTTCTATAATTTCTATAAATATGTTATTCTTTATATATATTGATTTGTATTTAATTAGTATTAGAACAAGGCAAGCCTACGGAAGAGAAACTTAATAAACTAAAACAGATGTACTCTAAATTACGGACAGAACATGTTCAGCTCTTGCGAACTGTAAGTTACGAAATGAATTTATAAATTTAAGCATATTTGGTAAAGAAAAGGCGATGATTTTTTATTACAGAATGCAGATGTGAAGAAGTCTTTATCCACAGTAGAAAAGGAGAAAAAGGTAGCGTTGCCATTGCAAGAAAGTTTGTACTTTGACAAAATATGACATGTGTTACTGAATTATTTTCTTCAAGGAATTACACGAAGACTTAGCTAAAGTACAAGAAGAAGCTGATGAGACAGTGAGTTTATTTTATAGAAAGAGAATATGTCTTTACGTTGTTCACTAAGTTATTGAATTTTTTTATCTTCTTAGTCAAAAAACTTTTGGAAACTTCCCAAGTGGTTGAGACGACACAAGATGCTCTGAAAGTGAGCGTGTATTTCTCTCCTCTGTCTTATTCGTCTTTGGTAAAAATGTTGGTTTTTTATTTAAGGAAGCCGAGGCAACAATCATTCAACTAAAACAGACGTTCGAAGAAAGAGAAACAGAAATGAACAATCGACTTACTGAAGTAACGAATGCACAACGAGAGACTGAAGAACAAAGAAAAGTTGGTGATTTTCTGCTTAAATAATTATTGATTAATTTATATATTCTTCACGTCCATTTTATTGAACGAGTTAAATGAAGCTACAAATATAATCACCAGCAGTTTTGATGCCTTTTCATTTTTCTTTTTCCTCAGTGAAACAAATCATTTTATCAATGTGAAGTTTTTTGTGTATTTATATTTAGGTGGACGAAGAAAAATTCTCAGGACTTGAAAAATCTCTAAGTGAAAAGGTGCGTTAATGTGAAAGTGATGATTACGGAAACCATTCCTAAGGAGTTTCATCGTGTTTTAGTTTAAACATCGTCTAATATACCATGACAAATCATTTTAGATTGATTAATTTTTTTTCGATAAGGTTTCTGTCTTGGAAAGTCAACTTGTTGAAATGACGAAAAACAGAAATGATGAAGAAGCTCGTCGCAAATTAGCGGAGGAAACGATCGAGAAAATAAAACAGGAATCGAAAGATAAAGTATGAATATTTTGTTAAGTTTTTTGCTCATTTTCATATAAATGTCCTTGCTATTATTGTTTCCATCATGAACAGCAAGATGAACTGGGTGATTTGTTGGCAGCTAAAACACGGCATTATGATGAAGCTGATTTAAAACTAAAGGTAAGTTTAAAGTTTTGGAGATTTAAAAATCATGTTAAATTGTAAATATAGCATAGCTAAACACCAGCAATGTGTACAACTGTGTAACTGTGTGTATTACCGTGTAACTGTGTGTATTACCGTGTAACTGTGTGTATAACTCTGTGTAAATGTGTATTACCGTGTAACTGTGTGTATTACCGTGTAACTGTGTGTATTACCGTGTAACTGTGTGTATTACCGTGTAAATGTGTTTATTACCGTGTAACTGTGTTTATAACTCTGTGTAAATGTGTGTATTACCGTGTAACTGTGCGTATAACTCTGTGTAAATGTGTGTATTACTGTGTAACTGTGTGTATAACTCTGTGTATTTTTTTCGAGGATCATGCACCTAAATTGGATTAATGAAAAATAATAAAAGCTTTTCAATTGTTTATTATTACAGGCGTCGCTGCAAAGGTCTTCCGAGTTAGAACAGACTTTAAATCAAAATGTACAGCTATGTTTTGTCAGATTTTCCTGTCTGAAATCCTTGAAAATTACATCTAATCCTTTTTTTTTCTGCAACTTTTACGCTAGGCGAGTGAGTTGGAACTTAAACTGGCTGAGATTGAACAATTGAAAAAGGATGCCGACAGAGAACGAGAAGAAAACAGGAAGAAAATAGAAAATTTGATCAAAGAACACAATGAAAAGGTTCAAATCGTGACTTTTTACTATGTTATTCAAGAGATAATAAAAGTTTATACGTTGTCAATTTTCAGCTTGCAAACAAGCAGAATCAGAACGAAATGGACAAACTTGAAAACAATCGACGTCTTTTAGGTAGGAGATCTAATCAGAAATGTAGAAGATGTCGATAAAGGATTATTTAAGATTTGATTTCTATGATCGTTTAGTGGCATCTATAGAAGGGTCAATAATGATTGTTGAAGAAACTTTAAATGAGTTTGAAAATCCAAAAAACTCTGGAACAACATGCACAGCAGGTAATTGTTGTGTTATTCATTGTTATTCATGTATTTTTATGGATTACTGGGGGTATTCTTCAACTTCAATTTATAATATTTTTCATCTTGCGCTTGTACTATTTATATGTGCTATTTATTTTAGAGTATTTAGTTGAACGTTTGTCCGGTTTTGGGAAATCTTTCAATAAAACAGTTGATGGTTACAATTCATATCTTGATAACAAGAATGGCAAGTGAATTAATTAAAAAAAAATATCATAAAGATTTTTCGAAAACTTTAAGGTGCTTCTTTTACAGATGTCGATTCCTTTTTGTCGTCAATAACCCCATATACACATCTACTTAGCGAAGGTATTTTGCTTGGCAAAGCAACGTCTCATATGGCACCAAAAGAGGATGCTGAGGGTAATGTTTGAATTCAAAGGATTGATTAGAGGGTGTTGGAAGGACTTATATACTATTTTATTGTTTTAGCTCTTGTAGAACATTGTCGCAACGCTGGAGAGAAAACGTTACAATTGTTTCTAATGATGAAGAACACGGACTCAAGTAATACATTAAATTTTGGCACTGCAATGATGTTGATGATGGCAACACACGTTTGGTCTTTATGTTTGTTTATGTCTTTATTTTACAGTCGACTCTAATGCAAAAAAAAGCAAAGAAGAAGAGGTTAAAGAGTCCATACAGAAGATTTTAGAAATTGGAAACGTAAGTCGCTATTTCTAAAGTATTTTTTCTTTCCGTACTCGTGCGTGGATCATGTTTGATTCTTGGTTTTTTAGAGGCTTATACCTAAGGAGGACGAGAACTTAGATAGCATTGATAATGCTGTTGAAAATGAAATTAGTTCAACTGCAGAGGTAAGAAAACGCGTCTTCTCACGAACTGATATTTTCGCTGTACGTTCTGCCCTATTTAAAGCGCTTTGCTTATTTTTTGTAGCTTGTTGCTGACGCGGTGTCTAGAATCGAGGTTGGTTCGTTTCCAATTTGATTTTTTTCCCTTCAAAACATTCAAAACAATCGTTTTCCTTTTTCAAAGGAAATGCTGAAAAATTCCCGACAGGCTGATAAAGGAGTAAAACTTGAAGTGAACGAAAGGTGTCACCACATTTTGACTTCTTCGACGTCCGTGCTCAAAGCTGCAAAATTGTATTGAAATTATTTTGTGTTAACAGAATTCTTGACTCCTGTAATGCGTTGATGAGAGCTATTCGTTTTCTAATTTTGAAATCCAAGGAACTGCAGGGCGAGATAGTCCAAGAAGGAAAGGTGGAGACTTATGACGCTTTCTTACATCAAAACACACACACTTATCATTTGTGTTTCTATGTTAGATGTTACATAAAGTATTTTCTTTATAGGGATCAGCTACTGCTAAAGAATTTTACAAGCGCCATCACCGTTGGACTGAAGGGTTGATTTCGGCCGCAAAGGCTGTTGGTTGGGGCGCAAAAGTACTGGTGTAAGATTTATAGTATTCCTGCGTAGGATGACATCATGCTTGCCTAAATATACAACATCTTGTTTCCATAGTGACGCTGCGGACAAAGTTGTGAAGGAAGGAGGGAAGTTTGAAGAACTCGTTGTTGCTTCCAATGAAATTGCTGCAAGTACTGCTCAATTGGTAAGCACTTATTAATAAATCTTTTCTTTGACTCTGGACAGTATCCTTCGTAAAGAATTCCTGAAAAAGTTAATTTTTATGCATCAGTGTATATAAAGATGACTGTTTTAAGCAAGTCATTAGTTCCAGCCTATTCTTCCTAGTTGTAAATTTTTTTCGTTTTCTTTTCAGGTTGCAGCATCTCGTGTAAAAGCCTCACCAAGAAGTGTTAAACTTTCTGCTCTTACAACGGCATCAAAATCAGGTAAATGTCACTCTTGTTTCTTCTTCTACTTCCACTCTCTTTACTTTTACATAAATCAATAAATGATGATTGTTTATCTCTTAGTTGCCGAGGCAACCGGTAAAGTGGTGGCATCGGCGAAAACTGGTTCAGAAATGATCGAAGATAGTAGTAAGTGAATGGGGGTGGGGAGGTGAATTACCATTAATTTATTGTTGTTTACTGGAATGTTTTGTCAACTTTACTGACATAAGTTGATGTAATGATTATTCATTCTTGAATGTGTTATTCTTTCTTTTAATTGTGTTGTTTGTATCTATAGAAACTGTTCCAGATTATTCAAAGCTCAGTCTAACGCAAACAAAGAGACGGGAGATGGACTCGCAGGTCAGTTAATATTGATCTTATGGCTCCTTATGGATCATAATATAAGCACTTAAATCACTTTCTAGGTTCGAGTTTTGGAATTAGAAAGTCAGCTTGAAAAGGAACGCAAGAAACTTGGAGATCTTAGAAAGGCACATTATCAATTGGCTGGAGCTAGTGAGGGATGGGAGGAGGTAATAACCAATAGCATGCAGTGAACCCTCCAAGGATGGCAAGCCACTAGTGAGGGATAAGACCCACCACCACACTAGTGATGGATGGGAGGAGGTAATAACCACTAATGAGGGTTGGGAGGAGATAATAATAATCCGTTGATATTGTTAATATGTCTATGTTGTGATGGATTACTTACTAGTGAATCCTGTGATCTAGTGATGGATAGGAAATGTGAATGAAGGAGTGATGGATCATGAATGGAGCTTGTGTGTGGTTGTAGAATCCACTAATGAGGGTTGAGAGGAGATAATAATAATCCGTTGATATTGTTAATATGTCTATCTAATGTGATTTTTACTTTTTATATGAATTTTCACAAAAAATCTGTTCTTTTTAGGACGAATCAAAATAAGCAATACTACGAGTATTCATAAAGCTTGTGGTTTGTAGAATCAGTTGAAATTCTTGATATTTATTTTTCTGTAATTATCTTTATTCTGACGTTATCTGTAACGTTGTTCACAAGTTGTAAAGATTTTTGGAAATCGTATTTAAATCTACACAAAATTATTAATAATTCTTGTTTAAAACTTCGTACCTATATTACTGGAGTGAAAAATAAGATCGTCAAAATTGAAAACTTGATTGCATTTAAACGTTTTGCAAGTAAGAACCACTATGACGAAATACGTATGAAGATATCTTCATTAAATATCCGGGTTGAATTTCAAATAAGGGCATATTCCTGGAAAACCGCCTTTTTTCTTTTCTTTTTGCTGAAATACGTGTCAACCGCCTCAACAAGATCTTTTTCTAAGTTCGATATTTGCCCACTCGGGGATAAATTTAGGCATTCCGTGTCTCTGTGCCTCTTAAAGATCACTTCTCTCGACCAATGAAATTGCTTGAATTCTTAACATTATGACGTTGTGTGACGTTATTATCACTGAAGCACCGATATTTTAGGACTGGTGTATCGTAGCCTGCATACGGGTTGTCTCCAGCTGTTATTTGAAAGGCCCACTTGATGTTGATAATAAATACTGAACGCAAGTTCTGTCTTTTCTAATATTATATTAATATCTTACTTTCACATTAAACTTTTTTGAATCGAGTACAAGGAAATGGGGAATTGCCATACTGTTGGACCTAACGAAGTCTTGGTAATTTCAGGTTTGAACTTTTAACGTTGAATTTGAATTGAATTCTCAAATATACTGCGTTTGTATAAAATCTTTGTACATGATGAAACTGTGATCGGTATGTAGATATTGTGAAATTTCGCATCTTCAACTGTTGCTTAATTTTTTTTAAAGCATTGCTTGTGCAAACAAAATTTGACAGCTCGATTATTTCATACGGCTGTATTTTTTAGGAGAGTGTTATGTTTTTATATCATAAACATAGTATACATACACATAGATTTCTTGCTTGTTTGCATTAAAGTAGGATTTATTTCTTGTCTAAAATTTCCAATATCTTACCATCAAAGATTTTACAAAGTGATAAATCAATTTACTGTGTGATTATATGCTTGATTCCACAAGTTCCGTATCAGATATTTAATTATCCCGTCTTTGTCTTTCAAAATGTCAAGTATGATTGTCATGTTACTTAACAAAATAAAGACTGAACTGATGAATAATTCGCAGCTTGTTAGATTATTTTCGTATAAGTATTATTAAATATGCCAGATGCAAACCACAATATTTTTTGTGTTAACTGAATATTTTTGGTTTCAATAAAATGGGGTTTGATAAATTTTCATAATCATGATTATTGTCTGCTACAAATTATTTGTCCAATAATAAATGATAAAAACCTGTAGCAACCATAGCCTAGAGATACTTCTGCAGTCATACCAAATGAACTTATTGTTGATATAGTCCAGCAAGTTCAATGTCAATTTAATTGATATCCTAAAGTCATCTTTAATGCCTGTTATAAAATTACTATGTATTTATACGAAATATTGTTTAACATATAGTGAATAAACTTTTCATGTTTTTTAAGGTGGATGCTGCCAGGGAGGTGAAACAAAACCAAAGCTTATTGTTGGAGGTTGGGGATGGGCATGGGCCTGTGTCAGTGATGTTCAACGGTTTGTTTTTCAAAGATTTTTACCTCTTAATTTGGTGCAATATGTACTGTACAATTTTGATTGTAATTTATAACATTAGTTGTATATTAAACTGTATTTTCTTGACAGGCTGACATTGGAAGTGATGACTTTGAATCCAACTTGTGAATCTGTTGAAACTGCCGAGGGTGTGGCTGTCACTGTGACAGGTGTTGCTCAGATCAAAGTTATGCAAGGACAGTTCTTGAAAACAGCATGTGAACAATTTCTTGGAAAGACTACTAGAGAAATTGAAGATGTAATTTTACAGACTTTAGAAGGACATCTTCGAGCTATTCTTGGAACTTTGACGGTTGAAGAAATCTATAAAGGTACCAACACTGGCACTTTTTATTGTTAAATAATGCTTATATTTAGATAGCAAGGTTGTGTGGTTTTTGAAAATATATGTGTGCATTTTTTCATTGTAGTTGTAAACATTATTTTGGAATTTCATATAATTCTTCTATAGATCGAGACAGCTTTGCAAAGCTTGTTCGAGAAGTAGCATCTCCAGATGTTGGCAAGATGGGAATTGAAATTCTGAGTTTTACAATCAAGGATATTGTTGATAAAGTACAGTATTTAGATTCATTGGGAAAAACTCAAACAGCTAAAGTTAAACGTGATGCTGATATTGGTGTTGCTGAGGCTAACAGAGATGCAGGAATTAGGGTATGTTAAACAATAATATGCTCTATTCATAAGCTTGACCAGCTCAAATTCTAAAATGGAATCTTGTTTTGTTAATATTAAGGTTATGATGACATTTTTACTGCAAGAAATCCTTTACTGTTTACACATTCAGAATCCCATTTTCCAACACTAAAAAGTAGTTTAGCTACTTACAATCCATCAAGAATCAATCATATTTGTTCAATCATAACTTACAAAGCTATCAAAAATGTAAAACGTACATCTATCGAAATGAAAAATTTAGTACATATAATCATTGCAGGAAGCAGAATGTACCAAAGAAATGATGGAAGTCAAATATTCAACTCAAGCTAAAATTGCTGATGCTTCAAGGGAATATCTAATGAACAAAGCAGCATTTGACCAAGAAGTTAACACAAAAAATGCTGAAGCTGAACTGGCTTACGAGCTTCAGGTATATATGAGCTATAAGTTTGAATATTGATTATTGCTGCAATTTGTACTTGCATTGCAAAAATTCCTATTGATTTGGTCGTTTTTTTGTCCATAAAACATGTGAACAGTGTTTTTACCTTATTTTTTATCGAAGGACATTAACTGTAAGTTTATTGTTGTATGCATTTTCCTATCATTTATTGTTAGGCCAACAAAGAGAAACAGAAGATTCGCGAAGAAGAAATTCAAATTCAAGTTGTTGAACGTAGAAAGCAAATTTCTGTAGAAGAAAAAGAAATTGAAAGGAAAGAGAAAGAACTAACAGCAACTGTAAAAAGACCAGCCGAAGCTGAAAGCTACAAAGTGCAGACCTTGGCACAAGGACAAAGGTTTTTAATAAAGCCATAAAATGAGTTTTATTTTCATTTTTCATTTGAAAAAAGAGTCTAGCTTTGATATTTTCAATTTAATGAAAATACATTTCCAAGAGTTTAATTAACTTTTTCACATCATAAAACGATTTTTATAGTTTAGCATGTTAAATCCAATTTTTTTCTGATGTGAATATTATACTGTTCTTTTATATCAGGACAAAAACTGTCGCTGCTGCACAAGCAGATGCTGAAAAGATTAAGGTCAGTTATGACTCCTATTTTTAGTAAAAGATTGCTATTTATTAGTCTGGTAAGGAACAAGTTTGCAGTAGTTAAACGTCTTGCTGAGGGAGGTTGCCATTACTGTTTCTACAACTAGAGAGGTTGTTTGTATTGTAGTAAGAGATAAGAGTAATTTCAGTTGATGTGTGAAGTATTTGGTATAGTCAAAGAAGCTGGTCTGGTGTTACTGTGTATATTTTGGTGTCATGTTAGATATATGATGTTTGACATTTATTTTTCACAAAAGATGATTGGTGGGGCTGAAGCTGCTTCAATTGAAGCAATCGGTAAAGCTGAAGCAGAAAGAATGAGACAAAAAGCCGCAGCTTACAAACAGTATGGTGATGCTGCCATGATGTCTTTGATATTGGAATCTCTTCCAAAAGTAACTAACTATCTTTCTTATTAAAATCAAATCTTTATCATTGACATACTTTTTAGCAGAACTAAGTTTTTCTTGCTAAACTTTATGGAGAAGATCGTAACTAACAACTGCTAAATATAAAGAGTTTCTATCGATTATGAATAAAATATATGAAAGTAATTTCTTCTGGACATCAACTTAACGCCATATGTCGTTATATAGATTGCAGCCGAAGTAGCTGCACCTTTATCGAAGACGGAACAAATTGTTATGATCAATGATGGTGGAAGTAGCAGTGTTTCCAGTGAAGTTACAAAACTGGTTGGTCAACTCCCCCCTGCTGTACAAGCCTTAACTGGTGTGGATCTTTCAAAGGTAGAAAAAATGCAATTTGATATTGTAGACAAAAGTTGGAACATGAATTTTTATGTTTTTTTTCCTTTGCAGGTTCTTGGTAAAGTGCCAGGTGCACAAGTTCAATGACGTCATAAAATGTTTAAATGCTTATGAATACTCATTTCATCATCTAACAAAATAAATTATGCGCAAATAATTTAGCCACTTTATTATTCCAATGGCGCATTCACAATTTTTTTGAATAATCATGATTTATATCGTAATTTTATCATGCTTTAAAAAAAAAGGATGCAGATTGACAAGTTAGTCTGAACTGCTTTTTCATTGAACTTATTTAAAATATATCATAAAACTTTAATATTATCATCAAGAACATATATGACGTAATTACAAGGTAGCAACTATATTCCATAATTTTTTTTCAATGGTGTGAATATATCATTTCAAAGCAATATACAACCTCGCCATGTACGATATTGTGTGTGTAAGTAAATTTTAGAATAGAAACTTTTGTTTTACTTATGATTAAGCGTGGCGTGCGGGCAGTGCTCCAGCCCAGCTCCCCCTCTTACGCTCCATCCAGGTAGCTGAACACAGGTCAGTGGTTGTATTTAGCGAGAAATATTTGACGATAGAATTGGATAAAATGCGACAATTTATGCGTGTGTAACGGGAAGACATTTCCTGATTTCCAAACAAAAACAGCTAATGATGTTTGAGCATTGTAATTTTTATAAGTGTTAGATACGCTTTTGTTTTGTTAGTGCGACATTGAGCAAAATGTCTTCTAACAATAGTGGCGACTGGAAAACTCCTGTGCTTCGTCAAAGGGTGATTTTAAATATGTAAGTGATAAATATTGGTCGGTTTTGTCGTCATTGAAATAACTATCAATGTTCAATTTAAAGTAAAAGTGTTGTCTTTTCAGTGAAGAAGCTCTTAAGAAGTCGTCCAACTTGATTGGCTCTCCAAATGAGAAAAGTGCTGCGGAAATTGAAGATCAAATATTCAGTAGATCAGGGAGCCGAGTGAGTAACACGACGATACTGTTTCCAAATGTGAAGTGAAATAAATATTTTTGTTGTCAGTTGTCATTAGTATTGTGATAATTTTAGGACGCTTATCTCACAATGGTGGCGAGGATAATATTGCATCTACAATCAGGTCAATATATTATATCATATGAATCAGAGAATGAAGACCAAGGAACTGACAATGTTTCATTTTATTTGTACCTTTTGTTTTGTTTTTAAATTCAAGGAAATTTTGTAACTCTATATGAATTGAATGTTTTCTCATTAGGTGGTCAAAACCTACAACAACAACAACAACAGCAAGCATCAACAAATCAAGTACCGGGGAATCCTATGATGATTACTTCAAACATCTCACAAACAGGACAGCTTAAATTCAATGAACATAATGGTAACTATGGACATGTTTGTTGTTTAACTTTTCAATTGTCACTGTTCAATTTCAATCTTCTTTATAAATTTCAGTGCCTCAAACAGATACACATCATATTTCAAAGGTAAAAAAAAATTATTTCTCCCCGTGTCCTTTTGTGTGTGTGTTGAAGGGGGAGGTATATGATGCAAAAGTTTATGATTGTTTGATTTTTTGATGTTTATGTATACATGATATGCTATATTTAGTTCCTTTAAAATATAGTCTTCTATTAATTAAATATTAATGTATGAATATAAGAAATATGTTATATCAATCCTCCCTCAGCCATGTTAAAGATTGTAAATATTGTTGATTATTATGTTGTTTTCTATTAGTTATTGCCACAGCCATCACCTCTTAATGGAATTTCTACACCATCTCCTAAAATCCCTTTACATCACTCGCCGTCCCCACTGTCATCACATCAATCAGGTATTTATTGGAATCATGATAGGTGATCATTGTAATCAGTTATTATATGTAATTATGAACATTTTTCAGCTAAACAATCAAAGGTGCAAAATGCATGGCCAGTTCAAGTTACCTCGACCTCTGCTTATCCTTCACCATCCCCTGTCATTCCTTCTCCAAGTCCTATAAGTCATTCTCCAGCTGCTGCATCATCACCTGCCCAGGTAAACTTTCTTTAAACATGTTCACCAAGCCAAAACTCAACACTTTTGTGGTATATCTTGACATTTAGATTAGTGCCCAGTCTCCTTCATCACTGCTAGCCTCAAAGATTTCTGGCATCCCAAGTGTAGAGTCACCTGGATCATTCAACCCTCCAAGTAACCTCAATTTGGGCTCTCAAGAAAGTCCTGGCAGGACAGATTTATCAGATAAGGAAGAACAACAATATATGGAAAAGGTATGCTGCATTTTCTTTGGTTTTCTTTTGATATTTTAAAACTTTTGCTAATGGATTGTTTGTTTCAGCTTAAGCAGCTTTCAGTGTATACTGAACCATTGAGAAAGATGATTGCCAAGATGCAAAGTGATGAAGGTACATATACATCCATATTATTTGAACTTTGAAGCTTCATTTGGTGAAAGTGAAGACCTCTGGCCTTCATGGGCCAGATAATCCACATTTCATCATCTGTAATGTGGAAATTTAAACTTTAATAACAGCATCAGTCATAGGCCCAATTTTTTATTTCAAAATTATATGAGCCTTAATTGAATACTAAAAAGACAGAAGCTGTTGGAAAGTTGAAACTTTGTAATATTCTAAGATATTACAGTTTACTTTGTGTGAAGAACTTGTACTGACAAAAGAAAAAATTGTAAAAACAAAAATCTCCTTTTCGGTTCATATCTCTGATACCCTTGGAGTTAAAAATCACTACTGGCTACAACATATGTTGATGTTTTGATGTTAAATTTTGACTTCTCCATGATATCCCACTTGAGAATGCCAGTAACAGGCTTCCCCTATCATAACCATCAGACCTTTCAGACATACTAAGACCTTTGTGGACACACTGAGGCCTGGCCAACATCTGCTCCAGCGCATGCGCAGTTAATTTCTGTATTTTGTGACAAAGCAAGCTATTTACTCTATAAAGTTGGTGCTAGTTTATCCAGTTTGTTGTTGCCATGACCATGAAGTAAGGAGTGTTGGTCAAGTTGATTGCGTATGCTCTGGTGATTTTTTGTAATAGATTGTGAGAGTGTTAACTAGTTATTCCCAGAGCAGTGTAAGGAGATCCATTTCATTAGTATTAAACAAACTTCTATAGTTGGTCTAATGGTCTGCGCTAGCATTCAGATGTTTATTAATGAAATGTTGTCTGTCTTTTTCAGTCTGTCTTTTCAGTGTCTGTCTTTTTCAGTGTGTCTTTTTCAGTGTGTCTTTTTCAGTGTGTCTTTTTCAGTGTGTCTTTTTCAGTGTGTCTTTTTCAGTGTGTCTTTTTCAGTCTGTCTTTTTCAGTCTGTCTTTTCAGGCTGTTTTAACAAATGCACTTTCAAACACGTTGCCTCAATGACCGTTAACTTGCGTAACCCTAACATGCATTTTTTGACTATAGATTTTGATAGGTTTTTATTAAAAATGTTTTTGTTTGTCTTAAATCAATGGATGTTCACCTCATGATCCATGAATATAAATTAAATTGGAGTTGATGGAGAAATCAATTAAATGTAGGAAATATTTTATGTTTGATTTAAATTACGATTCCAAAGGCGATGTATTTTTCATACTTTCCACTATCCTTGAATTCTCACTATCTTAATTATATATACTTATTCTAGATCATTTTAAGTTCGTTATACTTCACTAAAGTATTTTTATTACAATGTAGATGTTGCCAACAAAGAAAGCAAGAATTTAACAAAGTTGAAAAGACTTTTAAGTATCTTGGGTAATCCAAAGAAAGGTAAATAACATTGTGTAAGGTAAATGAGTAAATGAACTGTTGTACATCAAATTTCACCCCAAGTCTTATAAGTGTATTTTACTTTTGTTATATTATCATCTAGGGTAGCTTATCAAGCTTTGTTGAAGGTCGAGGATGTGTTACGACGAAAGTTACCTGTAAGTTTATATAAAAGTTGCAGCAATTTTGAAGTTGAATATTGAGTAGAAATTGTGGATAAAATGACTTGTGAAATCTGCTTTAAAAGTAAACAAAACATAGATATGTGTAAAATTATTTTGATATTGCTTAGTTTGAAGGCGAAGGTGTGAGGGAGAGAAAACTTGGAAAGCCTGCTGAGGTTTGTGATTTTTCAAAACTCTTGCTTGATAATTTCATCTAGTTAATGAAATTGTTGTACATAAATTGTATTTTACAACATAAAATATCTGTGTTTAGCCTGTTCCTATTGGACATTCTCTTGTCGAAGCTTTGCAAACACAAGCAAAGACAAATTCACATCAATACAAAAATCGTATGGCACAATTGTTTACTCCGATGCTTGCCACCATTCATGGTCCTAGCATATGGTAAGTTTTTTTAAGTAATACTTCATTCCTAAAAAATTACAATGGAAGGCATGTGTATGTCCAACTGTCAAGTTTAAATATTGTAAAATGTACACTTTAACTTTATGTTAAAATTCCTTTTTTTTCAGTCCACCCCCCGTGCCAACATCACGTGTTAGAGAACCAGAACTACGATCCACTCTGCCACACGTCGTGAAGTCGGAGATTGCGCAACTCAGTAATAAGTTTACAATGGATTATGCTAATGAGGGCGAAGATGAACGGAATGAAAATATTTTGGTCTGTTCAATAAGTGAGTTGCTTGTTTTTCTTTGTTGACTAAAAACATCAAAGGATTTTTCTTTGAGAAAAAAGTTTGCATTTATTCCATCAACGTTAAGAAGTTTCTATTTAATGAAATAATGTGTTAATTTTGCGTGTTATTTTTTGTCGTCTCTTAGATGATAAAACGTTACCAGCTGTTCCGTATTTAGTGGTTCGTTTATCGAGTAATTATCCAAAGACTTCGCCTCTTTATGACACGAAGGATTATGGTTGGTAGTCACTTAAATTTGTAATAAAAGTCTTCCATCTTTATTTGTTTGAAAAAAAAACAACTTTTAAATACTTTGTTCAATATGTACGGTAGCATTTCGCATTTTGTGTTCATCTTTGATTTTATGCCAAGTTTCTTTTCATACTTTAGAAACAAGTGATTTTTTAAAAAGGATCAAAGATCGACTTAGCAGCAAACTATTGAGTTTACCTGGAAATTACACTTTAACAATGTTATTGTTGAACTGGGTAATTTAAACTTGCATTATCTTATGAGTTATAGTTTTATTGCTTTGTAAAGTTCTTGAATACGCTAAATGTGGTAATCAGGGTTTAGTTATCGAATTTTAAAATAGGTGGAATTTTTTTTCTATATAATCTGGTTTTAATGCTTTTAGGAGTCAGCTGTGAGATACGTTGATGCTCGAAGACAAAATTCAAAAGATAATGGTTTGGGTGAAAATAGTGACGATATATTTATGTAAAAAAAACGATATTATTGCCATGATCTATCTTAAGTTATTATTTCATTCATAGGTGAAAGCAAACTACATCCTTGTACAGTTTTATGATGTATAACATCTGTTAAAACTAAATAAGTAAAGTTGATGCATAATATTTTAATTTTTAAAGTAAACTTACCTAAATAAGTAAAAAATCCAAGTATCACTTTAATATATTTTTACGTTGCTTGTGAACTATTTTGGGATCGTATCACTGCGTAGCGATAATGTTGCACTTATCCATGTTTTTGCACATATTATTTTTAACATAAATATTCGTGTTTATTATAAATTAGTGGTTTTTTGAGGATGTGATAACGTGTCCAAAGTTAACCATCGTGGGCAAATAAGAGAAACAAACAAAATTTTTACTATCCAGTAACATCCAACGTCCGCAACCAACTGTTAAGAATTTTTGAAAGATGAAAAATGATAATTTTCAAATGAAGTTCATGGCATACAGTTATTCTGACTTGTATGATAAATGTGAAGATTTTCTCTCACTTGCCTATGAAATGATGTAAATAAATGTATAATTACTTGCGGGTATGCAAAGAAACTTATTTATGGTAAACATTTTGAGCGTCGTTAGTATTTATTTCTTCAACAAGTCGTTAAAATCCTCCCGTATAGCTTGTATGTCAACGAAAATCACATAAGAATCGCCTCCATTTTAAGCAAAATTTAACTTAAGTATGCTCAAATGAACATAAAGGTTTCATAAATAGTACGTATACGACTAATCTATTAATAAATTACACATTGATAAATAACATAGAAGGTTTCATCTCTCTCTGTCTTCTTCATTCTTGAGATGGTTTCCAATATTAGATGATGGACTGGTTGATAATGGTGAAAATCCTTCTAATCCATTTCTAAAATTCTGTGTAAAAACAACCGACAAAACATTTCAAGAAGGATCAAACGAGACCCTAAAGGATCATCAATGATATGAAAGGGTATGATGACAAACCACCTTATTCGTGATGTTGACCGTAGTTTGTTCGAGATTTTGAACCATTTGACGAGATTCTGCTAACAAACGATGTAATTTACTTGTTGGGAAGATGAGTCCTAAAATATAAAAGACTATGTAATAACAGGTAAGTTTAAATTATTTTAAATACTAAAAAACATTTTAACAAAACTATATTGATACACAAACATTTTGTTGTTTTGTAGTTTCCACGTCGTCATTTCTCGTGTCCGAAAGTGATGTCTCGTTATTTGATATTGAAAAAAATGGTAAGGAAAAATACTGCTCAGTTTCGGAGATTAATTCGGGAGATTCTAAAAGAATTCGACAATACATTGTTACATTGGCATGAACACAAGGAGATCAAGTATATTGATTTTTTATAGACCATCTTCACTATGACATGACTCCAGTACATTTGTAGGTTAAACTTACCCAAGCCATGATTTACTTTTGCAGTGGAAGGGTTTCCAGATTTAATTGCAAATTGTGGTTCGTTGGACGCTGGAAAATATGATGCACCACTATACCGTCTACCCTCAACATCGTTGTCGTGAAACGTTATACTGGTGTTGAAGTCACGTGAAAGATCTTTGACTGGAGAGTGTAAGGATGATGACGAAGGAAAAGGATTACATGAGGTATTTATCCAATCAGATTTATGTATAACTTTTGGGTTTGCCTCTATTGATCTAAAATAGAGAATTTTAAATGTTAGTAGTTTTTTTTCGCCATAAAATATATTATTATAACCTTTTATCTTTTTATCCTCATCATTGTGATGTGATTCTTGTATCTTTATCTGTCCATATGTAAGATCACGTTGTTGACGTTCACAGATCTATGGACATATGAAAAATATAATCTTTAAGAAATGCATGGTTTACCACAGTTAATTATAATGAACGAACATGTTGTGTTGGTTAGGATAAAAAGATCTTTTTAAAAAAGTCATTTTTACTTTAACATTACATTTAAAATTTTCTAGTAAAGTTGAGTGTACTTGTCTGAGATGTTTTAGTTCCGAATCTGTTCGCTCTTGTTTCGATTTCTGTAACTCGATGAGTTGATCTTTTCGTTTTTCTCGTTCTCCTAGAAAAATTCATTTGGAAATGTAAAGTGCAACGAAAGGACAATCTTTGAGTAAGGCAAATGTTTCATTTCAATATTATCACCTGCAAGAAATACTTCTTTTTGAAGCACTAGCACCTCTTGTTTTGACTGAAAAATATCGTTGAAACATTTCAATTATTGTAAAATAGTAAGTTGTACGTAAAGTATAGTATTTTTATTAACCTGTGCAAGTTCTGTTTGAAGATCATCTGCATCGCTAAACTGCTTAGTCATTTCCCCTATTAACATGATTTCATTGAAATAGTCCATTTACATTAAATTTAGTTTTCTACACTAAATTGAACAAAGCAGTGAAATTTTTATGTTTTCCGTCATTCCTTCTACCTCGGAGATTCTCAACTTCATTTTTGCCAGCCTTAACTTGGTCACGAAGTTGATCACATTCCGTTCGTAAAGCTTTTTCAACTGTCTCGTATTCCTAAAAATGCAGAATATGTATAATCCAAGAAAAGAATATTTATTTTGCCTTTTATTGTCTGGAGTACCTGTAAGATTGTCTCCAATTGTTTTGTTTTTTTCTGAAATTCTCCTAATGTAATACTCGCTTCCGTTATGTCGTTTTCCTGTGAATGTTTCATCATTTTAAAGCTGTCATTTATGTCCCTAAACTCCCATGTAAGTCGTTTCATTTTATACCTTTAGTTTAATCTTCGTAACCAGTTCTTGTTCTCTTGCTTGTAATTTTCCAAAATTATTGGAAACTTCACGTAAACTGTTACCAAGATTGACATTACTTTCCTGTTGAATATATAAATCATCGATAGATGCGCAAGGATGAACTGACAAACAGAAAATAAAACATAATTTCATAAGTTTAATCTGCTTTTCAACCTCTAAATCAACCAACTGATGAGTTGCAATTTCTGCTTGTTCTGTAACTTCTTTTAACCTGGCCTGCATACAGACGTTTTGATAAATAAATTAAATGGTACGTAAAAATTATTTTAAAGTGACAAATTTTCCCAGAGAATGCCATTAATCCATTTACCAATGTTGTCTCTAGTTCATTGCGTTTTCGCAGTTCTTGAGCTTCCGTGTTTTTAAGACTAAAATGTCCAATGATTAATAATAATTTTTGAATGAAAATTTCACGACTCTATCGCCTTTATACCGTGCATTCAAAGCTTTGCATTGTTCATTTCTTGATTTGAGTTCACCTATAATAAATAGTTATGGCATTTTGAAAAGGCTACTTCACATCACAGTTGTGTAATAATGTGAACCAAATATCCAATACCTTCTAATCTAGTACACCTTTTTTCGAACGAAACAATCTAAAAAATTAGCACATGTTACAATTTGAAAAATTATTCATTAAGGCAAATGGCAGTTGAATTGGCAGCTAAATGGTAGTTAAGAATACTCTTTGCCGGTCTTCTTGCCAAGACTGAAGATGTTTCTGATGAGTACAAACCATGTCATTTAGCTCTCTATATCAATAAATATAAGAAATGTAAAGATTCGATAAACTTGCGCAAGTGTTCACAACTTATCTTTATTTTTTTCTAAAAACTTAATCAAACAACAACCTATCCCTATCTTTAAGTTCTGCTATCAACAGTTGAAGCTCTCTACGTTGCTTTTGAATTGTGTCTGCGTCCACATCTAATAACTACAAGGAAAAGCAAACACATTAACTTCAAAAGATTTTGTACTCTACTTCATTACAAAAGACAAAACCTTCTCATAAAAACAATTCAGAATAGCTTTTTTATAAATCCTATAACCTTTCTAGGTGACAATGATCTTCCATGATACAACCTCACTGGACTCTTTGATTGTGATTGCCTGTGGACACTTGATGGAGATCTGGATACTGGTGGTGATCTCATTAATGAACTGTTCATCACAGATCCAGTGGTTGATAAGGAAGGTTGGTGTTGCTAATGGTGCAATAGCGTTATTTGATCATCATTGAATTAACTAACACTCTAGTTGATTAAAGCTTTAAATAGGAATATGTTAAAAAAATATGTCAATGTACCTTGGCTTTTGGCGTACTTTGATAAACAGTTGTTGGTTGAAATGTCATATTCATGTCACTGAATGAATTATCTGAAACATTTAACTATTTACTTTAAGTGTTTCATTGACATTTCCATGCAAACATTTTAAAACGTAATACTCCATACGATAAAAGATCTAAGATTAAAATATTTACAAAAACTCACCCATTATTATTTCAAAATATCGTTATCTTTACAAGACTGGACGCTCTCGTAAAACACAAACAGCTTTCTTTGATCGTCGATCGAATTCGAAATTGGGACACCAAGTTACTTGCAAGGTTTACGCTCAGTATGAACTTTTCAAAATTCACAATACACTTCCCGTTTAGGATAGTGTACGAATTATTATGGAAAAATCATAGAAATCATAGAAATAACGGGAAAATGAAGAAGGACAGTTGTGACGCTTCCAAACATAAACAAAATTATAATATATTCCTATGTAAATACAAAATTTAGTTTATTTACAATTTTTATTTGGCGCCGAAATCGTGTTTCCTTTTGAATTTGTCAGTTTTTCAAAATGCAGATCTTTCAACGGAAACACGCAATCCATGACTCAATCCGTTATTGGAAGATTGGAAACTAGTGATTAACTTTGTGATTAATTTCATAATTTGTTATTTGTCAATGAGAGATCATAACAGACTTATTGAAATAGAAACTTGTTATGATATAGTGTTTTAAAATTGTTTTATTGTTGAAATATGGACAAAAATCCACAAGGTATTACCTATCATTGATGAATGATATGTGTCATAAATTTTTTTATTTTAATTTGATCTTATTTGAAGTTCATCCTTTTAAGGTCATTTACCTCAAATTGTGTCAGTTCAGAGACCTGATCAGAACAAATCAAAACCAAAAACATCCCATCAGCCTTTGCCATCATCCCGATACAATGAGTTACTTCGGGTAATTGAGGAGCTTGGCAAAGATGTAAAACCTACGTATGCTGGAAGTAAAAATGCCGGAGAACGATTAAGGAAAGGTACTGGGACTAAGGATGTGTCAATAAGTTGTGTTTTGAATATCAATTTTAAGTTATTCTTATGTCATACTTTTAAAGGCATCCTTCATGCACGAGCATTAGTTAGAGATTGTCTTTTGGAAACAGAAAGAAATGCACGAAAATAGATGCTACGAATATTTATTGGCCATATGAAGACTAAACCTATGAAAATGCATGGTTTTGTAAATGGTAGAGAATTTCTACAGATAAGACATTCAATCGATTTATTTAATGTATAGATTTCATTACACTTGCCTTGTCAGGTACATGGTTACTGATATATATGATATTTATGTACAATATATATTTGTTTCAAAGCTGAAATGTTTCTCATTAAAATAAACAGATATTGGTAACTTTCACTTTGTGGTTCACGAATTGATAACTTAATCATTTTCATCATCATTTACTTTGTTTGCAAGTGTAAACTTATTTTTTATCATTCGTTTCCGAGCATAACCAGCCTTTCGCTTCCTTATTCTTTCCCAAAGCCTTGCCATCTTGCTGTCTTTTCCATTGTAAAAAAAATCCAACTTATCCTGAAGGATCTGACGTGCAATAACTCTATTACGTTCCAAATATCGTGTTTGATGACACTTAAGAAAAACATCATGGCATTTTCATTGCATGTTTAGTTTATATGAATGGCAGTATTGTGAATGTACGTATGTTATTAACTTTAACAATAATACTCTCATTTTTACAGTACACATTTAAAAATATACATACCTTAACATGTATTCCTGTTGGTCGATGTTTCAGTTCTACGCAATTATTTGTTTTGTTGACTTTCTGTCCGCCTTTACCAAATCCTTTCACAAATTTCTCCTCAATATCATCTTCTAAAAGTCCAAATTTATTTGTTGGTTTGCAGTAACTGGCAACTCGATGAAGAGAAGAGCAAAATGATTGTCGTGAAATTAGTTTAAAGATTTGAAACGACGTAAATTTTGACCAAGAAAGTACATGCCTTAGGTGTATGGACATTGGTCATAAACCAAAGAAATAGAGGCTTAAAATTAAGTAAAATTATAAAATAAGTTGTTTATAACTTATATTTACACAGATATAACATACAGTTCATATATATTAATTGAGGTCAGTGGAGGAAGATTATAAATTCTGAGGAAACGTTGATGGGAAACGTAACTTTTTGCTGACAAATGAATTTAAGTTTAACTTTTTAAAGTTTGGCGATATTGTTTTCCTCCTATCAAAGAATACTTCTTATAATATGTCTTGATAACTATTGAAATATTCATGGTCTACAGGCTTATCTAAGATTGGGAAGAACATTAAACTTCTTACTATGACATCATTCATCATTTTGATGCTGACCAACGCCTCCATTCTTACCTGCAGCAAATCGTGGACAAACTTTGGTTCTACTTTCAAAGGTGATAATTTTTAGCTTAGTGAATTTGTGAACAAATTGATAAATAACCAATGTACTGAATATTCATTTGTACTTCATTTACTTGTTTAGGCATTTTTATCGATTGAAATTTCTGCATAACATTGGAATCAAATTTTTAAAAGGTATGACATTTGCTTTTGCTTTTGTATTTTCCGGTAATTTTGTCTTATCAACCTTAAACATAAAGAAATTGGGATAGAGATGGTGAGCTATATGTATAAATTCTTGGAGTAATTTAATTTTGTAATGTTTCCTTCAGGAATCGATAAAATTTTGTGATTGTCATGAAGGAAGAGACTTGTAGTGGTTCAAATAGTTTGGATAACATTGAAACCAGAGAGTCCTGCCCAAAAAAAGACATAGTTCGTGGTTTGTATAAAATGTCCTTTTCAATCAAATTGATCCTTTATTCATTTATGATATTTGACATTTTGTTAATTGTGGGAGATTTATAACAAAAATTAAAGCTATTTGTTTTCATTCAAGCTTATTTTGATTTAAACATTTGCCTCAACATAGAAATAACTGGAAATTTTTAGATTTTTGTTTATGTATTTTATTTATTTGTTTGCAAAAATAATGCTGAGTGTTTCAGTCCCTGTAATAATTACTTTTACTTTTGTATTATCAACTATTTTGTTCAGACAACTGGGAAGAAAATTTGAATGTGAAATAACAAAAATCCCAATCATCTCTATATTCTTTTCAATTTTCTGTTTTGTAGATAAATCACATCTTTTTAACCCGTTTTCTCCTCTGAATGGAGAGCAAATTAAACATATTGGGAAATGTGCTGCTGGAGTTTTTACTATATCAAACTTTCGATTTTTTGCCTTGTTGCAACATTACCTCATCAATGTAGGTCTAATTGTCCTTGATTTAGTTGAGATGTGAAGTTTTTAAATAGAATTCTTCATTATAATTCTTTTTGAAGGTTCCTTTGATGTTGATTGAGGCGTTAGAGTGGAAGGGAAAGGACTTTCCAGAAATATTTGTTTCTTGCAAGAATGGACAGTCATTTCAGTATGTCAACACAGAGACTATTTTTTAGTTTAGGGTATTTCATTAAAGATATTCTGTGTAAAAATGATTACTTGTCTTCAAGATGAGTTGTTGGTTTTTTATGTCTTTTTACCATCCATTTCTATAGGCTCAAGTTTGACTGTGTTGAAAGCTGTAGCTTGTGGTATGAAAGATTGAAGGAGAAAGCAGAAATTCCCGATCATCTTGAGAAATTGTTTGCATTTTCTTATCATACCTCATGTCAGGACTTAGTTTCAATAAACCAACCCCTTTCCGATAATCATGTGGGATTTTTAAACTTAAAAGGTGAAAAAGAATGCTGTTAAGATCACATTCATATAAAAACATTTCCATTTGATATTTTTGATAATTTCCTGTCGTATTTTACCAGAAAATTTTGTGCTGCAGGTAAGATGCAGTCTGATTTTATGGATGAATACAAGAGAATGGGTTTTGAAATGGACCCTGCCTGGAAAATTACTGATGCCAATTCGAACTTTGAGTGAGAAGAATTTTGATGTTTAGATTACGTATGTCACAGAGTAATTTAATAATGAACCTTTAGATTATGTTCTTCATATCCCAAGTTGCACATTGTACCCAAATTGATCACAGATGACAAATTAAAGAAGATTTCCAAATTTCGTGCCAGTCAAAGATTTCCTTCAGCTGTTTGGAGGTGAAGTTTTAAAATACCTAGTTAATAACTGATATTTGTTGTCTGCCCATTCTGATATATATTTAAATAGTTTATGGATCAATAAACATGTGAATTAGTGGTAGTTGAACCCGCAAGAAATTAGCTTCCTTTCTTTCCCCCCCCCCTAGACATAGCAAGTATGGTGTTGTAATCGCACGTTGTAGTCAACCAGAAGTTGGTTGGTTGTACTGGCGTTGTGAAGAGGATGAGTTCTACTTCAAGGCTTTGGAAAGCATTGTAAATGTGGAAATAAAACTTGATGAAAGTCTTGGGAATGATTCTTCTGACAGTCACTTACCTAAGGAAAAAGAAACACATTGTGCTAATGGATATTTAGGTAGAATTTTATTGTGTGTTTCTTGTATTTCTTTTGATGTAACTTCCATTTAAGAAAACTTTTATGTGTCAATGATTTATTTTATTTATGCTTAATTGCAATAAATACCAGTCCACTGATATTGTATTGCGTTTTAATGCTCGTTTTCAGTTTTTTTGCAAACTTTTTTAGTGAATGGAGGCATTGAGGAACTTGCAAAAGTAGAGGAACTGGGGAAGAAAGTTCTTGTAGTAGATTGTCGTGGTAATTATGCTGCTTTTGCAAACCGAGTCAAAGGAGGGGGAAGTGAATGTACAGGTATTAAAAATATTTTTTATTTATTTGATAAATATAGATATTTCATGCTTTGTTGAGAATGACCTTTTTTTTTAGAGTATTATCCAAATTGTAAGATTCAGTTCATGGGCTTAGCAAACATTCACTCTGTTCGTAAGAGTTTTCATTCTTTGAGAGAATTATGTTGCAAGCAACAAGACCAGACAGGGTGTGTACTTGGCAAAACTTGTTTTTCAAGCTTATACAACGTGTGGATGATAACCAGTAAAACTAATTAAACAAATATTCTTTAAGAAATTAAATATATATTGTGTAAGTCATAAATGACGAGAAATTAGAATCTCTATATAAAGCAATCATAAGTAAGACATATCATTTTTCTTGTGTAAAAGTACAAAATAATTTCTTTATTTTGTTTTCTCTTGTAGGTGGCTTTCTTGTTTGGAAGGGACTAAATGGCTTTCCCATATATCATCGTTGATAAAAACAGCTGTCATAGTAACAAAGGCAATTGAACAAGAACGAAAACACGTCGTTGTTCATTGTAGTGATGGTTGGGACCGAACACCACAAGTTGTTTCGTTGGCTGAGCTACTTTTGGACCCTTTTTATCGAACCATGAAGGTATATAAAATTATCTGTGTTTAAAATCGTATTGTTCGATCTTTTTAATACAGATGTTTTTCCCTTCTGTCATTCTAGGGTTTTCGTATTCTTCTTGAGCGCGAATGGTTTTCATTTGGTCATAAGTTTGCTGATCGTTGTGGTCATACCTGTAATGATAATGATGACTTAAATGAACGATCTCCAATCTTTTTACAATTTCTTGATTGCGTTCATCAACTACTTCGACAGTTTCCATGTTCATTTGAGTTTAATGAAACATTTTTGGTAATATATTTTACAGTTAACATTGTTTGGTTTAAACGAAGCACTGTGTGAAATGTAAAGACAGTTGTTAGGTATTTTAATGAAACTATCATATATATGTTGATATTTTTACGAATAGGTGAAGCTTGTCCATCATACGTATTCTTGTCTCTATGGAACGTTTTTGTGTAATACTGAAAAAGAAAGATTAAGATCGAATATTAAACTTCACACGACATCTATATGGCCTATGTTACAGTCACATTCAACGTGTATAAATCTTCTGTACAACCACTTTGACAAGCAGGTGGGTGTTTTGTATATTGTCAATGTCTATATAGATGTTCATTCAATAACTTTAAGCATGGTATTTATTTAAAACATGTATGAAGTGGGAGCAGTGACTAGTACCAATAATGACCATCTTTTTCATAGGTATCAACAATAGCCATCTTTTTCATAGGTACCAATAATAACCATCTTTTTCATAGGTACCAACAATAGCCACCTTTTTCATAGGTACCAATAATAACCATCTTTTTCATAGGTATCAACAATAGCCATCTTTTTCATAGGTACCAATAATAACCATCTTTTCATAGGTATCAACAATAGCCATCTTTTTCATAGGTACCAATAATAACCATCTTTTCATAGGTATCAACAATAGCCATCTTTTTCATAGGTACCAATAATAACCATCTTTTTCATAGGTATCAACAATAGCCATCTTTTTCATAGGTACCAATAATAACCATCTTTTCATAGGTATCAACAATAGCCATCTTTTCATAGGTACCAATAATAACCATCTTTTTCATAGGTATCAACAATAGCCATCTTTTCATAGGTACCAATAATGACCATCTTTTCATAGGTACCAACAATAGCCACCTTTTCATAGGTACCAATAATAACCATCTTTTTCATAGGTATCAACAATAGCCATCTTTTTCATAGGTACCAATAATAACCATCTTTTTCATAGGTATCAACAATAGCCATCTTTTTCATAGGTACCAATAATGACCATCTTTTTTCATAGGTACTTTATCCCGAATATCAAGCAAGTAACATTTTATTGTGGTCGTCGTTGTACTTAAATACACCTCGGGTCTACTTTGATCAATGTATATTGTCATCAGGTCTGTCTTGTGAGGATGATGGTTCTCGTGACGCGTGCTTCCGAAATCAAACGGAATCTCGTCGTCAATTTCATCGACGCAACTCAGATGGAGACATGAAAAGTTTATGTAATAAAGAAAGTTTTAATGGAAGTCCAGGATCACGTGATGATTCGGATATTTATATGACTAAAAATTTTGGTTGTAAATCAGAGACTTGTTTAAATCTTCCTCGAGGGTCGACGTTGTGTTTACCGGATCTAAATTTGGACGATGACAATAGCTACAAGGAAAGCTCCGTTAAAGACAATGCTTTACACAACTGTGAATTTAGTGAGAATATCATGTGCAATCTTGATGAGAATAATGATAATATGGAAAATAATCAGCTACTGGAAAAGACCGCTGACTTTAGTGACAGTTTGAGCAGTAGCACAAATACTTATGTCGATAAAGTTGATCATAGTTGTGATGGAACTGTGAACGCGAAAATTTTGAAAAATCCGAGGAAGATGGATTGAAAAATGCTTATTGTAACACTGAAACAAACTTGGAATCTAATCACCCTACTACTGACGTCACAGATGATATTACAAAGAACGATGTGGGGACTCGGTCTTTTGAGCCAGCGGCATGTCCTACTGATAAATTATGTTCGAGTGTGTGCGATCAATATTTAGATGTTGATGGTTTGTCCTTAGTTATTGATCCTGTGCAAGCACGTTTAGTCAAGTTACAACGCTGTTATCGTGAAAAGATAGCGAAATTAGAAGATTTGTTGAAAAGCCAACATTGTGTTTGTGAAGAGAGTCAAAAGACCAAAAAAGATCCGGTTTGTTTGTTTATAATGTGTACATATGAAGTTTGACGAATGAATGGTGCTCGAATTTTCAAATTCTACTTTGTAGATTGATTCAATTGATTCAACTTACGATCGTCACAGTCTTTCTTCTGTATCAAGTGATGCGCAATCTGATATTTGTGAGAGCTGGGAACAAGTTACAGATGATGATGTAAGGCCTGTACTTTGGCTACCAGACCATCATGCAGTCCGCTGTGGGATTTGTGATCAGACGTTTAATCTTCTCAATCGAAAACATCACTGTCGGTATGTTTATGTTCTTTAGTTTCTACTGTAATTAACAGCAAAATTATTGGCATTAATTTCTTTTGTAGAAGTTGTGGTGGAGTCTTTTGTGGTGTATGTTGTAGTGAAATGGCACCCGTCCCTTCAGAGCAACTCTACGACCCTGTTCGTGTTTGTAAATCTTGTTTCACCAAACTTCACATCGGAATGACACCAGAAATTGTCGTATCCGCATCATGACGTCATAGTACAATAGTTTTAGGTTTTGTCTGTGCAGTGATTGTGATGTGGTGTAACTTGCCCCCTTTGTTCCATTATTTAAAAACTATTTTAAATTTTCTGACAGTGCTATCGAAGCATGTAACAATCTGTAAATACTCGTTTAAGCACCGCGCTCCTTGTGCTAAGAATCTGCACTGCGCACACTTAATAGAAAGTGGCTGTTTTTATATCTTATTTATGCTAGGTCTAAGCACTTCAACCTTGTGGTATTTAGGATCTTATTGAAAGTCACCACTATAATGATGACTTGAAGATAAAAGAAAGTTAGTTGTTACAATAATGTTAAAAATACTAAGTTAAGATATCAGAGTTTAATATATCTGTACATTGTGATTGTTTAATATGTTTTAATTTATGTAAAAATCCTCGCGTAACGGGGAATTATAACTTTTAAGAAATAATTCTTTGAACTATTTAACCACTTTGTCACCATGCAACCAGATTGTAATTAAAATTTCCTAATTACATTTATTACATTATACGTATATTAGATGAAGTATTTCATTATTTTGATAAAGATAATTAGCTTTTCTCACATGGAGTCGACTGCAAAGAAACGAATTTTAAACTTTAATGTTGGCGTCTTGGGACATGTCGATAGTGGGAAGACGTCTTTGTGTAAAGCTCTAAGTACAGTAGCATCAACAGCTTCATTTGATAAGAATCCACAGAGTAAATCGCGTGGAATTACTTTGGATCTTGGTTTCTCATCTTTTCCTGCATCGTTACCTGAACATTTGAAATCTGAACCTTATGATGTTTTGCAGTTTACTTTGGTCGATTGCCCTGGACACGCGTCCCTCATTAAAACCATTATTGGCTAGTATACTAATTGTTTAATGTCTGATAATAGCTTATAGATATAAGAATTTTAAATACCCTTTTGATTCTTGACCTTTTCAAATATTTGTTAATTTTAACATTAGATTAAATAGCTGATATAACAAAATCTTTTTTCTTGTTTTAACTATGTGTCTTTGTATAGGTGGTGCCCAAATCATTGATCTCATGATTTTAGTAGTTGACATAAACAAAGGCATGCAAACACAAACAGCTGAATGTTTGATAATTGGTCAGATTACATGTGATAAAATGATTGTTGTTCTCAATAAAATTGATCTTTCACCAACAGAGAAGAGACAATATCAAATTGAAAAGGCATGTATGTTGTCGTAATTTGCTCACACTGATAACTTAGTATGCATTGCAATTAAATTGATCACTGTGTTCATAATCTTGTTTATTGAAGGTACAGGCCATGCAGAATTGTATATTGAATTATAGTAAAATGTATACAATGTATTAAACCTCTATATTCGTTTCAATAATAGAGCTTGCTACGCTATCCTGAGATATTTTAACTTATCATTTTTAATATAAATGTGCAATGTTTTTGTTTTCTTAAAAACTTATGTTATATGTACCAGTCGTTGATTCAAATGAAACAAATTTCAATAATTTATTCTATATGAAGTATCACTTCTCAACAGTAACTTACTTGTATTATTGTAGATGAAGAAAAGATTTGGAAAAACTCTGGAAAACACAAAGTTTGCTGGTTCTTCCATAATTGCCATTGCTGCAAAACCAGACAATGATGTGAATGATAGCTCTTGCTCAATAGGCATAAATGAAATGTATGAAATGCTCTCTTCGCAAGCATTTGTCCCTCAGCGTAATAACAGTGGTCCTTTTTTGTTTGCTGTTGATCATTGTTTCTTGGTACGAGGACAAGGTACTGTCATGACTGGTACTGTCTTGAAAGGTACTGTATCTCTTAATGATAACATTGAAATACCATCCATGAAAGTTGTGAAAAAGGTGAAATCAATGCAGATGTTTCGACAGCCTGTATCAAAAGCATCGCAAGGGGATCGAGCAGGATTATGTGTGACACAATTTGATCCTAAATTATTAGAACGAGGTTTGGTATGTCAACCATCAAGTGTTCCCACAATATTTGCTGGAATAGTTAGAGTGCAAAAAATATCTTATTATAAAGGTGAAATAGCTTCAAAAGTAAAATTTCATGTCACTATTGGACATGAAACAGTGATGGGAAGTGCACAGTTCTTTGGCCTTCCTGCATATGCAGAGCTTCCTTCAGATCCACAAATGTTTGACTTTTCCCAAGAGTACATCTTTCAAGAGCATTTATGTGGTGAAGAGACTGCTGATGAAGATTCTTTATTCAACCCTAAATATCAGTATGCTATGCTAGAGTTGGAAAAGCCTGTCAATTGTCCTGATGAAAGTCTTTTTATTGCTTCTTGCCTTGATAGTGATATAAATCTCAATAATTGTAGGTTAGCTTTTCATGGAAAGTTTTTGAGCATGTTTACGGATAAAAATTATGCTGCCGTAAATCTTCCCAACCTGAAAATATTTAAGACGAAGAAAAAAGTGGGAGAAGTTGAACGTGTTATTGATAATTTTTGTTTGGTTGGCAGAGGGCTCTTTAAGAAGGAAACAAACATTGCATTATTTTCAAATCTGAAGATTCATCTCTCTACTAGTGAAACAGGATTTATTGAAGGAGGGTTTGGGCAGAGTGGCAAGTTTAAAGTATACATTCCTAATGGTCTTTTACCAGAAACCTTGGCACTTATTGGCCATCGAAGTAAAAGAAAAGGAAAAGTCGGACGTGTTGATGAATATGTGGAAAAGGGAGTCGTTGTAAAAATCATCCTCGATTTTAAACGATATATATTTGATCCTGAGAAAAAAATGATACAGTCATGAATGGCAATATGATGTAAACAGGTCAATGTACGAGGAAACTCCAGTCAAAATGGTCAAACACAATATTTCGCTGGAATCGCTGCAGCAATATTTGATATATATATCTACATAAAGTAACGCTTACCGCTTTCATTTCAATAACATTTGGTGGGCTCATGTTTCCAAGAATCAAGCAAGAAAAATGAAAGAACGCCAATTGAAATAATTTTAATATTATTAGAGTTAATTTTTGTCTTTTTTCTCCTAAGAGGAGAATGTTTATTTTGCCCATGGATACCTTTTCGCTTATCGGAGGCTTAGGAAGTCTTGCGGTAGCAGGATTTTGTTATTCTACATACATAAATTCAAAGGATGAGGCTTTGTACTTAACGGTATGTTAGTTGTTTGTCAACAGTGCTTGTGCTTGATGACTAGATTATGTTTTACTTTTTGTTGTATGTGTTTTGATTTGTTGTTGATAAAGAATAAACTGAAAAATGGTGTTATTATTTTCGAGAAGTAAGTACATCTGTGTACATTACCATTTATGAGGTTTTTTGTATGTAGAATACGCCAAGTCTTGAGATTGGTGATGAACTATACGACGAGATTATTAAAGCACCAAATGAAACTCTTCCCTATGTTGCCATTCGTGGGGTAACTAGAGCAATTGAATCTACTTTAAAATCTGGCAATGTTCCATCTGCAAAACTTTTAATACAAAGTACAAGCACATATGAACATAAGGCAGAGTGGATTCGTTCATCTAAACTCTGGTATGATAGCAAGTAGGAAAAGAGTTAGTTTGTAGGAAGAATGTGTGATTGTTGAGAAGATTTGACTGTTGTATCTTTTCTTTTAGGCATGATACTAAACTATTGATCAGTAGTGCTATAAATCTTGTTCCATTTTCATTAAATAATGCCAACCATAGAGTCATAGTTGACGAGCCTCTTCAAGCCACTGGACTTGACTACACACAGATTTTTAATAAATATGAGCCAGTGCATTCTAGTTCAATATCAGCCAACATAGTGGAATGGGCAACTGGCGAAAAGGTGAAGGGTATACAGACTGTTGAAGAAGGTTTATTAGAGGGTACCACCTTGACTGCTGTAGGTAAAGTAACACTAAGAAATGGTTTATTTAAGATTAAAGTACCAGAGAATCATGAATATATACTTAGCAAGATGACATTAAAAGGAATTATTCAAGAAAAGACAAGCTCTACCCGCACTTGGAAATATGTAACAATTTGTTTTACTATAGTTGGAGGTGCATTTATGTTAATTTGGCTTTTTCGAAGAAGGCAATGGTTGTCAAGACTTTATACTAATACCCGGACAAATAGACCTGCATTTCCTGAAGATGATAGAAATGATGAGTTTGGTGAGAATGCTCAAGAGATGTATTGTGTTATATGTCTCACAAATCGACGAAATGTTGTTATCTTGAATTGTGGTCATATTTGTGTGTGTCGTTCATGTGCTTCACAAATTGACTCCTGTCCTATTTGCAGAGGAGTTATTGAGCGGCTTGTTCCAATTTATCAAAGTTGATAAATATTCTCATAAGTAAATGCAAAGTATATAGTTTTTGTCATATTGTCCAGCAGTCCATGTGCAGTAAATTCATTTGTTCTGTATTTTTTGTGAATTTTTTTCTATACTTTATGTAAGGGAATATGATGCCTGTATAGTTAAATAATAAATTGAAATGTAAAATTGGTGGGCACCAACCGCACCATCAATTTCTGTGAAATGATCGACTTTTGATTTTAATGAAATGTTACGTCCAGATCTTTGATATACAGGCCAATGGTGTGCTCTGCAAATGCAATGTGCAAATGTAATGTTTGACGTCATCACGTCACCTTAGAAAGAAGTCGATGAATGAGTATTATATTTCAAACACTATCGTCTGGCCGGCTTACCGAACCGAAGCATAAATTTCTAAAATCTATTCTCTATTTATGAAGTGCTTACTGTGTTTTAAACAATTGCCACATTATGTTGATGAATTTTCAAGAATTGACGAAGAAGTATTGTGTGCTTTGGATGCTATAATACCGTTAACGGTCAACGAATTGAATGATCATCAGAACAAATTGTGTAAATCTTGCGACGAGCAAGTGAGACAGCGGATGGATATACATAGGAAATTACACGAGAAAGACGAGCAGATTCGTGCAGCCTATTGTAATCGAATATTGAATGAAAGCCGTAATATTGTCATGGGGCTTAATAAAAACAAACATGTATTTAACGAAGGAACTGAGGCAGAACTGGAGGCTGACCTGAGTATGGACTCCTGTATGGACAGGACAGTTGCACTGTGCAACAGAAAAGCCTTAGCGGAGTTGAATGTTTGTATGACTGACACTAAAAAAGGAATGTTTTCTTGCAAAAGGGAGAATTCTAGCTTTCATAAGGAAATTAACGAAGACACTAGCACTTGGAAAGAAAATGAGTGAGTATACTGCATATGTTTTGATCTGCTATTAAAGCGGAAATTAGTTTTGATATTTGCCGCGTAAGCGCGCAGCTCCAACACTTTGGAGACTAGGGTGAGAGTATTAAATTATGAAAATAGTCGGTGAAAAACATTTTCTTTTTTTTATTTTTATTTGCTGTATAATTAATGTATTGTTTTTGTTGATTTTTGTGTGTTACAAGTTTTGTAGTAACGGCAATTCTTATCAAAAAAATATCTTAGTAACTAGTGGGGAATAAAAATTGCCTGCTCCTGGAGAGGCTCGAACTCTCGACCTTCGCATTTCAGGGCATATATGGCGAGCCAATGCCACGCTCATACTGCTTATAAGTACGACGCGCTAACCGACTGTGCCACAGGAGCTGGACGTTGAAGCGGTGTAAAATGGTGATTTTAAACGTGTTTTCCTGTTGTTCTTCGTCATGTGCCGATGAACATATCAAAATCGACTTGAATAAATTATTTTTTCATGGAAATATTTAATATTTTGCCTTGGTGATGAATACAAATCGACATTTTTTCTTATATTACATAAAATATACGAAGAAGTGAATATTTCGGAAAAAAGCAATCTCGAATTTTATCTATATCTGAAATTTATATAAACCTTGGGAATTTCAAACATTTCTATTTTGCTCCTGTCACACATCCACAAAAATGTGCTTAAGTTGGCAAAATAAATGATATGATGTCAGTGATGATGACTTGATGCGTTGGCGAGGAAGACTTGTAAATAGTCACGTGACCTTCATAATAAAACTCGTGAGAAACACTGCGAATTTCTAAAAGTAAAACGAAATTAGCAAAGATTATGTGGAGCGAAAGCTTTTTTGAGCTTTTGAAAAATCATGTCGCGGCTCAACAATGGCATGGAGCGCGAGTCGGATCTCTTATCTTGCGCTTTGTTAGACATTGGGCTTGATTTGAACCCTCATGAATCGATATCAAGTAATGGAAATGTAAGACCGACTGGAGACGAAATAGATTTTACCGGTGCTTCATTGTCATTATCATCGACAACTAACCCCAATGATCTCTTGGATTGGTCATATTTACTCTCAAATACCAACGGAAACAGTTTCACAACAAATCATGATGACGATTTGTCGAGCTTTTTAGAACCTTTCAATCAGTCTACGAGGGCAAGTCACTTCACAAGTGGTACTGGAGTGCATAATGGGCCTTATATTTCTTCTAACTTGAGAGAGACAGTTTTGAGTAAAGATGGTTATACTCCTCTAACTGCCACGCTAAGAACTAATGCTGCTGTAGACTGTTCATTGAGAGATCTGCTCTCGACAGATAACGATTTAGGAGGAAGTTTAGCGGTTAAACCGGCTGTGAGTGTCGTAGATGTCAACAAAGATATTTCACGGAAGTATGTTGTCAAAAGTATTTAAACTATGAAGTGGAGAAACGCGAGTAATTTTGACAGAATATACAATAACAAAATTGCGAAACTCTGTTGATTATAATAACATACAAATTTTTTGAAGTTATGCCATTTTTGTGTATGTGCCTTTTAGGAGTTGTCATAGTTTCAGAGTCTGTCCATTAAAATTTTCATAACACGTAGCATCTGCCTGTAGTCTTTAAAAGACAATGTCATGAAAACATTCAATACAAAATATCTATAATTTAACTAAATCTATGATCTTTGTAAGTCATAGTTATTCTAAGTAGAAACCATCCTTATACCCTTTGATCTGATGAAAGTTAAAATTTGTAGCTGGTAGGAAATGGCAAGTGATAAAACTACCTAAAGTATATGAGAAATAAGATAACATGTTATAATGAGTTGTATTGATGTGAATAAATGAAAAACATAGAATCAAAACTATTTACATTACAATATGATAACAATCTTAATGGTGGGGATAAATGACTAACAGACAATGTACTTCAATTGTTTAGAGTTGCTGTTCAAAAACTTTGGGCAAATGAAGACATGAAACTCAGTGATGTAAAAGAGGTTGGTTATTCAATTGATTTTTTCGTGAAGGAAAGTTAAAGAATATTTAGCAATGATAATGAAAATAATTAAAATCATAAATGCATGATTAATATTAATCTTCAGTCAACAGTTGATGATGATGAGGAAGAAGATGATGAACTTGGCTATTCAGACACATATGCACAATATTGGCCTAGTAAATGTGAGTTTATTTTCAAATAAGAATTACTTCATGTTTTTATTGTTTTTATCAATTTTTTATTTTGAATTCAGTGAAGATTGGAAAAAGTCATCCAGATTCTGTTGTTGAAACAAGGTTCTTTATTTATTCAAAATGTATTTCGTATATATTATCTACAGTTATTATGTACTAATGTATAAATTCATTTATTTATAGTTCGTTATCAAGTGTTGCGCCTCCAGATGTTTGGTATAGGTTGGCAATTCCTAAAGAGGTTATTGACAAGCATTTCTTGTCTGCATTACAACTTGAAGCCATTGTTTATGCTTGTCAGCGTCATGAAATTATACTTGGTGATGGTTCAAGAGCAGGATTTTTAATAGGTATATTGATAAGGCTTTATTAGTACTAGTATTTACTTGTACTTTACTCTTGTTTCCTTTATAAATGTTTGGCCATCACTAAATGTAGTCTTTTTTGTGTTTGTAATTATAGGTGATGGTGCAGGGGTTGGAAAGGGTCGAACAGTAGCTGGTAAGAAAACATGTTGATGCTATGGTCAAATACTTAGTTTGTGCAATAGATTTCAACCCTAACCCTAAGGTCTAACATTGAATTGGTACAGAGTAGATTGTTTCTTGTTTTAGATGAGCCATTTTAACCCAATTCACCCTATTTTAAATTTTAATTTTGTCTTTCATTTCTTGCCATCCAGTTGAACATTATTATTGTAGGTATAATCAGTGAAAACTATCTGTTGGGTAGAAAGAGAGCATTATGGTATGTATACATATTAAAGTATGTTCAGGAAGACTTACTTGTCTTACTATATTGAACATCTTTTTTCAAGGTTGAGTGTATCAAATGATCTTAAATATGATGCTGTTCGGTGAGATATTGTTCATTTTTGGTCTTCATGTCATAAAGATTTGAGAATTATGAATTATTTACTTTTATTCTCATGTAGAGATCTCCGAGACATCAATTGCAATGTTAATGTTCGCACGTTGAACAAGGTTTATTTCTACTTGTGTTATCCAAATATTATGATTTGAAGAGATTTCATTGTACAAAACAATTTCAATGTTTTAGTTTAAATATGATGCCAAGCTGTCATCAAGTGAAAATGGAAGTTTTAAAAAAGGTGTTTTGTTTGCAACCTATTCATCTTTAATTGGTGAGAGTCAAGGATCATCGAAATATCGTACACGATTAAGTCAAATTGTAAAATGGTGTGGTTCTGATTTTGATGGTGTTGTATCCTTTGATATGAACTTAACAGTTTAGTCGGTCATCTTTTTTGATCTTATTACAGTGTTCCAACATGAATGTATGATTATATTTTACTTCTAATGTGCTTATAAAACAAAACTTCCTATTTAAATGGAAGGATGCATTAATGTACTTTTATTTAAAATCCCTAGATATGTATATTTAAAATCCCTATCATATCCCTATTATGTACCTATCATATCCATCTTACATTCATGGAAAACATAGTGAATCCCAAATTGTTCATAATCACCCTCACCATGCATTATTAATTAATGAAAGTTTGGTGTTGTTTTCAACTTTAACTTCAACAAATTCAGATTGTTCTTGATGAGTGTCATAAGGCAAAAAATCTTGTACCAACTGGCTCATCTAAACCTACAAAGACAGGAAAGAGTGTCCTGGAACTTCAAGAGATGCTCCCTAAGGCACGTGTTGTCTATTGCAGTGCTACAGGTATTGTCTACGACGTATTGTCTATGACGTAATGTCTATGACGTAATGTCTATGACGTAACGTCTATGACGTAATGTCTATGACCTGTCGTAACACTGCATTGTTAAGTTATATATTTGAAATTTCAGGTGCGTCTGAGCCTAAAAACATGGCGTATATGTCTCGACTTGGTATCTGGGGAAAAGGAACGCCATTCAAGGAATTTGGGCAGTTTATTCAAGCTGTTGAAAAACGGTGAATTGAATACCTTACAAAGTTAAAGTTTTATTTTGAAATATTTATTTATGATGATTTTTAATTGATTACAAAATGGATTGGAGTCGATATGCTTGTTTCGTGTGTACAATTACACTGTCAAAATTTTATTTTAGTGGTGTTGGGGCGATGGAATTAGTTGCCATGGATATGAAGGTAAGATATGTTTATCTTGTTTTACACGCAAGTTTTTGTCGTTTATATATTGATGTATTTCTAGCTCCGTGGCATGTATATGGCTCGTCAGTTGAGTTTTGCCGGAGTAACGTTTGATATTAAAGAGGTTCCTTTAAGTGAGAAGTTTATACAGATGTATAACGCTTCGGCAATATTGGTAAGTACGCAATCATTGAGGTCAGCAGTCATGTTTGGTGAGTACGCAATCATTGAGGTCAGCAGTCATGTTTTTATTACACTGATTGACCTTAATGAAACAAGCGTTTGTTTTCATTTTTTCCTGTTCTTGTATCTTATTGTTTTTTCCGAATTGACAAAATTCCAAAGATCATAATCGCTATTGAAAGTTTTCATGCAATAAACAATTTTTTTTCGTTTTTGTCTTTAGTGGGAACAAGCGAGAGAAAAATTTGCCTTGGCGTTGACGCTTGCTCCTGATCAGGCAAAGATTGGCAAGAAATTGTGGGCTCAGTTTTGGGCAGCGCATCAGGTTTGAAAATGTTGAATACCGTTGTTAAGTTCCGTCAAGAAAATGAAAATATGCAATTTATTTTTAGCCTAAGGAACGTTTACTTTTTTCCTAGCGTTTTTTTAAATATTTGTGTATTGCTTCTAAAGTTGAAGCCGTCGTTGCTATTGCTCAAGAGGCAATTAAAAATGGAAAAGTATGTGTGATAATAATTTTCATGGCGTTGTCAATGTCTATACTAGCGTGTCTGAGACTTAATGATGCAATTGTTTTGTCGTAGTGTGTCGTCATTGGTTTACAGTCCACTGGAGAAGCGCGGACTTTGGAGCAACTTGGTGAAAACGGTGAACTGAACGAGTTCGTCTCCACCGCAAAGTATGTCATTGTATTTTTTTTAAATGATATTGTTTTTATTTATTGCAAATGAAATATTTTTATCTTATTTTCTTGATTCTGTTAAACTTTTTTTCCGTTCAAAATGCTCAGTTTTCAACTTGTATAAACATATGAATTTTGTATTATTTTCAACACTAGAGGTGTGTTTCAAGCTCTTATTGAAAAAAGATTTCCTGTTGCAAATAATAAAGGAAGATTTGTTGAAGACGACTTTCCTAAATTGTCTCAAGTGGGCAAGAAAAGAAAATCTGTTCGTGACCTTCACAAAACAAGAGACAAAAAAATTAAAAAGGATGAAGTATTTGGACGTACTTTCTGTGAGTGAATATTAATCAGGACTCTTTCCAATGGAGTTGGGTGTCTTTTGGGGTGGCTACATTTTCTTGAATAAAGTGTGTGTTATTCTGAGAACTTTCTTGAAATTTGTATATCTCAAGTGGGTGTTTAGGGGGGGGGGACACTACCTTAAAGTGTGTGTATATAGTGTAGAAAAATTACATAAAAATTTACATTTATTTACACGAACTTGAAGGCACTTGGATAAGCTGAAGTTTTAAAGCATTTTACTTTTGCGAGTATTCCATTTATATTAATACTTAGTTGAAGTATCTATTATTTCTATCTTACAATATCTCACTTTGTCTATAATTAAATATCTCTCCTTTAGTGAGCGATAACGACGATGATATCAGTTCAGTTGACGACGATAATGATAACGCGTCTTTAAATAACGATTCCAAGTCATGTGACAGTAATGACGATGAAAATGGTGATGACGTCATTGAAATTGATTCCGAATCGGATTCCGACGAAGGTATATTTAACTAGGTGTCAACTTAAATATCGTGATCATATTTTGGTTTTAGAAAATTTTTTTCTCCCATACAACTGGGAGCTGCTGCAACCAATCCACCGCAAGCTTGACATTTATTGCTCATCAAAACAACCAATCCAATACAGCTAGCATTAACTAATGCAGCTACGATGTGTTGTTACTCCTTGAACTTTTACATTGAACAACATTTTCATATTCCAATGATTATTATTTACGTTCATGTTGGAAAGTTTGTTTTTCTTTCAGATAATTGGTTGAAAAAAATTGAAAAACCCAAAAAGAAGAAAAAAATGCGTAATGGCGAACATTCTTCACAGACTGCCAACAATATGGAAGTGTTACGAGCCGCTGGTCTTCATGTCAATTCACTCAACTGGAGTAAACCATCACGTGATTCTTCATCCACAGCTGTCAAGGCGGCTCCTATTGCGAAAAATTCTGGTTTGTGTTGATCATAAAATATTGTTTACCTCCTTATGATATTCTATGTTTGAACACATAGGTGCATACAGACATACGTACAGACATAGAATTTTTTATCACTTTCCTCGATCTTATAAGTTTTCTTGTCTATTTTTGTCATTTCAACATTTTTGTGCAACTGACAAAAAGTGAGATTGGAAGCTATCAATTGTAGCTGTGATTTTTTATTATATTTTTGATTACATCTTCGGCTTTTTTCTCCTTTATTAGTGGAGACGAGACTACTTTAACTGCATGCAAACTATACTTTTTCAACGATATATTTCATTTTGATTGAAAATCAGGTTCTTCAACAAGTTTTGATGATGTTTTTGCCAAACTGGAAGCAGCTGAAAAGAAGAACGATAACATGAACTTGAGTCTTGTTGATTACATTAAGACAACAAGTCTAACGTCAGAACATTACAAAAATATCACTCCTGCAGAGCAATGTCAGGTGATGAAAACTGAACTTTACATAAACTGGACTATATAGCGAGCTATCTGCCCAATAATACATTGGATAAGTTGATGAATGACTTGGGCGGTCCAGATAAAGTTGCTGAGGTCAGTTGATGTTTGCTTTAAAGCTCATTACATGTTCAAAAACTGTTTCTCTTGAAGACATTTTTTGATGGGATATTCGCTGTAAATGTAGTTGATGTTTTTAATTTTATCCAAGATGACGGGACGTAAAGGACGTGTGGTGTCAGGGAAGGATGGTTCTGTACAATATGAACTTAGAAATGAAAGAGACGTTCGCTTGGAGATGTTAAATATTGCTGAAAAAACGCGTTTTATGAATGGAGAGAAGGTTTGAATTTCATTTATGTTATTATATTTTTCTTTTATAAATGCTTATTTTTTTCTTTTGTCCAAAGAATGTTGCCATTATTTCTGAAGCTGCAAGCTCTGGTATCTCTTTACAAGCAGATCGTCGTGCTAAGGTAGTCACCATTTGATTGCTTCATTAAACGAACAAACTTAATTGGTTAGTTTCGCGACTGCTGTTAAAGTTACAATTCGTCTTGGTCTGAAGTTGTTTTTTTGTTTTGTTCTTCAGAACCAAAAACGTCGTGTACACATAACTCTAGAGTTACCTTGGAGTGCAGATAAAGCTATACAACAATTTGGTATTTACTTCATTTTTACTGTTTCTTATCTACTATTATTCCGTCTTTAACTTGTGTTTTTCTTCTTTTTACAACAATGGGAGTTTTATCCAAGTTTTTATTTAAGGTCGAACTCATCGTTCCAATCAAGTTAACGCACCAGAATATCTTTTTCTTATATCCAAGTTGTCTGGTGAGCAAAGGTTTGCATCTATCGTGGCAAAACGCTTGGAAAGCTTGGTAAGAATGTTTTGTCGTATTTCTGTTATAGAGGATTATGGGTGTTAAATATGTATGTGTTTGGATGCATAGGGTGCGCTTACACATGGTGACCGACGGGCTACAGAATCGCGGGATCTCAGCAAATATAACTTTGATAATAAAGTAAGCAATTTCGTCTATATACATATGTAATGCCAAATATTTTGAAATTTAGTGTAGCTAAATTATATTTCAATGCCATATGTATGTGTTTCAGTACGGTCGAACTGCCCTTGAGCTTGTACTTAAATCAGTAGTTGGTCTTGAATCACCGATAGTCAAGCCTCCATCTGATTATCAAGGGGATTTTTTTCAAGGTTATTTGCTTTATTTAGTTTTTTTGTTTTTAAATTATTTTTTATTGTAATCTAAACTTTATTTTATTTTTTATTAGATGTTCGTGTTGGTTTAATTGGTGTTGGTTTAGTTGGTGCGAACGGTATTTTGGATAAAGGTATCTCATTAAAAATATTCGAGAGAAACTATTCAATTTTTATTTAGTTGTTGTAGTTTGCATCTCATTTGACTTCAAATGGATATATTTTCATAGATTCCTTTAATATTTCCAAATTTTTAAATCGCCTTCTTGGATTGCAAGTAGCTCTTCAAAATGGCTTGTTTCAATACTTTACTAACACTTTGGAGGCCGTTATTCAAAGAGCAAAACGAAACGGTCGTTATGACGAGGGAATTTTAGGTAATTTCGTTTCTGCAACCAATGAACACATAGATTTCTCAACTTTAAATTTTTTCTTTTCATAAGATTTGGGCTCAAATGGCGAAGCTGTACACCGGTTAAGCACTAGAACGTTCGAAAATATTGACGCTTCTGGATCTACAGAGTTACATACTGTAAGTGTGGAGCGTGGTTTGTCTTGGGAACAAGCTCAAGTCAAATTGCAAGAAAACGAAATGGCAGACGAAGGATTTTATTTGTCAAAGCAGGTGAGACAGTTTATCTGACGATAAATAAAACTTTTACTAAATAGGATCATCATCAATGTTCATATTTGCTCATGGTTTAACTTTTTCAAGATTATTTGAGACATGAAGATAGAAATTCCTGTCCAAGAAAAAATCCAAGAATTTTCCCTCTATTGTTTTGTGTATGAATCGTTTTAGGTACGAAACAACAAAAGGACTGCAATTCTTGTAAAACAAGTGTATAATTTTGGAAAAAAACGATTTTTTCGTGTTTATCGACCAAACACTGGAATGCAATTAAAAATGGAAACACTACCCGAAATCCAGAAAAAACATGATAAGGTTCGTGGAAAAACTCAAAAGAAACTAATCTGCTTGCTTCTCTGTCCTTTTCACAACTTCTGTTGATCGATTGTCATCTTATCTCTCTTTAGTTTTGATATGTAAACATTTATTGTAGTACATCAGAAATCATCGGAAATGATTAGCGACTTTTAAATTTCAGGTTGCAATTTGGACGGCTGAACCTGCTTGGATCGAGCAATACGAATCATCAGAAACACAATGCTCTCATTCCTATTGGTTAGTTATTTGTAACGTTCATTTATTTTGTTCTTTTGTCGTTTGTTTACATCGTTCCATTGTTTAGGGTCACAAGAAACTAATCGAGTTTTTAAAGAGAACTAAATGTGCATGTTTTCATCATATTTGATAAAATTTACTGCCTTAATTTCATTCAGTCTTTTATTCAAGGCAAAATTTCACCAACTTAGGATTAATGCCCCTTTTAAACAGTTGTTTTATGTTTCATAATTGTTCTCATTGTGTTGACGTTACTGTTTGCCAGGAAAGGAAACTGTAAAAGAAAGGTTTTGGGTTTATCGTGTGTTGTTGGACTTCGTACGCGTACCTATCATATCCTGAGTGGCTCAGTTTTAAGAGTCTGGGACATAGTGGAGGATGTCTTGAGTACACAGGGAGGTAACAATTCCCGGATGCAAATTATTCGTGTTCGAACGATGGACGGTTTACGTGTTGTTGGTAGGTGTCTTTTGGTTTATTATCGTAATTTTTGTGTTGTGTTCAACACATTTTTCATCTTTCATTTAGGTTCATCAATTCCCACTAATTGCGTAGAAGCTTTGAGCACTCGACTATCTTCATCGACTGCCAATGAATAATGTACGACAAAATGGGATATCAATGAACATCTGGGGTTTGAAGGATATATTATCGCGCTGATGTATTCACCATCGTGTACAAGAAAGCTGATTATTTGTGACGTATTTCATACTAATAGTTAAATGTTGAAGTATAATTTCGCTTCCTTCCCCCGTTTGTGTTTAAAGTGGCTTCATTCATTTTCAAATGCAAAGTTGTTAAGGTTTTTTTGTTTTGCTCTACGGAAATTTAATGCATGAGTTAGAAATTTTTTTTAAAGTAATAGCCTTAATTTGTCACAAAATCAGCTTTCAAAATATGATAAAGACATTGTGGTTGTTTTTGAAGGACGACGATTAAGAATATGATGGTTTAATAGTTCTTAATGTCAACTCAAAAATGCTCCGTTATTTACATTCACAAACTGGAAAATAGCAGTACGACTTGCTGTTCATTATGTACATACTTATTTAAATGTTCAATTTCTAAGATGGATAAGGTATTTACCAAAGGTGGTATGTATGTATGTATCTTTATCGCTGATGTGCAAAATGATCATAATGTTCTTCTGTTTGCCATTTTTTTATCTTCCTTAGGTGAGATTGTCGCGGAGAAGTTTGAACTAAATACATATATCTTGAGTAACTTCCCGGGCTTGCCCTTCGTCTTTTGATTTTGGTGCCCGTGGTTTGTGTCAGTTGAATTTTTCCAGAAATTTATTTCTCGACAAATAAATTACTCGTACTTTGCGTTTGTACACGGGGTCATCACGTGATTCCTCTAAAATTTTCTCAAGAATGGCGGATAAAATTTAGTGAAAGAAATATAGAATAAGTGTGCACGGAGAGAAAGTTTGCTGGAGAGAAACCTATTTTGCTGTGAAATATTCCTTACAATGACAAGTGAAGATATAAAAAGAGAGTCAGATAAAGATGACACTTCGTCCATTCCAGCATTTGCTGTCAGTGGTCAATTTATGATGACTTCAGAAGAAAAAGCGATTCCTTCTGAAGAGTTTAATCCTCGGAAAATAGTTGCTTTAACACTTGATGATTCATTAGCGAGACTCTTTGAATGCCTCACTCTTGAATATAGGTAAAGAAATTCCGATTATAAATCTGTTTGTCACACAATGCTTTTTCTTTTCTACCGTTCGTTAATATTTGTTTTTACGTCATATTTTTTATAAATAATATTTTTATTTTCATACGTTGTGTGATGTTAGTATAGGTCTTATAAAATTAATATTAATGCCAAAGATAGCTTTAGAAATGTCTGCTATAGTTGAATGTAGAAAGTCGTGCATGGGCTCGTTAAATTTTGCTTTTTAATTTATTACGAAAATTTGCTTATGGAGAAAATAATTACAATCTTCTTATTCACCAAGGCAAGTTACTTTAAGGTTGTGTTGATGTGTAAAGCAGTTGATATTGCTCATGGTACGATCGTTTTTTTTTTCTTCATGATGACCTCTTATGCAATCTTCAATAAATTTAAATTCCGTGTGTATTCCTACGTTAGACCGTTTCACATGATATTATTCTGTAATGACACAATTCGATACAGTTTAAATTTCTAAACCTGACTAGATTGGACACAACGTTTATGTATGATAATTAACTACATTATAGGTCAACTATGTTTTGTTGACCTGAAGAAAATAATAAAAATATCTATGAAACAATGTTTTACAAGCTCAATGTTTAGTAAATGTGCGTGATTTTTCTTTATGTTTTTGATGTTGTTTCACAAGCAGACAAAATTTACCATTGAAAACTAAATACCAACCGAGTTCAGCAAGTGTTTATGCAATATTTAATACATAATATGTTTACATTATATTTTATTTGTAGTGGCAGCATTCTCCTCACACCTAAGTGGAAAAATTTTCGAAGCCAAAACTAAAGTTTGCTGAGAAAACACGTATCAATAATGCAATTTGGAGATCGTGGCATATTCAATGTAAAATTGTTTGTTTTTAAATGTTATGAATGGGTATTATTAATAATAACATTGGACAAAGTTGTTTTATTAATGCATTGTATTTTAGTCATTTCTATTCTCTTATAGTTTATTCATTTATGTTCACACATATACTCATTGAAATTTTTTTATCTTTATTTTGTTCATTTCAGTTAAGGAAGGAAAGCGACCATTGTTTTGCCAGTTTGACAATCCTTTGGCAGAAATGGCCAAGAAACCAAGACCAGTGGTAAGGAAATGTTAGAAAGGGCATTTTCTCTACTGGAAGGATTGCTGACTGAGTGGTTTTATAGACATTAATGATAGAGGGAAAATATTGGAAAAGAAAATTAGAAGCTGTTGCAACAGAGTACCAAAAGTGGAGAGTGTTTTATAAGCAAATGGTATGTATGTCCTCTTCACGTTTATGTTATAAAGTTTAGTTTGATATTTTTGCTTTTGCATATGGGATAATTTTATGATTACATTAAAGGTGGAAGATAAATTTCAAGATGTTGAGTTGCAGCATCAAACAGAAGAGGTTTAGCATAATTTTATTTATACTATATAATCTATGTTTTCTAAACATTAACCATTGGGTTCAATTATCATTTTCTGTCAAAAACTGTGAGAGTTTTCAGCACCTTGAGAGTTCTAGGTAATGACTTGTGCTTTTTTGAGACACAAGTCATAAAACAGACTTGGTTCCTTGAAACAGGCTTGGTTGATGAAAAATTAATTTGTTTGATATGTGATTCATTGTACAAAGGGAGTTAGAAAGAACAGGTGACCAGTTAATACAGGGCTTAGGAAAAGCCATTTTCTATGAAATATCTTTTCTAAATACTTCATACGTAGATCTTACGTCTTGATCAAGAAATCTCTGATAGCTTGAGAGAACGTGAAAATAAAAGGTAAATTTAATAACTGAGTAAATCACATTTGTGAGATTCAAATTGAAAGTCTGTTTTTATTCCTGGTTTTCATCATAGACAATAATTGAAACTTCACAAAATATAGGGTATTTAATGTATCTTAGCTTTTCTTTATCTGAAAACATATGTTGTAATAAAGCTTCATTATCCTTCTCAGAGATGTAAAGGCTGATGTGCTATGTCATGTATGTGATCCACAAAATGAAAATTATTTATGTTGTCTTAACAAGTGCCATATTGTGTGAACTTTAATATGATAAAGTAATGAAAAGTACATTTAAATACAACCAATAATCCAAATATGAACAGAACTAAACATATTAACATAATATAACATGCATAGTCTATTTCAGAAAATTATCCAATTAAGTTCCCGTATCAAATGAGGAGTTTTTGTCATTGTAGAAAATATTCTCTTGCAAATCAAAAACAGCAGGATGGTGGAGATATGGCATCACCAATTTCTCATGTTGTGTCACAAGCCATGGAAATGGTGGATTCTTGTAACTTAATGGAAAGTCTGTACATTTTATTAATTCATTTTTGCTGGTTTATTATTGACGGGAAGTATAGTTGATTGCAATTATATTTTTTATTCTAGATATGGTCTTCACATTACCCGACACTTTATTTTCTAGTCTTACAAATAATCAGGTTCCTGGTAAAGTTCGGTCAGGTACATTTAAAGGTCTGTTGTTTTCTTTTTCATGTTGAGAAAAGAACTGTTATGGATCGATCTCCACAACTCTGAGGCAAATCAACTAAATTTCTGAAAGCTTTTATTTATTATTTTTTCTATACATATAACAGATACAGCAGACATGGTGCAACCAACACTGGATACACTCCAGCCAAGTTTAGAGGCAATGACTCCAGTTTTGGATGAACTAATTGAACAACTAGAAGCCTCAATGAAAGGCTCTGGTGAGGAAAAAATTGTAATAAAAATTGAGCTGCAACTGAACAATATTCTTCAGATTTTAAAAATTGATATTTGGTAAAATTTTGTTTGTTAAGCTAGCCCTTTTACCTGTTAGTGTATAGTGGCTTGCATAAAATCTTTTTGTACTTTTTAGAACTCAGTTGGGATTTTGAAACATTGGAGAGAAATTACAACGCAATGGGTATAGTTCAGTCATCCAATACACCTGTAGTTGAGCCTATGGACCATTCTGGTCAGTACAATCATTTTGAAACTGTTGGAATGACTATGACAACATCAAGTCCAATTAAGACCAGTTGGCCTAACCAAAATATACAACATTCTCTGTATCGTGGCAATTCAATTGAAAGTCAGTTACCTATATGGACATCAGCACCAATTGTACATCCCAATTTTATTGGTTATCAGACTGTCAAAATGCAAGGTAGTCAAAACGAAACGACAGAACAGAACGTCACAAGACGTAGTCAAATACAAGCAACGTCTATTATGGATGTTGGTGTATCCAACTCACCTATCACTTCACGTCCTTATCTACCCCCTACTGGTATTGGTAGACGCTTGCAACCCATTGCCTCTGTAGTTGAAACACCAACTTCCAGAATACCACGCAACTCATCCGACTCTCAACTTTATCTTCTTGCTGCTGGTGAAAATTCGTCGAGGTCACATCTTCCTGTTGAGCTCCAGGCTCCTAATCTCGTTGCGCAATTAAAACTAAATAAACCACGGCAAATGTTGATTGAAGAGAAAGCAAAAAAAATCCGTCTTCCTCGCAATAAATCTGCTCCAGGACTTGCTAGTCTCGACTCAACCTCATCCTTAAGGAAGGTACCCCAAGTTGGTGGAGTGAGAACGAAAAGACTGGGACGTATTCCTCGTAACCGTTCAGACTCCGCTTTAGCGTCTTTGCTACGACAATCCGAGTCACTGCCGAATAGATCACGACGTGACTCCGAATCTAGTGACACACCTCCAACCATGGAGGTGACTTCATCTGAAACAGCAAGAAGGCTTGAACAGACTGTGCAAGGTTTTCCAAAACATCAGATTTACAATCGAGGTGGTCAGAATGAATCATCGCAACCTCCATCACAACTTGTGCAAGAAATGGTTAGTCATCTTGTTAACAAAGGAATATCAATGGAAGACATATTGAATAAACTCACTAGTATGGCTGCTTCCGGAACTGTACCGCAGGCTCAAGCTATATCAAGTCAGGTTGGTCAATTGCTAACTGCTCACCGATTGGCTAGGACATGTGTTCTGTATTAACTGTATGACCCTACTACAATATTTCTCTTCATATTTTAAAGAAAAGTGCAATTTTCTTGGTAAATAACTAAAAATTATAGAGTTGCCAAGAACATTTAGGTGTTTATCAGTATTCATGACTCTTGGGAACTTTATAATTTTTGACTGTGAGAGTTTACTTAGGCTTTCTCCGACTTTTTATCGAATCATATTGCCTGATCACCAAAATAATAGATTTTGTTTCAAATTTCATTTTTACCAGATTAATTCAGCTGCTAGTGATATGGCAACTTTACTGCAGGAACATCAGTTACAATCTACTTCTATTTCTAAACCTCCACCTCATTCAACAGTTTTACCTTCGCGGAATCGTCGTAAGGCGCAGGTTCCTAGACCTAATGTCAAAGCAGAAACTTCAAATGAATGTGAGAAACGTACCTCAACCTCGAACAATTTCATCGTCCAAAACTTGTTGGCACAAAACAAAACTTCATCGTCAGATTATCGTGCTGCAAATGTTGAATCTCCCAGCACTAGTATGTCAAATCCCCGATGGGGGAATGAGTCCATTACTATGACCCATGGTTTGGCTGCACGTACTCTCGCGCAGATGGCAGAACCGCTGAGCTTGCAAAATAAGGGCTCGTATCAATTTCCAATGGATATTTCCGACTCTAATATTAGTCGAAGTGCTTTGAAGGATACCGGTTTGGGCCGAGTGGATACAAGTAGTCCTGGAGGCGACTATCTTCCTTCTATGGTTATAAACCAAAGCTCTGTATGTGCTGTAATACATCATCTTTAATGGATGGTACTCTTATTTACCGTATTGTTTTTTTTGTTTTATTCTAGATCTTAAATATTCATAGTGAAGGTCAGGCTTCAACCTCAAAGACAATAACAAGCAACAAAAGAGAAGGTAGAGTTTTAGTAAATTATGAATAACTTACACAAACACCAAAAGTCATTCTTATTGTGTTTGAAAATATTTATGTTTTGTTTTGTAAATACGTATGAAACTATATCTTAGGTCCTTCAACTCCCTTAAATCTCACCAATATAGAAGCAACTTCACAGGTACTTATCTTTATAATTTTTACCATCCCCATACCAACCTCAATATCCTTCTCTATCCTCAACCAACAACTTCTACCTCCATAATTTATGCGTTTTTCTCCTCCTTGTTCTGTCAGAATAATTGAACGCTTCAACCTTTAACATGTCACTTCAGTCAAAACATTTTAATGGTCTGCCCAAACTTGAGTTTTAACAATAACAATATTATTTGGACAATTTTTAATGAAACGTATATTAAATTAAGTAAAATTTTCTCTTCAACACTTCATCAACAGAATCGTAGTGGTGCTTTGACTCGGACAATACCCAAAGAAGAATACAAGGTAATCTTTGTTGAATCTCATTTTTAGTTCAATACAGACTTAGCAGTATTGTGAGTAAAAGCAAAGTAGCCAACACACAAGCACGGCCATTACACCGTGGACAGAAAGTAAATTGCTTTCTAAAACCGTAGACAAAAAGACAACTATTGGTTATGTAGACTATTGCTTTGTTCTAAATTTATCTGTTTTGGATTATTGTTGAATGAAAAACAGTTCGATTTCTCCCTAAGGTCTCCTCGGTTTACATATGCCTTTGCAAACACAATAAACATATTTTATTTCTTAAATGGGAGTTGATGGAGAAATGAATAGATGTGTGAGACATTTTATGGTTGATTTAAATCACGACTCGAAATGCAGTGTATTTTTCATATGCACTATTCTGAGATCCCTAGTTTTTGTTTGCTTTTTTCTTTAAATATTTTACCCTCTTTTCATTCGTCTTTTAATAGGAACATCGTCGGATGGTACATGTTTCCGCTGAGCAAAAACGCAGAGGGCACATAAAGGTCTCTCTTTGTTAAATTTTTACGTCACGTTTCTTTGTCACTATGAAATCTGTCCTCTTTATTTTCACTCCTTCACTAAATTACACAATTTTTTATATGATTTTCCTAGATGGGCTTCGATCAGTTGGTTGATCTTGTTCCAGCTCTTGCTTCACAAGGAAGTGCAAAAATTAGCAAGGCGTCCATTTTACGTAAATGTTAGTTAATGATTTGGTCAAATGGTAAATGGTTTCCAGCCCACCCAGTATTATGTAGTGTTCACCAAGATTATTTATCAGTAAAATGTGCTTTCGATATTTCTTTCCACAATCTTGTTTAAACGATGTCTAATTATAATGTCTGACGGTTTGTGCTGCTTTATCCATTTTTACTGCTTCTATTTTAGCCGTGGATTTTATTTTGCAAGTGCAACAAGAACAAGAATTTATGAGAAAAGAACGAGATAGTCTTCGTCAAAACATTGACCAACTGAACATTGAGATAAGGTTTGTTGAACTATGATTTCTACACATTTGTTCTCTTGTGTTCATCATCTTTGTTCTTTGTTATATTTTTTTCTGTTTTCAGTCATTGTCAACAGCAATTACCAGAAAATGGTGTGTTGGTAAACAGACAGGTAATGCAGTCGAAATGTTTTATTTTGAGTCATGGAAGAATTTTGCTGTATTTATATGTTCGTTACAGGATAAAAACGAAATGGATACGTTGTTTAATCGTTATGTCAAAGAAAGAACTGAGGAGAATCCCAAATTTTGGATTGTATCCTTTTATGATTACCTTATCATCGAAGATCTTGATTGTTGAAAGTCATCACAGACAAAATGAGAAAACTTGAGAGGAGGAAACCTATTCTTGCATAAATCTTTTTGTAAATTCGTTTCTATTTCTCCTTTACAACAAGTGTTCAGTTTAGCGTTTTAATGCGTCCGTTATTTAATGACTACAGCTCTATAGTTTCTACTGGAAGTCAGGAAGACTTTTACAGAACTGTGTTGAATTGGATGAATGAAAGTTGTTCTTTACCAAAATTGAGACCAAGTAAGTGAAATATTTTTGTAATAATCTAGTCGAGAATGCTCATATTATTTTAATCAGAAAGTAGAAGTGCTCTTTGTGTATTATTGGAGTGGATAGCAGTTTTAAGAGTGTGTGGCATTTCTTTTTTAGTCTTATCAATGTAACGTCGTATTTCTCTTTTTAGGTGTTCTTGCTTCCCTGCGTGAGCTTATCAAAAACACTAGTATTCTTTCCGATCCTTCAAAATTTCCCGAGCAGGCCCGACTTGCAGCAAACACTTTGTGCTCCCAAACACATTATAGCGAAAACTACGAAATGCCTAGGTAACAATGGAAGTGTTCTCGTGTCCTGTATTATAGCTCTATTTACCATCTGGTTGATAAGGGTCACTAAGATGAAGACTGAAAGTAACAGTCTAACAGTCTCTTCAATATAATGTATGTTGGTCAAATTGTGGAAATTAGGTATTTGAAGTTTTTGCAAATGAGTCGTTTCAATTATACAATCATTATTGAATGTCATTTTTCAAAATATATTGAGAATTATTTATCATCCATAAAATGATCTTTGTGAGTCAGAAATGTTGTTTTTTCGAACTTGCCCTCTCCCTGTGGTCAGTAAACATTTCTCAGAAAGAATAGCATGAGAGTGAATGATTTCTATGAAATTCACTATATGACGTCATCTCTGCATCATTTGCGCGGGAAATTGGAATGATAAATGTATGATTTATAAATAAAGATGGCGTACGGAGAAGCGACGACTAAAGGAAATACAATGCGTGAATTTCAACGGTTAAGGAAACATTCTATTAGGTAGAATACCAAAGTTGTTTTTTCTTCAACATTTATGGGATTTGAACCCGCGTGTACTTGTGCTGATGGTTTCTTCATAACAGTTCAGATGATGATCGTTTACACTGGACAAAGAGCTCTGAACTTGCTGAACTAGAGCGAGAATGTACGTCAGGGTGAACATAACATTTACTGTTGCATTTATTAAACTAAGAAATATTGTATGATGAAATCAGATCATAGGTTATTACTGAAGAAAAAATCATTATCGAATAATGTACGAGAGACGATGTTAGTTAATCAACTGCAATATTTTGTACAACAACAGGCTGAAGGTATGTATGTATTGAATTCATATTTTGCATGAACGATATATTCATTTGATAAATTCAACTGGATTTGCTATGACCTATTTTGAAATTTTTTTATTTTTTGTAGGAGAATACGTTCCACTTGGGGATTTAACAAACGAAGTAAGATGTGTTGTGTTGTGTATGTTTTTACAAGATAATGTTGAACATTTCAATTCTTACAGTTGTATAAATTATTTTTCTTTAGGATAATCTCTTTAAAGCTATTGAGTTACTTAAGCAAAAAAAGGTATTGATCAGTCATAACTTAAGATAATCACCTCCATACATTCTGCTTACTTTAAACGTTCAGAAACAGCTCAATTTACATGTTTTCCTGTAGTTAATGGAAACATATAATGTTTATCGTTTAACGGGAAGTGCATTTGTTTTATTGGAAAACAATTGTGTTCGTTTTTGTTTTGATACGTTCTATAAAGGTAAAAAAACATCATCTGATTTTTACACACAATTTATAAAAAAAATACCAAGTTTGTATTTTCTACTTTTCTACTTTGCAGATCAATTTTTTGAGCCATTCTATATTGATCTTAAAATTCAGGATGAAAGAACTAAGGTAGCTTGTTGTTTGAAATATAAACATACTGCTTCTAAACCTATTAATAAACTTTTCTTTGTAGATACTAAAGCATACCATACCGTTTTTCATTCCACTTGAGAAAATCCATAAAGACTTAGATAAATCATCTGATGTTAAAGTGGGTGATTTTTTTTAATTATTACCTTCATTGTATTGCATAATATTGTTGATCAAATATATGATCACTTTATAGGAGTTAGTTGTAACTATCAATGTATACCTAAAGGCCTACATATCACGTCGACAACAGGTAAATATTTGACTTGTACTTTGTTAAGTAAAGTTTAAATTTATAAGATACAAGCTATATTTCACATGTATTTCTCTAGTGTGAACAAGTTAAAAAAGAAAATGAACATTATTCTGTGGAGAACCTCTTTGCAACGCTTGCATTTGATTTTGTTAAGTTTAAATTAAAGGTATGTAGTTGTGACAACAATGAGTAAGGTAAAAACCATGAATTTTGTATTATAATATACTACATATGTTCAGTATGAACATTTCAGGTTTTTTATAGTTTCCTTGCATCAAAACTGATATCATATTCACCCTTTAGTTTTCCAATGACGAAAATTTGCATTTTGTGATTACACTGCAATATGGTGATCTCAAGAGAATCTACCATCAAAAGTGAATTTTAAGAAAAATGGCAATCTTGACAGTGTTATTGTGACTGATGAACTGTATACAAATTTAATGTCCATTGAGATGCAAGATGCTATAGTTACATCCATAAAATAAATACACTGCACTCTTCTTTTGACATCAAGTATTCTCACATTTTCCCAAAAAACAAGTGAAGAATAAAGTTGGTTGTAATCTTATTGACTCCATTTAAATGATTGAAAAAAGTGGTATAGCCAGCCTCAAAGTTTGGTCATGCGATATAAATTTTGATAATTAGCATTATTCATCCAAATATCGTGTTTTTACATTGAGTACAAACCAAAATATTTACATGACTTGACCAAACTTGTGGACTGACATTAGGGCATCCAGTAATATAAAGATGGAAAGTGGAAATTTGTTTGTGTTAGGTTAGTGGTTAGCGTTCATGGAATACTAATAAATAAATTATTGCTGTAGACAGTAGTGACATGTAGGTGACATAATTGTGATCACCAATATCGCTACTCGTATTGTTTATTGTGACTATGGTACCCAGGCTACGTACGCGCGCATTATTATCGAATAAAAATGGCGATGGAAACGGTTCCCAGAGAACTTCGTGGTTTAAGAGCTTGTTTAATGTGTTCCTTGATCAAGGTAACGGATATAGTTTGATTTTTTTTTTAGCTAAAAATAATGTGTTTCTTCGAACGCGAGATTTTACTGTGTTAGCTGATATTTAAAGTCGCTTTCGTTCAATAGACAGCTGATCAATTTGAATATGATGGTTGTGATAACTGTGAAAAATTGCTTCGCTTGAAGGGTAGCAAAGAAAGTGTCAACAGCTGCACAAGCTCAAATTTTGACGGGTAATGATTGATAAATTTTGTCGTAAGGTTATCAATGAGTATCAGTTATTTTTATGTTAATATTTGCTGTAGAATTATCTCATTAATCAGTGGAGATGATAGTTGGGTGGCAAGATGGCAAAGGATAGGTAAATCATTACATTCTGTGGTATATAAATCGTATTCTTTAGATTGAAATTTTTGATATAATTCAGATAACAAGGTTCCTGGATGTTATGCAGTATCTGTGACAGGAAAATTACCAATGCATATATTACGAGAACTGAAGGCTAGAGGAATTGATCACATTTCAAGGGATCGCTCACAGAAACTTTAATGTATGTCACAAGATAATTTTTTTGGTTATAATATTTATTTTTGTCATCATCAAATCTCTACCTAGATATGAACTATTGTGTTGATTACTGATTTTCAGCACTGTTTTAACTTGTGGTGTTAAATGAACTACAAATGGCAAAAAAAAATATTCCAAATTTTTTCATTAAAATTCAACATTATTTTTCAACACTGAACAAATTATAAATATCAAGAAAATACCTTTTGTATAAATCAACATGCACAAAGGGAAGAAAGAATGTCAAGGTTCAGCAGTGGTTGCAATCATCTTACTCATTTTTTCATGACACAACTTAACTTGTTGTTTTGCTAGCCATTGTTCATTTTTTTGTGCCTGTCGTATAGTATAACACTGAAAATGATTAGTTTTTCTTTCCAGTATTCCAACAAGCCTGTAATGATAAAAAGAACTGTAAAGATTACCTTACCAATAAAACTTTTCTTCAAATTCGTAGATTTACCTATAAACTTGGCCTTTAACCACTTTGGGTAATTTTTGATCCTACAGCATCAAGGGATATGTAAGGATAACAAAGTATACATTTATACTCATAGTGATAGTGATGTTCCTACTTACCATTTCCCAGTAGATACACCTGTTTTAAAATAAAATATTATAAAGGTAAATTCATACTGCTTATGGTGTGAAAAAATGTTTTGCAATTGTAGACCTGTTTGAGCCACTCTGGTCTTTGATGTTAAAAATTTTTGCTGTGCCATTGTTGTTTGATGTTGGTACTGAGTCCAAAGTGACTAAAATGAAGAAGATATCACTAGATATCACTAGAAATTTGGCTGTAAAGAGAAATTTTTTTCAGTGTTGAAAAACTGACCAAATATTTCAAAGATGAGAGGAAACATATCTCTGTATTGACTCCATTTTCGTACTCCTTCTATTGTGGAGGTTACGAATTTCGTAGATTTGTCTTGTGTTTTCAGTAAAAATCCTTCATGATTGCTTTCAATATCATTCTAATAAAGTAAATTAATCTTTATATTATTGTATTCTATAAGTGATGTGTGTGTTGATGAATGTACGGACCTTAATGACTGAATTGAATGCATTAAAAGGAGCTTTATCATCCAGCATTGTATCTCCATATGGTTTGCCTTTGATAAGACTGTGATTTCTCTGAACTGAATTGTTGTTCATGTTGCTTGATTTCCTCCAAGAATCATCCCACTTTGCAGTTGCTGCTTCACACTGATCACTTCTTACTGTGTTTCTATAAGACCATGAAGATTAAATAATTCTTGTTAAATTAAACCACTATTAATAAGGCAAACCTTTCTCCAAAGTAAAAGCTTCTCTTTGTAGAATTTAGTGGATTGCTTGAGAAAGAATTGGTTGTTTTGGCGAATTTGTGCACTTCACTATTCTGCTCTGAAAGGCAAGATGTTTTTCCTTCAAATTTGTGCACTTCAAGTTTAGGCTTCTTTGGCATTAGATATTCATTCCCATAAAAATTATTGTTAGGGTGCTTTTGCAATGTGGAAGGTTGTCTATTTTTAGCTGGTCTTGAATTTTGAAAGGAGCTCAGAGGTGATGGAGTCCTCATTGAAAAGTAGTTTTTTGCACTGTTTTCAGCATTTTCAGCGACCTCTAGGAGGGCTTCGTCCGGAATGTCAAGGTGGAAGGGTGTTGACTTCACTGTATTTTGGGGGGAAGCATAAACAGCTTGTCTTGGACGTCTTCTTCTGTTGAAAATGGACATTCCTTGTCTCCCTGAGACGAAGAAAACGAGAAAGGGCTTAACCGACTTTGTTTACTTTGCCCTTTAAATTCATTAAAATTCTAGAAATGTTTTTTGCTTTTTGCAAATTTACCTGTTCCATTTGAAAACATGTTTTTTCTCTAGCCAAAAATCGCTCAAACCTTGGAGTTAGTAATCGTAGAAAGAGCCTTTTTTAAAAAAAACATCTTTTACTTCTTAGGTTGCTTTGTTTATAAATATTTCCCGCCTTTTTTAGAAGTAATAAACAGTGAACTCTAGTACAACTGGAATGATAACTATATCATTGAACAACAATACATCTGGAACGATAACTCCTATAGGTTTGTCAAGGAAGACACAAAAATAGACACGAAGTTAGACAACAAAGGTTTACGCAAAGTAAATAAGGAGACATAAAGACAGACATTGTTATTCATTGACAAGCTTCTGAAACATTCAAGCTCATGGTTACTGCTACGCCCCCTACAATTACGTCTTTTTCCCAACCAATAGTCTCAAAAGGATTAGGAAAATTTATCTGACAACCTTGGTTTGAGGCTCCTATTCAAGGCATTGTTTATTTTACCGTTGAAAGTTTCAACCGGTGTAAGTAATAAATCTTTCCGAAACCTGTCTTTAGAGGACTGAGCACGGCACGACTGTCGGAGGCCCGTTCATTGCGAACTTTAATTATTCAAAATGGCCGCGGTCATTGTTGCTGATGAAAGTTACGGAGAAGACTCTCTTCGCACACAATATTCACTTTTGTATGATACAAATCAGTTGAAACAAGAAAAGTTATACAAAGATGATAGCTATACTTCTTTTAATAAATTTATTAAGGTAATCACATTTGTATCAATTTTTAAGCATGTTGCCGAATCATCCTTGGTCACCTCCAGTCCTCCACCACTTCCACTCTATTTATTTGATTATTTTACTTAACAGGATGCTTTTCTCCCTCGAGGTTACCCCACCAGTGTCAGCAGTGATTATCGAGAGTATCAAATTTGGGATACTTGTCAGGTTGTTTGGGGCCTGGGGCCTATAGTAAAGGACCTCACACTAAGTTGCCTCATAGGCAAAAATTTCATGTAATCTGTATGCTGAAAATTAATTTTTTGGATAAGTCTCTAAATATGGCCCCTTGGCATTAAAAGTTCTTCTGTGTATACTATAATGTTCTTCTATTAGGCATTTTGCTCATCCATTATTGCTGCCCTAGCTGCGCAAGCCATGCTTCAAGCTTATGGTGTTGGTGATGAAAATGCAACAATTCTAGCTGCTACTTTTACATGGCTTTTGAAAGGTGAAAATAGTGCCACGTTCCTTGATCATTGATTTCTAGGTTATTGTAAGAAATAAAATGCTTTTTACTGTCTTGTTTTATCATGCTTTAGATGGCACAGGAATGGTTGGCAAGATTATATTTACATGGATGAAAGGGTATATAAAGTATAAAAGAATATGGCTTTAGTGCATTTATTTTATCTACCTAATTTTGAATTTTAGAACTGAGCTAGATTGCCATGCAAAAAAGTGGAGGTATATAGTAACTAATTTCTGTTAAAATATTTGAAACATAGTGTGTGTGAGCAGGTGAAATTTGCAAAAAATAAATTTTTATTCCTTATTTATAGATTAGTAGCAGATGTCATCAATGATCTTACATATTTTATTGAGCTCCTGGCTCCAAGATTCAAAGATTATTTTCTTGTCTTTGCTTGTATGTCAAGCTTATGCAGGGTAAGATTATGAAATTCCGAAATATCAGAATAGATTAATTGAAATGATTGAAATTTAAAGATCCATGCGATTACAAGTGCAAATTTGAATAGCAATATCAGTTTCAAGATATAGCAATAACAGTTTCAAGATATAGTAATAACAGTTTCAAGATATAGCAATAACAGTTTCAAGATATAGCAATAACAGTTTCAAGATATAGCAATAACAGTTTCAAGATATAGCAATAGCAGTTTCAGAACAGCAATAAAATCCTTTGAGAAGGTTAAATGAACTGTTATTCACCTTAATGTGGTTGTCTTATAGTCTTTGGTTGGTGTTTGTGGTGGTGCTACAAGAGCTGCATTGACTCAACATCAAGCTTGCATGGACAACATGGCTGATGTGTCTGCAAAAGATGGAAGTCAGGTTGAAATTGTAGTCTAATATTAAGATTTCAATTCTTTTGTCTTTATGTTAAGATTTTTGTATTTATTTTAGGAGACAATGATCAATCTTGTTGCCTTCGTTGTCAATCTTCTTCTTGTTCCTATGGTTACTGGTCATGAAAGGTTTGTTTTTTGTTAGGTTGTTTTTATGAGTTTTTTCTGAAAATAACAAAATTTTCTTCATTAAATCATTTAGTGTTATTTGGCTGCTGTTTGTCATTTTTACGTTTCTTCACCTTTATTGCAACTTTCGTGCTGTGTCAGCTGTCGTTATGGACACAATCAACTCGACTCGTATGCATTTATTAGTAGAAAATTTTATTAAAAATGGCGAAGTTCTCACTCCAAAAGATATCTCAGCCACTGAGCCCATTCTCACCAGTGAGTTTAAATACATATTTTTCATGTTTCTTTTTTTCATGGGGATTTAACTGCATTTTACAAATTTAGCCAGTTCAAACTGTCTACATGTTCAACTTGGATGTCGATTTTCTGATGTTGTTTCCAGGTACAAATTACAAATCATTTCTTATCTTTATTGTGTCGGTTTTTCAGTTGATTAACAGTTTTTTGTTTTTGTAGTGTTCATGATTATTATGCAACATTACAAAACTCAAAAACGAGTCTGTATTTGATGAAATTGGATATTTCAAGAAACTTTAAATCAGGTAATAGTCTACTATGAATTACTGGTAACAATTGACCCAATGTTAAAAATTTGTCATTTGAATGCATTGCATTTCTGAGTTTTGATTTCTTTTCATCATTGCAGGATCAGTAAATGTTGTTCTTCATAGAAATATAGATTCAAGAGATTTACTGCAATGCTATTTCCAAATTGCAGTCATGGATTTAATAATAAGAACACCAGAATTAAAAGAAACAGTAAGATTTTTGTATTTTTTTATTGTTTTTTCCAAAATCAACTGATTCAGTTTTAATATTTGATTCTTAGATTAAAATAATGGACAGACAAAGTCAGTTTTTACTGAATGATTTATGTCTTTACTGGCAAGAAATATTTCGTTGTAAGTTATCAATTAAGATGTTGTTATTTTTATTAATTTGTTCAAGAATTACTTACCCACTGACTTCAATAATTTAGATAAAGAATTTCCTACTCAAGCATCTTTGGATGTTGTGGCACAATTATACAGATTCACTGTTGAAATATTCCCAAAGTTTATCAAGGCCTTAGAGTCCAAGGGTTGGGTAACTTTAAGGAACCATCTTGGACCCAATGAGTGGCGTTCTGACTGGACTGCACATGGTAGCTAGTGAAGTCATTTAGCAAAAACATGTAAAGTCATTCTGAGCATGTATTCATTTTCTTTTGAGTGGGGATTTAACATAACGTCAAAAATCACAAAGAATTTAAATGCATTGTGCGAGTTTAGCCCAGAACAAAATGAAATGTTTGCTATTTGCGATGACTCTGTGTTCAAAGATTAAACATTTTTTATACGCAATCGCACAAAATTATCGGCAATAAGCTCTTAATCAAAATTTCAAAAAAGAAATAAAACAAAAGTACATTTGTATAATACATATTTTTGCGAACAACTGGGCCAGGTAGCACTTCCCCTTGGGTCAGTAACTTCTAGTATAAATAGTTTCATACAGTTTGGGGAGGGGAGTACATGGCACTTGCTTGCGATAATATATTGCTTTATTGCTTTATTCTTAGTTTCCTTAGTAACGTAAAGCAAAGTCATTGTGCTCAAATTAATCGCGACTTAAAATCTTTGTCCTTTAGAATGAAAAATGATTTTTGAAGAGACTACGATTTTTGTCGAACTGTTGTTAGGTTATTTATAGCAAAAAAATTGTTGTTGCCCTATTTAATACTTTATTTTTGGCGTCTCGCTTTATCCTGACAACAACGATATGAAAGAAGGTCGAGTGTATCCAATGAAAAGAATAAAAAGTACGCGACAAGACGTCGAAGTAAAGAAAAATGATCCCACTGAACGGACAGTTTCCATAAAGACTTCACTCGTTTCTCCATGGGGTATTCTGCACAAACAGAATAACGCAATATCAAAATGGAGACACTATGTTTGTAGTAAACGGGACAGGAGACATAACAGAATAACAAGAAAACCGTCAGATAAACGGGCAATGGTTGGGCAACCAATCGCTATGTTGAACAGTGATTTAGAGGACATACATCATCTTGAAGATATTGAAAGTCAAATCAAAAGTCAATCACAGTTGGCCAGCGACAGGGCTTTACTTATATATTTTGCAAAACTAGCTCGTGCAGATCCAACATTACCAACAACTGTTGTTGATTTTGATTTTGTCGACTCATTGATTGGAAATGGAGCTGATGTTAACATATGTGATTATTATGGCCAGACAATCCTTCATGAAGCTAGTCGTGCATGGCATACTGATGTTGCTTTATTTCTTTTGGAAAATGGTGTTAATATAAATAAAACTGATAAATATGGACGTACTGCCTTACATGTTGCAGCTGCTGTCGATTATCCAGAAATGATTGAATTCTTGTATGAACATGGTGGTTAGTGCATTTACAAATGCAGTATTAACTTTTTGTCTTACCACTTTAATGAAGATCGCCTTTAGCACCTTGAAACTAATGTTTAATGTTATATTTTTAGCTGACCTTGACGCTTGCACATTTGAGGAAAACCAGACACCAATACATTATGCAGCTAAAAATGATGCTGCTGCAGCATTGAAGATATTGATTAATATTGGTGCAGATGTGAATTGCAGGGACTATAAACAAAGAACACCATTATACGTTGCCGCAGAGTTAGGTGGGTGTACATAACTATGTCATATAATCAACCATGTTAGTTATTTTTATGTTAAGTAATGTAGTGGCGTTTATGATTTGTTGAAGCAGTTTTTACTATCCTAGATCGTTCTGCAACTGCCAAATTGCTTGTTTCTCTTGAAGTATCTGCTGGTGTTCTTGACGAACATGGTGTAAGTGCTCTGTCATTAATGGTTTCAAAAATGCCACCTGTTGCAAAAAGTGCACTGGATCAATTTCATAGCATGGATCGAGCAAACCGTAAGCAGTATTACTATCTGAATCACTTAGAGCCTAAGGAGAATGAGCATATTTTGGCAAGAACTCCTTTGGAGGAAGCAGTTCATTACAAGCAAATGGACTTAGTCATGCATCCTGTCTTTAAAAGGCTCATCCAGGTGAAATGGGAGTATTTTGCCATGAGAGGATCCATTTTTCAAGTTTTTGTACAATTGCTGTTTTGTATGCTATGGACGACTTTAGGTGTTTCTTTACCACGGACTTCATTACCATCGTGGAGTTATTACAATCCACCAAGCTCTTATTGGTGGAGAATTGTCCTGGAATCATTTGCTGTTACAACTACAGCACTGTTCATTTGGCAAGAGATTGATGAGGTATAAGTTTGAAGGATAAATATAATTGTAAAGTAACTAAGGTTTCCTGTTGATTGTGGAAAATTTTTATTATCTTTGCCGTTCACATATTTATGTTGAAGATAATTGTTTTAAACACATTGTCTTCAATTTAGGTGAGACAATCAAAGATGCAACATGATAGATGGAAAAAATGGCGAATTGGTCAACTGAGGCGAGACCTCAAATATTGTCATCCTCGCTGGCCTGAAGAATCCAAATACATTTACATGGAAATTTCGAACATTTCCTCTCAAGGAATATCCTATTTTCATAGTTACTGGAATTTTGTTGATTGGGTGACCTATTTTGGGATCCTTGCTGTTATACTAACACGAATTCTGTCTCTAGCGTTCAATGATAACACATTTCATCAACTCCATCCCAGAGTAAGACAGCTTTGTCAAATTTGAATATGAAACTGTAACCTTAAAAAATTTTATTTATTATTTTAGGTGATGTCAATATCTTTAATCTTCATTTGGTTAAGATTGATGAAAGTTTTCAGACCGTTTGAAGCTTTGGGTCCTTTTATTGTTATGATTGGCCATATCATAAAAAATACCTTGACATTTGGTTTTCTTTTTATATTGTTTTACATCCCTTTTGTGTGCGCGTTTTGGATAAATTTTGGTGGAGACGAAAATGCCAAAAAAATGAAGGATGCAGGTGAAAAATCCGAAGGATGGCGAACATTTAACAACTTGATGTACTCTGTTTGGGAGATCACCGTTGTTGGGAATTATCCCTGGGAATCCTTACTTGTCATTGATCGTACAATGGCTCAGATCTTGTGTGGTGTCTATTTAGCCGTGTCAGCGGTCATTTGTCTCAATCTCTTCATTGCCCTTATGTCCGATACATTTCAACGCGTCTACGATAATGCAAATGCTAACGCTGTCATGCAAAAAGCAAGTACAATTTTGTCTCTTGAAGCTGCAATGAGTCGTAGTAAAAAAGACGCTTTCCTTTATTATGTTCATTCAAAATGTGCCCCTGAGGTAAGATGGTAAGATTTTCTCTGCTCATCATGCCTCTCATTCTTTCATTTGTAAAATCATCTTTCTAAATAGGAGTCTTAATTGGAACATTTTGTTCAATATAACAGGAAATGTATTATGACGATGATTCAAATGAACCTGACTCTGGAGAATTGGAGAAACTCACAAATCAAATACATGATAAACTTCTTGAAGTTGAAGAAATGCTAAAAACTCCTGGTGAAGAAACAAAGCAAGAATCATTACACAACAATTTGTCCGTTCCTAGGTATGTAAATACTAAATAACTAATAGTATATAGTAGAATGTCAAAATACAGTTGAACCCACCGTAAACAGACACCCATAACACCAAGAACTTTGTGTCCGCTGTGAAGGCTTGGGGGAAGTTACGCAGACACAGGTAGGTAATAGCGTGTTGGTAAGGACTCAAAAGCAAAGTCCGCTTATTGGAGATGTACGTAGGTGGAGATTTGACTGTATTTAACAGCCCATGTGTTGTTGTTTTGAGGAAGTTTGTGATTTAAATTTCTTTCGTGTGCAGTAAAACGATAAGAAATTACTCTTACAACGTTGGTCCTTTTAAAAAAGAGTTTAGAACTGGTAAAGCTGTCTGAATGTAGATCATGTTGGTTTAGTTTAGGTTCCCTCCATGACAACACCGATTCATTATAAGAGATAATCCTCCCCAGATTTCTAGAAAGAAAAGTGAAAAGTTTTGATTAAAATTTATGACATCATCATTTATAGTTCACAAAAAGAAATACGTGATGTGATTGAGCGTCAAAATCGTGAAATACTTGTCATGAAAAAAGATTTAAGTGACATTAAACGCTTGCTAACTCAAGCCTTAGTTGTAAAACAAGGATCGATCTCTTCCGTTAACACAACATCGCCGCCTGTAGTAAAGAAAAGACGTAAGCAACGCACAAAGACAGTAAAGAAACCTTTGCGGGATATCATCCCTCAAAATGACGACGAAGACCGAAGTGCATCGTTATCTCAATTGAACACGAAACATGACGAAACTTTTTCTTTTCCTACCACAGATATTCGGCGACAAATACTGCCTTTCAAAGATGTTGCGCTAGTTGTTCCCCAGCAGGATCTGGGAACGAATAACTCTGCGTGTTAAGCTCAAATATTTAACTCACACAGTACTCACTGTTAGTCCGTGAGACTGTTTTATATTTTATGAAATGTCTACGATTCTTGCATAGAGATGATTTCAGTCTGCTTTCCATGCAAGTGGAAATTAAATGTTTCAAGACCTTAGTTATTCTTCCAATAGTGATTGTTATAACACTCTTTTAAAGTCTTTTACCCTCGCCCCCCACATTCTTGTGAAGCATGTTAAATATGAAACATTTTAATATGATCAAAGCAATCTCTATTGATAAACACCCTTTTCACAACTTCTTTGAAAAACTTTTATGTTGCCGATGTGCAACCAAACCAAACCTTTAATTCTTCCCAGGGGGGGTTATAATATTATTTATCTAGTAGCAATATGGCGGCTCATTTGTCTCGAGGACGGATCAATGTTGGTTTAATACGCGAAGCTGCGCGTCGAGAATTACTTAATTGTCTTGACAAATGTCCTGGAAGTAAGGTATTCATTGATAGTCAGCTTGCTAACATTTGCTCTTTACGTAATCATCATCTGTTTGCCGTTTCCATTCAGGCGCTTGTCTGGGATAATCAACTGACAGGACCGTTTGGATTGATTGCTGAGTACTCCTTGTTAAAAGTATACCATCCTTTATTGAGATTTAAAATTTTCATAAAATATCCTTCCCAGGGATGGATTCAGCCCTAGATAAAGCTGTTTCAATTAATTGGTTTTATGTGTTTCAATGATAAGATCTCATCAATCATCTTTTCAAAGGTGAGGAAGAGGGCTAGTGCCCACTCCCACCCACTTTTAAATTTTATGTTAAAAAGTGGCCTTTTTGTTTACAAAGAAAATGACCATTTTTACAAAAAAGTGCCTCAAAAATCTTGAGCCCCACCAACTTTCACTTTCTTTCTTCATCTTTGCATTTTTTCAATTACATTTTGTGTTGTGATTTTAAAAATTCTTTTGTAGGAACATGAAGTTGATGCAATGTTTCAGTTACAAGCAGGTCAACTCCCAAAGACTGTCCAACATTGTAAACACATTTTTTTTATAACACGTGCTAAAGTATCGCACATGGAGATGATAGCTGACAATGTTTTTGCGTGAGTTTGCTCTGTTGAGTTGAGACAATTTAAGTCAGTTTCACTAACAGTTGTCATGTTGGCCATGTTTTAAGTGAGGAAAATCGAACAAGTAAAAAAGAATATACAATTTTATTTGTACCACGTAAAACATTGCTTTGTGAGAAACGTCTTCAGGTCAGTATAGCAGATGTATTTATCATTTTATAATGTGTGTGTTTCAGTGACGTAAAGGACCAATGAAGTGATATTAAAAACTACAAATTTTTGTTTAACTCTCAGGGCCTAGGTGTAAGTTTCATTACATTAGACGAGTATCCATTGAATTTAGTTCCTTTTGATAATGATCTCTTATCACTGGAGATGGATGGTGCATTTAAGGTTCAAATTTACTTCAATATGTTTGGTTGAATTGGTCTATTTATTGCCTGACTGTTCATTCATTGTTTTAACAGGAATGCTATCTTGAAAATGACACAAGCGTCTTATATCATGTCACAAACTCTTTGATGACAATACAAGCGTTGTATGGTATTATACCAAAAATTTATGGCAAAGGGGAATTAGCAAAGGTAAATGTCAATAACTTACTGTTTTTGACATGGTTTTTACACAAAAGACTAAAATTAATATTCTGTAAAATGTTTTTCCTCATCATCATTAAAGTATTATTCTCATGCAACTGAGAAAAATGTATTCATATAGATTCAATTCTGTAAATTGCTGTTTTATTGTTTATAGCGCATAGTTGAAATGATGCTAAGAAAACGTCGTGAAGTTATGGAAAATGAGAACCAGATAACACCTCAGATAGATTGTTTAATACTTATGGATAGAAATGTTGATCTTCTTACTCCTTTGTGTACCCAGTTGACATATGAAGGACTTATTGATGAAGTATATGGGATACAAAACAGTAAGAATGCATTTCATATACTTCATTCTCGCTCGTGTAAATGAGATTTTTTTTCTTTATTTAGCATCAGTGAAGCTCCCTCCAGAGAAATTTGAAGTACCTGATGACAAAAAGGCTGGTTTAACCAAACCTGCACAGCCTGCAGGCCCCAAGAACATCAAACTAAATTCATCAGATCAACTTTTTGCTGAAATACGTGATGTTAATTTTCTTGCTGTTGGTCCTGTACTCAGTAGAAAAGCTAAACAGATCAGTCTTGCATTTGAGGTTTGTGATAGAAAATCAGACATTTTAACTGTTATTGATTGACTGAAGAGTGTAATTAGTGTGTTGAAATTTGTTACGAAAAACTTTTCGTAACAAGTATTCATTGGTAATTCCTGTCCTGTACAGTTTTCCTCGTTGTGTTAACAGTGATCTGTTGGTACGAACACTTGAAGATTTTGAAAAAATTAACCAAATTTGTAATATTTTGTCCATTGATATTCCAGGAGCACCGAGGAGCGAAGACTGTCAGTGAAATGAAGCAATTTGTCAGCAAACTTCCAAACATTCAAGCAGAAAAACACTCACTTGCCAATCGTAAGTTTTATTTTTGTTGCATCAATTCCCTGTGAATTCATTTGATGAAAAGTAAGGTAGTTTCACCGCAGACTGTGTTATTTAACGCTGTCAATTTTATATTTTGCTGATGTCGTTGATCGTTATAGATACAAGCATTGCTGAACTGATTAAAGAACATACAGACACAGAAGCGTTTCGTGAAAATCTTCAAATTCAACATGGTATTGCCTTTGTTTGCTATTTTAATATCTCTGCATGATTAAAACATTAAAGCATTGAAGTTTTTCTTCGAGTTTCATTTGAATTTTATCAATTTATACCGGTACGTTAAAGTTTTACGTCACGGTACGTTAAAGTACATCTCATTACATTACACTACGTCACGGTACGTTTAAGTACATCTCATTACATCACACTACGTCACGGTACGTTAAAGTACATCTCATTACATTACACTACGTTACGGTACGTTAAAGTACATCTCATTACATTACACTACGTCACGGTACATTTAAGTACATCTCATTACATCACGGTACGTTAAAGTACATCTCATTACATTACACTACGTTACGGTACGTTAAAGTACATCTCATTACATCACACTACGTCACGGTACGTTTAAGTACATCTCATTACATCACCGTCACGGTACGTTAAAGTCATCATTACATTACACTACGTCACGGTATTTTCCACATTCCATCCATTACATCACATTCAAAGTACATCTCATTACATCACACTACGTCACGGTACGTTAAAGTACATCTCATTACATCACACTACGTCACGGTTCCATTCATTCCATCCATTCCATTCCATTCCATTCATTACATTACATTACGTTCATTCTACATTCCATTACACTACGTCACGGTACATTCCATTCCACATCACACTACGTCACGGTACGTTCCTCATTACATTACACTACGTCACGGTACGTTCCACATTCCATCCACTACGTCACGGTACGTTAAAGTACATCATTACATCACACTACGTCACGGTACGTTAAAGTACATCATTACATCACACTACGTCACATTTATCTTTACATCACTTACGTCACGGTACGTTTACATCTCTTTACATCACACTACGTCACGGTACGTTTAACTCATTACATCACTACGTCATTACATCACACTCACATCACGTCACGGTTTAATATCTTATTCCATTACATCACACTACGTCACGGTACGTTTACATCTTAATCACACTACATTACATTACGTCACATTACATCAGTACATACATTACATCACACTACGTCACGGTACGTTTAAGTACATCTCTTTACATTACACTACTTCATGGTACGACGCTACATCTCCCTCTATCATAGAAATTATATAAAACAACCATAACAAGAGTAATTTTTAGTGAAAGTCCAGTGTAGATTTTACCATAATTTTTTATCGTGTTTATTCTATCCCAGAGTTCATCAGTGGCGTCGATACTGATAAAGTTAACTCTTACGTAGAGAAATTAATTGCTTTAAAAGAGCCGTTACTCAAAGTAATTCGTGTTTCATTTACTTTTCTCCAATGAATGAATTATCATGAAAATTGGTGAAACATTATTTACGTTTTAGGTTCTTCGTATTTTATGCATTCAAAGTTTAACAAATAATGGTTTTAAACCAAAAGTTCTTGAATATTATATGAGGGAACTCGTGCAGGTTAGAGTTTATAAACTTGAATTGTAAATCTTACTTTATGTCGTTTTAACAAAATACTCTTTGATTTTTGTTTAAAAGAGAACTTTTTTTGCATCCTCCAATGCCGCAATCAAAACATTTTTATTTTTGTCGCATATCATTTCACTAGACTTATGGACCTGATTTATTCTACCGTGTATTTACACCATTGGATAATGCAGGGTTTCTTCGGATTCAAGGTGCAAAACATTTTCCCATACTTCGAAAGTCGTTAAATCTTGATGTAAAAGACGTTCATGAGCAGGTACGTACTTCATGTTATTTAATTACTGAGTTTAATCAGTTTCTGCAACATCACGATAAACTAAATTGTTTGTGTTTTTATCCAACAGAATCCACGAGACATTGCTTACACTTATTCTGGTTATGCTCCACTCAGCGTTCGCTTGGCACAATATGCATCCAGACCTTCAGGTTGGCGTGGTATCGAAGAGGTATTTTTTACTCTTTTTTTTCAATATTTCATATTATTTTCTTGCAATACGTTCCAAATATTTTCCCCATCACGTTCGAGTACCAACGTAAATTGAATTCTACTTAAAGTTATGAAAAGACTTTTTGAGCGATTTTCTATACTGCGTTGTTTCATGAACGTCTAACTTAAAGTTCATAGCTCAAGACGCATATTCATCTTTAATTTTAAGGTATTGAAGTTAGTGCCAGGCCCCACGATTGATGAAATCCAGCATTTGCCACAAGGATTAAAACGTATGACAAGTATAAAGCATGCATAGTTTCATGAAAGAATATAGCTGATGGTTTGAGTATATCTGCTATTTAAGTTAATTTGAGCATGCAGTTTTTGAATTTTTTAAAAATTCCCAGCAAGATAAGAATGATATCGTAAAAAAATGTCTGGAGTGAAATGTTATAAACTTGCTTTGTGACACGCGCGATGTGTAAATTGTTTTTCTATTAATATTTTGCTGTTGTTTTTTAAAAGGCGCTGCTTCTTTAAATGAAAGTATTGAGTCCGCTGATGGACCACCTAAACTTACACTGATCTATTTTATTGGTGGATGCACTTATGCTGAGGTTGCTGCGTTAAGATTTCTCTCACAACAAGATAATGGTAAGGAAGTGTAGTGGACTTAATCATGCTTTGCACCAAATCTCTTATAAATTTATTCACCTCACGCATAAAATAAAACCATATAATGCTTACATTATATTCTTTCTTCAAGTTCAAACAGACTACTTAATTGCCACAACGAAAATGATAAATGGAAATTCTTTGTTGGAATCTATTGTTGAGCCAGAATACGTCAGTAGCAACCCTTTTCTATAGTTGTCGTTGATCACACAGGAAGGACTGGGGAAGACTCGCCGTGTTCGTTCGTATGCTCTGCATTCTAATAATAACTGTTGATTATTTGCATGTCCTTACTATTCAGTCATCTTTCTTCATGTGAAAATCAAGGAAAGGATAAAACTATGAAATATTTAATTTGACGAAGCAAATTCAAGCTATCTAATCGCGAAATACTTCTTTATATGACTAACATTTTGCACAAACGCTAACGTGTATTTATTGTCAATCAGTTGTTAGACTTTTTTCAAAAATTTCCACCTTCAAAGTTTAAACATACAGTTGCACACAAGTATCTCGCGCTGTTATACTGCTTACATCAAATGCTATCTTTTTTTGTACAATTTCCTATGGGTATGTTTTCTAAAGGTGTTTGTTTAGAGTAGAGGTGATTGTTCTGTTTTTAAAGATATTTTTATCAATTTTATAATAGCCTGTTTGAACAAAACAATGACACTCCCATCACCCCTACGACGACAACACTCCCCCAAGCAATGGTGCATAATTCTTGTATATATGTTAATGTTACATTCAAATGAACATGATTGGTTGAAAAAAGTCTCATGAATATTTCATATTTATAATCATTAACAGATGCATTCAAGTATTCCTAGCAGTTCTTTTAAGCTGAAAATAACCAGGTGATAAATCAAAAATGCGATTGCTTGTTCTTTGCTGGAGGAGATACACGACAACAAACGTTCAATAAATAAACATAATGCAAGAAAAACTCATACAGGAGTTGAAGAAAGAGGTTTGTGACCATGAGCGGCCATTTTAGATGTTCATCTCCAAGTTTGTTGTTTGTTTACTTGTGAGCGGGGCTTTTTAACCATTCGTTATTGTGGGAATTTCCAAGTAAGATTTCTAGTCTCAGACTGTTTCATATAAAGAGTAACACAGTTCAATTGTTCATATGAAGTAATAACATTTGTTTGCTCAATGGATCGTAATTTTTCAGGTAAAACAGATAGCAGAGGAGGCAGTAACAAGAAAGTTTATTCATGCAGATAGCACAAGTATCACATCGTTATGTGGTAAGGTTATGATACAATTGTCATGTTTTTCTGGACAACTGTGAATTAGTATCGGTCGGTTGCTCCCACAGATTTGCATCTCATTTTCTCGCTGCAATTTTATGAAACTTTGTGTTAACTCCGGAAATTATCGCGCCCATCACACTCCTAGAGAAACTAAGTAAAAGACAGCTGGGCAACGTTACGTACATATTTCAAATTTATTGCAAATTTGAGAAAGAAGCGAGGGTTTAATTACATCTTGAGAAGGGACAAGTATTGTCTGACAAATAACATATAACGCAGGTCAAAATGTTATTGTTATTAAAATTAAGGCGATTTAGTTGCGTATTATGTGGCTTTGTCGCAGTTGGTCATTTTATTTTTTGACATGTCTTTAAATGAATGGGAAGTGCAACATAAATGATGTATTAATATATTTCATTTAATTTCAGTAAACTGATATGCATTTCCTCCATCGTGTGAGACTATAATCTGGTTTTATTTTGTCCAAACAATGTAAACAACGCAAAGTAAACATGCGTAATAATCTCTGGTCAAACAAGCAACGTTGCTATTTTTCAGCGCAAGCACGTAGCTAAACAACGTCATCAGGTCAAATTTTGGTAGAAAAGGCCTACGTAATTGCTGAACTACTAGCTATGTAGGATTTTTACCCTCATGTATTCTAAGCTTAACCAAAATTACCAAACAAATGGCATTTTGCTGTAAGCATTTTTGCTGATTTGCATTTTCCTTCCATTTACGGATATATGAGCACACAGTATTCATGTTTACTACAAAATTACTATGGTGCTTAACTATATTCTAGCCTTTACCTCTTATTCCAACTAATATTAGCAAAAATAAACTTTTTTCTTAGCTGTTGTTGATGCAATTGTGAAAGATGATTGCAAGCGGCGAGCTGGTGGACTGTTGTCTCCATATGACACTGAAACTTTCTTGTTAAAGTTGAGTGAAGTTTCACCGTCAACAATGACTTTGCTTCGAAAGCTTACTGACACCGAGGCGCATGTTAATACCTTTGACATACATAGAGTAGATGCAGGTTTGTGTATTCATTATTATATCCACAAAGTTTATGGTTTTATCTCAGTTTAATTTTCTACTTTTTATTATCATTTAGAATCAGAAGATGAACCAAAGAAGCTTGATTCAAAGTTGAAGAGGTTAAACTTAGATCAATGTAAACTGTTGTATGGGAAGAATTCTAAATTTTTATGGATCAGAGTTGCATTGGTTGAAAAACTTCTTGCAAAAATCATCACGTCTTTGGTAGAGCATGCAGAGTAAGTACTTAAAAAATATGTTTGCTCATGTATGAAATCTAATTATCATTTAATTTTTTTATGAAGAAAGTTTTACGAGAATACAGCAATCTTGGCAGACTCTGTGTTTGGTCCTCTTGTGGCAAATCTACTTGGTATAGTTAACATTTATTTTCTTTTGTTTGGAAGTAAAATGTCTCTTTTGATGGAGGTATACAAAATTAGAATCATTTATCATTTAATGTTTGAAAGATGGTCCATGTGCTCTTGACTACTCTAAGATGAAGACACCTGATGGACGTTGGACTGATCCTTCAGCCAATGAATTAGTTCAACGTCATCGTATACACAGTGGTTTAACAGTTAGAAAACGTCAAATTTCCTTGGAAAAGCCTCAACTTGGAAGGATTTCTCCACTATTGGATGAGTTTGTTGTTGCTCCTAGTCTGGCTAGAGAACATGTGGAATCTTTGCATCAAAATTCTACTGTGACAATGTTGTTTGGAAAGAATAATGTTGAAGTTCAACCAGTAAATATGCATACTTGAATTAATTTTCACAATATTTATACTTTATTTGAATGATTTTTAAAATATCACATCAATTTGTTTATTTAAGATATCAGGCTCAGAATGGTTTGCTGGCTATCTCTCACTACATCAAACTCCTCACTCGTTACTTTTGAAATGGACACCTAATGAAATAATGAGTGGATCTCCTGATGAGCAGAATTTCCTAAACAAGAACGAGGCAATTACCATTGACACACTTGATGTTGTGTATGTTCATCTTCATCATAAAGGTGGGATAGTATTGCTACCATTGAGGATAGTATTGCTACCATTGAGGATAGTATTGCTACCATTGAGGATAGTATTATGGCGAGAGATAGGGACGTATGGCGTAGAAAAGTTCATGGACCGGTCAACCCCCCTGGCGGGGATTAATACTGGCCGGTATACAAATGTTGTTTGTTTGTTTTTTGTTTTTGAGGATAGTATTGCTACCATTGAGGATAGTATTGCTACCATTGAGGATAGTATTGTCACCATTAAAGATAGTATTGCTACCATTGAGGATAGTATTGCTACCATTGAGGATAGTATTGTCACCATTAAAGATAGTATTGCTACCATTGAGGATAGTATTGCTACCATTAAAGATAATATTGCTACCATTAAAGATAGTATTGCCACCATTGAGGATAGTATTGCTACCATTTTTAGGTGAAGCAGAACGAGTAATGGTGTTAATATCACAAGATGGTGTACAACGACCACCAATTCGCTTTCCTACCTTAGGCTCATCAATAGGGTTTCTTGAATGTCTTGAATCGGGTTTAGCACCATATGGAAGACTAGATCCACCATTGGTTAATGAGACAGGTGGACGCTCATGGTTCAATGATAAAGATCAGAAAAATTCCAAACAGACTGTAAATCAGGATTATGTTTTTCGACTAGTTCCCAGTATTCCCTCCGATGAGATAGGTTGGTATACTGTATTAATCTTATTGTGTTAATTTATTTTCTATCATGAAATCTCTGTGATTTATAAACTTGTAATGTCCGTTTTCAATACTTCTTCATGGTAAGGCAAGAGTACTTTTATTTCAACTATCAATTTCCGTCTTTTACTTTACATGCAACTCATTTTTGTGTTATGTATTCATTCATAGGTTTTGATAGTCATCTTAATTTCTGGACAACATCAAAACCTAAATCAAGGAAAACAAAAAAATTGAAAAAGATTTCAGAACGATCAAAATCTCGCTCTACACATCATGGACTTGTAAAAAAACGAGGAACTCCAATGACAAGGTCAGTATCTACAATTATTTCCCAATGTTTCCACTTGGTGTATGCAGTTTAATGGATGACTGGAGTGTGTGATTTTTGTACAGCAGAGGAAGTAAAATTTGGATAATAAAATTTTCAAAATTGTAAAATAGATGTTGATATTTTCCTTACGACAAAGAAATTTTTGTTATCTTAGAAACAATATTTTATTTGAATGATTGCTCAGTTCAAGTTGTAAATTTTCTTTTATAGAATTTTTTAATGATCAAAAAAAATTGTCATCAATTGCGCAGCGCTATTCGACATTCGTGCAATTGGCGCCAGTACTGCAATATATAATTATTGGAATTGAGTTTGATTGTGTTTTTTTTTTATAATTCCAGGGGCTCTCTGAGCAACGTTTGTTCGACTATGAAGCATCAAATATTATACAGAGCACTTAATGGATGTAGGTTTACATGTTTTTGTTAATCTTTATATCATTATTACGTCCTTTAGTGTGATGTCACATCAAGTGTGACGTCATTAATTATGATGTCATATCAAGTATGATATCATATCAAGTATGATGTCATATTAAGTATGATGCATCATCTTGGATGATTTTAAGATTAAAGAAAACTTTTGCCTTGTCGAAAATAGAAATAACGTGCCGCAGATTACTTGATTAACTCGTCTTTTTTTTTATATAATTTACAATATTTTGTTAAAGTTAAACATACTACCTCTACATACAGGGTTTTCTCATGTTCGACATTTATCCACGGTACAAAAACATCTTTCCAGTCTTGTTGAGCCTGCAGTGCTTACCGACACTGACATCACAAAGGAAGGCTTAACGCGACAAAAATGGTGCAACATCTATAAACATGGCGAGGTATGTTGAATAATGTATTTTATCTTAACTTTGCCCATTTACTTTTTAATTTTAAGTTTTGCTTGAAATTGAAGCCAGCTTTCAAATTGTGATTTTTAACTGTTTTTGTTGTTTTAGTTGTGCTCAAACAAAAATGAAATCGCCAGACTAGTGTACTACGGTGGTGTTGAGCCCGAACTCAGAGATTTGGTAAGTGAATTTTGATTTCTTTGTATTGTAATCATATAGGACAGATGAAAAAAAGTTTGATATTTTTACACCAGCAGTAAAGTTCATTAATTTACCTTCGGGGAAATATTACCTAGATTGACCATAATTGCTGTATTACTAAGGATACTTACGATTTCTTTAGGTATGGCCGTATCTTCTTGGATACTACAGATATGGTAGTACACTTGATGAACGCGAAGAAGAAGATAAATTGCGTCTTTGTGAATATAACAGGCTTGTAAATGAGTGGTCCAATGTTGAATCATTAATTAAGACACGAACGAGAGCATCGGAAACTGATCATGACAGCACTGCAGATAGCGCTGGCAGCAAGGAAGACGGGCTCAACGAAATGGAAAAAGATGAGTCCATTGAAAGTAAGAAAGAAACTGTAAAATTGACGAAGAATGATTTCAAGAACAGCGATGTAAAAGAAAACGATTGTGATCATGATGAAAAAAACACATGTTCGTCCCAGCATAATGGGAATCATGAAGAAATTGTTTCTGAACATAACCGAATCACTCAGGAAAATACTTCTGTATACGATGAAAATATAGACGGAAGCAACTCTCCAAAATCAGATCTTGACAATGAGAGCGGATGTTATGATTGTTTTGAGGAAACTGGAGAGAAGTTCAGTTTCCCGCGATTTTCTATTGTCAATGGTGGTGTTGGAATAACTAATGGTTACCATGGCAGTGGTGGTTACCATGGCAGTGGTGATGGTGAATGTGAGGTGAATCAAGGGGATGTGCGTGGATATAAAAGTTGTGATGACGAACATGATCACTCAATTTGTACTACATATTCAGTAAGTTTTCCTTCGAAAACATTTACTTTGTGTTGTCAATGTCTTCAATTACGACTGTTTGATGTTATTCTTTGTTTAAAGGACACAATCTTTCATTTAGGATGATCTTTTGAATAATTTTGGCATAAACGTTCATCGTATTGACAAGGATGTGTTAAGATGTGACAGAAATTATCCTTATTTTACAAATCAAAATCTTGAAAAGTTGAGACGAATTATGTGCACGTAAGTTATTGTGTTCTTGCTTGTTTGTTAATCTAATTCTTTCCCTTTTATTTGTTTCGTGTTCTTTCTTTCTTTTCACATTCATGCTTTAAAAAAGGCGCTGTTGAACGATAAAATATCTTCTATTAAGAACATGGTATTTTAGCAACAAAATTTGCTACGTCACCGCCAATGACGTAACACAGTGGAACGTTATTGGCTATGTAACATGAATAAATTATGAATATATTTGAGTTTAGTTACGTATGGAAGACATTGGATGTTGGTTATATTCAAGGAATGTGTGATCTTCTTGCTCCACTTCTTGTCATTTTTGATGATGGTATTTATTAAACCTTACTTTTGCATGTATTTATGTAGATCTTACATCTTTGTCCACTGGAAAACTTCTCATCTTCTTCGCACATTTATAAGTGCAAAGTTGCTTGCCAACTTTGCTGAATAGTTATGTGAAGAGTAATTTGTATGAGAAAGATACGTCTGACTACATTAAAATGTGTTTAGGATCTGCTGTCCGATATTGCAGAAGTTCTCTTCTCGTAAATTTACTCACAGAAATGTTCGTTCTTAACATGAACATGCATTGTTTGTTTAGTTCGAAAAAGCAGGGGGTTTTTTGTTTGAAAAATTGCACTATCCATGGATCACTAGTTTTGTCAATTTACCAATTTCCTTTACATAAAATGATTTGATGATCTGGAAACAAACATGTTTTTACGATGCTGTTGAAGAAGGATGAAGTTGAAACAGGGCTATTTTCAAATTATATGTCGTTCTTACTTGCAGAAGTGAAATCTTACTATTGCTTTGTCTTACTGATGAAACGAATGAACGCGAACTTTCCTCATGGTGGAAACATGGATAATAATTTTGCAAACATGCGATCACTTATACAGGTAAAATATGATTTTATTTGTGCAAGTGTGGATATTTTCATTAGGTAGTGATTTGTTCTTATGGATATTAAATATTTTTCTATTTACGATAGATTCTCGATCCTGAACTCTTTGAAGTAATGCAACAGAACGGAGATCTCACACAATGTTTTTTTTGTTATCGATGGTTTTTACTGGACTTTAAAAGAGGTGATTAATACCTGTTTACATTATCCTTTTCACCATGCTACGTTTTTCTCTTCAAATATCTCTGTACACACTGTAGCTTTCCAGCTATCGTTTTTTCACAAATTTAGAAATTTATAACATCTTACAATAGTCGATGATTGAAACTGACTGATTTTAATATTAGAGACAGACCAACAAGCTTTGGTCACATCTTTGGGAAGCCATAATTTTGGAAACATTTTCATGAAATATGCCGTAAAACTTTTTTTTAGAATTTCTTTACGAAGACATATTTCGTGTGTGGGAATGCATATGGTCCGCTCATGTTTGTTTTTCCAAGAATTTTGTTTTATTCATTGCTCTTGCTTTGCTGAAAAGTTACAGGTTTATCAAAAAATTGTCATCATTCATTTTGTCAATTGCGTTAGTGCAACGTCATGCTTGTTTCATGTTTTACAGAAATATTTTGATAGATCGTTGTATGGATTACACGGACATAATAAAATTTTTTAACGGTAAGCAAAAGTCGTTTCACGTGCATCATTTTTTATTGTTTTTTAGTTCACATTTTTTATTAATTTTTAGAAATGGCTGAGAGACATGATGCGCTTCAAATTTTGGAACTTGCTCGGGTTTCTGTACAAACCGTATCTACGTTAATACAAAATGAATAAATGAGACACAACACGCACGCAAACCTTCGTATTGTTAACTCATATTTATTAATTATAGGAATAATTAAAACCATAGGTTATGTAAATGTGTACCATGGGGCACGAACACGCTCCATAAAATTATGCAATGTGCACAATGCTTAAGGTGTTGTAGCATTCTATGATAGAGTAATCTTTAAAGTTAAGAACAAAACTAAATGAATATTTGTAATGGTTAAAATAATTTAAGACTGTTATCTTTGTGAGTTGTTCAACATTGGAATAAAACATCTAAAACCAGCTATAATATATCAACTGACTTCATATCATAAAATCTAGGTGTTTGTATTTCCTATCACCTGACATGTATCTGTTTTAATAAAGAGACCACAAACTTATTCGCCCATCTTTAGAAGCTGCCGCCAATATTTGTTCTTTGGAGAAACTTAGAGAATTCAATGTTTGTGTGTGGTAGTTCAATATGGCGAGAGGTTTTAAACTTTTCCAACTGAATATTCTCAGCCTGAAACAACAGGGTTTTAAAGGTGCAGTGTTAGGCAATTGAAGTTGCTTTTAAGGTTCTACAACTTGTACTTGATAGATCATCAAAAACATCCCTAAAAATGCAAAGGCTCTAAGTCATCAACTTATACATACTTGTTATCCCAACCAGCAGTTGCTGTTATTTTACCATCCCCCCTGATTTTGACATCAGAAACACCAGGATTCTTTATGATTACTGTTCTTTCGAGTTCAAGATGACTATTCATTGTAATCTTAAAAACTTTGAGTTGAGTCTCAGCTGATCCTGTTATTCCTCTTCCTGAGTTTGGATCAAAATCTATACACATGACTGAAAACGAACATAGTGTTAAAGACATAGGGCAGATAATTAAATAATACATATTGTACCTGGTTCTTCATGCATGGTAAGTTTAGAAATCATTTTTGCAGAGGTGGTATTCCATAGCACTAAATCTCCATTCTCGTAACCAGCTAGCAATTCTTCATGTTGAACATTTTTTAAACACATGCACATACCTAAATGAAAATCAGCCTACAATTGTAAACAATGCCATTTCAAAATAGTATAAATAGAATTACAGCTTACCCAATGACTGAGAAGATTTTGGCACCAATTTTTTTAAAACTTGATTGGATTTTGTGCATAAGATATCAATCTATCATTTAGAAAGGTTTCATAAATTATGTTCTTAAAAAACATGACAAATGACATGTAAATACAAACTTGTGACTGTTCTTTGCTGTTTGTCGCAACGGAGATGTTGGAATTTGAATAATCTATAATAATGCATCAAAGTTTATCACAATAGCTTATACACTTTGTTTTCTTGCAAATTGCCAAAACTCATTTACTTACATATAACTTCACATTTAGAGAATCCAAACCCAAATATCTTCAACCTGATTAAGATCTTTTCGTGGTAAACATTCCAAATGAGAAGGTATCCATCGCGAGCAAAGCTAAATTACAGAATAGTTAGTATGGAAACAAGTCAAACTTTAATTTTATTATTTCAATACTGACTATAATCTACCTTAACAGCTTATCATCTTTCAACCATTGCAGGTTAATAATGGATTTACCATCATGACCATTGAGAATCTTATTTGTTCTCTTTGTTGATAGGTTCCATATCCTAATGATACCTTTATCATCTCTAACAGAAAAATACAATTGTATATTAATTATTCTATAGCTCAACTGTCTGTTGTCCTTATTCATCAATTTAGTGTGCATAATGATCCAACATCATACCCAGAAAACAAGTGTTGTTCCTCCCTGATGAACCCAAAAATGACAGCTGTTACTGGTGAGCCTCCCCCTCGTAATATATAAAATGGATCAGGTGGAGGGCCACTCATTGCAATGACACTCCGTCCTAATTTCTAACTTCTAACACTTTTCTTCCTGGATGTCATTGAAATAAGAAATTTACCAATCGAATGCTCCAGTTTCTAAAGAGATCAGATTTCAACATATCGACAGCAAGATTGGTTTAGTTGAAACTTCACAGGAGAAAATCTTCATAAATGAAACGAAAACATGATAGTGGCAATGATTTGAATAAAGACTTCGGTGTGGAACGTGATGATGAATTGCGAGATTGTCTATTGGAAAGCGAAGAATTTGTAAAAGTCATAGAAAGTGAGAATTGTGGCAATGCAAAAGAGCTGCTGTAATATTAAATTTTTAAACTGCACTAACATTTTAATTGAGCTATTTACCTCACTGACAATCAAATAAATCGTATTTAAGTGTTCATGTTTAACTTAATTTTTTTATTAAATAGTCTAATGACTTTATTTTCTTTATGAACTTTTTCTTTCAGATGAGGGTGCAGAACCAAACCTAGCCCTACCACAAGACTGGTTAGCTTTGTATCATAAAAGTGGCGGAATTGTTTATCTCAATCGCAAAACTCGAGTTTGTACTTGGAGCAGACCTTACCACATTGGAACAGCTAGTGTTAGGGTATAACATCTCCTTCACATTGGCTGTTGAAGTTGAACATGCAGTTGAAGCTGTTTGTTTTATTTTGGTTGGTCTGTTTATCTACCAACCATCATAGATCAAATGTTTTAACTGGCATAAAATTAATGTTTTTTTTTATGACATCCAAATCATGCATCTTTAGAGTTGTTTTTATGCAGATTATGAATTAACCTTTTTCCATGTTTGTTGTATTTTTTGAGGTTTAAATTGGAAATTTCATGTGCACTCGCAAAAAATCTATTTCCATTACCAATGATATGAAGCACACATCCCTCCCCATGTAGCCTTGTGTTTGTGTTTTTTGAAAAATCAAACAAAAATTTGAAACATTTCATTTTGTTCTTTCAAAAAAAAAATATACAAGAGTGCAAATAACAGCCTGTTGATTCTAACCCTATGCATGAAGGCAAAATATTTTTCAATAATTTAATGGAATCCATATTATATGGATACGTATGATATGTATCATATTGTTAAAGATGTACTTATAAATATGTTACTTCAACTGTAATATTATCTTCGCTTGGCTAGAAACACAACGTACCGACAGCTGCTATACCTTGCTTGCATCAAAGCTTAGCATTACAAAAAAAGCTCAAGATCAACTCTGATGTAAATGAAGATGCTAGTTGTGGTAATTCAGAACATCTCAATTCAAAAAATAATCATTGTATAGTTATGGATGATGAAGTAAAAGCAAATTCAGCGGAGATTGGGGATGCCTTAAAAGAAGATGGGCACAATAACTTAAAGAATCATAATAATTGTAGTGACTATTCAGGCTTGGAAATGTTGAGTTTCCAAGATATAGAAGCATATCTTGCTCATCTGTGGAAATTTAATAACATTACCAAAAATGAAGGAAGCAAGCCCTTGTTTTCAGATGGAGTTGAAGATACTGAATGCAAAAACAATGTTTTGAATACATTGAAAACCATTCCATATCTTATAGAAGGAACAAATTCTTCATCTAACAATGATGAAAACTTTGTGATAAATCCAGCAGGCAAGAGTGCCTTATCTCTTCTTCATGAATATTGCGTGAAAAAGCAGCAAGCAAAACCTGAATTTGTGGTAGTGGAAAGTGGCATTCCTAAAACTCCTTTCCAGGCTAAAGTTCTTGTTAATGGACTTGAGTATGGTAAGGGTATGGCCAGCAGCAAAAAACAAGCAAAGCATTTAGCAGCACAAAGAACATTGGAGATATTTATGCCTCAAAAATTTGCCCAGCTTGTTAACTATGAAGATCGTCTAAAGGTATTTTATGTACTGATACAAGATTGTTTTTAACATCAAAAAATGTTGAATATTATATTTTCAAATATCCGTAGGTTTTTGACAACATTTCTATTGAAGATAACAATGTGTATGACTTGACTGAAAGGTTAGGATTGTTGAGTCCTTATCAAGTTCTGAGGGAGTGCATTAAAAGGTATTTTACTAATATGTAAAAGTAAAGTGAATTTTCTTTAATGTATTTTAAAAAAGATAAAAGAAAATATGTTGATCTGATTTAGAAATCAAGGTGTATTAAACGCTGATATAAAATTTGATTTACACTATGATAAAGAAGAGAAACAATTACAATATACAATGTTATGTGGAAAACATGAAGCTCGGGTGAGTATTCTTTTGGACCTATTTTATTTAATAAATTTTCCTATTTTTTAATCTTTTGGTCTTTTTGATCATCTAGGGAAATTGCAAAAATAAGAAACTTGGTCGAGAATATGCCTCTCAAACAATTTTAAAGGTTAATCTGACATCACAAATATTCAAATATTGTTGAATTTTGTCATATTTTATTCATATGCATATGACTTATAAAAAGTACGTATGTGGTATAAAATTTATGTAGAAGCTTCATCCAAAGTTAAGTTATTGGGGCTCAGTTTTACGAATTTATGTGGATGAACACAGTGTTAAGGTACGTTAAATATTGTTTGAAATGAACTTTTTGCCGAATATGGTAAGAAAGGTATTCAATAACTCATTTAGGAATTATCAATGAAATGTGAAAAACCCTCGTCCCCTGCATCGTCCTGCACAAATGAAGAACTTTTGAGAGACTTGAAACATGAAATGAAGAAAGTCTTGGAGGTGATTCAATTTATTTAAGTTTACTAAATTCCATTTTAATTTTGAATTATTACTACTTGTATTGTATATTGTAGAAGAGAACCATATCGTCGTCTACTGGTACTTTTACGCAGTTTATGACCCACATTGACATATAGTTTGTAACTGTCTTTAAAATCATTTTGCAATCCTTTTTATACAATAATAATAGTTAGGTTTGATTTATTTATGTTATTTACATAATTTTTAATAGCAGTTGTGTTTTTTTCAAAAAACTTAAAATAAATGATAATTCTTATCGTTACAATACTCCCGCGTAAACGTCTTTTGGTGGATGGGAAGCACTCATGACTCATGTTTAAACTCGTCAACGTGGTCGTGAAACTCGTGATCGTGATGGAGAAGAAATTACGGACAACGAGAAACAGTCGAAGAATTAAAAACCGCCAGCAACCTTTAAAAGGGTGTGATGAAAAAATAAGAAAGCAAGGCACTCAGGATAATGCATCGACTGTTTGTACTGAATTGGCTTCAGTGAGTGAACATGTTTCTAAAGTGGTAGAAAAGGACCAAGTGAAAAAGACAAATCAAATAAAAGAGAACGCTACATTGGAGTCTCAGAGTTTGAAACGAAAAAGTAAGGAAAGTAGCGTGAACAGTGATGCTGTGAACAAAAAGATGAGAAATTTAGAAAAGAAATATGCTCTATGTGAAATTTCCATCAAAATAGAAAGATGGTAAGTTTAAATGCAAAAATAAGAATGATCGCGGGCTCTTATTCTCCTACTCACCTGGTCATCAGCCCAATGTTGTTTTATAAATAAAACCATGCTTCATATCTTTATTTCATTTAATATTACTGTAAATTCAATTTCAGCAATTCCTGACATGTGTACAAGCGACATGCAGACGAACTGTGTAAAAATTTAAGGAAAAAGTTTGTTGATGTTAAAGTTGAAATTAATCCACAAAAACCACGAAGCAAAAGCTTCGAGGTGATACTTTTACCAGAAAATGATGATGGTATGTAAATGAAATCATTATATCGTATTAAACCATCTTGTGTATGTAATATTACCTCTTTATTAAATTTAGAAATTGTAATATGGAGTGGTTTAAAGAAAGGGCCACCAAGAAAACTCAAGTTTCCTGATCAACAAAAGATTGTTACTGAAATTGAAAAATATGTTAGAGATTTATAACTAGTAAGTGCTAACAACTATCTCAGTTTTGATGAGTTTATTAAGGGAGATGTTTGAATATTTATGAAAGCCTGTGGTTCAATTGATTTTAGTTCAACATCACAGACTTGATGTGTTAAAATATTTTTTGTCTCCCTCCTAATTTTCCTTTTTTTGCAATTATTGGTGTTTTGTTTACTGTTGTGATTGTGTTGATATTCTAGTGAAGAAATATTGTTTATTATATTTAATTAAAAAAATCTGAAACATGCTCAAACTATGATCAAAAAAGTTAAACATTACTAAGAAAAGATTTTACTTTTATGAATTCATGTTTTTTTTTTTACATAGAATATTTTAAAAAATGGGATTTTTCAATGATCTCTAAATGATATGTACACAAAGTTGAAAGACAAATTTTCACTTTTGTCATGAGAAAGTTGAATGTGGTTCTATGTATGTTGTATTGGCATTATTTGGTGTCATTAGCACAACTATATCTAATATCTTCTGGTCAATGCATATTTAGGCAGTTACAATCATTCATATTTTTAAGTTCTATATCGGTTGATTTTGTAAATTTTGTATTTTGATCATTATAACTCAATCCTTAATATTATAACTCAATCTTTGACATTTTAACTCTATCCTGGCAATTTTAACTCAATTCTTCCCATTGTACGCTGTGTATAAAAAAATACAAATATATTTAGAAATTTACATAATGTTCAATTTCAATGACTTATCATTATGCTAATCCTTTTACTGGTGCATTGTTATGCATATTTCTTTATAAATTATGTTGAATTCCTAGTAGTAGAAAAACTTTAGTGCTATAGTGACAAAGATATTTAATATATGCACATAGTATACAATACTGAATGCACCCTGTGGACCTAGCATAGAAATTATCACAATTTATTGAAGTCCTTTCTATTCACACACCATTCAAAAATAAATTGTTTTTCTCTTCTCATTGTAAAACAAATCATAAGATAATTACAAATAATTTAAATTCACAGTGTGATTTACATACAACCACGTATTTCCTCGATCAACGAAGCGTAGCCAAATAAAATTTTAAATTTAATATGTAACATTCATAAATTTTCAAATGAATGTTTCAAATGAATAAAGTTTTACTATTCAATATATTGCATCATTTTGAAATCATATATAATAACAACTTTGCTGGCCTTTTGAGGAAATTATTTTCCTGTTACGTTTGAGATGAGTGGATGAAATACCTGTGTACAAAATTGCTAATTATTGTCTAGTATTTAACTTCTTTGACAATAATTTTTCAATAAATGGTGGATACTTGCGCTGCCGATGTGAACAACAATAGAAGTATTATCAAGATTCAAGATTAATGAAGTGCTATTATCGTATACATGTGTAAAGTTTAGTTGGTGAACTCAGGAGAAAGTTATTGAGTTCCCGTTACGTTTGCATTTTATGGTCTCGTTCTTCCGTTGACTTTGGAATACAAACTGTTTCGTTGAGTGAGGATCTAAGGATGCATTCTCCATAATCGCTTGCTTTTGACGAGTTTTATTGTTGACGAACTTGTGTGGTGTTGCTGTATTCAGTTGAAGGACTTTCTCATTTTGTCATATCATCTATGGATGGACTGCTGTATATCTTAATGATATGTCTTTTCATGCTTTTCATATGGATAACATACATTATTTATAATGTAATTTATTTTCCAATGAAAGCATTTTACTTAATACCAAGGAAAATTAGAGATTGGTCTTTGTTATTAAAGTTTGGTGTCACTAATCGATCAAATACCTTTGTGCAGATAGACGATCGTTTCAATTCTCTAGATGAAGTTAAAAAGGCGATGCGTGTGAATGGTTTGACTAAATGTCAACTTATTATTGGTATTGATTTTACAGCAAGCAATGAATGGCAGGGACGTAAAACGTTTGGTGGACGATCTTTACATCATATTACCATTGAACCGAAATCCAAAAGGATTAGTAAATGGAATCCTTATCAAAGGGTGATCCGAGCCATAGGTGATGGATTACAAGAATTTGACGAGGATAATCTAATCCCTGCGTTTGGATTTGGTGACGAACGGAGCAAAGATCATGGCGTATTTCCACTCATGGATGATCCATTGCCATGCAAGGGTATAGATGAGGTTTTAGAACGTTACACGAGGACTGTGGGCTCAGTATCTCTCAGTGGTCCAACTAGTTTTGCACCTATTATACACAAGGCCATCGCCATTGTAGAAATGACTCAAGAATATCATATACTGCTTATAATTGCCGACGGTAGGGTTGAAAACATGCAAGATCTTGAGACAAGAAACGCCATTGTCGACGCGTCAAATTTTCCTTTGTCTATTGTTCTTGTCGGAGTAGGGGACGGACCGTGGGATATGATGCATGAATATGATGATAAACTACCGCTGAGACGTTTTGATAATTTTCAATTTGTCGAGTTTGTTGAGAAAAAAGCATCTCGTTTCTCAAGAGAATTTGATGACGAATTTGCGCTTCGTGCTCTTATGGAAATCCCAGATCAGTACAAAGCAATACGCTCGCTTGACATGCTAAAAACTAATGACAATTCCAACATTAAAATGAATCACTATGAAAGTCGGAGAAAAGATTCTCGGGAAAGTCGCCATCCTGAATTGATTGTGACGCATAGACGTAGTCATGATGGAATCTTGGAAACTGATCTTTAAAACGAGATTAGATTTCATTGAAAGAATAATTTTGACTGCACTAATATTTTTTTTCCACTTTTTTTTGTCCTTTCATCAGCAAACTGAGATAAATTAATGACCGAAAAAAATATTTTATACGAGTACAGTACTAGAGTTAAGGAAAATTTAATTTGTTAAAATATTGATTGTACACAAACACCAAAAAAGTATGAAATGAGTAAATTAACGTTGAACTTTTTGGAAATGGTAAAAAAGCACATACTTTTCTTCATGGATCCCAAAATAATTACATCGCTAAACCTGTCAACAAAACAGGCAGAAAAGATGTAATAATTTCTTAGATGGACCCGTCTGTAGAGGTTTAAAATATAACCACCAATTGAAAGTTCTTTATTGATCAGTTGATCAGATAATAAAACTGTTCGTAATTGAACCACGTTAGTTGTGGTCGTTTATTCTTCACTTTATACTTAATCAGCAATACATTGAGCTTTTTGCTCTTTTTCTTCTCAATTATCTCATTCAGTGTGGTTTTTTCTCCTAGCTGTCGCAGGGATGATCTTTATAAAACACTAAAACAAATGAAAACTCGTGTAAGCATTTACGTGGCCATTTACATTAAGATAAGAAATCTCTGTTCTTTGGATGTGATATTTTGTAATACTTTTGTTAAAATGTTCACAACAGAAGACTTGCTCTTTCTTTCCATCTTAATATCGACATTTTTATTTGGTGTTTAATTCACGAAGTTTGAGAAATCAAACATTTTTATCGTCATTATTTTAACCATTCACTTTCTTTTGAAAAATTCTCGTTACTCACTTCGTAAAGGAAATACATTGTTATTGCTTTGTTTTTGAAGGTTATCTAGGTTTGAAAAAACGATATGTAACCACCCATCGTTGAAGTCCTATCGTCTATGTCTATATGTCCATTAGCAATCCTTGTTCGAATTATAATTTTACATAAAACCTTAACGTATGTTTTGTAAACATTACCAAGCTCACTACTTGTCGCTGTTTTCGCTCTCTTTACGTTTTCTTTCCACTTCAGCTTGTTTCTGCTCATATTGTTTCTCGTCGCGAGGCTTTGCTCCGCCAAATATTTTGGCCTGTTGCATAGAATTTGCAATATCGTTGACGGGATCTTTGACTGTCCGAGGCAGTAATTTTAACCTTGGTCGTTCGCTGGCACTTTCTGTGTATAATATACAATGACACAATCTTGTTATAAAGCAGAATTTTACTTTGTGACTCTGCTATATGTATCAACTCCTTGTTATATATGGCAAATTTGACAATGTTTGTCAATATTTACCTTCACTTGGCTCTGGAAAGTTGTCATATTGCATCGGTGGCCCTCTATTATCCCTTCTACCTCCATACCTCCCTCCTCGTCCACCATCATGGCGGCCTCTATCCTGATAACCACTGCGACCTGTAAAATATGATATATCAGTAAAATATGTTCTATATTGAAGAGAGAAAGTGTTTATACCTTGATCACGATAGTTGTTTTGTCCTCTGTCTACCTGAGGTCTTCCTCTATCTCCACCTCTTCCTCCACGAAAACCTGAACATAGAAACTGAGCTCAACATAAATGTGGATGTACCATTTGTGTCATCAAGTTTATTATTTTCATACACAATCAACTCCATCAAATAATTTCATTTGTTTTTATTCAAAATTTAAAATTGCCATGTAAACCTCCTCTGCCTCGTCCTCTATCTCCTCTATCTTTGTTTCTTCCCTCAGCAACATCTACCCTTAGATTTCTGTTGCCATATTCCTAAATATGGATAAACATTGATGTGAACAACATTTTTTATTGTTTCTCAGCTACAATGATGGTAAAATTAATCTTACAGCATCATTGTATTCTAGAGCCTCAACAAGCGACTTCTTGTCTTCAAATTCCACATAACAAAAACCTGTATTTATAGGATTCGTCAATATAAAATATGCTTTATAATAGGGGAAAAGCTCAGTTAGTAAATTGTACCTTTAAATTTGTCCGTGTCTCTATCACGAACAAGTCTAACACTACGAATCTAACATTGAAAGTACACCAAATATATTAAATTTCAATGGTCTTTGGAAGATTTAGTTGCTTTATGATTCTGACAATTACATGAAATAAATACGTACACTTAGATTAGCAAATATTCTATCAATATCCCCTTGTACAGTGCCATCCGGTAGTCCACCTACAAATGCAGTGAATGGGGGTTCCTCTGGAATCTTGCTGGATCTACCTCCACCATAACCTGAACCACCCCCACCATATCCTCTATCATCGCGGTAACCACGGCGATTTTGACGATTCCAGTCATTACCTCCACCAGTACCACCAGCACTACTATAGTAATTATCACTACAAAATCAAATCACAATTGCTTAAAGAAAAGGGAAGGTGAGAATTTCAAACTATGTTAAAATAAAATAAGTGTATGTTATATAAGCTCATTTGTAATCAGTTGTAGCACGCGTTGTCATTTTTAATTCATAAATATTTAACATAAAGCACGTTAATCTACGTAGCATAGCAAAATATATTTGTTCATAAAAAATAAAACATCTTTCACTTGCAGTATTTACACGTAAGTCGTTGAAATTAAAAAACTTTAATGTATAATTTTTCATACAAGCGTGTTCTACCTGTGTGGTCGGGCATAGCCGTAGCCATCTCTTCCATCTCCTCGTCCTTCTTCTCCCCATGTCGATGGATCAGCCATTTTGAAAACGAACAATGTGGCGCGGTCGGAGTTTCGGAAGCCTAGGACCTAAGGTCTGTTCATTTTTTCCGCTACACATATAAAATTTTTAGGGTATTTGTTACTCTACTCGAAATAAAGTTAAATCGTTTCTGAAACTTTTAAAAATTTCTTACACTCATCGTATAATAACTCATGTTTATTTTTTTGTAGGTTGCCATTACACATGACTACTATGGAATCTTTAATATGGTTAACACGTGGTGGTCAGGTAGAGTTTTTAGATCGGGCCCAGGCTCCAAGTGAGAAGCCTCTCAATTCAAGATGGCGGAAAGCGAGCAGTATGTGGAAGGTGATGTTTTTTCGATTTTTTATTGTATTCAGTCATTGAAAGTCTTGGTTCAATGATTCTTAAACGTATTTAAAAAATTCCTTATGCTTTTGCTTTCAGTATTGCTCTAATTTATGTACTCTCTATTTGCATTTATTTAGGTTTTGATAACCGACAACGCTTTCAAATTGAACTAGAGTTTGTACAATGTCTGGCTAACCCACATTATTTGAACTGTAAGTACTAACGTGCATATTGAGGAAATACATTGTTAATGTTTGAAAAGTAAGTTTATAAATGAGCGCTGATGACTTTTTTAATTTTATATAGTTCTGGCTCAGCGAGGTTATTTTAAGGATTCTTCATTTGTGAATTATCTAAAATATCTTTTATATTGGAAGGCACCACAATATGCCAAATTCTTAAAGTATGTATGAATATCATGTTTAAAAAGTTTGTTCACTGAATGTTTTCTTGCATTTAGTCTTACTGTGTTTTCTACTTATGCATCTCCTAGATATCCTCAATGTCTGTTTTTTCTGGATTTACTACAATATGAACATTTTCGACGTGAATTAGTCAATGTACCTTGTGCAAAGTTTATTGATGAACAACAATTGCTTCATTGGCAGTATTATTCAAACAAAAGATGTAAGGTTGCAATGCCCAGTAAAAGTGAGGAAGCTACAACATAATATAAACTTCAATGAAGAGTGTTTGTCATGCAAGACTTTAATAAACTGTAAGGTAATTTAGAAATGGAAATATATATTCTTTCCTAAGGTCTGAACTAACAATTTTCAAATTGCTATCTTAACTATTGCACAATTTGGCAAACCAATTTTTGTAAATTGCAAATGTCTTATACAAGTTCTTGGAATAACTTGTAAAACATTCGCAATCCAGTCATGTCATGGTCATGTAAGTCTGTAAGTCCACACATGGTCATGTCATGTAAGTCCTTGCTAATCCACACATGGTCATGGTGTCGCTAAGTCCACCACATGGTCATGTCATGTGTCCACGCATGGTCATGTGTGGTGGTCATGTAAGTGTAAGTCCTCGCATAATCCACATGGTCAAATGGTCGTGCAAAGTCCTTGCAAAGTAGTAGAAGGTTTTGTGTTGTGTAAAGTGTCTTAAGTTTAATTTTATTGAAATGCTCCATTACACAGAATCCTCTCGATAAAAGTTGCAAAACATATAACAAAATAATTTTTATTATTTAAAACATTTTTTGTTTAAGGTTGAACAGAATATGTAAGAAAACAATGTAAGAAATTGAATGCAGAAATGAGTAATTTTTTCTTAATGTTACAAAGTGTATGTACTAATTAGTTTAAATTGAAATGACAAGAATCCATAAAAGTTTTATAACATTTTTATTATAAAACATTTTTGTTGGTTGAACATATGAAAACAAGTTTAATTGAAAAATGAAGTTTTTGACAAGCGCTTTAGTTAACATGTTTTTCCAGTTGACATTGTACAATTGTTGTATTAATTTTTAACATGTTCTTCCAAATTGACAATGTGATTAAAAAAGTTCTCCAAAATCTGTATGTCACTATTGCAATGCATGCAAAGCCATTTGCTGGATATTTTCTTTGGTATCAAATATTCTTGAATATAGCATTGAACCATTTGCAAAACATAAAACAAATACTTTTCACATTCTTGCATTGGTATGGATTGTCCTTGAAGTATTTTCTTGTAGGTAGCACGAGGCAATTTATTACTGAAACCCATGCCAAGATGTGATGGTTTAATTTGTGTGGTAAGAAACTGCAACATTTTGGGATTATTTGAAGCAATATCTAAAGCTGTTTCTCCTGAGGAAGTCTTCACATGAAGAAGATCATATCCTACAGTAAACAAAGTTGATGACAAAGTATGTTGTTGTTTATTCACGAGTTTGAATTATGTTTAATTAATGTATTATTCTTATACCTCCAGCTTTAGTAAGAAGTTTAACCACATTCAAATGATTTCCAGCTACAGCCTCATGAAGTGCAGTGACTCCATTCTCTTGAGATTTAGCATGTAAGTTCACTTTGTTTGTTCTCTCTATGATTGATAATAACATCAAAATGTACGTAGAATTGCTTATAAAAATAGGCAACGTTCAATCACTTACCATGATATTTTAAAATTATCCTCACACAATCAACATTACCCCTGTAACATGCGTCATGTAAAGGTGTCCATCCTGCATTATCCCTTACATTCACATCAATATCTTCTTTCGTTAATAACTCTTCAACTTTAGCTGCGTTGTTTTTTATACAAGCCAAGTGTAGTGTCGTTTCACCTTGTTAGAGACGTTTAGAAAAACAAATGTAATCATTTCAAAAAGACACTTTTTTTTGCTAACATCAGTTTATATTATGGCAATGTTACGTAAGTTGAATACGCGAGAATTGTGTATAGCAAAAATCATTCATGAAAAAAGAAAAATAGAAAAAATTACCTTTTCCATTTTTCTTCATTGCTTGTTTGGACGTTTTGTCTTTCTTAGTTCTTTTCCTTTCACCGATGTTTGGTAGAAGAAAGAAATAACAATGCACCTGATGATAAAAGATATTACGTAGTAAGGTGTCATTTGAATTTATTATCTTTAACTAAAAAATTTTTGAACGGCATTCAGACATCATAAACGACATTCATGAACATTTGTAGACAACGTGAACAACATTTGTTGACAACGTGAACAACATTTGTAGACAACGTGAACAACATTTATAGACAACGCAAACAACATTTTTAGACAACGTGAACAACATTTGTAGACAACGGGAACAACATTTGTAGATAACGCAAACAACATTTTTAGACAACGTGAACAACATTTGTAGACAACATGAACAACATTTGTAGACAACGTGAACAACATTTGTAGACAACGTGAACAACATTTGTGGACAACGTGAACAACATTTTTAGACAACATGAACAACATTTGTGGACAACGTGAACAACATTTGTGGACAACGTGAACAACATTTGTAGACAACGTGAACAACATTCGTAGACAACGTGAACAACATTCGTAGACAACATGAACAACATTCGTAGACAACGTGAACAACATTCGTTGACAACGTGAACAACATTTGTGGACAACGTGAACAACATTTGTAGACAACGTGAACAACATTTGTGGACAACGTGAACAACATTTGTAGACAACGCGAACAATATTTGTAGACAACGTGAACAACATTTGTAGACAACGTGAACAACATTTTAGACAACGTGAACAACATTTGTAGACAACGTGAACAACATTTGTAGACAACGCAAACAACATTTTGACAACGTGAACAACATTTTAGACAACGTGAACAACATTTTTAGACAACGTGACAACAAACATTTTAGACAACGTGAACAACATTTGTAGACAACGTGAACAACATTTGTAGACAACGTGAACAACATTTGTAGACAACATGAACAACATTTGTAGACAACGTGAACAACATTTGTAGACAACGTGAACAACATTTGTAGACAACGTGAACAACATTTGTAGACAACATGAACAACATTTGTAGACAACGTGAACAACATTTGTAGACAACGTGAACAACATTTTAGACAACGTGAACAACATTTGTAGACAACGTGAACAACATTTTAGACAACGTGAACAACATTTATAGACAACGTGAACAACATTTTAGACAACGTGAACAACATTTTAGACAACGTGAACAACATTTGTAGACAACGTGAACAACATTTTTAGACAACGTGAACAACATTTATAGACAACGTGAACAACATTTTAGACAACGTGAACAACATTTTTAGACAACGTGAACAACATTTTTAGACAACGTGAACAACATTTGTAGACAACGTGAACAACATTTGTAGACAACGTGAACAACATTTGTGACAACAAACATTTGTAGACAACGTGAACAACATTTGTGGACAACGTGAACAACATTTGTAGACAACGTGAACAACATTTTTAGACAACGTGAACAACATTTGTGGACAACGTGAACAACATTTTAGACAACGTGAACAACATTTTTAGACAACGTGAACAACATTTTTAGACAACGTGAACAACATTTTTAGACAACGTGAACAACATTTTTAGACAACGTGAACAACATTTATAACAACGTGAACAACATTTTAGACAACGTGAACAACATTTTAGACAACGTGAACAACATTTTTAGAACAACATGAACAACATGAACAACATTTGTGAACAACATTTTTAGACAACATGAACAACATTTTAGACAACGCGAACAACATTTAGACAACATAACACAACGTGAACAACATTTGTAGACAACGTGAACAACATTTTTAGACAACGTGAACAACATTTTTAGACAACGTGAACAACATTTTTAGACAACGTGAACAACATTTATAGACAACGTGAACAACATTTATAAACAACGTGAACAACATTTGTAGACAACATAAACCTTCCCAACCAAACAACTACTATATCTTTACTATCTCGTACAATTTTGTTTAACTTCAGCGATTTATCAAGGAGTGTTATATTTTGTCGGGGTATAAGTTGTTTGTCATAGTTTTCCAATTTTAACTCCAGTATTTTCATTTTTAGCCACACGCATTGACATCCTTGGAGGAAGAATTTCATCGCTTCGTCACAATTGCTCTTCGATATTTCCTCAAACAACTGCTTTACGATAAAATTGCTGGCTCGTCCTGTAACGTCGTCTTTCCTCATGAACGTTGTTACAATGGAAAGCCAATCCAATAGAACGTTGCTGGTTGAGAACTAGATGAAACATTAGTTTTTACTGTTAATGTAAACACTAATTAAACTTCTTCACTTAAAATCATACAACAGTTGTACAACAGTTGATTGAGAATGTGTTTCCATGGTAAAGAACTTCTAGGTTGGTATGCTGTTGTTGTGAATACTACGAGTACTACCCCTCTATCATATCACGTACCTCTCATTTATATGACGTACCTCTCATTTATATGACGTACCTCTCATTTATATGACGTACCTCTCATTTATATGACGTACCTCTCATTTATATGACGTACCTCTCATTTATATGACGTACCTCTCATTCATATGACGTACCTCCCATTTATATGACGTACCTCTCATTTATATGACGTACCTCTCATTCATATGACGTACCTCTCATTTATATGACGTACCTCTCATTCATATGACGTACCTCTCATTTATATGACGTACCTCTCATTCATATGACGTACCTCTCATTTATATGACGTACCTCTCATTCATATGACGTACCTCTCATTTATATAACAAATAATTGTAACTAATGTTTTGATTTTTACACGACCATATGAACCTTGTCATGCTAATTGCACAATTGACATTTGTTACAAAATAGATTTCATTAGTAAGGATGAAAAATGGGTTTTTTATGATGTCAATGTGCTCAAAAAAACATCCCTTCATTTATGTGGATATTCAATTTTTACAGATGGAGAACAAGTGTGCAAGAAATTCTTACTGCATTCTCATCATCGCTTGCTTTCTTTATACTCTGACAACACAATAATATGAATTCCTTCATTTCAAATGGTAAGTGACAACTTATGTTGTAAGAATCAGGCCATAAAACTTGAGAAAGAATTTTGTTTGTTTGTCCTTCTGTACTCCCATCCAATTTAAACAGCTTATCAAGAAACTTCAACAATAATATAGCATTGCCACATTTCCTAAATGGAAAAGTTCACTTAGTCATCAATAGTCATTGAAAGATTCCTTGAAGCAAAAAAATATTTGTAAACGTCATTTACAAACCAAATTTCAGTTCTGTCATTTTCTTGCTTCTTGAAACTTTTCCTACATAGATATAATCAAAGGAAGTAAGCTTATATCTTGACCAGTAAGATACATCTGACATCCGACTAAATATCATTTTTATTTCATGAAAGTACAAGGTCAATAAGTTCCCTTTTTTCTGATGATTTCCCATAAGGTGACCAACTTATCAAGATTTAATGATACGCATATTATATAAAGTCAATTTCTTACCATATTACTTTACATATAAAATTCCATGGGGTAGATGTTGCCCCTTGAGGGTTGTCTGTATTGTGTTCCACAAGTGCCATCAGATAAAATGTCTGCTTTGATCCAGGTGGGTGGACCTCAAGTATGTCGTATAGTAAACGTAAAGTTTGAAGCGCTTGTTGTTTTGTTGGAGAGTTCTATAAAATATAATCATTATAAAATTTATATTACATTAACACTACATCATTAATTAATGATCCTTACAGGATATTTTTGAATTGTAAAAGTTCTTCTATTTATAATATAGTCACATTAACTGCTAGTAATATCAGATAGATTTAAATACTAACAAGAAGTAACTCATTGATGATAATATGAAGCCATTTTGGTGAGGGAGCATAATCTTCTGACAAAGAGGAGATCACAGTTTCCACAGCAAGATTCCCACACTCTTCATCAATACAAGATTCCAAAATATTTGACAAATAGTGGGAAATGTTGTTGATTCTGCCTAGAAATATTATGATTGTGTCAGTTTAATGTTTAAGGTAATTTATTATAGGGAATTAGAATACTTACAATAGTAATAAACATATACCTACTTTTGAAGGGAATTTTATTGTATTCAAGTTGATTTGAGGTGGTAAATCATGTTTCTAAAAGAAATAAATAAAACATCAAAGGTTAAAGACTTCATGGCCTGTCAAACACTTATTTCTATGCAGCTTATGTTGTAAAAAAATTGATTCCAAGATTAAAACTACATCCATTGCCTATGTACTTACCAATGTCTTTTGCCTTTTTTTATTACACATATCACAATCAGCATTTAAACGTTTCACTCCTTGATTCCTTGAATGGATCTTGTTCATTTTCATATCCCCATTTTCCTTTGCCAAACACACCTTAGGAAAATTCCCATTTGATCTTTTTCCAGGATTTTCTATTGATCTCTTTTTGTTGGCTAAGTTGTGGTTTATATTTTCATTGCAGATGATAAATGTTTCCTTAGGACCCTAGAGGATCAATGTGGATAATACTCTACACTATATGTGTGTATTGACAATGAGGGAATAGGAATCACAACATTCACCTGAATGATAAATTCTGGAATATAATCTGGGGAAAGAACATGAATCCCCATTTTTCTCAAATGAAGAACCTCAGGAAGCAACTTTGTCTCCACAAATACATATTTGATGTCTTTTGGAAAGCTAGAAGGATCTTTAAAGTTTATTTTTCTTTTGTAAATCATTGCATTTCCTGCATCAAGAAGTCTGAAAAAAGATTTATTACATAATGTATGTCTTTGATATGTTATCACTCAATGATAAGGATAGATAAAGTTTCAATTGGAAAAAACCTCTTTTATATTTGCCATTACCTTTCATATGCTGCCTTCGTCTTTTTATCATTAAAATGAACTGCAGCAGTCCAGCTGTTGAAAGCACCTCCTTTATTACTTTGAAAATAAAGGCGCCATTTTCTTGGAGCATCACAAAGCATGTTTAACTTTTTATTATTTGTCACATCAATGCAGTTAGGTAACCATTCATAACTTTCTTCATCTAACCATTTTCCTTTGGCAAAACTCTCTTCCACATATTGCTTTTGTAAAACCCATTTTCCTGACAAATTTAGTTCATTAATACAAATGTTCATCTTAAATTGCATGGTGAACGTTTCATACCTAATGCACAGCCACCCAGAAACTTTTCTCCGCGATTTGGATAGCCACATATAATATGTGTGGCTAGTTTTGAGAATTTCTATAATATTGTTAATATGACGCGGAAATCATTTTATTGTTAATAGGTCTTTTAAACTAGGAAACGCATATATACCTGCAAGTCGATTAATATTCCACCCAACTGCTTTATACATCCAGCTAGGTATTGTTTTTCTTCCGAAGATAAAGAAGTCAACTGAAATCGTTTCAGTTTGGACATTGCTATTTTATAATAACAACAACATAACACATTGTTTTCATCATAATTTTTGAAATGTTCCCGCGTTTTCGACAATTCTTGCTTCTCGGTGTGACGTAATTTTTGTCGATCATCTTGTATTTTTATGATTTATCACTCTATGTAAAAAATATTGTGTATTTTATTTTTTTGTATCAGCCTTATGACTCATTATTATAATATTCGTAATGGTTTTTGCATATCTTTATTGAAACTAATAAAAACTAGAAAGGTGGCAGAAAAAGTTCGAATAACTTACGCGACATTAAAGGCGATGCACGCATAGTCCACTTCAAAGTTCCTAGCAAGACGATGTCTCTGACACATGAGATAAAAACGAGGATTGTTTTTAAACATTTCGACAAAGAAAATCATTATTTTTTAGTAAAAAATGGAGAGAAAAGTATTTGGAGTCTGCCTACTAATGTTGTCGGTTTTAAGCAAGACATAAATGACAATGTTGGCAATCTTTTAACTTCCGTAAGTGTTTTATTTTGACACTTTCAGTTTGTCAAATTGATGAAAGACTCGTAATTCTTTGTCTGATTCGTATCTTTCTTTTGAATTTGCTTAATTTAATAAAAATTAATGCAATCGTTAAAAATGATAAATTTTTTGCTGTATAATGAAGAAATATAGGTATGCTCATTTTATTCCACTGACATATTAATATAGTTTTTCTAGATTTTAGGTGTGTCGACTGCAGCAACTTTTCATAGCCTCCTGCAAGTAAGACATACTGTCAATAATTGTTTGGTGGAGTTCATTTATCTTTTCACCACAGATGACAATCTTGAATGGCAAAAATCAAAACTTGCTAATGCATATGACAGGAAATCATTAAGCGAGGTGCAAGGATTGTGGATGCCATATTCTGAAGTATCTGCTTTTAATAATGATGAAATTTGTTTAACGACTAGTGAAATATTACATAATGTTGAACAAGGTACCATATTTCTTGGCAATTGTTCATTTGGTTGAAATTTATCATAACTGCAAGATGGGAATTATGATTTTCTCTACGTAGGTTATGAAGGCACTCCATTGAATATTCTTAATGAGGATAAAAGGTATAAAATCTTCATTATTTTTGGTTTCTGAAATTTTATGAGAACATTTTTATATGCGTATTTAATAGTTCATCCATCACTGACTCAGTTCCTATTGATAACAAAGCAAAAGAATATGAAAAAAGGAGGATGTAAATATTCTTTATGATACACTTTTGGATGCAGCACAATTTTACAATAAAGGTATTAATTATTCATTAGGTATTCAATGCTTGGATATATTATTTTAGAATTTTTGTGTTTCTTTTCTATAGAAAAACAGTTTATTCAGAGTTTGTTTCAAAGATATGCATCACCTACTTTTGACCAACTTGAAATTACTGCCTTTACTAAACTAATGCACGAATTGTTATCTGCTAGCTCAAATTTTGAAATGGAACAGTTATTCAGGTACTATTAACCAGGTACTGTTTCATATCATCATGTTTCTGTTGTTATTCACAAGACTATGACATTCACAAAAAGGAGCTAGGTAAAGCCACTAGATATAACACATTGAGTCTATGAAGTTATTCGTTTGAGGTCCTTGGTGTAAATTGTAATTTCTTTCAACTCCAGAGCATTTGACAAAGGCAATAAAGGTTATCTTCTTCTCAATGACTTGTTACATGGTCTTGCAGCAATGGATCCAAGGACAGTACATGGTGGTCTTCCTGCTGAATTGAGGTGTCAATATATTTTCAAGTATTTCAATGTGTCCCAAACAGGATATCTTGACAGTGAAGAATTTGGGTAAGAAATAAAAAAATTGTGTTTTTTTTATGTCAAATATTTTCATATTGCTTGAGATATGATAATTGTTTAATGTTAGGTTAATGGTGAGAAAACCTTGGTTCAAATTGCTTCAACTTTTCAATTCATTTATGATTTTGCAATCATTAGTTTGGGCTATATGACATCAAATTCAGGATTAGGCTATAGACCAGTGACTACTGGCACTCAAGTGGATAAAATCTCAACTTTGCAATTGTTTTGTTGTGTTTTACTATAGAAAGATGGTTTGGGAAATTATGAAGATAAAAGGTGAAAATCTTTCTGATGAGTACTTTGATGCAAGAGTTAAAGAACAAATGAAGTTTGTGGATTTTTTTATTAAGTTGATAAGATAATAATCTTGCATGTAATGTTAAGAAATTAATTAGAAAGTATTGGTAGAGTTGAATAACTATTTCCTTGTTATATATGTTGTTGATAATTCTACCTAGCAAGTATTATTTCAAGAAAATATTCGAAAGACGTTCTTATTTACAGTCTTGACTATTATCTTGTCAATAAACCTCTTTTACTTTTAATATTGTTACATTTCAAGGTGTTTTGGCAAAGATGTCATTGAGTGTTTATCATTGAAAGACTTCATGGATGGTGTTGGACTCTTAAAATTTCGTGGTACATCTTCATTGCTTCGTTTAAACTATCCCTTTAGCGAAATGATAATGAATTTGACTCATAAAGTCACCAAGAAAAGGTAAAAAATTTAATGAAAGTCATAGTATTTAGTCATTGATCTAGATGTTTTTGTCATTGTTGCAGTTTTTAAATCTTTGAATTCCTTCATATCACATTGTTCCTAAATTGACAATATGTACATGATGAAATTTTTTTTCAGAAAATTGATGAAGATAAAAGCAGAAGAAAGTGAGGATGATTGTTTGCCTCTTGAAGACACTGATAAACTACTAGAGAAAGGAATGGGGGAGAGGAAAAAGACCATATCTCGTATGAGTTAGCAACACATGTAGTCAAAGTTCGCCGCAGTGGAACTCTCACTAATGTCAGTCAATTGTGGGACTTGTGTGGAACTGGTGCTTTAGGAAAATCAGTACAAGATCTCATTGCTAACAATCGCTCAAAACTCACTCGAATGTCATCTGTCAACTCATTTAATGAGGTAGTTACATATTTTCCTTATACACAACTATATTTTTCAAGAGTTCACCAACGTACCTTTAAACCTTTGAGAGAAATGTGTGATTACTTATGAACTTTGAAGAATATGTAGTTTTCCGTTTGTCCTACATGGCTATATTTACAAATTTTGGTTGTCTTAATAAAGCTCCACTTGATTGAGTGAACTTGGAAGAATATATTTATCTTATGAAAATTACAATTTTCTGTTTTGTTATTGTTGTTTATCAGAAATCCATTCCCAATGAAATGTTGTTTGGCTTGCGATATTTTGAAAGACGTATTGATACTTCAATGTCAGATATCTCAGCAAAAGATTCCTTCTGTTGGGGTGAAGTTGATATGAAATCATTTGCGAAATGCATTCTGTCAATTTGTCATTCTGTTCGGGAGATTATTATCAAGGAAGAAAGACTCTTAAAAATTGAATCACCAGTTTACATTTTAGGTATGTAAATCCTGTGATGTTTGACACAGGTTTTTAACTGTTTTAATTTGCCCTTTTTGGTAGTTTACCACTAATGGCTAAACTTGACTAAAATGTTCATTTTGTGTGACCACGTGACCAATGGAGTAGATACAAGTTTTATCTGTCTTCATTTCATTTAAGTCTCATTCTTGATCTTTTCAATAGGTGATATTCATGGAAATTTTCATGACTTGGTGTGTTTTGAGAAAGTTCTTTGGAGAATGGGTCCAATTCTCACCCCTTCTAGCTTTCTATTTCTCGGTGATTACGTTGACCGGGGGGAGCATGGGATTGAGGTATTTTTTCATAGCGTTGGGGGGGGGTGTCCATTTGTATGTAAACATCAGGAAATGCAATCTTAACAGAAGTGTTTTTTGTTTTCCAGGTCGTGGCCTATCTATTTGCTCAAAAATTGTTGGCACCAACAAAAATGTTCTTGATTCGTGGAAACCACGAAATTCGCGAGACCCAGATATCATTCACATTTTACAGGTAAGAAAGACAAGAAAATCTACAAATTCACCCGTTATGTTCTTTTTAATTTCATATTGCTTGTAGAATTAAGTAATCTGAATTATGTGATTAAGGTGTATTCTAAAATACCTCAATTGCTTCAGTTACGTCTGATAAAACTATTGGAATGTACCTTCATTTTAACCTCGTCTTAGGCATTAACGTCCATTTCGTCCAACACTTTTCATTTTTTACTATGGTTTAATATCTTGCAGAGTCTATAAATTGTAGCTACCTTTCTAGAGAATGCAAAAAGAAATTTGGTAAAAATATTGGAGTGGATGTGTGGGAGGCAATAAACTCAGTTTTTGACGTTCTTCCTGTTGCTGCCATCATTGACGAAAAGGTTAGACTAAAACATCGTGTTTTGAATCTTAACAATTCTTGTGCTTCAAAAGCAATGATACTAGAAATTTAAATAGATTTTTTGTGTCCATGGTGGTATACCTTTACCCAGCCATGGTAAAGGTATGGTTAGCGAAATCAATAAAATTCCTGCTACCCTAAAGGATCCTATCAATGAAGAGTTGGCCTGGGAATTGATGTGGAATGATCCGTTAAGGTTTATTGTGTTATGGTACCCCTTTCTTTAAATCTTTTACTTGATAGATTTTTTGACGATTTATTTTAGGCCTGAAGAAATTACTGATAAGATTAAAGAGGATCTTTCTAAAAACAATGGCTTTATAACGAATTCAAAACGTGGTACAGCTTATCAGTTCAGGTGATAAAAAGAGCGATCATTTATCGCAATCTGTATAAAATTCTTGAAAGTGTTTTTAATCGATGCATGTTTAAAGATACACTCTCTTGTTAATAGAAATCTTAATTTTATTTGATCATTCAAATTCTCTATGCAATGTTTCTTTATTATTTCTTCACTGAGGTTCGCATCATTTCAGTTTAAACCATAATTCATAGTTAGATCATTAAAATTGATATTTGTTTATATTATCTAGTGCGGACGCCCTTGATGAATTCTTAGAAAGAAACAATTTGACTCACGTGATTCGTGCTCACGAAGTTCAAGAAACTGGGTTTCAGGTATGTCAAAGTTGATGTGAGAGATATCTTACAAATCATGATAAATCATTGATGCCATCAATAGCAAACTGGTTTTCTTTTTATCCTTTCAGGTTCAACAAAATGGCAAACTGCTTACTGTCTTCTCTTCCTCTCATTATTGTGGTGGATTTAATGAAGCTGCATGTATCTTAGCTCATCAGAACAAACTTCGTACCATTCGCTTGGATACATCGTAACATTTGGTCATACATCGTAACATCTGGTTGTATATTGTAACAACTGGTTGTATATCGTAACAGCTGGTCACATATCGTAACAGCTGGTTATGCATCGTAACAAATGGTCACATATCGTAACAAATGGTTATATATCGTAACAAATGGTTATATATCGTAACAGCTGGTTATATATCGTAACAGCTGGTTATGCATCGTAACAAATGGTCACATATCGTAACAGCTGGTTATATATCGTAACAAATGGTTATATATCGTAACAAATGGTTATAAATCGTAACAGCTGGTTATGCATCGTAACAAATGGTCACATATCGTTTTAATATCTGTACGTGCACTTAAGCTCACTATGAAAGACGTTTCGTTCAAAACAAACATTTTAACAGATCTCTCATGAAAAAGGGAATTGTATATGATTATGGTGGAAATAACATAAACTTTGTGTTGTACGAAATTCAGCAAGAAAATATTATCGTATCAGTGGTATCACAAGATAAACATTTTAATGAATGTTCGGCAACGGTGATTATTGTCGAAACAAACAGCGATTAATGATTCATGTTGAAGTTTTGATTTTTTTATCGTCATAACTATAAGAAAACGTCCAGCAGTACTTTTTTTTCTTACAAGCGTCATCATTTACACAAACCTGGAACGTTACGGAAGCAGGTATAAATGTTTTCATTTTATTACAATGTTTAATTTTAAAAATGGCTATGATAAGCACGTGAAATTTTGTATTATAGCACATGTGAAGCCTGCATTGGCTTGCTTTTCATTTCTGAAATCACGATAGAGTAATCATGGCATTATGTATTCAAAATTAAATATCTATTGTCCGTCTTCTATTATCTGGTCACCAAAATCGTTCGACAAATTACGTATAAAACTAGACACAATGTCTAAATGACAATGAATGATTGAACATAAAATTTAATTGTATTAATGTATATAAGACAATAAATTATTGTAAAGGTACTATCGACCATGTGCGTGTTTATTTACTATGAAACATAACCCATAAATAGTCACCCACTTGCTTAAGATAATGAAAACTTATTTTATGTCATTTGCCTTTAAAATATAAAAAATATATTATTTATTTCAATCAGTCGCAATGATTAAAGTATTCAGTATATTTCTCAACGAAGACAAATTTAAAAAGAATTAGGAATCAGGTTTTGCAGCTTGATTTCTGATTTTTAGTATGTGTGAAATTATCAGGGCTCTTGGCTGCAATGCTTATTTGTAGATAAATTTGAATTGTATCAAAATTGGGAATAGAAGCCGACAAATAATTTTACTGGCGCGAAGCTCTGTGTTGTTCTTTTTTATGTTTTTTATAATTCTGTAGTGTCAGGTCTCATTTATGAACTGCGTTGTATCAACGTGTTGAAATATGACTACAAATTGTAGTAATATAATTGTCCATCATACTGGACCTGGGTCTTTTTTATGTGAAAGCTCGATAAAAAATACACTATGATGTTTGCAATTGTCGTTCATATCATTAAAACTGATAACTAGAACTTAATATTAGATTTAGAACTGTCGAAGTGCCAATGTGATATTTACATTTGAATTATCCTGTATTGCATTTTCAAAGAAAAACAATTTGGAAATACTTTATAAAAATATAAAGTTTTGCTTTCATATCATATGAAAACCACGGAAGGATAAGTACTTCACGAGTAAATTGGACCATTATTGCAAATAGAGGACCTGATGAATGACAGTTCTATTTCAACTTCGCGTTTCCGTTGTCAAGCACAAGTATTATCATTGGCATTTATTTTTGTCTCAAAAGGATCTTCCACGGGGTCTTCCCGTAGTAAAGTACTCCTATTGGCTATTGCTAAAAAGTGTCAGCGTTATGATTGGTTGAATGAGTAGAAGTGAAAACATTAAAACAAAGACGTCAACAAAACATACGCAAATTCGACGAAAACTCGTGAAAGTGCGTTGTTGATAGCAGAGGAAAATACAGATTTTTTTAAATTCTTATTTGAAGTAAGTTGAGTATTACTGTCACTCTCTACGATGCGATAGGTTTTTGATCATCTTTTGAACGTTTTGCCGTAGAAATTTTACCTACGAAAGCTGGTGTTAGAACAAAAATGGGAAAAACATTTCAAGCTTATTTGCCCGACTGCTATCGTACTTACAGTTGTATCCATTGCAGAGCTCATTTAGCAAATCACGACGAGCTTATTTCTAAGGTTTGATTCTTTTCATTACTGTTTAGTATCCTTCAATGTGATAGAAAATTATTTGGCACGAACTATTTAGCTTTGTTTATATACATGAGGCAAAATCCTACTGTTTTTATTTAATATTAAGTCGTTTCAAGGAAGTCAAGGAAGAGCGTATCTCTTTAATAAAGTGTAAGTAAAAGCCTTAACAATTTCAGTCTGTGTTATTCTTCATTTAATTTTTTGTCATCTTTTAACAGTGTGAATATTGGTTGTGGACCAGCTGAGGAGCGAGTACTCTTGACAGGTCTACATGCTGTTGCGGACATTTTTTGCGAAAACTGCAAAACCACTTTGGGTTGGAAATATGTATGTATTTTTAACCTTGATCTGTCGTGTTTTAATGTATGCTAGAGTAATCACAAGCTTGACATTTTCCGTTCTACGTGCCATGTTCTTTATCTAAATTTATTGTGTTGCCATCTGTCGAGTCGAGTTTGTTTCGCAAATAAAATGCAAATGGGCGTCGTATAAATCATAACATTTTGTCATTAGCCGATGCTAACGATCTTTTTGTCTTTTTTTATCAAAGGAACATGCTTTTGAAAACAGTCAGAAATACAAAGAGGGTAAATTTATCATCGAAATGGCCCATATGATAAAAGATAATGGTTGGCTTTAAGCCAACTTGTCATGCGAGCACGGGCATAAAATTTTGTATATACAGCTTTTCACCAATTGCGTTTCCTGCTTTCCTGTCCGTCCTGTTGTCCGGTCGAATGGTGAGATATTATATAATCAGCGGAAGATTCATTTGTCATGAATGTGAACTGTCATATGTTACGTTTATGTATATCATAAGAAATTGATTTATTGCTAGTCGTTGCGTAACTATTATCTTTCATTGTAAATATCTCTTATGTTGATTTTGGTGTATGTATATTGTAAGATAGCAAGTCTTCAAATGTGTATAGCATTCAATTGTATATTAGACTAGTGTATTAAGACAATGTAAATATGGGGAATTATAGAGTATTACTGAAACAATTGAAACGGAATTAGTTGTTACTTAGTTCAGTTTTTCATCAGGAAGCGAAATGCATAAATTGTCGATACTTCATTTTCATTTACTCCCACGCTTGCGATTTGCTCCCCGCTAGCTTTTAAAAAGTAATTTCATTGAACTATATTAAAAAACGCCTCTATAGTTTTTGGTATGATTACACTCAGACTCTAATCATACTAAAATCGGTAAAGCTATGCATAAGTACACGAAAAAGTCCATTTTTGATTTATGGCTGTTTGTAATTTAATGTTGTATCCTTATACTACAGGGATACATAAAAGAATTGCTTATTTTATTATTTGGTTTGGTAACTGCTGCATCTCTATAGTTTTCGCGGTATATTTGTGGGCCTGTTGGTGAAATTAGGAAGGTGCTCATATGCGAGTTGTTTTTCTTTTCAATTTCATTTCAACGTTGAGGTTTTTATTCGTTTTCATAACAGCATTTGAATAAAAATCAGATGTGTTAATAAAAAAAGTGAATAGAAGAAGTAAAAGAATAATAACACATCGTACACATCGCTCATTTACCAATATTTTATGTAATATATTACCTACGAGTTAAAACCTCTAAACTAACCATAGCCGTAGGGGTAAATTGTCCTCTCGCCCATTCAACCGGGGTGTAAATTCCTGTGTATAAATTGCCGGTGATAAGAAAACCGTGTTAGTGTGACCCCATATGAACTTTGACCACCCTCGATTCATTGAGCCATGAAATTTGAAGATAGTTTGAATTGTAATCAGGGGACCAACTGTGACACCGTCGTTAGTGGTCACGAGTTTTTCATGGGACTTATAACGATGCTTATTGTTGAAAGATTTTAGAAATAAAACAGAACGTTCACTGCACGAAAACGTTGGTTGAGCTAGAATCTTGATCTGTAACACCACCCATTTACTAGAGATTGGAGTTCGACATTGCTTGTGAATTGGTATTTTGTTAATTGGTAGGTTTTCAGTAATTGCTGTGTGTGTTATTCATTTGTACCTTTTCTCTTCTTCTGTTTCAATATTTAAATGCAAATGCATGTTTTGTGGTGAAATGCAACGTCTGAGGTTTTCATCTTCATCTTGTTAGCTAGCGATTATGTCTGTGTGCGAAAATGCCAGGATAAATTGCTTATCATTTAGGTATTTCCTTAATTATAGAGTGGATTTTCAATAATGACTTAAACTCTTCAAAATGTACTTGCACAATCTGGCTAACTTTTCATGTATTTGAATTTCTTATCGGTGAATATTTTATTGAACAATATATGACCATTATTAGGAATTGCATGATATTTTAGTTTATAGTTTAGCGTGAGCAATATGAATAACATCTAAAACATTTTTAGAACGACGTAATTGCTATGTATTGAGTATATTTACATTCTTTGCTTATCATACTTCTTAGTTCAAATTTCAGACCATGGTACTTAGCTCAGCCACTCAGCTTAGGAATAGTAAAACTTGTCTAGTACTATGTCGAAGTGAAATGAATTTATATGAGAAAAAATGTCTCGAACGGTTTGTATAAACGCCATGCATATATTGCATTGTGATGTAAATTTGTAATGATAGCAATATTTAGTATCTTTGTGTGATATTGCTTTGCGACGTTACTCGTTATATTTGTTATGCCAATTTTGGCTTTGTTTTGCAAAATTGCCGTAAGAAAGCGCGAAAGTGATTTGGTCTGTTTTATTTAGGCAATTTAGGTCGTTCTGGTGATCCGACTAAAAATTGAGTTTTTAATATATCTCGATGAATTTAAAAACAGACAAAAACTAAAACTTCTATAACTCAGAATTTGTTATTGAACCAAGTACAAAGTCCGTAGGTAATATCGATTTTGATCTGTTTGTCATCGATAAGGGCTGTTGTCACTGCAAGTCGTATCATCTGACTGACGATAAGTCTTCTGTTTACAATTCACTATTTGTAGCCTTGAAATAACTTCCGTTCTTGATGTAAATAAGAAAATGCTGAAATTAAATATACTTATAATATTTCCACAAATTATCGAAATTAAAAAAAAACATTCAACTTCACAATAGCGTATTCTCTCTTGAATTTATGAAGAAACTCACTTCGTGTTACAAGTCGTGTTGTTGAAAAATGCGTACTGTTATTATACCTGAATTTTGAAACAGAGACTTTGTCGTGGTGACAAACTTAAAGATGGATTTCAAAATAGCAAGTACCGTGGTGAATGATGATAATAACCATGTTTTAAGAACTATTACATTGTTATTATCACCATTCACCATGGTATTTGCTATTTTGAAATACCTGAATTTGTTTAATATAAAATTAAACATGTTAATGGTAATGTTTAATTTAACGATAAATTTCTTTGATCAAACTTGCTACGAAAATAAGCACTTACAACGAAAGTCCAACTTGTTGTGAAGGATTTTGATAGCATTGCTTTAAAACCTTTTTACGCGTAATGTCCTGCCGAAAGACTTGCAGAATGGTTGGAAATTTTTTTCTTGTTCATCATTTATTCATAATATGCTTGCTTTTCAAAATAGATAATTGTCAAAGATGGCCTCCTCGTCTGACTCAAAGGATATTGCTGTTAACATTGATGAAAAAAATAAAGAAGAAAAGAACGAAAAGTCTAAAAAGAAAGGACTTTTTGGTGGCAAGTCTGAAAAATCAGAAAGCAAATCGAAATCAAAAGAGGGAAAAAAGGACAAAGAAGAGAGTACTGCAAACGAAAGAAAACTATCAAAAGATGAAAAAAATGAAAAAAAGAAAAAAGAAAGTACGATTTTTGTTAGGGTTGAAAAATGTCCAGCTATGCCTGTGGCCTGAAAATTTTTAAAAAATCTCCTAGTAGAAAATATTTCTGTATCTCAAAGAGAGTTTTTCAAAAAATTGAGTAGGTTTAGTTAGAATACAGGGGCTGGATATAGTGTTATCCATTGGATAATAAAATTTTCAAACTTGTAAAAAATGGTATTTATTTTTTCCAAACGACAAAGAAATTTAGTAATCAAGCGATATTTTCTTTCAGTGATTGCTCAGTTCAAATCGTTTACTTTTCTATTTAGAGAAATTTTTGAAGCGTTCAAAAAAATTTTGCTATTGTGTGTATTGTTATTACGGTTTCGTACAACAGTACCGCAGTGTATGAAAATTTCATTATTTCTGCAGTGTTTGTGTAGTGTTGATGATTATTATAACAAAAAAACATTTTATGTTTCTTTTTGTCGAAAATTTTGACGAATTCCTTTATTTTGTCAAAGAATACCGTTTAAAACCAGGCTAGTTGAACATTTCAATCAAATAATTTTGGTCAAGTTTGCCAAGACGAAACAATATCCGGGATAATTCCTCTTCGAATATTTTATATGAAAAACTTATTGCGTAATTTGTTTGCCAAGAATATATATCGAGTTGATAATTTTCATAATTTTTTAGGTAAAAAGGAAGGCAAGAAAGAAAGTATAAAAAAGGAGAAGAGTTTAAAATCTGATGCGAAAAATAAAGGAAAAGAAGAAATTGAAAAGGAAAGCAAAAAAGACAAGACTGAAAAGAAAAAAGAAACGTAATTGTTTTAGATTTATCGCTGTAAGTTTGAATTTTTATATTCACTTTTGAACATATGTTGTCGATGTCCAGGAAAAAAGAAGAAAAGAAAGCAGCTAAAGTAGAAGAAGAAAGAAAGAAGTCTCTTACAAAGAAGGAAAGTAAGAAAGAGAAATAAAAGTGAGAAAGATGACGATGCTTCTGACAAAGCTCAAAACGTAATAAATAAATAAACATTGACTGTTTTAAATAGCATAGGACATGTCATCTTGATGCTGTTTTACAATAAATATATTGTTTACAGGATCATCTGTTTCTGGTTCTGTTGCCACAATTACATCATCGGAAGCCGATGATGCTGGAGAGCAGAAAAGTCGTCGATCGTTCAAATTTTTGAAGATAGGAAAAAACACTCGAAACATGACAACGAAGCAATTCCACCTGAATCTGGTGGTGGAATTGACATTACAAGTGAACCAGACGGCAGCGGTCAAAAGAATTCTATTCAGAGCGAGGGTGAGAGGGATGTTAAAACTCCAAATGATCCAAAAGTCAAAAAAGAAAAGGCTGAAAAAGTTTCCATTAAAAGTCAGTCGGATAAGGAAAGTTCTAAGAAAACAATTAAAGAAATTTCTAAAGAAATGGAAGAAACACCACGAGTTGAAGTTGAAGCTCCACCGGTTTTTGTATCAAAAGTTACAATACCTATGGCATCTGCATCACGGTCAACCTCTTCAGATAATGATGGAGAAACAAAAAATCATGGTGAAAATGGTAGTAATGAAGATTCTGGCACGACAGAAAATGTTGAGAAATTACAAAGAAATGACATAGAAGTTTTTCCGCGCGAGCTAGATGGTGAGCAAAGATTTGAAGTGAATGTCGAGCGTGAAAATGTAGCTGATGATGATGAACAAAAGAATAGTTTATTCAAAATACGGAAACATTGGAGGATAAGGAAATTGAAGAGAGAGCCGATGACAAGTCAAGTGTCAAAAAATTTATCTCGCAAGGCTCCGATATGGTTCCAAACACTAATGAGGAGTCTTTGAAAGGTGATGGGCTTGTTTTCGATAAAGTTGAAGAAGATGAAGCAGAAACACCTAAAGTTAAAGGATTTGAAGCTAAAAACTGGAAGTGAATGAATTTGAAGTCGAAGCAAAGAATGAAGAAGATACTGCTGATGATGGAGAAGAACATTCAAAGAAAACGAACAACTGCTGAAAAAGGAATGAAAAGAAGAAAGAAAACGAAAAGAAAGGATGAACAGAAAGATCCTGAAACACTGGAAGAAGAAGAACAGAAAGATTCTGAAACACTGGAAGAAGAAGAACAGAAAGATCCTGAAACACTGAAAATGGAAGAACAGAAAGATCCTGAAGCTGAAAAAAGGGAAGTGGATGAAATAGAAGAACAGAAAACAAAACAGGAAAACGAAACGTTGGAATCAAACCAACTAGAAAGTTATAAAAATGAAACAAAGGAAGGTGATGAAAGAGAAGAAGGAAAAGTAGATGAAATTAAAGAAAAGCAAATAGATGCTCAGGAAAATGGCAGTCCATCTTCTGAAGATGTTTTGGAAAATGAAAAGAAAGAAGAAATTTCGTATCTTAGTCTATCCAATCAAAGTGAAGACAAACCTGAAGATGAAAAAGTCAATCGTGAAAAGAACGTAAAAAATCGAGCGAAATCGCCTGGCGCTCGTCAGATTGAGGAATCTCTAAAACACACAAAAAAACGAACATTGTTCGGGTTAAAAGCATACTGCTGCGTTATTCTGTAAGTTTATTTACCAAGTTTTCGTATAATTCATGTGTTCGAGTAGATAATGATATAGATTTTTAGCAAATAGTTGGGGTTTAATGTGTGGGTGTAATGTATGCTATAACAATATTTATCGAACGTTAGTTGATTTTATCATTATACTGCTATCTATGTTAACACTATTGACGTATTTGAAATTAAAATAGAGCAGCATAAAGCTATTGATGTTTCTCTGCGAAACGTATTTTATCAACGTATTGTATAACTCTTGGAAACCAATGGAAGCCAATTGGCCAAATCTACTTTTCAAGAAGCCAAATTCGAGATATTTCACTTATTTGGGAACTGAAATTTGCTATGTATTAATAAAAAAAGTGCTCTTGCAAAATGCTGCTTGTAACTATATAAAAATTTTTCACGTTTGTCTTCTCGAAGAATTTCTTCGTTCTACTTACTTTCAACAGCATTTAATAGGGATTGCGGACTAGGATAGTTGAGGGGCAAGAGCTCCCTACTTGTACCCAACTGTGATGGTCAATACCCCCCATAGTGATACCACAATCAACGTCCTTCTCCATCACGACCATAGTCGTCCCCAAGTAGCAGCAACGTTAATACAACGTTGGTTTACAGTTGTAGAAAGGTGATGTTTGACTTAACTTTGATAAAACTTTCACACAACGGTCTTCCAGTTAAAAACAATTGCGAAACGTTCACTTAACGTTTGTTTGACGTTATGAAATAACATAAAAATCCCAAGGTTTCTACCATGTCGTATCTCAACATTGCAACAACGTTTTAATTAAACGTTCAGCCTTGTTAACGCTATATGTTAAAGTGACATGATAAAACTACAAAATAATGCTTTTTTAATATAATGTCTCTGCAACATTGTTATTAACGTCGGTTTGCACGTTGCATTTACGTTCCTAAGAGTCCACAAAAAAACGTTTTATCAACTTAAATTACAGCGTTGTCACTACATTAGACCTCAACGTTCGCACCACGTAGTTATTCCACGTTAACATAACGTTGTCATAACGTACTTGTCCTACTTGGGTCCCACCCTATCACCATCATCGTCGTACCTTACCTCCTCCACCATCGTCGTACCTTACCTCCTCCACCATCGTCGTTCCCAAGCATATGAATGTGCTCCTTCGATATAAATTTGCTTTCTCCTATTTCGATAAAATAAAGCGCATTGATAGTATAATATAATCTACACGACGAGTTTTTTTAGAGTAGACATGTTTCGACATCTCATGATGCCATCTTCAGTATGAGTGAAAATAAAACATGTCTATTCTAAAAAAACTAATGAAGCATGTCTATTCTAAAAAAACTCTTCGTGTGTATTAAATGCGCATTAGCAATAGTGCTTTTATGATATAATATAATCTGTCGAGATTTGCGAAATTATTGCGCTTTATTGGTTATTGTTTATATTATTTACTATTGTTTATATTATTGTTTATGTTATTGTTTATATTATTTACTATTTCAGTCTTCTGTACTGAATGAAGTTTGTTTAAAATGTTTAGAAAAGAACATAAGAATAAAAGAGTGATCTAGATTAATTATTAAATACCAAAAATTTCTAGACGTAACAGTCCAGTGAATTTTTACACCCTGTGGTGTTATACGGATGTTTTTATCGTCTGACACTTTCAACACAATTGATTTAATACCATTGTCTCTAAAGAACTTTTATCTTTTCACTTTTCACTTTCAAAATCAACTTATCATCCATGACGACTCTGAAGTTCTCAAAATGGAGCTGAGCAAGAGCTGTCATATGGAAAATGGTCAAGGCCCTTACGAAGAAAACGATGATTCAGTGTCTGATTTTGCTCGTACAGGAAGCCATATAGGTTGAAGTTTCAATTTATAAATAAAATTTTGTTTGACGTTTTATGATCGTTATAAAAACAACGTACGTGTATGTATGGCAGAATATTTGATTGCTTATTTGTTGATGTGAAAGATTTTATTTTTCATATCGCGGCAATATCGCCAAGGAAATTTAAATGTTTTCTTTAATTGTCCAAAAATTTGGATTTGGGCTTTGTATAAAACGTTTTGTTTTGATATGATAACTACGTATTACTTTTAGATCGACAAGAACATTACATTTATCAAGAGGCAGCTATATATTTAGAGAAAGGAGAAGCCAATGAAAAGTATCATGAATTCAATGACCATCTGGACAGAAGTCGTTTTATGTGTTATCTAATTGTTCACACAACATTTTATAAAATTGTGGATATTTTGTCATCAGTGGGGCTACTTGCACTTGCAGCATTTGAACCACCAGCAATTTTTCAAATGTCTATTGAAATATGGGTAACTGCTGGCAATAAATCTTTTATTATTTACTAATCAGTAATTGTCCAAATGAATATCTTCATTCACAAATATAAACCCTAAGATAAATAATGATCACTATAAGGTTATATAAGGTTAAAATTGGACAGAATAAGTGGTTTACTTCAGAATTGGTTTTCTGTGCATGAAAATGAAGCTTAAATCTTTGTATTTGTCATAAAGTTATAAACCGATAGTTTGCAAAAAAATAATAAAATTTCATATTTTGTAGGTTCATGGAGTCCTTGAGATTGTCTTTCTTTTGTTAGTGTTCAGTGTATTTGCCGTCAAGATTAAATGGCAAGGAATTAAGTATTCCAAGACTCATAAACGTACTATTTTTAAGGTATGTCAAAAATGCCATTAAATAATTTAGTATGAGAGAAAAGTTACCAATCAATCAATTATATAATTTAGGAAAACTGAAATATTTTTCCATGTTTAAAAATGAATAACATAAGTGGTGTAGTTATATCTTTAACAGAGAAATTTCCTGCTGAAGTAGTTGATAAGAACACAACTTGCTTTGGTCTTCATCATTGACCAATGAATTTTTATGGTCAGTGTTATTTATAACATGTTTATGAAGATGAATGTTATTTTTTTACAATTTAGTTTCTCTTCATTGTGATCATGACAGTTGAAGTAATTGTTGTTATGATAAGAAATGACTCACATTTTCGAGTAACTAGAGCACTACGTCCATTGTTTCTTCTTGACACTTACTATTTTGGTGGAGTGCGCAGGTACATTAAAAATTATAAATAGATCAGTTGGTACAATTTGTTGCTTCAATAGATTTATATGTTTTCAGAGTTTTGCGTGCTATACTAAAGTCGATGATTCCAGTTTTGGACATTTTTGCTTTACTCTTCTTCTTTATGATTATATTTTCCATTCTTGGTAAGCCTCTTTTATCATAAAATAGTATTTTAAAGATATTTACATTGATGGACCTCTATCGTTCAGATCCATTAAAAAATAAGATGATTCATATATTTTATTGAACAAGAGTTTATAATTTTGTGTTCAACAGGTTTTTACTTTTTTTCAACTAATGAAGATGACACAGTAAGGAATTTTATGATTGATTAATAATTTATGGGAAGCTATAAGATATATATATATACACTTCAGCTTTATTGTTTCTATTTCCATTTCTAGAATTTCAGTACAATTCATGAAAGTTTTGTCAGTCTATTTGTACTTGTAACAACTGCCAAGTAAGCACTTTTGTCATGATTTTTGTTTGTTATCAATCAACATAGCTACTTCACAATTTAAAAATCAATACAATTTTTCAAACAAAATATTTATTTAATTTTTAGTTTTCCTGATGTGATGATGCCAGCGTACCATAGAAACAAAGGATCTGTGTTTTTTCGTTATCTACATATCCATTGCGCTGTATTTTCTAATGAATCTTGTAAGCATGTAATCTTTGTTCAAAGCCCCAAAGCTCATAAATTTTGTCTAGCTCTCATAACTTTCTACTTAACCAACTTCTAACTGAACCAATTTTGATTTCTCCTCAGATTCTATTTATTGTTTCAGGTTCTTGCGACAGTCTACTCAACATTCTCATTGAAAAATAAAAAGAAATTTACCAGACTTTACTTTCACAAACAGTATGAATAAATAACTCATACCATTTGATCACATGGCATTTTGTCTTTGTCTCCACTCTTATGTAATTATGGTTTTAGGGAAGGTGCAAGACTTGCGTATAACAAGATTAAACATCCTATGGTATAGTATGATTTTACTTTGACATTCAAATAACATAGATGATCATTAACTTGGACCTTGTACTGTGCACTGATGTGATCAAAATCATCTGTTTTACCAGGGGGGGCTCTTTATATGAGGCTGATTTAGTGAAATCAGCATGTGACGTCACAGGTGTTCATAACGTTTAACTGAGATGACTGATAACTGCTGATAAATTGTAAATTAACATTTATAGCTTTATAAATTGTAACATCATATGAATAGTACTTTTATGTTTAGAACAGATGTACAACTTAGAACAGTCGCCGTACTGTCACTCACTATACATGACCAGGCTTTGCAGATTAAAAAGTTTAAAAACTGCTGTTAATACGTAAAAATGTGTAATGTTTTTATTATTCTACTTTTATCCAAATGGTTTTTAACTTCAAGAAACAATTTTTTTGAAACGTACAAAAACAGTTCTTTTATTTTCAAAGGATGAAGGTGGCATTGATTTCGTCAAATTTCGTCGACTAATGAAGTATTTTAAACCTAGAATGTGTGAGTATTGTTTATATTTATGAGCATCTTTTAACTTTCTTTTGATTTAGTGCTGCCACTTTTTCTTACAGCAACTTTGAGGAAAAAACTCGTGTTTAAACATCTCGATAAAGGAAACACTGGAAAGCTAAAGTAATTTCAAACTTATAATTACTTGATTTTGTGTTCGTGTTTTATTCGTTCATATTTTTCCCTAGTCTGGAAGAATTTCGTGATATTTATGGCGTAACTAAACTTTCATGGCATTGTGTAAGAATATAGACGTTTTTCTTATTACACTGATGTAAAAGCTTACTAAAGCTACATTAAATGCTTCTAATAATTCATTGCATTTCTCATATTTTTTGCTTAAGACGACAAATGGCACGTGGTTTGAGCAATACCGTCTACCATTTTGGCTTCGTAAAATATTGAAATGTAAGGAATTTCGTCGTCTTGCCTTCAAACATTTTTGACGGAGGAATGAGTTTAAAATATTAACGATTTTTATTTTTTATTAGGTGTTCATCTTGTTGTCACAAAAAAATTTAAGGATTATTTCTTCACGTTGTTCGACGTATTTATATGTTAGTACGAAAATCTTCAACATTTCACTCAAAATAATGGAAAAAATATTTTACCATTTCTTTGCTTGACAGTTGCTGTCATTTGTGTTAATGGTTGTATTGTCATCGTACAAGTCATTATACAGTCAAGTTAGTAATGATTTATTGATAAATTATATTTTTAAAATGGTTGTCCTGTATAACTGATTTTGTCTTTTTTAAACAGACAAGGAACCATCTAAACGAAATCTTAGTACAGTAGATTGGTACTCTCATGTTTTCACTTCAAGTATGAATGATTTTTCATCTTTTTTTTTCTATGATTGCCAAAAAATTTTTGTTATTTACTTTCTGTAGTTTATGCTGTTGAGGCTGTAATGAAGTTACTTGCTTTTGGTATTCGTGATTATTTCGAATCATTTTGGAATTGGTAAGTTCATACTTTCATGTGATTATTTTACAAATCACCATTTATACATCCAAATTCCAATAATCTTTTAAATGTTAAATTTTTGTAGGTTTGATTTATTGGTAACTATACTCAACGTTCTGGGAAGTTTTGATACAGGTTTAACTTTTGCCATCTACCTTCGACCAATAAGATTATTATTGTGAGTATTTTAATTAACCAATCAGATATTTGACGAGAGACGCCTTTTCATTTGCTATTTTTTTCTATTTAGACTGTTCAAACTTCGCAAAAGTTATCGTGTCATCTTTGACAGCTTAAGAATTCTTTTACCAAGTTTGGTGAAGTAAGACTTTCAGTAAAATTTTCGATTTTTTTTTCGTTTCAATATCATTTTTGATAATTTCCTGTTTATCTTTTTAGCTTAGGTATAGTCATTTTAATGTTTTATTATTTTTTTGCCATCGTCGGAATGGAACTATTTGCTGGGGTTGATTTAAAATCTTGCTGCAGGTAGATGAATGACTACACTGCATAAATTAATTATCTTTTTAACACGTTAAAGTTACGTCATCAATATTTTCAACCAATCAATGTCATGTTAATTTTTCACCAACGAACGTCATCAATATTTTCAACCAATCAATGTCATGTTAATTTTTCACCAACGAGCGTCATCAATATTTTCAACCAATCAATGTCATGTTAATTTTTCACCAACGAACGTCATCAATATTTTCAACCAATCAATGTCATGTTAATTTTTCACCAACGAACGTCATCAATATTTTCAACCAATCAATGTCATGTTAATTTTTCACCAACGAACGTCATCAATATTTTCAACCAATCAATATCATGTTAATTTTTCACCAACGAACGTCATCAATATTTTCAACCAATCAATGTCATGTTAATTTTTCACCAACGAACGTCATCAATATTTTCAACCAATCAATTCCATGTTAATTTTTCACCAACGAACGTCATCAATATTTTCAACCAATCAATGTCATGTTAATTTTCCACCAATGAACGTCATCAATATTTTTCAAATGAACATTTCAGGAATATTTTGTGATTAAAAACTATTCCATTTCTTTATGTAGAAACAATTCCAATCTGAATGAATATCAGGAAAATGGATATTACTATTTAAATAACTTCGACGATCTTTTTCGTTCTTTCGGTTCGTAAATATTTAGTTCTATGGTGCTGTAAACCTTTGACGTATTCAATCTCAGGGAAAATCTATTGCAACAGTCTTATTATTAACATTTATGCTTAAAATGAAATATTTGTTAAACACCAAATGCTATGACTCAGTATGAAGTTTAAAGGAACATACTTTGAAAAAAGTTATTCAAAGTTACCATGTATATTTAATCTTAGGTATTTTTTGTTATTTTATTTTTTAGTGACTCTTTTCGAGTTAACTGTGGTCAACAATTGGCATGTCATCATGGTAATCCTATAAGCAATCCTTTATTTTTTCCATTGGAAAATTTTGCTGTTTAACTACGCATAACTCATGATTTACAGGACAGTTTTGCACTTGCTACAACGGAATGGAGTCGTATGTTTTTCATGATATTTTACGTCGTTATTTTGGTAAAGTACTTTATCGTGATTCTATCTTGTTCAGCTTTGGCTGAATAGTAAAATAATTACTAATTAATAATTAATATTATATCTTAATCTAATCTATGTTTAAATGTGTTATTTTATTCATCAGGTTGTAATGACGATCGTTGTTGCGTTTATCTTGGATGCGTTTACTTTTTCTATTGATTTTCAAAAGAAACATAAGAACAAGCCGAGTATGTGATGACAATGACCATGAATCTTGTGATTGTTATTTAATGAACTTATATATTACTTCATGTTATAGGAAATCAACATAAGATTACGTGTGAAATACGCCTCTCTAAACAGGAATTAGACAATGTCGATACTCGTTATTCCAGATTAGAATCGGTAAGTGAAAAAATTTACATTTTTAAATAAAGTTTACAATTTTTATGTTTTATATCTTCGACAATGTAGGAAACATTTACATTTGTCGGAAAACGTATTTTGACTCGTGATGATCTGTATGAAGAAATGTACAGTGATGAACTAAAGGTTAAATTATCATTATCATCATATCTCTTGTTCATTCATCTCCATTGGTATCCCCATACATATCTCCATTTGTCTCTTTTCATACCAGGAAAACTGCCACAAATCTGAGGAGACGATAGACACCCAGCTGTCATTGCGTGGCTCAATTAACACCGACGAATTTCCCTCTGTTTCCCATGGCGAGGAACACGCTTGACAAATTATCACTTTTTTATGTAAAATGCTTCTTTTAAAGCAAGCATCTAATTAGTAATTTTCAAATATTTAATATGATGAGTTATTTTTGCAATTTAATATAATGATATGTACTTAATTATGTAATAAATTATACTCAATAAAATATTTAATGTAATAAGTTATAGGTTAACTGTAACTGCAGAAGTGTATTGTTTGACATTTAGAATTCACATAAGACATTAATTTTTATAACTAAACTTTCCATAAATTTTGCTTTAATGACTATTATGTAATACCTATAATTAATGAGGGTCTTGAAATTGGTAAAGTTAAAAAACGTGTAATGAAATTGATAAATTCAATAGCAAACAACTATATTTTTTTCATGTTTACAAAAATTTTCAGTTCGTTGAATAGTGGTGATTGGTGATCCATTGAAATGGATGGTACAATGTTACATAATTATGCATGTAAATTTATTTATTTGTTTTTGTTGTGCGCGTGCGTAAACTGTGCTTTAAACTAAAAAATTTGTTGCAAAAGTTTAAATTTGCGTCCGACGTCCGCGTCAACTTACTAAGTTTTCAGTTCGAAGAGACTGACTTATACAGCTTGTTGATATTCTTAAGTTGCTTTATGTGAAATGTTTGGCAGCGATGGTCGTTAAACTTTTTATTAGTTCGTTATTAAGGTAAGTTCTATTGACGAATTTTTCTTCGCTTAGCAGAAATTATGTTTGTAAACTCTATCACTTTGAATTTTTTAATGTTATTTTTTCTAACGTATTTTTAAGGTATATTGCTTCAATATTGGAGTCATGTCAACTCATATTAATCAAGATAAAAAGATTGACAAAATGAATTGAAGAATGTGAGGTATGAATATATAATTATGTTAATTACCAGAGTTGGGATAGATTGTATAAATTATTTTTACAGTATGTCTGATTTCAAATAACATTGTTTGATTATTACATGTTTGTGGATGTAGATTGTCCTGGTTAGTAGAGTCCTGAGAAGGACTGTTGTTGTTGACTGACATTTCAACTTTGAAGATGACTACAGCTAAGGTTGTCGAAATGTCAGTCAACAACAAAAACTGTCCTTCTCAGGACTCTACCAACCTGGACGATCTACATCTACAAACATGTAACAATACTCCTGGGTTCAAACCATTTACTTTATTGTTTGATTATAACAATAATATTTTAATCAAAGACAATTTCTACAATGATAAAACAAAATGTCAAGTTGTGTCTGTTATTCCTTCGATAACAACAAAATGTCAATCAAAATTATAATTTAAAAACATCTTCAATCATAGAGTGTAACCAAACATTTTTAAATCCAAAATCTTTTATTTATTTACTGCATCTCAAACATTAAAGATAACTTAAATCCACAACCTTAAAGATTAAATTCATCTCACTAGTAAATGTTTTGTAGCATTTACATTACTGCACAACACAGTCTTTTTATTCCAAACAAAGTATGTTTGCGTACTTGAGATAACTCAACTGACATTTCATACGATTTGTTGATTTGTTGCCTATCTTCAATCACGCTTTTCTCACTTTGCAATTTTGTGATTTCTGAGTGATAAACAGATCTTTTTTCTTCCAAGCTGCAGTCAAAGTCTTTATGTAGAATATTACCATCATACTTGGGCTTCTCTAAAGTTGACTCAACTTCATTAACATGGTTGGTTTTTCTTTCTTGATATATCTCATACTCAGAGCCTTCACTGGTTCCCTCCAATGTAATTCTTGATCCAGTCTCTTCTGTGTCAATAAACATAAGCAAACGACTGGTATCTGAGGTTGATATTGTATCTTTAGCATCTGATGAAGCCAATAATTCTGACGCAATACTTGATACTTCAGTAAGCTCGTCATCTTCACCTGAAGAAGTTACAAAGTAAATTTCAAATAATTCATTTCATATGATAATTATTTTATTCATTTCATATGGCCAATCTTTACTCTAAATCATTGTTCAGGAATGAGCACTCCAGTAAATATATATAGCTCATGTTCTTACCTGAAGTTGTTATAACAATCTTAAGATTGGCATTTTTCGTTGCTGTGTCAAGCGGGTCGCATGTTATGTCTTCTGCTGTAACTGTGTCGTCATCAGAGTTGTTGACATGCATGTCTTTTTGAGAAAGATCAGATGGTGATTCTAGTTTGGGGCCACTGGCATCAGCAAATGACACTTTTCTTTTCCTTGTTTTATTTAGGTCATCATCTTCCTCAATATCATCTTTATTTTCACCATTGCAGTCTTTCACTCTGAGATCTTCATTATCACCATTGCCGTCTTTTTCCTCTAGATCTTCATTATCACCATTGCTGTCTTTTTCCTCTAGATCTTCATTTTCACCATTGCTGTCTTTTTCCTCTAGGTCTTCATTTTCACCATTGTAATCATTTTCTTTATCACTTGGTGCATCTTTCTTGTCAACCAAAACATTATTTTCCTCGCTGTATTCATAAGTACCGTTTTCTTGATTTTCGCTTGTTGGTGGATTTTTGTTGTCTTCTTTACACATTCCTCTGTTTTATTTGCTTTGTTTTTGTTTTGATTTTTTGACTTTCTACGCTTTAACGATAGACCACGTTTAAAGAAACTCTTTCTTGTTTTACGTTTGTTTGCAGTTAACGACAATTCTTCATTCTTTTCTTCTTCTTCGCTAAGCTCGCCCACGCTGTAGTAAATTTCTACGTCACTGTGCCCCAGTTCCTCCACTTTCATCGTTTCTTCCTTTACAACGACATGTTGATCACCAATAACTGTTGTCATTTTTTTATCTGTAGAAAACTCTCGGCTGTCCCATATTTCAACATTGGGTGCATTGTCTTTACTGCTCGATTGTACTTTTGCATTTTTGACGCTCGAATTTTTCTTGCGATTGAAGATACTTCGTCGTTTTGATTTCTTTTTTGTTTTGTTTGGTATTTTATCGTTTGGTAGTTCGTCATCGCTACATTTTTTCTCTATTTCTTCGTTCTTCAATTTTTCTGCTCCTTCATTCCCTGCTTGTAATTCACTCTTTGTAATTGTTTCATTTCTTGATTGTATTTCACTGTCTTTCCTTTCTTCCATGTTCTCTATATTCATTTTAAGATCATCAGAATTCACCCACACATTATCTTTCTCATTTCTTTTATTGAGAGATGAAATTTTTTTCCCTGAGTTGACGAGTTCCATTGCAATAATGTTGCTTTACAAAAAGTGGGTGAACTTATATCGTTTGTCTTATTTTGGTCAAATAGAAAAGATTTTTGCCTAAATTGTTTTATATTGAAAGGAAATGACCTCATGTTCATTGTGTTGCATTCATTTGTCATGCTTCATTGACACAGCTAGTTTATTGTCTTTGAAATTGCCAATATTTCAAACAAAAAAGCACGTTTAAAACTGTCCGATTATCAAACATCTGTTGAATTCATTATGCTGAATTTTCCACTGTTTTCGTTTTATCATGAATGAAGATTTTGTCAAAATTCATTTCCTAAATCAGTGATTGAAATTCTTCTTTTTTACATCAATTTTATATTTTATTGCAGTTTTCTCTATTTGGTACCTGCTCCCATTGTATTGACGTTCGCGACAAGTATTTCTTATTGCAACATTATTTCCATCAAATTATTCAATAAATATAGCCAAAAAATCGTATACGACAAGGATTTTCATTTGTATCAGATTGTTTTGGTATTGTAGCCAAGAAATGCGATTGTCAAAACTAAAATTTGTATCCTAAATATAATTCTTTGTTACATTTCAACCACAATTTATATTTTAGCCGTTTCCTGTTCTTTCAAAGGAAGTTTTCAATAAATGCATACAATCTGGTCATTTGGAACATGTAAAAATGCAAATTTGCACGTGTCTGTTTACTTTAAAAATGACCGCGTTGTCAACGATTATCACTGGTTGCGAAAGTAAAATTTAATAAACAAGATTGTTTTCTAAAATATGTTCGTCTTAAAACCTTACCGTGTCTGTCTCATGAATTTGTGTGTAGTTTGAAGAAAAACTTCTCCCATTTCCGTGCATGAAAATATCATTGTGAATTCAACTCCACGTTTTTATCTCAATATATTAAATAGCCTGAGGTGAGCACGACTTTCCTGCAATGTTTGATCAAAACACCTGGAGTTCTTAGAGATGAATAATACAAATGTTAAATTTATGCAAATAGCTATTAATGAAAAGCAGATGGGTTTTTTGGTTTTCTTTGTCATTTGTTTTGGCATCAAGGAAATTTACATCAAATGGTGTTGTTATAAATGTAACGTTAATATTTTCATTTCTATTAGTTTGTACGTACACTGGCTGTAAAATTATTTTACATCAACCCTCAAATTACAATAACTCGACAATTTAATTGCAAAAATGTTTGAAAGGATACGGGATTCATTTTATTTTGTGAAATAAACTTTTTCGTTGAATCGTGTTTGCACAGATATAGTAAACCTAGCTATTTACTCCAGATATGATTGTCTCTTATTTAAACATCTGTTGTGCAACGATGCAAGGTCATTAGCTGAACAAATGCTATAAAAATCTTTTATTCGTCCACTTTAAAAAACATTTCTTTTTTTTAAACTCTTCTTACTTATTTTTTGAAATTGCAAATTACAGTTGACTCGACACAAAAAAAAACATTTATTATAATTTGAACACATTCATTTTAATATAATGATATATTTTAAAAGTTTATTCTCTTTAATTATAATTAATCATTATTGTCAGTAAATGTCGTGACAAACAGAAAACTTCATGAAATTATACATTTTTTCACCCCACACTGGCAGCGAGTTTTCCCTTCAGTCAAATCATCCAAACTAACTGAGTTCAAATAATCACCATTTGTCACTGCGGCTGTATTTTTACTTTTATTTTGCTGTCTTTTGTCGACTTTTTATGCGCTTTATCGTCGTTGGACGGCAATTTGTCTTTGTGCATTACATCATGTTTTGGTTTATGAACGTTTAAACCGTCCGATATATTTATCTCTTCAAAACTCGCCACCATTACCTTCGTAGACTCCAACTGTTCCTTACTGTCCATGTGACCAGCTGTATTTTCCAATTGCTTGATTGCGGGCTCTTTAATGCTCGTCAGGTTATGTCTTGAATTTGGCAAGGAATGATGACTAGAACGCAGGCTTTGCAAGGAGCCACGAGAATTTTTGCTACCTGTACCTATCCAGTTTGAGGTGTACACACAAACAGGTTTGTCACCGTCAATTGATATTTGTTTCTTGCTCGTTTGTGTGGACCGTGGCAAGCTTCGAGTGTTAAACGTACTTTTTACGAACGAACTTTCATCGAATTTGGGACTTGCTTTCAATTTTGCAAGAGTTTCATTTAGTAATTCTGTGGTCTGGTGTTGTGACATGGTCGAGTTATTAGTGATTCTGTCCCAGATTGTCGGAGACAATGGTCGACGTGATTCTTCGGTTTGAGAAAGTGCTTCCACTTCATTTTCATGTTTCATATGAACCTCTTTACCAGTTTCATTTGAAAAGTTGACGTGTTTCACATCATTTTCGTCTGAATCTTTACGACTTCGACTTTCAGCTTCCTTCATGATCAAATTTTGTATTACCTTTAATTTGTCTAGTGCTTCGTTGGTGTTCATCAATTTTATACTCGATTTTTTCATGTCATTCTGCTCATCTTTTTGTCCATTCTCATCAATGTCTTCATCAGAAACATTTGGTGGACTAAGCTCTGTTCCAATATCATCCCATTCTAACGAGGGCGCAGTTTTAATGTCTTCTACGATGGGTTTATCAGTTGATACAAACTTTTTATCCCTTGATAAAGCAAAAAGTGGACTAAGACTGCCTTTTGAATCTTTACCTATCATCATTTCTTTAGTATCAGACTTCTGTAAGTCCATCTTCATTTCCTCGGTGCCTTCACATTTCCCAAAGTCCATTTCAGATTTCCCAAAGTCCATCTTTATTCCCTCGGTGCCTTTGGATTTTTCTAAGTCCATATTTATCCCCTCGGTGCCTTCAGATTTCATAAAGTCCATCTTGATCCCCTCGGTGCCTTCACATTTCCCAAAGTCCATTTCAGATTTTCCAAAGTCAATCTTGATCTCCTCGGTACCGTTAGATTTGTTCGAATTTCCATTTTCAAAACAAACATTTTTTTGAGGTATAATTTCAATCGTTTTATTTCCTAAAATTTCATATTTTGATTTCATTTCTTCATTTTGTATGTATTCTACACATACTTCGTCCATGGCGGTTGTTTCGTTAGCATGATGTTTGCACATAATAAGACTTTTTCTTGGACTGATAAATGTTGGGTATTGTCTGAAGCCTGGATCATCCCTAATATTTGGCAAGTTTTCTTCATCGTTAATACTTTGTTCCATTCGACATTGCATACAGTTATCAGATCTGACAGGGCGACTCATCTTCACACATATTTCCACCCATCTCATCATTTATCTCTTCTGATTTCATTTTCTCTTTGTCCATCTCTTTATCCATCTCTTTGTCCATCAACTTGGGCATTTCAGGGTCATTGTTTACTTTATCTTTTTCATATTTGATGAAACTTTTGGACTCTACTGACTCCACACTTTCAGCAATTTCCGAACTTTGTATAGTATCATCTTTGTTATTATTGGAGGCATCTTTCATTGACGAGTCTCCTGAGTTTATCTTTGTGTTAATTTGGTTACTCTCTGTTTTATGTTCAGTGTTTTGCATCATAATTTTGGATAAACGTGGAGGTTTCTTTGGCGATTGTTTTACAATTATTTTCTTTGCTTGTAGTTTGTGTTTCATACTGCTCAAATTTTGAATTGTTTCTTTACTTTGCACATTAGAATCACAGTCCAACTCAATTTTATAGTTTTTGATGTCTTTTTTTCTTCTGTATTATCCATCATAGTCTGTATTTTTCCTACATTATCCATCACAGTCTGTATTACTCCTTCATTATCCATCGTAGTCTGTATTTCTCTTCCATTGTCCATCATAGAAGATGGTTTTTCATTATCCAACTTCATCATGCATTTTTTCCCTGTTTTCATTCCAATTTCGCTTTCATCTTTTAAACTTAATGAGATATTTTGTTGATTTGTAGTTTCATTTTCAGCTTTTCCTTTTTCAACTATCACTTCTTCATTCTTCTCGTATTCCTTGTTTTTCATCATTGAATATACTTCCTTATCACACGGTCTCTCCAGTGTACTAGAAATGGATGGCATTTCTTTTTCAATCCATGTTTTTACATCACCAGTTATATTATCGCGGTTCATCTTTGATGCGACATTTCTGTTTTTTCTTGTCATCACGGGAATCTTCGACTTTGAGTTTTCTCTTGAAAGACAAGTTTCAACTGAGAATGATGCGTCTTCTTTACTGCGCATAGAATCTTTGTAGCCATACATTGAATCATTTTGTGGTAATGTATTTAAAGTTTGCACAGATTCTGTTGTACTCTTCGATTGCGACGTCAATTTTGTACGTGTTCTTTCTAATGCTTCATCCGGTTTCAATATTTTTTTGTTTTGTTTGTTTAAAGTGCATGTTTGTGTGATGTTCTTGCCGTGTCCTCCAAATGTGCTTGGTTTACGCGAAAGTTTTGATTTGTTGTCATCATTTCTTGTCGTTTTTTTATCTTTTGTCCTCTCGTCTTTTAACGTCGATTTCTTTTGTTCAGGAGTTTCTTTTCTTCCCCTTCTCCCTTTATCACTACTGCTGCCGTTGGTTTCCGAGAGTTTTTTTGAATTTTAATATCGCCTTTAATAGGTATACCACTGGCTGATTTTTGTTTCCACTTACTTTCTATGGCTGTGGCTCCCTTGTTAATATTCTCTTTACCAGTCTTCTTTTGAATGCCCGTATTGAAATTGACGTCATTACGGGCTTTCTGTTGTGGAATGCTAGTAGACTTGACTCCAACCATTCGTGGTTTACTTTTCCTTGGTATATTAGACGTAAACTCTTCCTCAGATTTCACAGGCTCACCACTTGCATCTGAAGAAGAATTTGATTCTTCCTGGTTATTCGTGAAGCCATCTGTAGAACTGGAATGACCACGTGGTATACAACTGTCAGTTTCACGCGTAAAACTGTGGGCTCGTTTCATTACTGTTGGTCGCGTGGCAGAGATGGGTAAACGTGAACTTGTGCTTCTTGCAATGGACTTGGGTGTTTTGGAATTGGTTTTAAAACTTGTTTTTCTTTCAAAGTTTTCCACCTTTTCACTGTCTTGTAAAATCGTAGAGTCCTGATGAGAGTCTAGAAGATAGTTTGTCTCAGATAATTTTATGTTTTCTTTGCTTGGTGAACGCTTTTATCAGTCGTGTTCGGTAAAGTAGCTCGTGTGGTTCCGGTTGGTGGTATAAACATATATTCAATGGGTCCTGGAGAGCCACCAAAAATGGCGGAAGTATTTGTCCTTGGTGTTTGCGTAGGAATTGAAACACCGGTAATAGGATTGTACCTTTCACTATACAATGTAAAGATAAATTTAATTAATTTTCTAGTTGCTTCAAATTTCCGTTAAATTCTTTTTTTGTGTGCGTTTAAATTATGTATTAACGCACGGCAAGTTAAAACTAAAGATACTTTTTAAAATTATATCATAATCATAAGTTAAATGACACAGTATGTATATTGATGACCAGCGCATACAGAAATACTGACATACATGAAAATTATACTTCGTTTTCACAATTTAGTAAGATACAAAATTCTCCAATCAATGCAGTATTTAACTTATATCGAAAGTATGCAACAACATTTTAACGTAATAGGGCCTTATATCTTTTAATATTTATAACAATTTTTTGTTTAATCCAAAAAACAAATTTGTCAAGAGAGTATTTGTTAATAAAAAGTAATAAACCATGTGGAATAATAAGCGCACTTATGGTTCACAAAAATGTCGTCGTCGAAACTATGATTTCTAGGAGTGTATTGTAGGATAAAGTTTTGTAGCTGAACATATGTGTTTTTTTCTCTAATTATTAAACGCATTTTAGAATCTAATTCCAACTAAACTTTTTATGGCAGATATTGTTCTCTGTCGTCGTTAAAATCGGTTTTAAAGAAATATGAACTGTTGTTCGTCGACCTATCTTCCAATCGCAATAATGAAAGAAAAGACAAAGAATTGTTCATCAAGAGGACATTTTACTTGCGTCTAATACATTCGTCGTAGACAATAGACAATATATGACATCTTATTACAAAAGAACATGCTGTCGGCAAAAAGAGAGTAAAAGGCATTTGAAAGAAAAAACTTACAGTCTCTCCCAATTTCTTTAACGATTCAGCGATTTCTTAGGATGGAAAACGGAGTGTGATTGAAAAAGCTTCGCTGACAGCAAAGGCCAAACAATGTATGCTAATATCTTATGAATTTATTGACATACAGTGAATAATTTAATACGTATGTTATTGCTTCTGTTCTATACGACGATTTGAAAAAGATCTGAATTGAGTTATATTGCACCATCATTATCATCATCAACTAAAGAACTGAGATGAAATGTACACTTGTTTTAAAACACAGGAAAAGTTCTGTTGAAGTAAACATTTCCTGTTTTCAAGTAATCACTATCGAGAGTTTATACATCAAAACTGTGCTAATATAGAGCCGTTTCCTCTGTTTCAAATATTTATATTAGTCTTGCGACAAGTCATTTTATTAATTCATGAGAATGATTTGAGATTTAGGATCAATTTTGAGGAGAGAAAATCGAGAGATTTGTTGCTACAATGTGGTAGTCCAAAATAATTGAATTCTTTTTCCTTTTCATGCGTATAATTGTATGGTTTTTGTTTGCTAGGCTGTCTTATTTTGCAATATCTTACGAAATATCACCAGTTTACATAATAGACTTTAGCATTAATGCCGACATATTTTACAATTCAAAATAAAATTTTGTAATGTTTTTGGAAAATGTACTGGAAAATTCTTACTTTTAAACTTCAAATCGATTTACGTTTGTACAAGTTCATTGGTGCGGGAGATTTAAAGAATCCGATGAAGAATCAAAAGCACTTTAGTAAACTTCAGATCATACCGCCGTAAGAAATATCTGGCTTAATTTTAATATTGAATAATCCTTCATTAACGTCAGTTGATATGTTCAACGCTTACCGCATGCTTATGTGAACGATTTTGTCGAGCCTTGCCAAGAAAACACAAATTTTCATTGAAGCATAGCGAACATAACAAAAAGCTCAAAAAATAATCACTCACTTCCTAATTGAAAGCGAATGTTTTTTACATGATTTTATTTCCTACCTTATTTGAGTACCAACTTCCATTTTCTTTTCCAGACAAAAAATGACAAATGTATACCTTAAAGCAAAAGTGTGGATTTATTGTCAAATTCTTCTGATTGACAGAAATACAAACTAACGCGGATACGTTTCAACAAGTTCATTATATATTCACTGTAACTGTTTGGTCTTTGTATTAAATCGGGGACATTCAAAGCTTAGGTCACAGGTGTAAGAGTAACTTATTTAACTGAATTATTTACATGTATATGCACAGTGCCGCTAAAAATGACTTTGATTGACGATATTCATTATTGTTAAGAGGTTAACCCCTTTACTTGAAAACAAATTTACTTGGAATATGTAGTTATTTCTGTTTTTGTATACTAACTTTGATGAGCCCTAACTTGTCGTATAACTTGAAAATAGTAATGGTTTACATGTTTTCCTAATATCAACAACAGATAAATAATGGTGATATGTATGTTATAGTATATATTTTTTAAAAAATACTATCGAAGGTGAATGTTTTTGGTATATTTAATTTTTTAAGTCGTTGCAGGCTTTACTTTACGTTTAATTTTGCATAGCTTTGTCGTAGCTACTTTTTTGTGCAAGGTTTTTGTACAAGGTTTTGGTGCAAAGTTTTTTGTATAAGGTTTTTTATGCTTGCTCAACTCTTCTCCAAACTACTGCCACCAAATGATAAAGTTTTTTAAGATTCCGTGTGCATTTTCCATTTTATAGCTAACAAACTGTTAAACTTGAATGGCTCACTCACGTCATGTATGACGTTTTGTCAACACCTGAACTTTATCCCCCCTCCCCTCCCTTGTTAACATTGTCCAAAAGAAAATCATTTATTTTTTTTAGTTCTCAGTTTAACAGTTCTAGCTTATACTTTCTGGACAAATTTTAAACTCACCACACAAAAAATGGGTTGTGTAATGCTAGTTTTTTTGTGTTCACTCACTGCAAATAGATTTCTAAATAAATGAATAAGGATAAAGCTGGACCATAACTTGCTTGCAGGCTAATTATGAATGAATGCTTTGATTTCAAAATTCTTTGCAGACGGGAAAACATAGAAATAGTTAAAATATCAGAAAATCTTGTTTCCTTTATTCCTTGTTCACGATGCACAATCTTGTTCGTTTACAGGTGAACCTCAACGTAAAATGGTCAAAATTTTATACTCCAACATACATGGTGCTGGCGATACTTAAATGGTCTTCTTAGTTGGTGTTTTTATTCACGTGTCTGTTGACATATCAACTTTCTATTTCACTATTTTTCATTCACTTTGACTTCTTTGCATTGTTTTATTGTGATGTGTTGGTACACACACAAAAGTACCATTACTTACTCGTCCATTTTATTGGTGGTGCAACCTCGTAGAACTTATTAATTGAAACACGTTTTGAAAGAAGTAATGTATACATAATGATATTGTGCAGCCGAAACAAACGTTCAGCGCTCGCACAGAGTGAACGTCATGTTAACGGAAAGGGGAAATTGTAGACCATATGCTATTGTCATGCGCAGTGTTAATTACGAGTCGTTAGCGTTTCCATCCCACAACCAAGTCATACAACGTATGTATTTTTATAGCATTGTACCTCTGACAACATTATCACAGTTTGGACAAAGCAGCATTTATGTCAATATATGAATAAATACTTTTTGAAAGTCCTGTTCTGATCTGAGCGGGACTGTTATTATTTCAATTGTAAAACATGTGCGAAAACACACCAAGCATGAACAGTTAACATCAAACCACAGTATAAGTAATGATTTCAACAAGTGTAATTCTTTACATTAATTCGTGTGATAACTTCGCAGACACAGACACTATCTTTATTCATCATTGTTTTGTCTTTTCCCATTGTTCTGGTGTGAGTGTCTTCATTGTGAAAGCGTGAATTGCCTTTAATTCTTCTTCCAAACATGAATTAACTAAACGATGACGCTGTAATAAAGCTTTGCCATTGAATTTCTCTGAGACAATCATGACGTTGAAACTCGTGTCACATCTCTCTGCTGTAATGTCTTCGACTGTCTTTGAATGGACAAAAACAAGTTTTTTTTATCATCAACAAGTAATAAATTATGGTGTAGTAAGGCTGAGTAAGAAATTAAAGCTAGACGTGATAAGATGGAATCGACAAATTTCATAGCTTAGCACAGAGAATGAAAGCCATATTCAATTTAGTAAAACTTCTTACCAAATACACGGGACTAAATTCTTTCGTTAACTTATTTTCAACAATCGATTTCATGTCCGCCATTTTGAAAGGTCGAAGGTTTTGTCAGCGGAAATGTGATTACTTCATGAAAAGGGATCTTTAAAATTACTTCTATAGTGGCCTTCCATACTTCTACATAGGTATCCATTAGCCATGGGTAAAAGACAACATCAAAAGGACAAATTGTACGTATATTGATTTTGATTTGTTTATTTTTCTTGTAAATAAATGTCTTCATTAATTTTTCGTCTTGCGTTTGAGGATAAATTTAGTAATTATTTTGTTCAGGTACATTACAAACAAAGAATGGAGAACAGAATGGGGAGGCAAAGATTCAAGTATTATACAGAATTTATCAGATATTTTAAAATCATGAAAATTTTTGATAGTTGGTGTTATAATTTTATGTTAAATTGTTTTTCTTCTCATTGGTTGTAGGCAGTGATGTTGGAGAAAAAGCTGCATTTAGGCGATTACCATTTTATTGCTGCAGGTTTTTAAACTTTGTTGATGTTAGCATATAATCATTTTTGGCAAGTAGCACTTTATTATTCTCATTTTTACAGCTTATCATTACAACCATTTACTAATCCTTATTGCACAAAAGATGGAGCAGTGTTTGATCTTTTGTATGTATGAATGATAATCTTTCATAAATTATGATATTTTTGCTGAAAAGATATTTTTATAGGAATATTGTACCTTTCATCAAAAAGTTTGGCAAAAATCCTGTCAATGGAGAGGTATAGCAATACTCTAAATTCAATTCTTAAGAAATGTGCTTGCAAAAAAGTTATGAAAATTGTTATATTCCAATGTAATTAGTTTGTTTCTTAAATACTTTATTATTTCAGATTCTGGAAATTAAAAATTTGATCAAATTGAATTTCCACAAAAATTCAGAAGGTACTATCAGCAGTACTATGAAAAGTTAATGTATAAAAAATGAAAACATCCTTTATTGGAGTTATCGTTTTTCTTGTAAACCAGATAAATATCATTGTCCTGTCACATATAAAGTGTTCACACAAAACAGTCATATTGTTGCTATCAAAAAAACTGGAAATGTTTTCTCATTTGAGGTAAATACATGACATTTTCATAATGGTTTGTTTGTCATCTGTTTATTTCAAGATTTGTTGTTGTATTTAAGGCTGTTGAGCAGTTGAACATTAAAACAAGAAATTTCAAAGATTTGTTAACGGACGAGCCTTTCTTACGTAAAGATATTTTAACGATCCAGGTATTTTGTGTATTTTGCTTGTTGAAGGACAAACGAACAAAAATATATTTGGATAAATAATGAATGTGATCAAATGTCAGCAATTGAAATTCTTTCTGTCATTTAAGGATCCAACCAACTTGGAGAAGTTTAACCTTGCATCCTTTCATCATCTAAAAAATAATCTTTCTGTTGGTGATGAAGGTGTTCATTTTGTTTTGTTTACTTATTTATTTATTGATATTTATATAAACACACATATATCTAAACACAATATAATAGTTACAACTATTCCTTCCACTTTTCCTTCTTCTCTCCATTTTTCTCTCCTCTTCCTCCTCTTCACCTTTCTCTCCTCTTCTCTCCACCTTTCTATTCTCTCCACCTTCCTTTCCTTGTCTCTAAATCTCTTCATTTTACACAGTATGTTATCTTCTCTCACAAATATCTTTTGTTGTTTAGCTGAAAATAAAGCAAAACAAGATCCATTATATTACATAAGGAAAACAAATTCTGAAACGGAGAGCATATTGAATGAACTTCAAGAAACTTATAAAGAACCAGTATGAACGAAACATTTGATATAAATTACTTTCAACATTAAAATTTCATCCATTGAGTTGCATTGTTTGTGTAGGAAAAGACATCTGACACAGTCACGTCTAAAGCTAATTCAAGAAATGCTGTAAGACACTATATAAAGCAAATTAATTTTTATTCTATCGTGATGTCATAACATACGAAATGTGTTAATTATGTAAAAGTAAATTTAGAAAGCAATGTGTTATGTAGTTTCCATATTTTTCACAACATTGATGTGACAAATAACCTTAGCTTACTATATTTTCTATATAAGCAATTTTACTTCCTAATTTATATATTATGTACATATACGTCATTCTATATGACGTACTCTTGTTGTTTTCAAAGGCTCATTACTCGACAGGCATGATGGGAGCTTCGCTGACGTCAACTGCTCGAGTTCCAGTTACGAAACAAGAAGCGGCTATTATTGATGAAAATGTTCTACGTTACAAAGAAGTACAAAAGAAAGGTAAAGTTTCAAAAGACGTGTTCCTGTATTCGTGTTTTATCTTCCATTGTTCTTTTGTTCATTTTCTTAGGATATGTTCGCTTGACTACTAATGTTGGTGATTTGAATTTGGAACTTCATTGTGAAGCGGTATCTAAATTGTTTGATTTATTTTTTCAAAAGAATTTCTTTTCCACACTCTGAAACATGTTCAAAAAAATTTCTAAATATTTAATTAAATGTACACAAAACAAAACGCTTCATTATCATCGTTATAAAGAGAGGACATATGTAAGAACTTGTTTATTCAACTTGATCCACTTTTGTACTACAGGTTCCAAAAACGTGCGAAAATTTTTTAAAGCTCTGCGCGTCAGGATATTATGATAACACAAGTATGATTGCTTACAGTTCACAAATGTTTTTTATTTTTATTTTATTCAGTATCTTTTGTATTATTATTGTATTATATTTTGGTCACTAAGCTAAGACTAAATCGTTATTAACGCTACGTTATTAATACACACATTATATCGTTATTTATTTAAGAAATAAAAAATGTTTACTGTGTTTGCACAAGCTTATGCAAACCGAGGAGACCTTTGGGAGAACTCGAGAGCAAATCAGTGGAAGCCTGAGACCGAAGGTCGAGGGTTGAACCTGCTCGAGAGTTCTCACAAACGTCTCCGAGGTTTGTATAAACCAGTGCAAACACGAAAAACATCTTTTACTTTTACATTTAGCCTTTCATCGCTCCATCCGGAATTTTATGGTTTGTATTTAAACATTTTTCCTGGATTTTTTCTTAATCATTGAATTTGATTTCTTTTGTTGCAACAAAAACATTTTCTTATCTAGATTCAGGGAGGTGATCCAACGGCAACTGGACGAGGTCCTTGTCTTAAATCTTTTTTGAATTGTTTATGTGACTTTGAAAATTTCGCACAAATATTTACTTTCATCCTGATTGTAGGTGGTGAATCTGCCTGGGGAAAACCGTTTGAAGATGAATTTAAACCGAATTTAACTCATACAGGTAAAGTTTGTTACTTGAAACTTTCACGTTGTATTATCTTTTGTTTTATTTCTATCTGTCCATGTTTCATGATGCTTGTAGGTCGAGGAATTTTAAGTATGGCGAATTCTGGTGAAAATACAAACAAATCACAATTGTAAGTTATTAATGACGAAATTATTGAATATTTATTTTTCAAGATTCGTTACGAAAAATCTGTTATTATTTTTTAGTTTCATCACCTACCGCTCTTGTCGACACCTTGATTATAAGCATTCAGTGTTTGGGCGGTATGTAAGTTTTGCTTTCGTATCTTAAATATAATAGTTGCTAAACGTAAACTATCAAGAAGGAATGGAGTAATGATTTCTGCGTAACGTCAGTTTGTATAATAGTACCTCATGGTTGATCAAAACATCGTTTTTCTTCCCACTATGATTCATGTTTGATGTAAAAGTATATTTCTTTGCTAATGCTTTAAACAAGATGTGATGCAGCGTCATAATTCATCTCTTTTCATTGACGTCTTTTATAGAGTCGTTGGTGGAATGGACACTTTAAATAAGATGGAAAAAATTGAATGTGATGATAAAGATAGACCTAAAGTAAATGTTAGAAATTGATTTGTGAAAATAGATCTTCAAATTTTGTCTTGATTTGTGTGGCTTTTTTCCCAACTACAAAGGAACTTATCAAGATTATGAATGTCAGTGTGTTTGTTAATCCCTTTGAAGAAGTTGATGAAAAGGTAAAGTTATAGGTTGACGAACACATATATACACTGTAGCACTTTAAAACACTTCTTATTCTAGATTAAAGCAACGAAAGAAAAGGAAAAAGAAATAAAAAAACAAGCAGAAGAGGTTTTGTAAAGACTTTATTTTCACTTTAAATCATATATACATCATTGTAAATATATCTTTATTGTAAGATATAAATTTTCATTACAAAAATCGATGAATTTGTTGCGTTACAGGAAGAAAAGAAGAAAAACACGAAATCTGCACTCGTTACTCAAATGAAGATTCATAGATCGGGAGTTGGAAAATACATCCCTAAAGTTTCCAGGTTGGAGTTGTTGACAAACATCTGTAAAACATTAAATAAAAGGCTTTTTATCTTAACATTTTTTTGTAATCAATCATGTTTGTGTTTTTACATTGTTAAACATTTATTTTCTGTCTAGTAATGACGATGAGAGCGTGTTACAACCTGCTAAAAAGAAAGCGAAAGGATCTTCAGGGTTTGGTGATTTTAGTTCCTGGTAAAAAACTTGTCACCTATTTATTACATCACCGTCTAATTTATGCAGGTCAGTGTAATGTATTCATTTATACGCGAATATATTAAAAAACAACTAAAAATTAGTGTTTTGTTATATAGCTTATATGACAAGCATGAGCCGTGGGGGATCATTTCTTTTCATCCCAGCAAACTCTTTTTTAAAATTTATTTTATATGTTTACTCAATTGCTCAAACCAGGCTTGTACAGGCTTGCCCCAATTGCAAGTACGAGTACAATTACGTTATGCAACATACAGGAAATACATAGAATGACGTAAGCACCATTGTTCTTATTGTTCTAAAGTAAGTTTGTTTACGAATTAAACTTTTCTTCAACCGAAAGAATACGGTGCCAATGCTTGTTATTAAATGGCGTTAAACTCTGACTATCAGATCGCAATTTTTGCTAGCGAATTAGCTAGTGCGATAGATCAGAATCCTTACAAACCTCGGGAAGAAACCGTTGCTCGTGTATGGAAAAGATTTGATCGAATTTCGTTTGCATTTTCTCTTTGTTTGGCGTACGCGGACGAGGCTTTGGAAATTTGTAAAAACTTCGTTAAAGATGAAAGTCTGAGAAACTGCTTACCGAACGATATTGAGAGTGCAAACGGAAAACGACTCTTTACTAACTCCCTCAGGGAAATATTTCTTGACGACAAATGGAGTGGCCTTAGACGTGAGCTAACAACATTTGTTGACTCGAAGAAATTTGTCGAAGCGAAAGAAGATGAATTATTAAGTTTGTTAGATGTGAAGAAAAAAGTAAACGAAGCGATTGTTAGTTTATGTAATGAAGAAAAGAAATCTGTCGAAGAAAAAGCTGATGAGGTATGCGTTTGAGTCAATTTGTATTTATATTCTTCTTGTTCATCAGTAGATATCGTTTAGAGAACAATTAAATTAATTGAAAATATTCTGAGAAATAAACCTTGAAACAATAATGGTTCTTACTCTGCCTAGGTCGTGAAGAAAATCGCTAAAGAAAGTGGCAAGAATATTGATCAGCCAACCAAAGATGCACTTCTTCGTAAACTTCGTTGCGGCAGAGGTAATGTTTTGGAAGAAAAGACTGTCACTGAGTTTGCCCAGGCTACAGGAAAAGACGTTCGTAGAGAGCCAGCCAAGTCGTACAGAAAGCTTATTACATACGAAGATATGACATGGTTTCTAGTAGGCAGAGTAGATGCTCGTGACGAGGACACAATTGTTGAGGTGAAGAACAGAACGAAACGTTTTATGCTACCAAAATATGATATAATTCAGTTGCAAGCATACATGTTTATTTGTAATAAACAAAATGGAATCTTGCTGGAAAGGTTACATGGGAAAAATAAAGAAACTAACTTCAATTTTAATGAATCACACTGGAATGAAGTTATCATTCCTGCCATGTACAGATTTATTAAAGATGTAGAAGAACAAGTAGTCATGAGCCGCAGTCTTCTAGATTGTTCCATTCCACCCAATATGCCGAAGAAACGAATTTGCTTGAATTTGTCACCATCTGACACTGAAAGTGATGAAGAACTAGCTAATCTGCCCCTAGATGATTTTTAAGAAGATAGAATTGCTACTGTAATATTTAATCGTAAATTTTAATTGTAATAGGGAGAATTATACAAGGTATATGTTAGAAGTGTTTTGGGATATGGAGCAGAGTGTTGGGCACCGAAAGCAGAGGACCTGAGAAGATTGGCGTCGACGGAAAGGAGAATGCTTAGGATGATGTGTGGTGTAACGTTGATGGATAGGATTCAAAGTGAAGAGATTAGAGAAAGAGTTGGTGTTAGTGTATCCAGAATTGGGTAAGGCAGCGTTGAGGTGGTTTGGGCATGTGGAATGAGGGAAGGAAGTGCTGAAATTGCAGGGAATGTTGTATATGAATGTTGATGGAGTCCATAAGAGGTAGACCGAGAAAGAGATGGATGGATGCTGTGAACAGTGATATGAAGGTGATGGGTATAATGAGAGATATGGCGAGAGATAGAGACGTTTGGCGTAGAAAAGTTCATGGACCGGTCAACCCCCCTGGCGGGGATTAATACTGGCCAGTATACAAATGTTGTTTGTTGTTTGTTTTGTTTGAAATTTTAATTGTAATAATGAGATATTTCTTAAACAACAATATTCAATTGTGTGATTGAATTAAATTTGTATAAGCTTCATTTTCTAACATGACAAAATAATACTTGACTTGTGGTATCACATTAAAGTCAGCAAAAATTAGTTTGATTATCCATATCATTGTAAACAATCCTCGTTCATGAATGTAAATTTATGATGTTACAGGACAAATTCTTGTGAGCCGTGTTGCTGTCATTTTAATTTCCATGTTCCTTTCTAAGTATTGAGTAAGTTTAGTTGGATAGTCAGTCATAACACCTGCAACACCAAGATGTTCAAATGCTTTCACAAATTCATCATCTTCGTTTAGCACCCAAAGATAAGTCTGGTAGAAATAAGAAACTTTGTTTACTTTCTAAAAAGGTTTTTTTAAATAATAAATAGTTACATAATAGTACTTGAGTAGAAGTTGTGATTGGTTAGAGGATAAGGATTGGTGGGATTGGGTTAGTATTGATTTTTATGGGATTATATTTGTTGATTGAGGGATTGGTGGGATTAGGTTAGTATTGAATTTCTATGGGATTATAGTTGTTGATTGATGGTCATTTTTGAATGATATGGGGATTTGTGGAATATGGTGAATGTGTGAGCATGTAGGTTAAAAAATTGATTATTTCTGGTTTATATACCGGGATTCCTCGTCTTTCTAAATGTTTTATTAAAGATGGATTCATAAGAAACCTTAAAAAATCAATGAAAAACATAATTAAGATGATTATTTGAAGAAAAATGGTAGAGAATTACTTACCAGTCAATCATTGAACAATTCTTCTTTGATTCTCTGTAAGATCTTGTCTAAAGTTGAGGTATATCCAAATCATGTTTCTTTAACAACATGGAATTTTATGTCAGTGCAGAAATTTACTTACTTGAGAAGGGTTGAAGGTAGTAATATCTCAAGAAAACCTTCTTTTAATGGTACAAATGGTAAAACACCAAGGTAGTACATGGTAATCAATGATACACAACGCCATATGCCAAACAGTGTTGGTATTTCAGGATCCTGATATAGTGAAAAAATATAAAATAAATAGGATTGTACTTTTTGATAAAGGATGAATTTGTCACAAATAGTAACCTTTTTATAAAGTTTGTGATTAACTTCATCACTAAAATTTCCCCACACAGTTAAATGTTTTCTTTCGTATTTCAGTATCAGTTGATGAACCTTAAGATAAAGAAAGACTCAACATTTGTTCACTACTAAATATTCATTTCCATTTTCAAACCTTTTCTATCAAGTTATCATTGTTATCCTTTATATCCACATTGATAGGATGGTTGGGAAAAGCTTTAAATACTGACTCAAGAAGAGGAATTTTTGCATCGTCATTCTTGCCATGAGCACGTTCTCCAGGTTGAAAAGGTACATCAAGAATGGGCAACAAACTTGGTAGATCCTGCATAAAAAATACCACTCACTTGATTAAATACATTCCAATAAGGCATTGATACATTTGAAAATACCTCGTAGTTTGTATTAGAAATTTTAACTTCAACACCACATATTCGACCTAGGTCATTGTCATGAGTTACCACGACCTTATGAAATAGATAAAAAAGGTTAAATCACATATGCCAAAATGGTATTGATATCATATCATACCTGACCATCAGCTGTGAGATGTACATCTAATTCAAGCATTTCCGTACCTGACTCAATAGCACTGAAATTTTCAAATATAATTTGGTAAATAATCATTCAAGCAATTTTCCTTTATTTTTACCTACTGGTGATATGCTGTCATTGTGTTCTCCAAATTCTCACCTCCACCTGAAAATTGAATTAACTCGTTGAGTTTTGGGCTGTCATGTTGACGGTTCGTTGAAACAGAATATTCGTTAAGTCTTGGTTAAGTCTTTGTAATGAAAAATATACCTCCTCGATGGCTTATATGCCTGCATGAAAATTTTCTTTCCTTTTTTCGATGTAATATGTGTGGGAATCTTTGGAAAAACCACGAAACGCAAAAATAACCTCCCAGTATTGGTAATAACATTATCAAATATTCAATCATTCAACATATGAGTATATTGGTTGACAACTTTCACAAAGTTAAACAGTCTACAGGAAAAAAATAGAAATGACCTAATTGCACGCCTGCTGAATAATGTTCAGCGGAAATGAATATTATGCTTAAAACTTAATGTAAATGTCTAATGATGTAAACCTGCTTCGCATGAATATATTGTACACCGTACTGAAACATTTTGTTGCGTCTGATTGCCGCTAATTTTGTCAGATAAAAAGCATACTAAATAATTTTAGTTAGCTTTAGTATTTGTACCACATTTTGAGTTTCCTCAAATTCAAAAAAATTTATAAATTCAAAATTTTAGGAAGTTTTTTTTCATTTTTCGGAGGCTAGTCGTTGTGCTCCGTCGTTTTTCGTTGCTCCAAGCAAATTTTGTTCATTGTTTATGTTTTTATAGTGACATATTTTAATAAACAGTTCTTCTTTTCTATTACTTCCGTCGCTTGATTACCTATCGTTTAAATATAAAAACAGCAAGCAATATTAAAGATTTTAAGATTTGCCTGAAGTGTGCAAGTCATTAAAAATTCCAGACATCACATGTTCAGATATATTTTCTTCCCAGAGGGAGAAGTCATTTCTGTTTATACAGGTTTATATCTCGTTCATACTACAATTTGGCGGCATTTTAAATCATCGCAGTATGGCGTCTATGTAATGGACGGAAACCTCTTTGTAGTGGACCACGTATAATGAAATATTGCTTCTAACATCGCCACACGATGACATTTCGCGTTGGTTACATGTATTGAATTGAACGCAACGTGTCTAGAATGTCGTTGAAAGTATTTTGACTTGTTGTGTCGTGAAAAGCAGCGAGTAACATCTAAGTGAATGCTTTCACAATGCGACTGAAGACCTACTTGCTTTAAGAATGGATTTACAAATTGAACATTCACGATATCAAGAGAAGTTGTTGGAAAAAAGTAAACATGCTTCAAATGCCTACGTGAAGGGAGATTATGAAGAAGCCATTTTATTATACACGGAGGCCTTATCTTTGGATCCTAATAATCATGTTTTCTTTACCAATCGTTCGGATGTTTACTTGAAAACAAAACAGTATGAACTTGCACTTGAGGATGGAAAATTCGCGGCTCACTTACAGCCAAATTCGTCAAAGGTATGTTTATTTGTTTTATGCTATTTTTTATACATTATGCCAACTTTCAAAATATTGATGTTTATGCATTTTCCTAAAATGTACCTGTAAAACGTGAGAGTTTTTATACCGATCTTATTTTTAATATGGCTTGCGGGAGACGGCTTTCTTGGACGAATCGGAAGCGAAATATGAGTGAATTCTTTGCTGTTAGCAGTATAAATATTTACAAAAATTTCTTAGTTACCATTTAACCGACATTTTTACATCGTTGTAACCAACAACTTGCGCTTACGGCTTGCGACTTCAATGCTCAAAGCTCTTTATCCTCTAAAAATTACTAACAATAGGAAGTAGTGCATTCATAGCTTCATATTTTTGTGTATTAATACCTTTTCAAATTAAAACTAAATCCTGCGATTAAGGCATTTATTAAAACACAAAGAAGCTCTTTGAAAACTTCACACGATGCAATTAAATTGTAATTTACAACATATAATTTAGCGCTTTGTAGAATACACTAATCGACTGAAGTAAGAACTTGCTTTAGGTTTGTTATTATATTTGTGTGGCCAAACTGAACAGTGATCTCTTAAATAAAATTTAATTTAGCATTGTACAAAGTTATAGGAATATCTTAAGTTTTTATTTGTACATCTCAAACACAGCAACAATAGTCACATTCTACATTACAAATTTAAGTATTTTATTCATTTATAAAGGTCCTTTATTGAAACAGATGAGAAATTTCGTATGGGAAAAAAACTTTTTATGTTTAAGTTATTTACCATGAATTTTATCTTATCTTCACACCAAATTAGAAAAGTTAGACAACATTGTAAAGTTGTTAAAATTTTCCAAATCTCATTTGAGCGTTTGACAAGCCAAACGCAATTTTAAAAAAAGATAAGGCTTGCAAAAATTGACCGTTAAATTGTCGACTGTAGATAACATTTTTAATTTCAACCAGATTTATCGTAAAAATGAAATTCGTACGACGAATGATAGTTGAATGTACATGGGACTGTTTTAAGCGTTATCAGACTAATTTACTCACAAGTTACTATAGATGAAATTTTCGTAGATTGCCGTGGAGGTTTTTTTGATGACAAATTACTTTTGTCATTTATCTTATTCCTTTTCCTAGGTGTAAATGAAATTTGTAAAATTCATTAGACTTCTCAAACCATTCGTCTTTTTATGATATTTTAACCACGCACGCTTAATTTTACCAGGCAATGTGCTATTATGTTATTAAACTGTCTTACTATGGTTGTGTTGAGCTAAATCATTGAAATTTTGTGGTTTTGTTTTGGTCATATTATAAACACGATTGTTCTAGTGAAGTTTTACATGAAAATCAACAATTTGCTGTACATTTTACAAAAGCGACAGACTGAGAATTTTTTTGTAACAGGCTGATATTAGAAAAGACTGCATTTATGATAAAATGCAATGAAATGGTTTTCAGGTTCTTTAAAGATAAAAGAAGTTAATTAAAATTTGCTTAAGGCGATAAGCTTTCTTTAATCTTGAACAAACATTTCAAAATTTCACTATCGCTGTTTGTGTTCGTAGTGTTGTTTTTTTATCACCCAACGTGAACTCTGTTCTAGGGAATTTTTTGCAAAAATTTTTCTGTCTTGTTTCAAGTTAACAAGTCTGGACATGTGTAAAGTATTTACCTTATGTCTGTATAAACTTGACGAAAGGTCAATTGTTACGACATAGATTTAACAAAAACTCTTACACGAAAACATATTTTTACTTCACCGACAAAAATTTTACATGTTTAAGTAAAAGTTTGTCGAGTTTTTGTTTCCACACTTTAATGCGTCATCATAAGACAAATCTTGTTAAAAAAAAAAAACAAACAAATGGAAATGGAGTCGATTATTTTCTTCATTTACCTGTGATAATATTTATTCAATTTTTTTCGTTCACATTTTTAGACGCGTGACTCCATCTAGGAAAATAACGCAAGTTTTGTGTAGTGAATAAAGTATATTGTTTGTTGTTTTACAATAAGATAAATTTTCCTGAAGTTTTTACATCATAAGATAAATTTTCATTCCCTAATCTCTGTACTGAAGTTTCTATATTAGCTATAGTATAAGAAACAATCCCTCTATCCCCTTGCATACTTTTCTCGTATTTTAGAAAACGACCGTTGTTGTATTTTCATATTGTGCATATTGCAATAGGAGAAATTTTTATTTTATATGTCTTAAGTCATTCATACAATTGAGGAATTTTTCGTGTATTTCCTCACTTGTCTACTTTGTATATAAATATATTATGACAAGCGATAAACATGCCTGGATTAGAAATAGCAAGTTGTGTGTGAATATTTTTCCATTGATGGTTTTTTTCAAATCATTTTTATAGTTGTTTAACATATGTTTTATGTCTAAGACAATGAACTAATTACAACCCCAAATGTTCAAGTATAATTACTTTTTAATTGCTACAATGTCATTATGTCATTGAAATATGCTTAAACTGTAACAGATTTTTTTAACGTTTGTAACTTCAGTGTAGGTAGATCCCTGATATAACATTTGTCAAATATTTTCAAAATATTTTCAAGAGTGATGCTGCAACGTTAATAATAATGGACAGTTACTAAACTGCGTTTTAAATATCCTTAAAATTTATGAATTATAGATGGATGAATATCAAAAGTTGATGATTTTTCATTAAACTATGTAACATGAATCATTTTGAAATTTTCGGAACTATTTCTGTTATCATATGGTCTAGAGAGTATTGTCTGCTTACATTCCAGTAAACGTGTATGTATAGTGTTTAAAAAATTATCTTTTTCATCCGTTTGACGTATATTTGATCCGTCATTCTGTCATCAGCTAAGATGAAATTCACAATTTTCATTCCCAAACCAACGGATTTCATTTATGAATTAACGACATCGGCTTGTTATAAACTGACGAACAAAGCACGAAGCTATTGTGGCTTTCGTTGTTTATGTTTTACATTTATTCAATGGTGAGTTGTTTTTTAAAATCCTGAAATTTTCTTTATAAAATATAAATCAAGTAATACGTCGGCCATTTTACACTCTTATAGACGTATGTTATGTTCATGTTTTCTTGTTATAAAGTAAATTTCTCATTCTTCATTTTATTAGATATTCTTTAGTGGACATTATTGTAAGTCATAATGTAGGTTTTCAAAGTTGAAACTCTAGCACTTTAGTTTATTGCGTTTTGAGAATCCGAGATAATGGGCTTTCATCTTCGTCTAGGCATGCATGGTTTGACCTTGAAGGTTATTAAATTAGTCAACACGCAAATTGGTTTTGTTGACGAGTTAGCTCTTGGTTGTCCATTTGTCCAGTGATTTTGTAATTTTCTAACTTTAATTTTTCTAACTATAATGGTCACTATACATCCACGCCAAGCACAAACGGTCGGTTTTATGTCTCTTTCAAACAACGACATTTCAAATTTCTTTCGGTGTAAATTTATTGTACAGAGAAGTTATTACATCCGAGTTTAATTTCCGATACTTAGAAAAACTTTGGTTTTTCTAGGATTTTTGTCCATATTCTCGTAGGTGTCAGAATTGCGATAAAATACACGCTGCTTGTTGAACACATGATGTATATTTAATATTTATTAATAATTGTTGAATTTTTTGTTGCTGTGTATATTTCGTTTTAATTTTACCTAAAGGGTCGACCTTTACATGCATAGCTCTAATCTTTGTGTACACATAGACCATCTTTGATACGTATTCAACAAATATCGTCTGTCTGTCAAGTGCTGTAGATATTGATTGCTTGTGCCTTGAATGAGAAGTGTGATACTAAGGAAGCACTTTTTTCAAACTGTTAACACTTTTTTATATTTCAACAGTCCGTCGCTAGTCGAAAGAATTTGATGTAGGAATATGCTAGTTGCTTTTATTAATTATCATATTGTCTTAAATATTAGATATTTCATTATTTTTAAGCATCTTTGATCATTTGTGTTGTTTGATCTTTTACAAATTACGCTTTTATTGACTCATGAATGTTTCTGTACTGTTTATAACACATATTTTATTATAATTTTGTATTTATTTACAAACTGTTAACTTTCTGTTGTTTTTCCTTTGATTTTATGTTTGCAATGATTTAAAATAAAGTCAACTAAATGACGATATTTTATATTAAGTTTTATTTAACACTTTAGTCATGCATATATTGTTATGTTGCAATAAGGAGTGCACGAATTTATAAACTGCATGGGAACACTCAACTCTATTTGCTTTGCGTCGACATATCTAATCTTGGTCAGCATTTTTAAGTTGTTATTTGCATAAAACAATACACTATGAGGTAGTTTTAAGCGTATACTGTCGTAAAAGATATCGACCAAGAAAAAATTCTTGTAAAGGCAATGACAATCATGTGTGTATAAATGTTTTTTTTCATTTTTTAAAATGAACTAATTTTGATGCAAAAAAGAATGAGAAGAAGATGTCAAGATAGTAGATAACGATTGCCAAAAATATTCTTCCTGCGTGATTTTATCTGAGTAATTTAGCTGAGTATTATTATTGTACATCATCTATTATCTTGAGTGGATAGCGTCTCGAATAGTGCTGCTTGTTGTACGATATTTGACATCTGTATTATTTCAAACAGAAATTTTCATTAACGTTACACGATACACTAATACTGTGTGTATATAAGTCATAGCGCTGTGCATTGCACTAAAGAAAATTCTTAAATTATTTTTGAAAATATGTAAAACTTTACCATTGTTTACATAAGTTTATGTTCATGTGAACAAAAATTTTAATTCCATACGAATATACCACAGCAACACATTGCTCAATGAAACGATATGCTTTTACTGGTAAACCACAAGACAGTCCTACTGGGGGATATATATTTGGAGTAAACAGTCGGGTAAGCAGTACAGCAGTTTTCTGTTCCCATGAGAAAGTGTACGAAAGTATATTTTAAAAGAATATTTATCTTTATAATGGCGGTGACCGACGTATCTTCATGTCATAGTAATTCTTTATTTCAAATAACTAGGTGGTTTTGAATAGAAACTGGCACTTTTAAAGCAAACTGAAAATATGTGATTTTATTCTTAAATCTATATTTCTAATCACTATTCATCATGTTTTTCTAGGCTCACTATCGTCAGGCTGTAGCTCTACAATGTTTAGGAAAATACTACGAATCTCTTGCTGCTTTTTCATCTGCTTTGGCCCACGATCAGAAAAGTCAGCAGCTGCTTTCTGGTATCATAGACGCAGCTTTAAGATCTCCTTTTAAAGGTCAGCGTTTCATCAGCCTTTACATAAACTACCTAAAATATGTTGTGGAAACAACAGTTTTTAAAAAGGTTTACAGCTATCTAACGGAAATAAATTTAGTTCAGGTTTTTTCATGCCGTAAAACAATATCACTAAGAGATGATCTTTAATGGATATCACGGAAGGTTGTCTTACAAATGATTAAGTTTTGAACAACAGTTGATCGGTGTAGTAGAAGATTAATCTTACATGAAGTTTTCAATTATTGTAGATAGCATCGAGAAAATATTTTCACGTCTTAAACGGGTTAACATGGCAAAAAATCCCTTTGTCGTAGTAACTATAATTGGACAGGAACTCCTTAATGCTGGCCACATACAACCTGCAATCACGTGCTTAGAGAATGCTTTAAAGATTGGTACAGTTGGATTACGTATGCGTGGCTCAGTTATTTCGGCATTGACTAGTGCATATTGGAAAATGGGTAATATATCTCGTTCTGTTGAGTTAATGAAAGAAGATCTCGATATTTGCCGATCGCTTGCCGACAAAGATGGCGAATGTAGGGTTTTAAGTAACCTTGGTAACGCTTATTTTGCTATGAAGCAACACCAGGAAGCATTGAATGCTCATCGAAGTCAATTGATGATTGCATCAAAACATAAAAATATAAAGTCTGCAGCATTGGCACTGAGCTCTATAGCACATGTGTATGTATCGATGAGTGATTACGAGAATGCCATAGAGAATCATAATAAAGCAATAGAAGTATATCGAGAGGTAAAGGACACTTTGAACGAAGGACTGGAACTAGGATATCTTGGTGCAGTTCACCTTCTTGCAGGCAACGTTGAAAAGTCGATAGAATGTCACAGAAAACAATTAACACTGGCGAAGGAATTAAAAAATGACAAAGAAATCGCACTGGCATACTGCAATTTAGGAAGTGCTTATCATGAATTGAGAAATCACGAAGAGGCTGTAAAACTCCATGGTCAGGCATTGAAGAAAGCAGAGACGCTGGAGGATTGGAACCTTGAAGCTCGGGCTTGTGCGGGTCTGGGAAGTGCGTATCGAAGCACAGGTAACCAGAGTAAAGCTCTTCACTTTTACGAACGTCATCAAAGTGTAGCAATCAAGTTAAAAGATCGCATGATGGAGGGTAGAGCTTTATCAAATCTAGGTATAATCTATCTTGAAAAAGGAGAATGTCTTCACGCTTTAAAGCTTCATAAAATACACTTGGCTATTTGTCAAGAATTTGGAGATCGTACTGGTCAAGGACAGGCATATGGTAATATGGGATGTGCATATTGTGCACTTAAAAAATACGATCAAGCAATAAAATATCACGAGAAAGAGCTTGCCATCTCAAAAGAAGTTGGAGATCATGTTGCTGAAGCGTGTACTCATGGTAATCTTGCAGTGGCTTATCAAGGTCTTGGAAAATCAGACATAGCTAGAGAGCATTATGAGAAACATTTATCTCTATCACGCACAAATGGAGATACGCACAATGAAGTAATTGCACTTTTTAATCTTGGTAATTTTCATAGTTCCAGTGGAAACTTTGCTGACTCAATTGCTTATTATCAGAAATATATGTCGATGATGCAGTCGGCTGGCGACAAAAAAGGCGAGAACAAGGCTTGTCATAATCTAGCGTTCGCTCATTTCTCATTGGGTAATTTGAATAAATCCGTTGAATTATACAAACAAAATATGGAGTTATCTCGTGCGATTGGCGACAAGCACATGATGGCCAGAGCTTACTGTAACCTTGGTTTGGTTTATAAAGATTTATGTAACTATGACAACTCTCTGATGTGTCAAACACACTTTCAGAAAATTTCTCATGAGATTGGGTACACTGCTGGTGAATGTAGAGCATTAGGGAACATTGGGGATGTATATGTTTGTACAAATCGTTTCCGTGAGGCTATTGTTCACTATGAACGACAAGTTAAGATGGCAGAGAAACTAAAAGAAAAGGACTCCATGTGTCAGATATATTCTGCTCTTGGGCATGCGCACAAATTGCTTGGTAACACAGAAAAAGCGCTCGTCTTTCACAAAAAGGAGCTCGATCGTCAACGGGAAAAAGAGGATATTCAAGGATTGTTTAGAGCTTTGGATCATATTGGCAGCGATTGTCTGAGCTTGGGACGAACAGATGAAGCATTGGAGTATTTTACTGAACAAAAACTTATCTCTGATCAAATAAAAGACCCTCGCCTGCAAGCCCGCGTATTTGGAAATATTGGACTTGTAAAACAAAGCTGTGGAACTTACCAAGAAGCGATGAAGTATTTCGGAAATCAGATTGGGATTCTTGAACGCCTATTTCCAGGCTCCATTGACCTAGGACGCGCTCAGGGAACCTGGCAGAGTGTTTTTTTATATCAGGAGAGCACGAAAAAGCCCGCGAAATGTATCAGTCATACCTGACGTCATCCAAAGAAGCTGGATCGCCGAATGATGAGGATAAAGCATATCAAGGTCTTGGAAATACTTACAGGTATTAAACAAGTACTTACGGGTTATAAAGAAGTACCTACAGGTATTAAACAAGCACTTACAGGTATTAAACAAGTACCTGCAGGTATTAAACAAGTACCTGCAGGTATTAAACAAGTACCTACAGGTATTAAACAAGTACCTGCAGGTATTAAACAAGTACCTGCAGGTATTAAACAAGTACTTTATTCAGGTTTATTGATGTAGTGCATAAAGGTATTAGTGAAGTACAGTTACAAGAGAAGTACTGTAGAGTATTGAGAATGGTCCTTTATTCTTATTACATACTTTGAATAGTTTATATTAGTTTTCATTGTTTAGGGCACTTGGAGATCTTCAACAAGCTTTGTTTTGTTTTGAAAAGCGTCTTGTTTTCGCTCACGAGCTTACAAAGGCTTCAATAAAAGGTTCTGCGTACGGTGAACTTGGAAGTCTACACAGAAGTATGGGAAATTTTGAACAAGCTGCAGTATGTTATGGTCAGCAGTTAACATTTGCGAACGAATGTCAAGACTTGGAAAGTGAAGGAGAAGCTGAGTGTGGACTTGGGCAAGTAAGTTAAAGATTAGTAATGCGTCACGTTACTTTAATAAGATCATGTGACCATCGATTGTTTACTTAATTATAGGTTTATATTAAGATGGGTGACTATGAAACTGCTTTGTCTCATCATGAAAATGAACTCAAGGTTGCTGATAAACTTCGTAGTAGCATGAGGCAGTCACGTGCCTTTGGCAACATCGGTATCGTTTATGAACTTATGTTTGATTATAAAAAAGCATCAGAATGTCAAGAGCAACATTTGTCAATCGCAGCTGAGGTTGGTGATCGTGTTGGCAAATTAAATGCGTACAGTAGCTTGGGTCGAAATCATTATCTCATGTCAAATTTTGCACAGTCTATATCTTACTTCAAACAAGGTTTAACAATCGCAGAAACCCTTGGCAGACGTGAAGATGAAGCCAGGATTAGGTACGAACATTGTGAGATGTGTATATCACTCAATTCAGATCTTGAACTAGATGATTTGTGAATCTCATATCTAGACACATTGTAAATATTTTTTTAGATATTGGCTTGGCATAACGTTATTGGTAAACAGAGACAATACATGTTCATTAGAGCAACTAGAGAGAGCAATGAATTTGTATGAAAGCTTGCGACATAAAGGAATTACAAATGGTGGATTTCAGCTGTCGATGCATGAACAACAATCTCTCTGTTATCAGGTAATCTTGAGATTTTTTGATGTGAATTATGAGGAAAAACATATTTTTTATGGCAATTGGTTATTGTCCATATTAATAATTGTTTAGGTTATTCAACGAATCCTCGTTGACTCAGGAAAACGTGAAGAGGCATTGGTTATTGCTGAACGTTCTCGTAATAATGATTTTATTGACTTCTTATTGGATCGTCCAGGTGTTGAACGTCAGTATGAGAAAGATTGGTCTTCACTCGAAAGTTATGATGAAATAATGGAAGTTGTAAATAAACAGAACGGAATATTTGTTTATTATTCTCTTGTAATTGGTTATTTATTTATCTGGTTGATTGTCCCTCAACATGGTATCGTAAAATTTCACGAGCTGAGGTTATCCGAGGAGACGCCATCACTCATGATTCACAGGGACAGCGGTATGTCAAATATTTCAAACTCAATGTTAGAAAGATTGGTTGGACAATTTCGTGAGAATATTGGAGTAGAGCCGGCTTGTGGAAGCTCGATTTCAACGATGTCTTCTAGTTTATCAGGAAGTGATGTAGACGAACCGTTAAGTTCATACGACGGTACCCCGTCTGTACCGCACAGTTTTAACGACGCTCATGGTCAGTCTTCTAGGCAATATGGTTTTTCTTGTTCTTCAGAGGGCAATGATAAGAGAAAAGGTAGTGTGACTATTTGTTGAATTGTGTGTTTTTACGTTGACTATGTTCAACTTTATGTTTGGCGCAAGGTTATTGTGCATAGATAAAAACATCTAGGTGTTTGCTTGAAGGTTTTTTAAAAATGAGAAGTCACGACAGAAAAAGAAGCGAAACGTCATTACCAGTACAAGTTCTCTATGATACATTGATTGCACCAATCGAAGAGTTTTTACCAAACTCTTCACGAAGCGATGGTAGCCTTTGTGAGTTGGTTCTAGTCCTTCAAGGTGATCTTTATTTGGTACCATTTGCTTTGTTGCATGGACAATCCAACGAATATCTTCATAAGCGATATTCACTTTTGACGGTGCCCTCGATCAGAGCAATCTTAATGTCAACCAAGACTCCTCAAGGATCACGATCATCACGACTTGTTGTTGGGGATCCACAATTACCGCTATCAATGGATCATTACCGCTGTAAACCAAGTATGCAAGCTGAGGCAGAGCTCGTTGGTAGTTTGTTTGGAACGAAACCATTGACAGGAAATAATGCCAATAAAGATCGGGTTTGCCATAAAATCCAAGAAGCAGAATGCATCCACTTTGCAACTAACACTTCTTGGAAACATTCAGCTCTTGTTTTAGCACCAAACAAGCAAGATGAAAGGTATTTATCTCATTGTTGAAAAAAAATTTACTTTAAATTTTCATTAATTGATGGGGCGGTATTCATTGATAATGGGAAAGTTTTGAGAAGCATTATAATCGTAACCAGTAGTTTGCAAGGCTTGTCGAGCTACATGGTTAAATACTTGGGCAGAGATTCATAAGGTTAAGGTAACAATACAGTTGGGTACACTGAGGGATTGGTAAGTACTTGTTGGTTGTATTCTTGGATAAAGTAAAATAATTATTAAAATTAGTTATGTGTATTCTTTATTATATTGAGGTATTGATAAAGACTATCTGGGTGTACTGAGATAGACAAGATATATCGATAACTTTAATCAACTAATAATATAAATTCTACAGGGAAACTGCTGATAGTTTGGTACCAGTCCCCTCTGATTTTCTTCTCACTGCATCGGAGATCTCATACATGAAAATTCCCGCAAAAATGGTCATACTCAGTTGTTGCCAGAATGAAAGCCGGAATAAAATGTCTATTGAAGGACTGGTATCTATAATACGTTCATTCCTATTGGCTGGTACAAGTTGTATCTTGGTTTCCTTGTGGCCCGTTGCCGAGCCTGCGCACAGGCTGCTGTTGGAAGGCTTCTATAAACGGTTTTTACGTGGAATGCGTGCGAGTCGTGCCCTTGCACACGCAATCAAACTGATAAAAAGTAATAAAGAATATGATCATCCATCAAACTGGGCTGGCTTTCTTTTGATTGGTCGTGATGTTAGAGTTGTCAAGAAAACTGTCCAATTACGTAATACCTTGATTGTACTTATTGAATCAACATCAAACTGCAGAGAGTCTCTTAAAGTCATCTTGCATTTAGTAAGTTTCAACATCATAAAATTCATATTATATTGAACGAGAAAAATTTATGAAGGAAAAGAGTTATTCTATATTCGATATGAATAAAGTTAGACCTTATTCAAACATCGAACTTTACATGAACCGAACACATTTAAAACAAAAGATAATGGGCGTACTCATCTTATTTTTTTGTCTTCAATGCGTTCGGTGCATGTAAAGTTTGGCGTTTGAAACAGGCCTTAGTAACGTTGAGATTTTCTTTAATGTTCTTTGTTAGATCTTATTCTCCTTGTATAGCAGGTCTAGTTTGGGCTTCTTTCTGAGTGTAAACTGAATCTATGAAAAGTTTAAAAAAGTATAAAGTTACCGAAGCTATGGTTTCCTGTTGTAAATCATTAACATTCCATAGTTCTTCGGAATAAACAGTTTTATATATTAATTTTGTTCCAAGATTGATAAAGCTAACCAACGTCTTCTAAACAAGAACACATCTTTGATGTATACAGCTGAGAAAAGTATTGCTACAAAACTTGGAAACACTACTGGTTGGAAGGATGTGTTGTTGGCTGCAGGATTTCGTTTTAGAAAAGAATCGAAAAATCTTCCTGATGCTGTGTTCTTCCCATTAAAGGATGAAAAAGGAAAATTACGTCAGTGTGGCGATATCTTACGATCTTTGCTTGGTAAGTAACAATTGCCTGGAGCTATAAGAATATGTTAAGTTAATGCAATTTATTTAAACAGTGCGTTGAATTGTGCTTCAGGCTTAAGTCCTACAACTTTACAAGCAATCTGCAAAGTTCTTTCATCTTCAAGTCTTGTCAGAACTCTTTTGGAGCTGGTACGTTAACTTCACATAAATATTTCAATCTTCGTTTTTAGTTTGTCTGTTTCTCTTAGTAACTACTGAAATTATCTAAGTTGTTTACAAGTCGTCACGTTAAATTTACAACGAATTTAATTTTAGTGGAAATTTTTCTACTCCTTAGTTTAACACCGTGTTGTCAAGTTTCTCCAAAGGTCTAAACAATGTTCCCGTAACAATTCTCCTCGATTTCTGGCATGTGACCGGATGTCACGAGTTGCTATCCTCTATGGGGTTTGTCCTACTTGGTGTAGGCAAAAATGAAGTGATGCTAAGGTCGGGAGGAACCAACAGTAAACGTGTATTACAATGTGCAGTTGTCGCTCTGAATGCTTTATCTGGTAAGTTTAAGGATATAGTTAATCTTCTGATAAGATTATCTCACACATTTTATATGTAATTTTACTCCTCTGATTTTGATTAGGAGGTCTGGGAACAGATAACGTAGAATTAAATGCAGAGTTTCCATTGCGTCGTGCAGGTTCAAATTCCAGTTTGAAGAGTTCAATTTCGACAATATCCAGCTTTAGCTACGCTAGTGCCGAGAGCACGATCGAAGCACGATCGTATCACGACAGCTCACGAAGCCACGTGAGTGATATTGAATCAATTCTCGACGACTTGGAAAAATGTCAAGAAGAGTCAAGCGTTGATCCTGAGTTTTCGGATGATCATCAAAATAGTCAATATCATATTCCAATTAATGCTGAAAGTCGAGCATTGTCATTGGACAAAAACCACAGAAAAATGACGGTCAATCTGAAGCAAAATGTTTCATCCTCGGATAGTAAGAGATCTCAAAATGACTACATTTTATTAGACTCACCAAAATCACCAGATTTGTTGAGTGCACGTACTTTAGCAAAAACGAAAACATTTTTACCATTAAATGTTGCGGAGAGCTCATTTAGTCCTTCATCAACAGATAGTGGTTTCCTAGAGAAGCCCTCTGTTTGTATTCCTATTCAAGGAAATAATTTTAAAAATGAACCTTGGAACAATGTCATCTTGCCTAAGTCACCAGTTGTTGATCGAAACTTATTTCCATTCCATTCGCATTCCGGTGAAGCGTCAGAATCTCTTGACTCCGGATCGTCGACAAGCGTTGGCAGCCGTGAGCACAAGACTCCTGGAAGTATTTACAAAATGTCAAAAAGGTTGAATGGTGGCTGTAAATATTCTGATAATAATTCTTCTGTCGGTTTACCATACATGATGAAAGGGCGCTTTGAAAGAGGGATTTATGCTACTGATTATGAACACGATAATCAAAAATCGATACGTCGAAATGTCCCGTTACGATCTCGGTCAGTTTCATTTGATAGTGTTATTGACAGTGATGACACCGCTGAGCAAAAAGAACGCATATCTAATGATGTAGAGGTTTTCCATGCACTCATCAAGAGCTCTCGTGGCTCACGCAGAACACGTGGATATAAAGGTAAAATGAATAAAAGAATTTCAAAGTCAGAAGAAATCTTAGAAAATTTTGGTTCTCGCGAAGTATTTTCCTTAGAACTTGATAGCTGGTCACATGACCGAGTTCGTTGTTCTAGTGATGTAATGTCACATGATCGAGTTCGAGGTTCTAGTGATGTCATGTCACATGATCGAGTTCGTGGCTCTAGTGACGCTATTTCTAGGTTGTCTAATAATCCAGGTCATGAGGAGATGAGGTTAAAAAATAGAGATCAATCCACTTCCTTAAAGCCGAGTATCGTGCGACGAAAATTAAACAGTGAATACTTGGCCAATCTTAAAAATCTTCAAGCTTCACCATGTTGAAGTCACTTGAAGAACCATCGTTAAACACAAAATGTTTTGCACAGAATGATTTTCAATGAAATTGCTGGTTCCTTTTACGTGAAACAACGGACAATGAAACAAGTCAGGTGTTTGAAACAGTTGTTTCAACATCATCATCCTAGAACATTAAAAATAATTTAAGATTTAAATGTAATTTTCTGTAAGTATGTTTTTATATGAAAGTAAAATTCTTTTTTATTTACCTGCCAAATTGCCGATGTATTAAAATAAGATCATTCTAAATAGGAAAGAAATTTTAACACATATTCTACAGTATATTAAAATTTTAGTTACGTTATTAATAGTTTTTATATTTAGTGAAATAAGAAATTGTATCTGTATTAATAAAGTTTATTTTCTTCATTCAATTTGTTATTTCGATTGTGTTTTTTAGTAAATGTAGTGAGATATGTATGATAAATTTATGATGAAAATTAATGTAGGTTTTTTTATAGATGACAAATTATGTTGTACTCCTATTGTTCATAAAATACGTTTATTTGCTGTTAGGAGAATTCTGTTGTTTTTTTAAGCCATTTCATCATCTACACGTTTATTAGATACGTGAAAAAAATTCATCAACGAACTTTGTGTAAGATAAGATTTATCAAGGGTAAAAAATTACTGAAAACTAAACGAAAAAGAAGGTTGTTGCTGAGCATGGACTAAAAAGAACAAACTGATCAATGTTTGATAAGTTGTGGTATTGTCAAAAATGACTACTATTATTGTATTTACAAACAACATGTTCTTCTTTAAGCAATAAACGTTCAATTTTTTATGTTTTACGACCACGAAGTACGGCCTGCTGACCACGGCGACGTTCGGCAACGTTCCCAGAAGCAGCTGGTCTCAAGGCTGGAAGTATAACAGAAGTATTCTGGTTATATTGACCTGTACGACCATTCAACCTATGAAGAAATGTTTTCAGTTAAGGCTTCCTTTTAGACAAATAAAAATGAATAAATACTATTTTGTGCTCACGTTTTCGTGACAACATAAGTATCGGTTGAGAAATTTGCTGTGCAATTTCCTTCTTTTATTTCTTCCTTTAACTTTATCAACTGAAGAAAAAGTGAAATGTTAAATAAGATGAAAACAGATGATCGCTTAAACTCTTCAAAAACAATGCTAACTTCTTGTCCTTGTCTTTTGTTCATATCCTCAAGGTAATATATGATATCTTTACATTCAGACATTGTAGGAGAACGAGAGGCTGCTCCACTTGATGGTGTAACGTAAAGTTCTCCTTTTTTGCCAAATGTCACTTGAAGAACAGTTGTTTTACCAGGACTAAACATGTTAAAATGGTCGATATTTGTATCACTTACACTCTCGCGGTGTGATAAGTTATTTTTGTTGCTTGTGCTTCTTGAAACTTGATAATCATTCATATTGTCGTGACTTGCTACTGGTGGAAGAGGTTTGTAACGTTTTCCAGATATTTCTCTACAAGAGAAAGTAGATAAACATCTTGTACAATCATAAACTGAGAAAAAATTTCTTACCTTTCGCTTATGCGCTTTGATAAATCAATATTTTGTTTTTGAGCTTCAACAAGTGCAAGTTTTAAGTTCTTTAGCTCGTTTTCTAACCGTCTTATTTTACTTCTGTAGTAACTCCCGCTCGCTTTTTGTCTGCTTTCAAATGCTGAAAATTGGCCAAATTAAAGTAACGAAATTATTAATTTCAAGTTGAAAGTATCCATTTAAGTATACACATTGTTTATTAGCTGATGCTCATGTTCAATTTGATAAAACAGACAAGGAAATTTTCCGAATCATCGAATGTGCATGTCTGAATAAAATTAAAAATGCTTCGGGAAATGAGTATAATAGTAATTTGTTGCACAAAACCAATAAGTACCTGACAGTAACTGCTGTTTTTTCTTGTTTTTAAAAAAATATACGAACCTGACGAAGTAATAGAAGTTTCATTTGTTACAATTAACTTGAAGTTTAATTCTGTAAAAAATAAATGTTGTTAATAAACAGGAAAACAAAACTTTTAATCCCTCTATACTTTCATAGATTTGTCCGTCTTGTTTAAAAATGTATAAATCAAGTTGCATTCAGCAAAAAAGCTGCTCGATACAGATCGACATAGAAACTTGTTATAAAAAAGAATTTTGAAAAAATTTCCACAGAGATGTAGTTACGCACAAACCTTTATTTTCAGTTTTTAATTTTTCAATTTCTTCATGTAACTTCGTCAATATCTCATGATGTTGCTCTTTCAAGAAAGATAAGTTGTTCTCCAGCTGAGCCTCTTTACGAGATTTGGATTTCAGTGGAAGAGGAGAAGACGGTGCAGATACAATCCTATCACTAGAACTAGATTTTAGCGTCGTATATTTTGAGCCATAATCTCGCTCTAATTGTCCAAGATTCTTGCTGGGGACAACCACTGGATCTTTTGCTATGCATCGCTGAACTTTTCGTCTTTCTAAAGAACTCCGCGACCACGAAGGTAAGTTTGTTAAGGGAGGCAGTTTCGACATTGAGGATTCTTTGTCTATCTTTAATATTCAAATAGTATAGACCTTTTAGATACGTTGTACTGCTGATGTTATAGAAAGTCTCTTTATTTCTTCTCTTACACTAAGTTTTCTTTGCTCGAATGGTTCGAAGTAGGGTGAGAATTTTGTTAAAAACTAAATTACTTGGCTGACAACGGAGCTGCCATCTTTGAGTATTTTCATCTACAGAGACGAGTTAACCCGTGTTGCTAGGATACCATGACAGATGAATATTCTCTATTTTAATTATTTAATTATTTTACTGCGATTTATTATAACCGAGCCATAAAACAGTCAGCCATATGAAACCTTTACTTTGACGAAATACGGAAAATTTTTATAAACGTCAATTTGCATTGTAGATATGTTATACAGTATTTCATGGGGGCAAAAAAAATTGCAAAAAATGATTGATATTATTTACCGGATGGTACCGTATGTAATCGGAATTTGCCGGAAAATATCAACATTTCATAATTTCACGATGGCGGTAAATAGAAATCATTTATAGAAAGAATATGACAAATAGAGAATATCCTTTTGGATTTGACTAATTTTACATTGACGTACGTGTATCGTTTGGATTTTGTATTTAACTAGTATACGATGGAAAAATTTCAGTTTAAAATAGTTGCTGCTAAATATTTAAACCAACGTTTGCAGCTGACATATAAATAGATTGATAGAACTATATAATGGTGAAATACTTATTTTAATATCTCTTTATTAAAGTGATGACTTCAACCGACAGTTTAAATGGTCATTTTTATGGGCCATCCTCTGTATCCCTCGGTACCCATCAAGATCCCTCTGCACTTGTCAACCAGCTTCAGTTTAATCTGCGAACTCCATATTCAATTGAATCAATGAAATCAAATTTTGAAAAACCAAAGCCTGTGTTAATTGAAAAATTTCCATCAGCTCCTATTCATGGATATCGAAGTATGAGTCCTATTTTATCTCATGGTGTAACTTCTTCACCACTATCATCTCTGAGCAATGAACGCCTCAACTTTGCTGTACAGCTAGCTAAGGTTGATGCAAAGAAACTATGGAAAAAACAGAAAGAACAGGAGATGATAGATGATTTGACAATAGTAAAGACAAAAGATTTTAAAAAAATAAATTCAACAGCAAACCAAAAAAAGACAAAACAGATACCAAAAAAGGTAATGACTGTTCATTTTAAATATCACTTTATTTTTCTCTCTAACTTTCCATTTTCCCATTATCTTATTTTTTGTTCCTCTACTGTTTCTTTATCTCTTGTGATCTTTAATTGTCACACTGGCTATTTGAATGTGACAAGCATATATCATTACTTAGAAATAGTTGAGCTTGTTTTCATTGATTAAGGTTGTTAAGAAAGAAAGTCAAACAAGAGTTAAGGACGATGATTTTTACCAAAGGATACCTACTCAACTGCACACAGAATCTGGTGGTGAACAATCTAAAGAAATAAAAAGACTTGAAAAACAGATTCAAAACTACCTGAAGAAACTTAAAGATCTCATTCACAAAGTAAATAAAAGATTGTTTATTCCTTACCCTTTTTACTCACACATTTCTAAATTGGCAAAATTTTACCAACATAATTTTTATGTTCTTCAGTTTGAAATTGCTAAAAGCAAACTTATTTTCAAGGACATGTTTTTTCTCATTTAATATCTTTGATATGTTGTTTGCAGGGCAAAGATGAGATTAATAATAAAGAGAAAAAGTTCATTTCCAACAAAAGAAAGAAAATGTCAGTGTTCTATCAGATGATGACACAGACCAAAGACAACGCAAGAGATCAGAGGAACAGGCATCAAGATCAGCCAGAATTTTGTATACAATTGAATGCCAGGTGATGTGAATTTTTTAAGAATTGATGCATACATATTTATAGCTTATACTTATGTACATACAGTGTCCATCAAAAAAGAAGATCAGTTTAAAATGCTTAGTAAACTATAAATATACTTAAATATCTCCCAAATTTGTGCTGTATGCGTACTTTTATAGCATTCTCTGTTTAATCTAACTGTAAAAATAAACAGAGTCTACTTTTTTTTATTCAACTTAATAATTTAATTGCCAGATGTAAATACTCTCCTTTCACTTTGTATAGATTCAACAACTTGAAGATGAAATACGTAAGAATGGACGAGATGTTAAAGAACGAAGAAAGGTTGAAAAAAGAAACATACATTACATTAAAGAATATTCTCATAAACAATCTTATTAATGTTATATCTTTTCTACTTTTAGATCCAGTCTCTTGAAGGACGCCTCGCTGCCGCTCAACGTGCCATTATCCGCGCTTTGCGCATGCTTATAAACAGTGCACCTTTGCAACCTAAGAATTGCCAATATTATCAAACTTTGTTTCAAACTCTTACTTCGCTAATACAACAGCTTTCAGACTTGTCTCTTTTAATGGAAAACCAGGACAATGAAGTATGGAAAATTAACTGTCAACCATAAATTCTATTCTCTTGTACTTCTGCAACCAATTTGTTTTTCATGTTATAGGGCACAAGTATTCATAAGAGGATAAAGAAGTACAATGAAACCAAAACGTCTGATCCACTGAAAGCGTTTGAGCTGTCTTCAAATCGTGATGTTAACAAAAAATCTTTAGAAAGAAATTTCCCTCATTTTCCGTTGGAGTTTTTCGATGAAAGTATGTGTGAAAAACTACAGGAAGGTTGTAAAAAACTGTGTTTGTATGACTTGAAATGGTTGGTAATGTATTCAAATTTTTTATATTCTTCAGACGATTCAACGTTAACGGTTGATCCTTCCCCAGACCGCAATGCGACATTGAAATCTGCAGTGCAAGCTTTAATGAGAGAGAAAGGGCTAGAAAAGGTAGAGTTGATTTATTATAATACAACTACTTCGTTAAATATTATATATTTACCTAAAGATTATTGATTAATTATGTTCATGATGGTGATTATTGATTACATATGTATATAACGGTGATTATTGATGACATCTGTATGATGGTGATTATTGATTGTGAATGATTTATTATTTAGAAAATTGGTGACAGAAAAATGCAATCGTCGTCGAAATCTGAGAAAACGAGGTTGAAGTCTGTTCTGTTGCCAAAAACAATTCAGGTATTGCATTCTCGAATTATCTTTATCTTTCGTTTAAAAGCGCTGCATTGCAATCACTTGATGTGTCTCTTTCTTTTTTCTTGAAGATCAGAAGAAAATATGGTTTCAAGCCTTCAGAGAAAACAGTAAAAGTGCCTGAAAATTTATCAAATTTCAAAAAAGAAACGAAGTCATCAATTCAGAAGAAAGTGGCGAGACAAAAAACGAAGACGAAAGTTGCTGAAATAAAAACAAAAGAAGAAAGGTTGCATTGAGGATATTTTCGTTGTACCAAATGAAAAAATTACGGTTGATTATAATGACAAAGATAAAAGTGAATTAAATAAAGTTAAGGTTGAAAGGTTTGTCCAAACATAGTTTCATTATGACCTATTTTATTAATCACATAAATCGAGGCCTTCTTATTTGCTGAGGGAAATGTGCGTATTGCAAAAAGAGAACAATTTGACCTTCTGGTACAAAACATATTTCTTCATACGAACATATGTCGTTGTTATACGTTCTTACCTTTATCTGTAGTAATATCATGGATATACCAAAGAATTTGATCTTAGAAGCGGAGAAAGAAATCAAAAACAGACTTCAACCACTACTGGATAAGGCTGAGGTGATTATTGAGTACGAGAACTTATTGAATTGGATGAAAATCAAGATTATCTTATGTATTAAATGAATTTGCACGAATAACGAGCTTTAAAATGTTAGTCTACAAACTTTGCATTGATTTGAGAAAACAGTCGATAATGTTCTACTTTGACTAATTGGAAAATGTTTCAAACTTAGTACAGAAAGTGCATCATTTGTTTTCATGCCATAATCATCGTTAAATGTATTTCAGATTGTTGTCAGTAAAACAAGGAAAAATTCCATCCATACGCATTTTGGCAACGTTATTTCCAAAGTGGTTAGAATCGTATTTTGCTAAATATTCTATAACCAGTTTTGATTTTGTCGATGTTTTAAAGAATTTTAACTTATTGTTCAATGCTCCTGCAGACGATGAATGAGAATGAATTGTTATCTGACATGATACTTGATGATATTTTATTAGATACAGCTCAAGAACTGCAAAGGTAATGATAAAACAGTGATGTTAATCTACTGAACATTATTTGATTAGAGTAAAAATAAATTTCATGTATCACAATTTCAGACTTGAGGATGAACAGGATATATTGAGTGACGAGTCCAGTTTAGAAAATTCTTTAACATTGGATAACATTTTCAAAAGACTGGAGCAATTTGAGGTTTCATTCGTTTGAACCATTTTTCACACTTATGGATATAACTAAACATTTGAACTCAATATTTTACAATATCCACTTTAAGAAAGAAGAAGAGCGCTTACGAAGAAGTTTAAATCATGTTGTTTACACTGATACGTATTGTACAGAACGGAAAAACAATCCTAAATCTTGTCTGGCGTCTTCAGGTGAATTAGAAAGCATTTTTCACGTAAAACATTATTATGATTTTACTTTTTTCCTTTAGATGAACGAGTGAGTGTTTACAGAAGAGATGCCTCTTTGAAACATTTCACTAAATCCAACTGTAAAATTCTCTTAGTTTACCATTGGAAATTCAAAACAGTATTTTTTCCTATCGTGAAAGATTCTTAGATTATCTGCAACGAAGTCATTCAGGAAAATCAACTAGTTTTGATCCTGGGAATTTGATTGAAAAGTAAGTTTGTTTATAAGACAATGGCCCTATAAATTTTCTCTAATATTTCCTATTATTCCAATATTTGTCATCCTATTTATCCCTGGTAGTCTTTTATGAGTAAAAGGAGGAATTTTTTAATAGAGCTTTTTATGTAGCGAAAATTGAAACAAACTTTTACTTTTTAATCTTCACATACAGATTGAGCGAGGAGATTTTCGATGAAATTATTGAAGAAGTTGCTCGTGAATTCACTGGAGCTTGTGATAATATTTCCGAAATGATGTTTCAATCTGAATTTTTGAAAGAACAATAACATGTTTTGCAATTATTTGATGGAAAAAACATTGACTTTTTCATTGTATTTATACTGATAACATTTTCCCGTAAAGGCGAAAGTTGATTGGTTGACAACTGTCTGAGCAACATTAAATTTGTCGGGGGCAGTGAAAAATTATGCGAGTCAAAATGTCGAATGTTTTTGATTTACGAAACAAGTTCCTTCATTTTGAAAGTGTGCATTAAATCTTCCTTTGTATTTTTGAGGAAGAATTGCTGAATAATGACCTTTAATAGAACTACTCTTGGTAACTTTGCCTTATGAAGAAAATTTGCAAACCAGCCGAAACTTAAATATTAAATACAGTAAAACACTAAACTAAACAATGAATAATTTCCCAAATGAACAATATGATCTCAATTATCATGAAATAAGTCAGCATAATGCGTTTATAAACCGAGTACAATTTGGAGAAAATGTTGAATTGCCTCAATACCACGACAATGTACTGTTGTAAGTATAAACTAGGTATTTTACTCTCAGACTCTTCTATGCCTTTGTTAAGTGTTTGAACAAATTTTTATTTTAAATCATTGTTTAGTGATCCATTTGTGCAGGTAAAGAAAAGAAAAGCGGAAGATGATTATAGGTTTGTTGTGCTCATTAAACATTTACTCATGTAATTCACAAGATTGACTGAATGTAACTTACTGTCACAGATGAAATGTTGTAGAATTAAGTTGCTGGTTGTGAAGGAGTGACTGAAAGATACCCGTCCACTCACATATAATATAAACTTGACTTCAACCCTAATGCTAAAATGTAGTGGATGGGTATTCTGCAATTTAGTTAGTTATAAATTATCACATGTTGTTGAACAGGAATTCTCTGTTTACTGTTTAGTTCATCATGTTTTTGTGACATGACATAGTAATGTAAAATTCACTCACATAAAATATTTTTATTGATTGTACTATTTAAGCATTTTTACTTTATTTTAAACAAAACCAAACCATAGTTGTCAATGAATATTTGCTATGATATACTGAACAATTGATGTTTCTATTTGTGCCTATATGCGTAATTTCATTACATTGCACTCTAAAGTAATACTGTTATAGTAATAAAGCTTCAAATTTACAGGTCAATGTGTCCAGGTGTGAAACGTAGAATTACAGATGAGCACATGGCTGCAGAAATGAACACACTTTGCTTAAATAATGAACAGAAATATTGCCATAGTGAAGCTGTATTTAATCCTACTGAAATGGTTGATACACATTTTGGTTATCAGTCCAATAACTCAATGGTTCTAAATGATACAGAAGAAAAAAGGTAAATAGGAATGAACTTCCTTATTTTAAATGAAAATTTTCACTAAGTATTTTACAATAGTAGAGAATATCCTATCTTTCAATTTACTGCTTCAATGGAGGAGATTTTAAAGAAAAAGAATGATATTTTACCACTGCAGATTATTCAAGAAATGTAAGTTTTGATGAATGTTTCTGTCTTTGCCAATGGTAAATTTTAAATTGTCTGTCTTTATTTAAATGATATAACAGGCGTAAACCATGTTTGGCTATGGTGCCTTACACACCACGAGTGAACTATAAAGAACAAGAGATTGCACAACAACATCTAAATGAAGTGGTAATATTTTTTTATATAATTTCCATTTCTCTTTCTTTTTAAATTCAAGTTGTCTTTTTTTTTCTTTCAGAGAGAAAATGATGAATGCTCAATAGAGAAGATGGATGATGGTAATTTTGTGTCATAGATTTTGAAATATTAAACAAAAATGTACAGTGATTGACAAAATGTGTTTCTGTGTAGAAGGGTTAGTATTTTTGCTTTTCGATAATGTTTACTTTTCGAAATGTTTATATTGTACACTAAATATATCTGGGAAACTTAACTTTCTTCAAATATTTATAACGCATTAAATGTTAAAATAAATAAATTCTACAAAGTTCAGCATATCTATGAATCCTGCATTTGTTTATGCTTCGTCATGTTGCTTTGCGTCCAGCTTTAAGTGCTCGCAATCTGTTGGCCAAACGCTCTGTACTGCTTCGCTCAGTTTCAGCATTAAACTCATCTTTGAATACATTTCCTTTTGGTTGTTCAAATACGGAATCATTATATAATGATTTTCCTGCCTCACTAGGAACGTAAGCACTACTTGTTGTGACATTCTCCAACGAACCACGCTGCGTTTGTTTTCCTTGTTTTGTCATCTTTTTTAAGACCTGAACCAAAGCATTAGGTGAAACATTTATTTGAATTAGATCTAAAATGATTTGGAAAACATCCGGATCCAATGTGACGCCACTCAAATTGCACAATTCAAATAATTCTTGCTCCACTTGAAAATTTCCTTTTGGTTTTAGTCGCTCGGCGCTTCGAGAGCCATTTACTCGATAGTTGTCCGATATTGATTGACTCGTAGACATTTTTATTTTCTTAACCTTTAAACCTTTAAATTAAGTGTCAAGAAAAGGAGTTAAATGAATTAATAAAAGTCGATAAGAACCATAGAACTGTTATAACACCTGCAAGGATAAGTCAGGGGGGGGATTGAAACCAGATGATGTCAGCCATGCAGGTCGCTTGAGTCTTTTTTAAACTAAATGCAATTTTTATATTTATAAAATTTTAAAAGTAAACTTTGCGTTACTTTTTTAAATACTGCTAAATTTGAAGAATATTGGTATGTATTGTTAAAAGAAAACAATAAAAAAAACAATGAAAACTGTAGGTCATTAAATAAGATATATCACTGGAACGTTTTTAAAACGTAAAAGGACGTGAATCATGCACTATTAGTTTTATAAAATGCCCTAAATATTGAAATATTTTTATGTATTCAGTACTTATTATTTATATATATTATAGTTTATATTACTGTTCACTGCATTGAACTCAATGGATAAGTCTGTCCGCCATTTTGAAATTGTGCCAGAGTATGATGTCATTCATGTGAACATTGGATGTGAATTAGGAACAGGAAGAGATCACAAAAACACAAGTTTTGCCATTTTGCTGCATTTCTTATCTCTATAAGCTTGTAAGCGTGAGCAAGTTTAAAGGAATTTTATCAACAACACTCAACCAACAGTTGTTGTCACACAAAACAAGACACCAAATCTTAGAAATAGTCCATACACATTTAGAGAGTTGTCTGGAAACTAAAGATTGCTTTCACATTAGGGATAAAGATTGGAGAATGCGCAGACTGGAGAATGCGCAAACTCTCAAGTTGAAAATAGGGAGCTAAGGCAAATTTACGTTGCTTTGAAAAGTTTAAATGTCTTAAATTAGGCGTAACGATAAATTCCAGCAATTCCTGTGCGTATTTACATGTTGTTTTCGCCGCAAGCAAAAAATCAGCAGACGACTTTTTTAGATGGTTTTGCTGTAGCCAAACAAACTGAAAACTTATACTGTCTCAATGTTAAACGTTTTTCATACATAAAATATTAAATTAATGTAAAACTAATACATCTATATAGTGTTCAGTCACACAACGCCCACTTTGTCATTTTTATTCACTAAAATTTAAAAGTCAAATTATCATTGAGTCAGAGCACTTTATGTATAAAGAATTGTTTACATTGATGTATTTACCTTCTATAAACGAGGTTATGCTTAATGAACGATTCCTTGTTCTGGGATTAGAGTTTAAGAAAATTAATATTGTGAAAATTGACGAGGCTTAAATGAATTTAGTATGCTGAAGTTTTTAACAACGTTGGAGCTGACGGTCAGCGAATGTAAAAATCTTCCATCCAAAGATATGTATGTAGCTTTTATTTCATTTGTTAAATTTCGTTTATAATTCTAAATTTCGTGTGAAAGAAAAATTTCTATGTCTTTGGAGGGTTTGTTACAAGTACAATAGACTGTTCAACAACTTTTTATGCAGCATCTTTGACGGAAAACCTTATAGGCAAATACATTTCATTTCTATAATCAGTCAATGACTTATACCCAATCCTCTAGATATCTAACTGCCGTTGTCACGGTGAGGCAAATTTTATTCGCGGGCGCCATCTTGAAAGGTGGCAAAAAACATAACACGCAATATACGGTAGTATAGTTTACATGTCAAACTGACTCAAATATATGGTTGAAAAACGTTGAAAGCAATCAATCTTAAAACAAACACAGGTATAACATCCTCAACTCTAAAACAACGTTCAAAAGCACATTTTAGCTGCAAGCGCGTAATTTTCGATTTTCATGGTCAAATCGTGCGCTGCGTATGGATGTACAAATCGCTTTTCGAAAGAGAGTAACATAGCTTTTCACAAATTTCCCATTGAAAATAAGGACCTCTGTAAAAGATGGGTCATTACTATGAAACGAAAAAACTTTACCCCAAACGCAAGCAGCTTTCTTTGCTACTGAAGCTCTTGTGTTTATGTTAGTTGGTTTACGAGGACATTGGAAATGTCCTATTGGTTACGTGTTATGTAGTGGAATAAATTCTTCAAATTTGAGTGCACTGGTTAGCAAATCGTTTCGCTTAGAATCTTCAGATGGGCTAAATATTTACAGTGTGACTTGTGACGGTACTGCCACCAATTTTTATTGCATGAAAGCCCTTGGTTGTGAGTTTGGATCAAATTTGTCTGACATTAAATACTCTTTTAACTATGAGTCATATGAACACCCACTGTTTTTTGTTCCTGATGCTTGTCACATGCTAAAACTGGCAAGAAATGCATTGTCCGATCTTAAAGTACTGGTTTCGAGTGAAGGTAGTTTGATCAAATGGGAGCATATTGAAGTGCTGCATAAAGTTCAAGAGGGAGAAGGGTTAAAATTTGCAAATAAGCTGTCCACGGGCACATTGAGTTCCATAGGCACAAGATGAATGTGAAAGTTGCAGCACAAACATTCAGCAGTTCAGTTGCAGATGCCATTGAATACCTGATGCTTTCTGGTCATCCAGCTCTTAGTGATGCGAGTGCAACAATAGAATTCATAAGGATTGTTGATCAACTTTTTGACATATTAAACATACGAAGTCCATTTGGCAAATGTTTTAAAAAACCACTTTTTTATGTGATCACAACACATGGAAAAAAACTTTGGAAAAGTCAATTGAATACCTTTTTTCCATTAAAACAAACTCTGGTGTTCCTCTGATCAAACATAGAAGAAATACATTTGTTCTCGGTTTTGTAGTAGCAGCATCGAGCATTAAAGAGTTGGCTCACATTCTCCTTACAAAGGAACATGATTCTTTCAAATACATTCTGACATACAAAATGTCCCAAGACCACCTTGAGCTGCTGTTTGCATGCATACGTGGTAAGAATGGCTTCAACAATAATCCAGATATTGTACAATTTAAGTCCAGTCTACGAAAAATTCTTTTAAGAAATTCCATCATTGGTTCCAAGCATGCAAACTGTTTGACTTTCGAAAATGAATCTGCTGGTTCTATTTTTCATTAAAATGGAATAAAAGAAATGCTCCAGCCTTTGAAGTAGAAGAGATGACACCAAAGGACACATAGTTTAGTTTCTGGATTAGAATCATGTTCACTGTCATCATACAAAGAAGCAATACTTGGATATATTGCTGGGTTTGTTGTAAAAAAGATAATCAATAGAATCACCTGTACTGAATGTGCAAGAGCTCTTTTGCTTAAGTCAAAAAAATCATCATCAGTTCATGATCATAATTATTCACACTTCCAAACTACTACAACTTTATCTTTAATCAGTTTGAAGAATCGTGGTGGTCTTGTTCTCCTTCTAATGGTGTGACCAAAATAATATTTGCATCTGAAAGAGCTTTTCAAGTCCTCATTCATGAAACTCGTTCAAAAACAAAAATTTCCAGCAGGAGAAACTTGAAGACTATAATGGTTCATCTTATTAACCAAGAGCTTGCAGAAAAGAGCTTGTTTCCTGAACTCAACGAGCATGATGTTGATCACGAAGCAATAACTGAAGATCTACATTCATCACAGCTTATCAAACAGATCATTGAAAAATACATCAATTTACGACTTTCGACCTATGGTAAGCAATATAATAAAGATATCCTCCACAAAAACAAAATTGGTGTTCGCCAGCAATCTACGAAGCTTGTTTTATTTCAAGGAATCTAGTCGACTTCGATGAACATCCACACCACAACCAAGGAAATGTAAATCCTAAAAAAATAATTAATAGTGGTTTATTGTAAATAGTGAAAATAAGCGCATTTTTACAACGATGCAGTCATATTGTTAATAGATCTAAAATTATGTTGTTCAGGTAAAATAATTCATATAAACCGTAAACGTTGTGTTCAAATCAAAGTTCTGGATAGCTGTTATGCGATTTTGTCGCTTTTTTTCTGTAAATATGTTTTTGGTTTACGATAAAAAGCATAGAGAACAGCAAAGAAGATGTAAATTAATAAATACTCACGACTAGTAGTTCATACTTATGTAACTCTCAGCCTTTAGTTTATGGTCGCAAAATACACGTTAAGACCGCTCTATCTCAAGTATTTAAAAATTTTACACATTTTAACAATATTAAAGAAATTACTCACCATTTTTAATGCAACTTCAGTAGAACAGCATCATAAAAACGCTCTCAAAGTCGATTTCTCTCAGCACAGACTTAATGTTTTTATATGCCGCCATTGTGCTTTTGCCACCTTTGCAAATGGCGGCCGCGTAGAAATTTGCCTCACTCATTACTATACAAATTTGGCTGAGTCAGGTATCTAGTAGAATGGGTACTAGATCATTGTAATCAGTATATAAACCGTTTCGTGGAAAATTTGTTACAAACCGGTCATAATAATTTCTGCAATTTACTTAACTTATGACCAATAAAGAATACACTTCAACTGCACAGGACGCAGATAAAAACTGTTTCATTCTGTATGAAGATGGCTATGTAATAAAATCAAAAATTTGCATTTAAAATTTTTATTTGCGTCTTTAATCGTATTGTGCATTTTGAAGATGCCTTTTTTCGAAATTCGCTTTTGTTTAAATTATCGGCTGGACATGTTTTTATGACCTATCTTTTAGACCATTGATTCACTTTGTAAGTTTTAAGTCTGCAGAACATAGGAGAAGATGTATGACTGACATTTATAAACAGCCAGGACGTCAACACGTTTATGATATATCTTCTCGACACAAGCAGTGCTCTCACAATCAAATTTCCTTGTTCCTTAGAAAATGCTTAGAAAATTCCTTAAATTTGTAAAAAATACTTCTAGGTATGGTCAGTGTTCAAGTGTTTTTTTCATAATTTTTCGTCCTTTTTTGTGTTTTCAAGTTTGTGAACGTTCTATTTGTAAAGAAACATTAAATATTATTAAGTGTATGTTAGTTTAAAGTATAAAAACATCCTTAAAAATATCCTTAAAACCCTTAGAAAATCCTATTTTTAAGGATAATTCTTTAAAAGTGAAAGCACTGAACACAAGATAACTTTGTATATAGGAAAAGCCCTGGGAACGAGTTTGCGTTGGGTCTGCGCCTGCGCTTATCACAAGTCTGCTACTAATATACGTGAATACGTTGGCCTGAGCCCTAGCTTAAAACGTTTCAATGGTACAGTTGTGTTTCTCTACGTTTTGAACAAAAACCATAAATAGTTATAATACGTGTTTGATATTCTTTTTGCTCCAACTTTTTGCAAAAAGCTTAGCAAGTCGACAAACCGTCGAGACGTCGCGTCGCATGCTACAAATAATTTTTCATTTTCATCAAACATTTTCAATTTGCAATTTATTTTACCTCCTACTATGAGAGATTAAGTTACATTCAACATTTTATGCTATGCAAAAACTACTTTTATAATAAACATGAAAATTTAACTCTTCATTTATTAATGTTTAAAATTGTCGATTATGAAAACATCCAGGTATTATGTATACAAATGATGAAAGCTATCCATAATAAAAATCTTTGACCGTTTATTTTTGACAATATTGTGTGAAGTTTGTTTCACAAGCCAGTGTTTTTCACTATGTAAATCTTTACCTCTTACTATGGTTTTACTTATTTTCCTTATATGAGCTAAGTATTCGTACGCAACGAGTATCTATTCTTATTAGCACCCATTCTGCTCTTCTTGATATTTCAAGCAGGACAGTCGACAGAAAACTATAAACATAAATAAAAAAATTAAATATTATAGTTGATCATCAAATATATTGGTGTTTTTTAAATTTGTATCGATAGAAATTTGTTTGTTTTGTTTTGTTTCGTTTTTCGTAACCATAACACCTAAACCATCTCTGTACCTACAAAGAAATAAATTTCCCAAGACCTTACCAATATTTACCTTTAAAATTCCTCTCCTTGACGCCCAGACGTCAATTTTTACGCCTAGATCTCTTCCCATTGAGACTTTTCTTTTTAGGACATTGGGAATTATTTTATGCATCTGCGTTTTATTATAACTTTCAATTCGTGTTTATTACAATTAAACTATTTTACTTTCAGTTTACTTTATTCTGACTTTAATCATTTAGTTTTGGAAAGAGTGACCCATATTGCTTAGTCAAGATAGATAACCACGTTATGGCAAGGTAAGATTTTATCAGTAAAAAAATCAGAAAGGAGAGAGAAGTTGTTAAGTTGTTGGGGGGCGAGGGGCGAGACACTGAGTTTTACTGCGTATGCCATTTCGTTTTGTGAATAACGTTTGTCACATGACTCAGGCCTTTTACGTAAAATAACCACGTTACAAAAAGCATGCAAAGATAAAAACGTTTTGAACTCTTGCATAATAATTGTAAATCTAAGTCAAAATTCGAGAAGTCGTCACGCACAAATCAAGTAGCTGCGTGGTCTCTCGCGTGGGAAGCGATTCACCTTCTGGGCCAGAAATTCTGGCACTGGCCGAAGTGACAGTTATATATTTGTAGTTAAAATATACAGTACCGCTCGCGTATTTGTTAACATACGGTACGCGTATGATACGAAAAACATACGCTATTTTTATGGCTATTTTTATGTGTTTATTTTTTTGATCTGTGGAGCACTTGAGATAACTTGACGCGTCTTCCTTAATGGGAAATATAGTACAGTTCACATGTAAAACTAACAATTTCATCAAGTGATCCAACGAGGCACTAATCACTCGTGTGTCTCAGTATAAAAATGGATTTGTAAACTAATATAAGGTAGGATGAAGATCTTATGTGGCTTACACTGTATAGCACTGTTTAAATTTCATGAAATATTTCGAAGATGATAAGTACAACAATTTTTATACGAACATGTGAGTTATTTTAATTTTTTTTCCTGTATATTGAATCACTGTTATGCTTTCAAGTGCCATACTTTAAATTCTCTACCCAAATCATGATTCTATTAGCAAATTTTGATCAATATTATATTTGCTAGATTTTATGGAAATTTTGTTTGCAATTAAAACTGGAAATGGGCAAAAACTGGTCTTTTTCAAAAACAATTTTACTTGACTATCACTGACTATTTGTGTGTCTCAGTTGTTAGCAAAATAAAGTCATTGCACAAATTGATGATTTGTCTCTGACTTTAAACAAATTAAATATTTGCAATAACCTTAGGACAGCAACTGTATGGAATTGCTCGGATCCATTTTGGGGTGAAGAATACTCATTTAGCTTATCATCAAACTTTGTTCAAACTCTCTCATTTTATGTTTATGATGAAGATGTTTACTTGTAAGTTTCTTAGTTTGTTCATCAGCTTTAAATGCATTAAAATTGACAATTTGACTTGAACTTTGCCATAAAGTTCTTTCATTGCATGCAATTTTAGTGGCGATAATATAATTGGAAAAGTTGCACTTTCTCGGCAAGATATGTTATCTTTGAGCCCAAACAGTGGGGAGGTATGGTACACATTGAATCAAGTTGATAATGTGTCTGAAGTCCATGGAGAACTACACCTAAAGATCTTAGCAACTCGAATTGTGAGTGTTAAAGACTCTACACTATTTCTATAGTAAATGTGAATTTCTATAGTAAATGTGAAATTTGTATTGGTGAATTCAAAATTCATTTTTGTTCAGAGTGAAAAACAAACCAGCATTAGTGTTCAAGTTGTGGAAGCCAGGTTAGTTATATATAATGTATAAAAAAATGACAAATTTGCCTGACATTTTTTTAAAATGGTAATTTTATTTTGTCTGGTTTATTTTTTTGTAGAAATCTCGGAATGAAACGAAAGCATGTTTCTGACCCATTTGTGAAAATCCGTTTGAAATCTAAGCATGAAGGTGGAAATGAAACAAGACCAAGGTCAGAAACCATGGATACTAAAGAACAAAGAATACAGACAAGTGTAAGCTTGTGTAAGCTAATACAAGTGAAGGCTGCCATTAAAGCAACACTGTTTTTTCATATATTTTAGGTGAGAAGAACAAGTTGTCCATTCTGGAATTCCTCTATTGTATTAATTTGTACAACTCCTTTAAGTGAACAATATATTTGTGCCGAGGTTTATGACAAAGAAAGAGTAATACAGAATTTTCTTATTGGTGAGGTATGATTGAAACAGTTGTCCTTCTGCTTTTTTTGACTGGCTCGTTAATATTCTGTTGATACATTTCAATGTTATCATTGAATATGTTAAGGTGATGTTGGATTTGGGCACCATTGTTATTGATGAAATGGTTGACCAGTGGTACAGACTTACTCCAAGCAACATGATCAAATCAAAGAATGATCTAAAGAAGTGAGTTAAGTTTGTAGTATCACAAAATTAATTTAAGGTGTTTTTTTATGTTAATTGACTTGTGTAAAGTATGTTTTTTAAGGAAAATGCAATGTTTATGGAGCTTTAGCCCGGAATGATTGTTTTAATTACATGGGCAGCTCACCTCCATTATAGCTCAGGATAAAGGGGTAGTTCACCTCCATTATAGCTCAAGATAAAGGGGGTAGTTCACCTCCATTATAGCTCAGGATAAAGGGGGTAGTTCACCTCCATTATAGCTCAGGATAAAGGGGGCAGTTCACCTCCATTATAGCTCAGGATAAAGGGGGCAGTTCACCTCCATTATAGCTCAGGATAAAGGGGGTTCACCTCCATTATAGCTCAGGATAAAGGGGGCAGTTCACCTCCATTATAGCTCAGGATAAAGGGGGTAGTTCACCTCCATTATAGCTCAGGATAAGGGGGTAGTTCACCTCCATTATAGCTCAGGATAAAGGGGGCAGTTCACCTCCATTATAGCTCAGGATAAAGGGGGTAGTTCACCTCCATTATAGCTCAGGATAAAGGGGGGTAGTTCACTTCCATTATAGCTTAGGATAAAGGGGGGGTAGTTCACCTCCATTATAGCTCAGGATAAAGGGGGAGTGGCCAAATGTGGAAATTGCTCAACCAAATTACCAAAGATTGACTTGTTATCTACCTAAAACATTAACACTCTCTTTCATTAAGTTATTCCTTTTTTGTCAACATTTTTTAGGAAAGATCTTGGCAAGATACGACTGAAAATTGGATTGCTTGAAGAAACTATTCTTCCATTGAAATGTTATATTCCTTTGGTTAATCTCTTAATGGATACAGTGAAGACATCGTATGAAAATGTCAATGTTTTGAGCCTGCTTGAGCAAGTGATGACGGCTGATCGTACATCGATTGGGCGATCACTTGTAAAGCTGTATCTTAGTCAAGGAATGATAGTTGATCTCCTTGATTTATTGACAAAGACAGAGGTTATGAACACAGGTTTGTTTACTTTATATATTTATTATAAACAACAATATGGTGACATGGTTTAAATGATTTGAAATTTTCATTTCAACAGAGACATTAAACACTTTGTTTCGTGGAAATTCTTTGGCAACAAAAGCTCTTGATGAATTCATGAAGGTATATTGAGTAAATCATTTGTTGTAGCGATGATAATTTTTATAAAAAATATATTGAATAATTGTGTGTTGTTCGTGACAGGTTATTGGATTACCATATTTACTGGAAACTTTAAAACCAATAATTGATAAGATTTATAAAGAAAAACGATATTGTGAAATAGACCCAAACAAAATTGATCGAACCATGATGAGGTTTCTATTATTGATATTTTATTCAATTGATCAACTAGTAGTAAAAAACACATGGCAAATGTAAGTTGTTGTTCTAGGAGACGAAGTATATTTCAAATAGATGATGCTGCTGTTCGTCAGAGGAGTGTTACATATTTAAAGTTGAATCTTATGGCAATTTTAAATGCCATACTTCATTCTAAAGACAATTGTCCTTACATCATGAAACAAGTATTTAGAAATCTCTACCATAATGCCGCACAGAGGTTCACAGAAAATGAAGAGGTGAAATACATAACATATTATTCTTAAAATTGTATGCCCCTTCCTTATTACAACACAAAGTTTCCTTTTTAGAATGGAAAGTATGTGGCGATCAGCTCATTCTTATTTTTGCGTTTCTTCGTCCCAGCTATTCTCAATCCTAAATTATTTGGCGTTGCAGAAAATCATCCTGATAAAGTTGTTTCACGAACACTTACTTTATTAGCAAAAGTAAGTTACTGCTTTAGTAGTTGACCTAAATTTTCTTCTGCTTTGTACATTTCATTTCATTCTGCGGTGTTTTTGAGTTAAATCTATGACAGAAGATGTCTGAGCCAAAACTGTAAACTTGATATTGTACTATTTCACCAAAAAGAACAGGCAGAAACAAATAAAACTCTAATATAAATGACTTAGTTGAGTTCAACATTCAACCAATTGTAAGACAAAATTAATGAATAAGATCCTCTGTAAATCCTTGCTTCTAAGACAAAATAGTATTTGATATGAAGCTTAAAGAAATGGCTACAGAAGAAAGCTACAGAAAATGATTGAGACAATACTTATTTAAAAGCCAGGTTATGTTTAACATGTTAAACTTTGGTTGTTTTGTTCAGGTTCTTCAAAGTATTGGTAATTTCAATCCCTGTGTTGTAAAAGAACCATGGATGATGCCATTCTCAGATTTCATAGAAGAAAATGCAGCAAAATTGAAAACATTTATTGACAATTTGGTTGGAATACCTGACAACAGTTGGTCATCTTTCTTTGTTGTTTTTACCAAACTGTAACGTTTTTGATATAACAGTTGGTCATCTTTCTTCGTTGTTTTTACCAAACTGTAATGTTTTTGACATAACAGTTGGTCATCTTTCTTTGTGTTTATCAGTGTCTACTAACTATTTTGTTTTTGCTTGCCGCTACTTCATAGGAAGAGAAAGTTTGAGGTCGGAGACTCCTTTATTGATTAAAGAAGGACAACTAAAAAAATGCAAACTTGGTGGAAAATTAAACACTTTTCAGTGGAAGAAATATACTTTCTCTATATTCGGCGATAGTATTCACTACAGCAAAAAATATGATTCTCAGGTACCTATTTTAGCATCATTTGTAGATAGCATGTTTAATTCTGTATGAAGTGATAAAATGCTAGTGACAAGATCTGTTATTTCTGTTAATGTTTTCCAGACACGGAAATTTCTCATGGCATCACGCTTAATCGCAGTAGAACAAGTTGAAGATATTGTTTTTGACAAGTCAAATGTCTTTCAAGTTATTATGAAGAATTCTGCAGAAGATGGGGGGAGAGATATTCATTATTTGCTTGCAAAGGTATGCCATAAATTCCTGAATGGTCAATCGTAAATTATTGTAATTATGGAATAACAAAAAAATCTTGATTTTTTCTTATTGAGTATTTGAACTTTTAAGCATTTCTTTTATTGTTCTTATTAAAATATGTCCCTTTGTTTCATCAGGATGTTAAAGAAATGAATCAGTGGATTTCTGCAATTAGACGAATTATTCCTTCTGAAAATAAACCCATGGATGAATATAAAAAATACCATCGAGGAATTTTTAATGGACAGTATTGGAATTGCTGTAAATCACCATTACAGAAAGGTAAGAGAAAAAAATGTCCAAAACTGAAATGATAAGTGGGAGGTATTGATATATTCAGTTTTCCCCGATTCATGTTACTAAAGGCAAACTGACATCATCACACTGTATGGATTGTTTTCACAAATCCATCAGCTTCAGGCCAGACAAATGTTTACAAAGTCAACTGTTTCTTTGTAGACTCAGGTTGCTCTCTAATACATAGTATGGCCAGTCTTAATGACTATCAGGATCCGGTATTTCCTGAGCAACAAGCCCAGATTATTTATAAGCAATTTTTACTTGGTCGTGAAAAACTTAAGGATATCTTGATTGAACATGTACGTTTGCAAAACCAACTACCTGATCTCACTAAGGATGAAATATTAAGCAGAATCTACGATGGTGGATGGAGAGTAAGCAGTGATAGTGGATGTGATATGGAAAATGATGAGGAAGGATTGTTAACCTGTGATTTTTCCATGGACAATGTTGCTAGAACTATAGTGAATGTTTTATCAATAGTGGATGTGTTAGAATTGAAACATCGTGAACACATGTCAGAGGACTATGAAAAAGATTCTATTGAGTCTGAGGATGAGGTTTTCTCGTCGTGTCTTGCACCAACATTTAAGGAGAAAAGAAACAGTCTACCTGATACTACAAAATATCAATGATATCAACAGGAATGAAATTAATGAATTTCTTGTCAATCCCAGTTACCCAATCAACAATGCTATATCATGCCAAATGGTAAAATATCCTGTTGAACCTGCCTATCTTACCACTCCTCAAATGATCCCTGTTACCCATTAAGGTACAAGTTTAATCTTGTGTATAACTTGACATCCATATTACCAACCAAACAACAACTATGTAACAATGTGACATTAATACTTCAACACACTGTGTACATGTGAACTGTGATATAAATTTGAATCAAGGTAAATATTACTTAATGTGAAATGTTAAAGATTTCTGATTTCAAAAATGGCAACCAATGTTGCACAAATTAATGACATATTCATGACTAAAATTTATTCTGAAGTTTTCCTATTCATTTCACTGTTTACTATTGATGTTGGAGTCATCTGATATAAAATAAAAGTCTATCAGTAAGCTAAAGGAGCAGTGTTTGCCAGTCGGCGCATTCTCCTGAAAAAAGATTTAAATAAACCATCACTTTGGATTCTCTCATCATAGTTTAAAATTTATAGACATAATAACAATGCATCATACCTTGTGTTTCGATCCTGGTCCCTTAATTTCTTTTCCATCTCAGCATCTGTTAAAGTCTCTAAGTATGGACACCAGTTGTCAACATCCTGAGGAGTGCGTATGGCAGCTTCTACAGTTGGTAGAGGTGTCTCACTAAATGCATATGTCTTGTTATACCAGCTAAGTTGACCACGAATGTGATAAGCTATCGCTGTAACAAACTCTCCACCCAAGCCAAGGTCTGTACATAAACTTAATGCAAATTGTTCAGGACTATTTTGTGAATCTGATAAATCCCATTCAACTTGATCAACCAAAGATATGTTACCAACATGGACATTAAGCTATAAAAAAATAATATTCAATAATGGACAACCTAACCATCATAACCAACAGAAGAAAATTACTAACCTTAATGATAACCCTTTGATCAGTCTGTTTATCCAGAGTGATCTCTGACTCAGTTGTGTATTGTTTTACTTGATTCCTAATTGCCTGAGCAATGGCTGGCACAAACTGCATTGGTGATAGATCAAGATCGTCACATAAAACCTCAGCAAATGTTTCTGGTGTGATCAAAGTTTCTACAAACAAAGTAAGTTGATTATTTTCTGAAAGGTAAAAGACTATTTAAATTATATGTACCATTTTTGTTCCAAGTAAAGCAATCCCTGAGTTTTTGACCTTCAATGTCTATATCAAGTCTAATAGGGACAAGATCCTCATCCTTGTTGGCAGCATCATGTATGGCTGCCATGTTATGATTATCATAACTACAATAAAGAGAAATTAGTTTTTTAATTGTTACTTTATGACTATATAATAAGATTTGAAGTATCTTTTACAGCGATAGACAACAATTAGAACGTAGTAAAAGTAGCAATTACTGCGTTGATACAAATTATTGTGCCATTACGTCAAAATTATATACTATCTATACCAAGTAGGAAATGATTTAATTCTCTTGGGTCCAATTCTGGTACGACTAATTGGTGTGCAACATGGTACAGCATCCAAATGAAACGAGGTGCTGGGCAAGAGACTTTGCGGTAACCAATTATTAGCACCACGTTTTGCTTTACCTCCTACAGATTTATCGCGCAAATTTTCCGAAATCTCAGCGATTGTCTTATATTTTTCATCGTGTCCTTCAAGTATTTCGTCAACTTCCGAAGCTTTTACTAATGTAACGTTTGTTGCAAGAGTTGTATGTCCTATTCCCAGTGAAACGATCTTCTTTCTTTCGTCTAATGTCGCCATTCGACGCCATAAACTCGGGTATCTTTTATACAAAGAACCACGAAACATACGAACATAATTTCCAACCTCGCTACCTATCATGAAATGTTCACCTGTGTCATCTAAAGGGAACGACTGAGGTTTTTGGCCGTAAGTTCGTAATGCCATTTTGGATTATTTCATACAAATTTCTATAACTCCTTGTTTTTAGAACGAAGTGGCGGCTCATGTACAATTAGAACAAGATCAGCGGTAAATATTGGTAAACAGTTAATGTTCTGGTTAATGTGTGTTAAGGCGCGTGAGCATCACGTGCTCTCCCACGAACTTAAGCCTGTCAATCATTTGTGTCGTAGACCGTTACTGGGGTGGGTGGGTACGGAAAGAATATTCTGAAATAAAACTGTATTTTTTAAAAGGGAAAATAGCCTCTGTATACTTTTTTAATCAATATATCAAAGCGAGTCAGTATTTCAAACTAAAAAATATATAACAATTCAATGATCGGGGAAAATTTAACATCTTACCGAGTAAAAGGCATAATTTTTTGTCTTGTTGTCTGCCTTTGAAAAATGTTCGTCTTCAGATGAATAGGTGTTGTAAGATTTCCTACAGCGTTAAGATGAATTCCCGACGTTTGCCCAAAGGCTTGTAACTGAATCATGGCCGGTGAAGAAACGCTTATTGGAGTTGATAAACCTGTTTTATAAAATGTTGTTTTTGGAGGTCGACCTGGTGGTCTTTTAGGACTTGAAATTGCCGACGATGGTTTTATTTTTCCTTTCAGAATATCTTCAACTTCATTTGCTTTTACCAGCAAAATGTTGGCGTTGGATAAATGGCTGTACGAAATATCAACCTTGGATAGAAGTCGTCTTTCTTCTGGTGTTATGCTTCGCTTCCATAAAGTAGGAAAACGTTTATATAAAGCCCCTTTAACTAGTTTCATAAAATGACCAACCTGGCTGCCTATCATATATTGTTCCCCATCATCTCGAAATTTAAAAATGATTGGTTTTTCATTTTTTACAATGACCGCCTTTCCAATCTCGTCCGCCATGTTGAATCAATGAAATGAAAGGAGCGAACATGGCGGAAAAGGGAATTTTTAAAAATGATCTTCCAACTTGTCTTGTTTGTGTTTGAAAGTTTTGGTCAGATAAGTACGCTACTATTCTTCAACTTTTGAATACAGAAATCAGTTTCCTTCGCAAGAAACTGAAATTCTTAAAATTTTTAGAAAATAAAATGCGCGCGTGTGCCACGATAATTAGTGATGTCATTAAATAAACATTGTAATGCTGTATAAACGAATTCATCAAAGAAACTTTACGAAATTTAAAAAAAACTATGGAGGATGCTGGGTGATCTGTGGTGTTGCATCGACTTCATGAGTGGAAAGTCGAAAAACAAATCTATGAGTTTCTCGGACATTTCTTCCGAGAAACCACCAATCACGATCGAGGAAATTGACTGCGAGAGAAGAGGATACAAATTGACTCATAGAACATTAGGCACTGGAGCGTATGCCAAAGTAAAACTTGCTTATGTTTCTCAAAACAAGAAAGCCAAACATTCTTATTTAAGATCGGATTTAGATAGTAAAGATGACAATAGGGTAAGGATGGAATCATAGTATTTCGTAGTATGCTGATGAACAACAGTACTGATTGAAATTTTATCTTTTAGGTTGCGATCAAAATAATATCGAAAAAGAATGCACCAGCTGAATATTTGGAGAAATTTATGCCACGCGAAATAGATGCTTTGAATGCTACTTGTCGACATCGTAATGTGGTAAAGTCAGTTATCAATGAATGATGAAAGATAAATCTTCTCTCGTCAGTCTACTTTTTATTCTTAGATTACATTGTACGAGACTTTTCGTTCGGAAACGAAGATTTATTTAGTTATGGAGTATGCTGTGAAAGGAGACTTGCTTGAGTTTATTAATTCAAAGACAAGAAAAGGAGAACCATTGACTGAAGAAAAAGCAAAATTTTTGTTTCGTCAACTTGTTTTAGGGATAGCGCATTGTCATCAAAGAAACGTTGTTCATCGGTGAGCAAAAATTACTTACATGTACAGTATATATATGGTGTTTTATAATATTGTATTTTCTATGCTTTTTTTTTACAGTGAAAAATATTTCTTTGTTTTTTAGCGATTTAAAATGTGAAAACGTTTTACTTGACGAAAAAGATTTGATTAAAGTTACTGATTTTGGATTCGCCACAAGATATCCAACGAGTAAATGTAAATTCCTCGACACTTTCTGTGGCAGTTACGCTTACGCTGCCCCCGAAATACTCTCTGCTAGTAAATATGATGGTAAATTGGCAGATATATGGAGTTTGTAAGTTTTTAATGATGAATCCTTTGGTTGACAATTGATCATTATATTTTGGTTATGCTGAATGCTAATCATTCAAAGAAATTTTGTTTTAACATGCACTTTGTGTGTTCATATCATAACTTTCACCAAACATAAGACTCACAATCATTTACACTTGATAACTTTACTCAGTTGATATATTTACACGTGATAACTTTACTCAGTTGATATATTTACACGTGATAACTTTACTCAGTTGATATATTTACATGTTATAACTTTACTCTGTAGATATACCCACCAGTAAACACTATAAGCATCAATTTACATGCATTTAAAATAAACGACAAGATTTTTTATCATAAACATGTTTCGACTTAAAAATTTTTGTCGTTTATTTTAAATGCATAATCATTGTGGTGCTTCTGAGATCATACAGAAAGATCAGTTTACAAATATGTTTTTCATTTTAGAGGAGTAATTTTATTTGCAATGACATGCGGTCGACTACCATATAACGATAAGAGTTTAAAACATCTAATTGAACAAACGAAAAAAAAAGTGGCATTTCCTGAAAAACTCAATTTATCGCTAGGTAGCTAACTTGTGCTGTTTGAACATGAACCTTCGTTCAATATTTTAGTGATGATATACTTTTTTTAAATAGAACTTCGAGACTTGATTGATGGGATTCTGGTTTATGATCCATGCTGTCGAATGTCGCTACATGATATATTATCTCATCCTTGGTTAGTCATGGTTAAATTACCGGAACAGGTAATATTTGAAGAATCACATAAAATATAAATTAAAATGGAGCAATTTTAAAGGTTTCAGTTTAGCTTCTTCATTTTAGTCTTTACGAAACACGCAATTTTACTTTGCAGTGTTCAAAAATGAATAAGTTTAGTTATAACCATTAAATGATCTCATTTTAAGGCTTATAATTCGTTATCGAATTTCTCCCATACTCATGTAGAATATCAGTGAGTTTTTTAGCATTTTCCTTTTCTATACATTTTATAGACAATGACAAGTGTGTTAAGTTTAGAAAAAAACTTTGATGATGTACGAACATTATTTAAATCTGGAACAATCACATTGGATAAACGACCCAGACTTCTTGGTGTTGTGCGACCACAGAAAAAATCCACCCAAAGCCCTATACCACCATCACCTGTTCAATTTTTGGGTATGTGTGTATGTAAGAGATTTTGTCGTGGGAGTTTTACAGAAGGCTTGTTTACATGAGCCGTATAGAAAAGTCTAACCTTCTCGGTAGACAGAGAGGCCAGGGTTTTTTTTTATCTCTTTAGAGTTCATATAAACAAACCCTAAATAAGTGTTTAGTGAGTTACATTCTTCGAAATTCCCACAAAAGAAGTTCTGTTTTTTAGTTTCACCACAAAACCAAAACTCAACTCGTAAATCAGCAATCCCTTCAGGCACATGGAGCCCACTTTCTAGCACACCTGAGCCAGGTCACGCAAGAAAGAAAACACAAAATAAAAACAAGTATAATTTGGCGAAACTGTTAATTACCACGGACTTAGAGCGACCTGAAACCTCCTGCAAGTTACATAAAATTACACCTGCAGAAATACTGCAGAAAGCGATTACTTCGTACCAGACTCCTGGGTCTGGCGCAGTAAGTCGACCGAGGACTGAAGCTAGTGCTTCACGAGAATATGGAACGACGTCAGCAACACAAGATGGTGGTGGAAATAACTACGGAGACACAACTAGTGAGAGGAGTATTAAAACTACACAAACTCTGTACAGATGCAACAAACCTAGAGGTGCAACAAAACAGTCTTGTGAGAGTGCTGAGATAGATTTAAAACAAGGTAAAGGTTTGATATTATAGTAAATGAGAAACACGGTATTTCAACTTAACAGCATATATTTCATTACAGGGCACTTACAAAATACAAAATACTTTAGTCACAAAGATAATTACAACTTTCCTCCAGTTTCTGATCGAGAGGTAAGTTACAATCATAAGTCACGTGTAACTACGTCACATCAACGATCTTCAGCGTGGAGAAGCTCAAATGTGTCGTGTTTCTCGCGGGATAAAACAAAGATATCTACACAATCTAGTGGAAAAGCAGGTCACGAGAAATATTGCAAGACTGGAAGTCAAATTAATGGTAGTTTAAGAAAAACTTACGCAACAGTGTCTCATCCTAAACAATTAATGTCAAAACTTACTATACGTGCTATAAAATAAGTTGTTTTTTTTTAATTAGAGAAATTAGAATGTCTATTTTGGTGTTATCGATATTTTATCTATCTTAATATAAGTAGTTTTACTGAAATAGCTCTACTAGTGTGAGTGAACGTCTCCCTTCACCATCGTAGAAGGAAGAAATGACGATATCTTGTTTCAGATATATTTTGAAATTTTATGACGTGAATAAAAACTTCACTAAAGCACGACGTTGTCAAAACAAAGTAGAATCAATAATGATTACTCCCTGAGTATCTTTTGACAAAATAAAAAACTCAAGCACCAACAATGAGATAAGTGATGACATGTTTCAACTCATGAATTAACCTACGAAAAAATACCACAATTCACTTTGTTGCTAATGATTGATGCTGAACAAGTCATCATATTTGTTTTTTTTTGGATCATAACTTTAGGTAAGAATATACAACCTTTAAAACCAGAAACGTCAGCTATAAACAATTCTTTTGTAATTTCTAGTAACAACGTTGATGATAAAATGTATTGGTCAAGAATTAAAAAGTGCCTGGATGATAAACTGTTTTCCATTCAGGTTTGTGATGATAAATCTTATGGAGCTAGAAAATTATCAATGTCTTTTTATGGTTCTGCATTGAAATAATGTTTTTTCCTGTCTTTACGTTGATTATGATACAAATTAATTTGAAAAAGATATATATGGAAATCATCTGATGCATGTTTGGTTGCGTAGTAACCTTAGTTACTCGTATCTGCTTGCGACAAACTTTTGAACTTGAAATGGTAGACCATTACGTCATTATCACGACGTCATTGCTCTTTGATAAGATCTGTTTAAGTAATTACTTGACAACGACGTTATTCGTCTCATAGTTCTCCTCGAATCTTGATAGTTCGAATACTTTTCTTCGTTCTTTTAGTTTTTTTTTCTAGTATTCCTTCCCTACAAACGCAAAAAGATAATTTTCTTCGTTCTCTTAATTTTTTTTTCTAGTATTCCTTCCCTACAAACGCAAAAAGATAATTAATTTTTTGGCACTTTAAATAATCAGTAGAAGTTAGTGGTTCAACGTATTACATTACTTTATGATATTTCTCAAAGAGTAAAACCCCGCTTTCCGGTAGTCATTGAGCTTTTCTTTTAAGATCTTAAACGAAACGCGATACCTCCTAGTGACGATAACAATGAGGTCACAAATAAAGTCCTTTGACAATATTTTTACGTTTCAACGACACATATGCCATGAAATGACTTCTAAAGAAGGCAAGTATCTTTTTATTTTCCAAGTAATTTCGCTGAAAATCTTTTGTCGTCAATTCCTAATTTTGTTATAGTTGACAAATGTTGTGCTTGTAAATTTCCAATCAAGAATAATTTACATATAGCGCTTGGTCTCAAATGGCATCGAAATTGTTTCAGGTTTGTAATCTCCTTAGATTATCTTTCCTTCTTGAATGAAATATATTATAAACATTTCGGTTTAGGTGTTCTGAATGTCTGTGCACTGATCCTTCGCATTACATAGCAAGCGATAATGTGTTGTATTGTAAGAAAGATTATGTTTTGAAATTTGGCGAGCATTGTCAACGCTGTAAAGAACAAATCACAGGTCCTGTCATGGTAAGATGATGACACGAGTTTCTATTCTCATGTTGGCCACAATAATTTACTTTATATGCTGTGACTGTGTGTATGCATTAATGTAATTTATTCACTCGTTTACTCATCATTCAAAAATCACGATACTTAAAAAATAGTTGGCCAACTGGCCAAAATATTACAGACCAATTAAATGTATGAGTCATCTTCAATATTAACACGTATCGATTCAGTCCAATATTATTATATTATGAAAATATTCATTAAAATGTCTTATTTCACATTGTGTTTTGAAACAAATTACATTGTACATTGTTGTCAATAGAAGGGTATATGCCATTTTACGTGAAGATGGTGATTTCTTATGGTGCCGTAAAATAAACGGTTTTGATTAACAACACAAAGTATTTTCAACTTAGGCACACGACTATTTTTTATCGAAGTTTTTAAAGTACTTCATTAAATGAATATCTCATAAATTGTCATTGCTATAAACAGCTGGTTCTTCAAATGACTGTCATTATTTTACAACCTCATCGAGTAGGAGGTAAATGATTATATAAACCTTTGAAAGCATTGATTCTCAATCAGCTTAAAGTTTTCAAGATTGAAATGATTTTACAATTAATTTACCAAACTTTTTGATATAATTTCCTTTGTTTTAAATGTTGATTATTTTTATGTAATTTACATTAAATTTGCATAGTTTATAGTTTGTTCCCCTGCCATTAATTACATCATTGAACATTCTATTGGCATGTTAATATTCTCGTGTCTTAACGAAGCTTTGCCGTAAATCTTTACTCTCTATGACTCTATCTTTTCTAATGATTCATTCAATGGTTTTAGGTTGCTGGAGATCAAAAATATCATACAGAATGTTTTGTTTGTACGAAATGTTTGAAGTTTATTGGTTATGACGACGACTATATGTTAGTTGAAAGACATAATTTGTATTGGTGAGATTTTTTTGCTTTCTTTACTTTTATACATGTACTCATCTTCACTTTATTATCGTGTTATATTTTTACGCCATTCTGTTCTGATTTTATTTCGCCAAGCCAACGACCAAACACAATGAAACATTGTGAAATCTAAAAATGCTTACTATATGAATTGATAATTAGCGTCCATACTCCATACTTGATGCATTTGCTCCTTTAATCTCATATTTATTAACAAAATAACTTCATACACATAACTTTACAGCTCGCTGTAGAAAAAAGTCTTATCGTTTATGTTATTATTGTGAACTTTGTTTGACGTTCACTTTTTATTGAACAAATGTCTTGCTGTTCAACACAATAGTATTTTTGAAATACTTTAATTTTTAATAGCTTGTCCTTAATCTATGACTTCAATCTTTATGTTGAATATACGTGTTTTGATATTTAAGTTACCAACATCCATACTCACACATAAGCTTCAACTATTTCCTGTACGTTTTGCTTACGGAATAAGATTTTTAATTCGTAATGATTAAATTCGATCAATGATTATCTATGTAAAATAGTTCATACATTTATATATACAATTTTATAGATAGGAATGAACGTGACCTCGAAGACGCAAATTAAGATCGATCTTTTTTATTTTAGTAATGACTGCTACAAGAGGTCGGTTCTACCAGCGATAAGTACTCCTGTTGGTAAACTTGGACACTGCCATACCATTCAACATATAAATCTTACACCAACTCCAGTTGGAAGACGTAAATTTTCCGTTCTGATAGAGAAAGCAAACGACATTCATAAGTTTTTACGTTCAGCCAACCCGATCATCGCTCAAAACGGAGAACGACGAAGCTACATCGCCATTGACAAGTAGATAATTTTGCAAGTTGTTGATTTGATAATGCATGACCATCATGGTTGGTATTAATGGTTAAAAAAGATTATATTTGTACTTAGCGTGGATGCCAGTAGTGAATTAAAAGCTCGAGGCGTGCAAAGTGGAGATAAAGTTCTTGAGGTCAATAATATAATGGTTACTGATGCAACTGTTGATAAGGTAAACACTGGTTCATGTCTTGTTCTTCTACTTATTGCTTTTACCCATGGATCAATGATTAACCAGACAGATGTTTTTAACATTGTCCATCTCTGTTAAGTCTAGGAAGTTGTTTCGAGAGATTCAGTAGGAATTATCTCGTATGAATATATGTATGTATATTTATATTTATTGTGGTGACTTATTGTTTGTATTTTATTTATATAGCTTTCTCATATAATCTCAAATCCACAACGCGTACAAACACTTACGATAGAACGTAATAATGCAGTGAAGCAGCCCTTTAACTCGGACATAAAAATCTCGAAGAAAAAAGAAGTCTTGCCTTCAGCCATTTTGAGATCTCCTGTTGATCGTCAGTCATCGTTGGATCTCATAGGTAGCCCTGATTACGACCAAAAATACAAAAAACATTTAATGCCTTGGGATGAAGACACTGAGGACGGTTATGTTATAAACGGACAACGAAAAACACGGAAAAAACCTGAGAGGGCTAATTCCCTTCCACGAAGGTTGGTTGAAGTTATTTTGTTTGCTAATAGATTATTTTTTCAATGGAAAGAATTTAAATTTCTTCGTATTGTGGTACAGCTGAAAATAGTCGTTAATAGCTACTTTTTAAATTTCACATAAATAAGAACCGCTTAAGTAGCTATATATGTATGTTTTCGTAAATGTTATTATCAATTGTACTTTTGTTGGAAATCGACATGAAAAAGCATTGAAAATTAAACTTCGAAGATCGTCAATCGAATTTTGACAAGTTCTTGTTGATTGATGTTACACAAGGAAAGATCATAGGACGACATCAGAATAGGTCGTCAAACATCACATTAGCTTTAAAATGTTTTATCGTCAAACATTTCAGTTTCACTAAATTGAAGACGATCCCAACAGGCTTTCATGGATAAGTTTTCCTGGCATTGTAAATACATGATTTTTGATTTAGGACATTCACTTACATTAACAAAAAAAGCCACTTAAATAATGAAATATATCATCAGGACGTGTTTTGACCAAGTCATTTAATGAAGAGGATTTAGAAATCTTCTCAATCTCAATCATTTTCTCTCTCTATTTAGTAATTCAACAGACAACAATAATGTTATGAAGTGTAACTCTGTCTTGCATCGCTCACAGTCGGTCAGGACATCAGTCGGACAGTAAGACATTATTTGGTCGATTTTTTACATATTAGAAATCATTGATTGGTAAAACATGTTCATTGTATGTAGGGTTTTTCGTCCTTGTGACCTTATACTTGGCGAGGTTATTGGTAAAGGTTTCTTTGGTCAAGTTAGTAAGGTATTTTCTTTATTAACTACTTCATGTTATTCTTACGTGTGCGATGAAATTTATCGTTGTATTTATTGATTTATTTCTACATTTATGTCAATGATAATTTCTAAAATAGTTTTACAATCATCATTGCTTAATGTTATTTTGTCAAGGTTGTGCATCGAGGAACTGGAAAAGTTATGGTGTTAAAGGAGTTAGTAAGATGTGACGTAGCAGCTCAAAAACAGTTTGTCAAAGAGGTATCATTTTAATAACTCTGACTTCTTGGAAAGTTGACTGTTTTTCAAATAATCCTCGGCACTATTTTTATGTTTCAGGTAACTCTTCTTAAAACTCTTGATCATCCAAACGTGTTAAAATTTATTGGAATTTTGTATAAGAACAAAGTTCTCAGTTTTATCGCAGGTATGTCGTTAACAGGCTTGACGTCACTGACACCGGAATAACTTACTAATTAAAATATTTACTTCTAAATGCATAAAATATATTAAATATTTAGAATATGTTGAATATTTAGAATACATTGCTGGAGGAACGTTGCGAGGGATCTTAAAGGATCAAACACGAAATTTATCATGGTCACAAAGAGTGAAATTTGCCAAAGATATTGCCTTGGGAATGGTGAGATTTGTTTTGCGATCGTTAAAAATTATTTCTATTTTTAACATGATGCAAAGAATAGTATATTGATATTTATGTTTGTTTTTTCAGGATTATCTTCATAAAATGAATATCATCCATAGAGATCTCAAGTCCAAGAATTGTTTGGTCAGAAAAGATGAGGTATGTAGGAGTAAAGGTCCACATTTGTACATACATTGTAAGGGTTAAGGAGGGTATGAGGTGGATCAGAAGAGGTAAACGAGTGGGGGTTTCTTGTTTGTTTGTCTTTGACGTTGTTAACCTTATATTGTAACCATTGATTGTAACATCTTATTTATGTTGTTTTGAACGGGGATTCACAGGGATTTACATGGGGATTCACAGGGATTTACATGAGGATTCACAGGGATTTACATGGGGATTCACAGGGAATTACATGAGGATTCACAGGGATTTACATGGGGATTCACGGGGATTAACATGAGGATTCACAGGGTTTTACATGGGGATTCACAGGGATTTACATGAGGATTCACAGGGATTTACATGGGGATTCACAGGATTTATGAGGATTCACAGGGATTTACATGGGGATTCACAGGGATCTACATGGGGATTCACAGGGATTTACATGGGATTCTCAGGGACTTACATGAGGATTCACAGGGACTTACGAGGATTCACAGGGTATGACTATTGTTGTCGCTGATTATGTTGTTTACATGGGGATTCACAGGGGATGACAATAGTTGTTGCTGATTTTGGTCTTGCGGGAATATTGAGCATTGACGAAGAAGAAAACGGTACTGTTCAGGATCAAAACAACAACGGAAACAAATCACTTACTCATGTTCAAACCCGTCATACGGCACCAAAAAAACGGTAAGGTTGATACAGTTTTTAAATAGTTTTGGAAAAATTTTTAAACATTATTCTCTTTTTGTAGTACGACAATGGTCGGCTCTCCCTATTGGATGGCACCCGAAATGCTTCACGGTATACTTGTGTTAACTAGTTTTTGTAAAAGTGTGGGGAATTAAGTAAACAAAACAATAGAGTTATTGTTGGGAGAAGGGGAAAAGTAAATTGGTATTATTATTGTTTATTAACTGTGAAAAATTGCATTTCAGGGAATGCGTATGACGAACGTTGATATTTTCTCCTTTGGTATAATCGTTTGTGAGGTAATGTTAGGGTTAGAGTTAGGATTAGGGTTAGGGTTAGAGTTAGGATTAGGGTTAGGGTTAGGATTAGGGTTAGGGTTAAGGTTATAGTTAGGGTTAGAGGTGGAGATTCACGTTTCCTTGTTGCTGTTTTTTTTTGTACGGAGCTAAACATTTAAACCGACAGCTTGCATTACAATCTAAGACGTGTTGTTGCTTTGATAAAAATTTGCCAACCTGCAATTTCAATTAATTTATATACATACGTTTATTTTGTGGTATTTATGCACTTTTTTATTCCAAGCTGGAAATCAGTATTGAAAATAGTGTTCTTGTGTTTTATTAAAATTTTTATCATCATCATTATGTACAGTCGTCGTTTCATCCTTTGCAGATCATCAGTAGAGTTAAAGCTAGTCCTGATTTTATTCCTCGTACTAAAGTATGTCATTGAAAATGTTTCTTGGATGCTTTATTTTTGATATTGTTTTTATTTGTGCTATTTGCTGATTGTTAGACCTTTGGTCTCGATGAGTCGTCTTTCGAAGAAAAATTTTGTTCCGACTGTCCAAAAGCTTTTTATCGTATTGCATGTTTATCCTGTGATATGAATCCCAGTGACAGGTCAGTATCAAGATATATATACGTCATAACATCCCTCATTATCAGTCTTTTTATCTTATATCCATACACCCTTCATTATCCATCTTCATCTGTTATGTCAAATATTTTGGACTTGTAATCTTTAACATCGACCTGAATGGATGAATGCACTTTTGTGTTTATGTTGAACTTATAAAACGAAGTTACTGCTACCAGAACGATGTTAAGAGATTTTTTAAAAATGTGTTAGGGGTCTTTAGTAGAAAAGTAAAATGATTTTCTTTTTTTAGGCCAACGTTTGCTTCTCTCAGTTATTGGTTAGAAGCTTTGTTAGTTCATCTTGAAGTAGGAATGACTTTACCTAATGACGTTTCCTCTGTTCTTTTATCATCAAAATCTAAAAAGAAGTAACACATAGAGAATTACTTTTATATGATTATTTTTTAAATATGAATTTTAGAAATCTTAATCTATACATTCGCAACACACATTTTACATTAACGAAAACATTCGATTAAATATTTTCTTTCATTTGTAGAGAACAGCTTTAGCTAACTTTACTCTTTTTCTAACCGGTTTTTTTTTCTTTACACATCAAAAATTCAAAGTTCAACAATTTCAGGCAAACACAGAAGTGCCGTTGTTAGAGACCTGTAATTATTTTCTCATGCGTGTCAAATGTGTTTATTTTGACGGAAAATGAAATATATTTTAGTAAGATTGGCTTTTTAGTGCTTTCTCAATGTGTCAACCTTGGATTCGTCGAATATGTTCGTGCTAATGAATATAAAAGAAAATTTTAAGAATTATTGAGATGTTTACAATCGAGAAACAGGTGTGTAGTATATCTATATTACTAAACTTCTACGTTAATTGTAATCCCTATATGTATTTGATATGAACAAATAATTTAACATGTTTCTTTTGTAAATGAAAAAATCTTTTTGGGAATATGTCGTTAACTTCATTAGACTTATTTGCTTCACAGATTTTAAAAACTCGTCCTTTCTCCAACATCGTTAATATTTTTCTTGTCATTGTAGGCCAAGCGTTAATCTCAGCATACGATGAGTGAATCTAAAGCTGTGAAAAAGATATTTTATTTCTTTCTATTGCTCTCATTTTCAAGTAGAATTATCATAATATGTTTTACGGACCTTAAAGAGACGCCCATGGGAAAAATCGTACAATTAAAAGCTAGAATATATCCTTATAAATGGGAATTTCGTACAGGATTTCTGTTTCTTCTCTTATTTATAGTTGTCTTAGCATTCATATCTGTGAAGAAAGAATTACATAGAATTAATATCACTCTGGCTATCTTAGTGAGTATTTTGATAATATGTGAGATAGCCTTGGCAGTGAAGAACTTAAATTGGCAAAATGAAAAATCTCAAGTCATTAAGACACAAGGCGATGGTAACAAAATACTTCAGTCTTACGGGTTTGATCCAGTGACATCACATATCATGGATTATGTTCAGATAAAATATTCATGTTGTGGTATTGTGGACTATCGTGATTGGTTTACTACAAACTGGGCAACACGTGCTGTGAGTATGCTACCAAATCTACTTTATGGTAACAAAGCACTGAAGTTTACTGTATGGTTATCTGGGAGTCTTTGGTGGACTAGAGTTGTTGATTTATAGTAAAATGTCTCACCAAACGTAAAATAACTGTTTGTTTTGTCCATTTTAGATGAAACAAAATGCAGTGCCTGCATCTTGTTGCAAAATTTCTGGACCAGGCTGTGGGGATGATCTTGACATCAAGGATCCATTCGAGAACATATTTGTACAAGGTTGTACACAACTTTTATACTTCAGTACGACTCGTATGTATGATTATTATGGTGTTGGAATGGCCATGTTATTTTTAAATTGGTGTTTAGTGTTTACATGTATTATATTAGCTTGTACAGTAACATATAGCAGTGGTATAAGTCGAGATCAGTTTTTCGCTGGTGAGAAGCCAGAGAAAAAAGAGGAAAAGAGTGATAACAACGCTTCAAATAAACATGGTAGTGTTGATAAGCGAGCAAAAACAAGCGTGAAAAGGACTGGTGACGAACTTGACTTTGCTGAGGAAAATAAGGCTCCAAATGGAGCGAGGAATTTATTAATAGATAAATCTGACGAACAAATTAATGTTGAAAATCTCAATTTACGTGACGATCTTTAGCAAATTATCAACAATATAGAAGTTGAATAATATTTCTTTCCACATTGACAAATTTGTCGCACATTTATTTGATTTCCATCATTACATCAAAATAATGTACATTTACACCAATTTCTTATAATACACCATCAATATAACGATAAACAATTTATTCTTTATTCGACAATACAAAATTCATTAAATTGTCTTGATAAGAAGAATTGTAAAATAAGATACCAATGATGATGGGATAACCAACAACAATATAAACTTCTTTTATTCACCATCATCCTCCATTATCCTTCGTTACCGTTCTCTATAAGATCTTCTATCGTCACTTTGGGTCCTGTGTAGTTCTACAAAAATATTAAATTTAAGTTAAAAAAACTCTTTATATCAGCATCGTGGATGTTGTGAACATCGACAAACCTGCGAATCACAGAAAAAATCTGGTGGACAAGGTATTTCTTTTAAATATCGCAAGTTACTGGAGAAAATAATAAACATTTGTTGTCGTTGAAAAATTCTAAAGTATCAACATATATGTATCACTCGCACCTTTCGTTTAAACATTTCTCACCTTGATTCTTCGTTGGTCAAACAACATTTCTTATAATATATGCAATCACGACCCTAAAACATAAAATTATCGCAACATCATGATATTTCACGACTACATAAAAATGAAAACGTTGGATTTGATAATACCTCGTCGCTAGAGTATGGTGGACCAAGAATATCAAGAAAAGCAGCTGGGCTGGAAAATGTTTGATGATAAGATAATTAAAGATAAAGAAAATGATTATATAAAGTGTCGTATCTTCTAAAGAGTTTCTTACCCGCTAACGGCTGAAATACTGTGTAAGTTACCATTACATGGTGTAACGGTACAAAGAACTGATTTACTATCAAATTGATGTTTCCCTTGATACAGAAATTTTTCATCTTCATCATAAATAAACAATATAAATAATAAAATTGTTGATTTCATCATAATAAAGAGGACAAATCATTTTCTCACATTCATCGTTTTTGGAAATTATTCCGTTTGTGTCCTGTTCGCTAGAATTAAAATCGTTCATTTGAATAAAACCTTTTTAACGTCACAAACAATAAAACAGTAATGTTATTGTTTTGTTGTAAAACATCGTCGTTTTGTATAGCGTATACATTAACAATTTAAAAAAACCTTTTCAAAGGACTGTACATTTCAACTTCAATTTGCCCATACAAAACTTTGCTAAAAATAAAAAAAATCGCGTGAATAGTTAAAGGTCAAAGGTTTATAACATAAGAGTTCAATGTTCCGCTTATGACTATATGACATATTGAAGTGAAATGTAAGATAATCCATGAGAAAAAAAATGAAAAACATTTCTGTACCAAAATCCATACATTCCAGGGTGATTGTGCAATGGCAGTCTGCATCCGTGATCCACAATAAATATGGCCATTGAAAAATATGAACAATCAATAATGTTTACATGCGTAACTGGAGCAAAGTGATGAACGAAAGATCTTCTTCTGGTGTTTGGTCTTGATAAATTCACATCGTTAACGGTGATGGTCGACATCTATCAACAAAACAAAACACAGTGAATAATCTTTCCAATTGTATAATAAAAAAACAAGAATTCAAGATATATTGGTACTTCAATTAAGAATAATGACACATAATATATTATATTGAATTTCTTTCGCTGAAACAGATCAAATAAAATTGGATAAATGTAATATAACAAAAAAAGAGGACATGATAATTCTTCTTGAGTGTAATTGTGGAATGTAATCTGAGTATTGACTTAAAATTTATATCAAAGATACAAATAAAAGCACGAAATACTATTTTTTACAGATAATATAAAAATAAAATGACTCGTAAAACTATAAGGCAAAGTTATAAATGTATATTTACTAATAGGGATAACATAAACATAGTGTATAATGGCGAACAAACCATCTCTTTTAATGTGTCTAAATTTTCCTTTGTTGGCGGTTTTTCAACACTTCTAAACGTCTTGAAAGCTTGTCTTGCCAGCTTTTGAATGTTAGCCATATCAACCATTCTTCAACCTTGAAATTTTCCCAACGACGTTCATCATTCTCAAACAAAACGTAGTAGTCTTTGATAACAAACCGGAAATTACAAGCCAGACCGGAAATCTCTTTTGCCTTACCCGTTCCCAGGCTGGCGCCATATTTTGAAGTTATTTTGCTTTTATTTTGGCGCAATTTGGCGGGAGAAGTCTTAACGGTGCTGAAAGTTTTGTGCGAAATTGTTTTTTTTCTGTTTAAAAATGCCAGTTCCTTTAACGGAAGGTGCGATTAAGGTAGGTAAATCATATAGCATCGCTTAGAATGGGTCAAAAAAACGTTTTGAGGCGAATCTGTGATGCTTTATTTATCAATATTTGTGTATGCTACAGTATGTACGATTTTTTACCAATAGTAAATGGAGTTGTAAATAATGAATGATCTTTGTTTTGCAGGAGATTATGATGAATCCTAACAATCTTCCCAAGAATCCTATTCTTCAGATTCTAGTAAGTTGCTTTTTGTGGAAGAATATCCTTATTGAAACAAATATAGATCACTATATTTGTTGTGATCAGAGAATACTTTGTGTAAACTTTAATGTTTCTTTAGGGACTTAAGAAAGTTGGTCAGGGGCAATCAAACCCAAATGATCGATACAGGTGTATTATTGTCTTGGTAACCATGGTTTTTACTATTCATATTACTAATTGATTTTAAACTATGTATTCATTCCTTCAGAATGGTTTTGTCTGATGGAATACATGCCCATACTTGTACGTTGTCAATATTTCATTATTTTTAATGTTTGTTGTTCATTTTAATGGATGATATATTATCAACATAACTTCTCCTCTTAGGTGCCATGTTGGCAACACAACTTAATCATATGGTTAATGAGAACGAGATAGAAGCAAAAGCTGTAATTCGTTTGGATAAATATATTTGCAATGTTATCCAAAGCACAAGGTATGGTTTTTAGTTTGTCTGTGTGTCATTTCCTTGTAGATATTTTCATATTCCTTTTGGTTGCTAGGAAAGTATTGATATTACTTGGTGTAAGTGTGATTCAAAAAGCATCAGCATCTGAACGGTATGGTGAGCCAACTCCATATGATGAATCGAAAATAAATACAGCAAATAAGCCTACTGTTCAAAAAAGTCCTGGTGAGTTATCTATAAACTAGTTCTATTTTTGAAGATGTAAGATGAAGATGTATCTTGCTAAGCAATTTGTTTTATTTTTTTTTTATAGTTAAAAAAGATCATTATACTTCAACAAGTCTTGGTAGCTCTCATTATGCGAAGTAAGTTTACAATATCAATAATCGTTTGCATGTAAAATATGGCATAAAGAATTACAGTTTTCTTTTATTTATAAAGCAATCAAAGAAGTGCTGGTGGCCCACCGAATCAGAATAATAATATTGGAAATGTTTATCCAATCAGCTCATTAAACCCATATAATAGCAGGTTTGTTGCAAAAATGAAATAATGAAATTTTTGTTTTGTTTCACTATGAAATGTTGTGCATTAGGTGGACAATTTGTGCACGTGTCACTTCAAAGTCCACCATAAGAGAATGGTCTAATTCACGTGGTAATGGTCGTCTTTTCAATGTTGAACTTATCGATGAATCTGTGAGTAAAGTTAATTTAGTGTGAATTATTAAATCTGCCATTACTAGTATATATTTTTGAAAAATTTTGACATTAATGTTGTAGGGAGAAATTCGAGCAACATGTTTTACTGATCTTGTGGATAAATTCTATCCTAAACTTGAACAAAACAAGGTTCCCAAGTTTCTGTTCTTTATTGTTTAAATTTTTTTTGTTCCCCAACTGCTGAAATTTTGTTTTTGTCTTCCAAGGTATATTACATTTCAAAAGGAAGTGTGAAGCCTGCAAACAAAAAGTATTCGTCTATCAAGAATGACTATGAACTCACTTTCAATCATGATACATCTATTGAACTGGTGAGCTTGTAGGAATATAAAGACTGCATGAAGAAAATTACTTTGTCACATGCATTGTCGTTTGAGAATTTAATATAAATGGTTGTATTTTTTTAGTGTACTGAATCTAAAGATCTTCCAGTCCTACAATTTAACTTTCTGAATATTGCTAATATTGAAAAAATTGAACCTGATCAGTTAGTTGGTATGTCAGATGATTTATAAGCCGTACACAAGTAAACTACGTACACCAAACTTAAGATTCCCATGGTTTATGTATATTTTATAGCTGAGATTTTTCTAGAGGAGTAATAAACTTAATTTTAAGTGATTTGACTTTGAAATGTAATTTCATCTTTAGATGTTATTGGTGTTTGCTCAGATATTACAGATGTTGTTGAGATTACAACTAGAGCAGGAAAACAGGTGTGATACTACTCTGTAAGATAACAGAACGTAGAAAAAGTGTGTTTCATGAAAAGTCAACATACTATTTTACCATCTATAGGTTGCCAAACGTAATTTACAGATCATGGATAAAACTGCTTCCATTACGTGCACTCTCTGGGGTCATGAGGTAAATATACATATAAGCATATTTTGTTCTTAACATTTCTGATTTCTCACCCAACATTTTTTAAATTTTAATAAAGTTCAATGCCAAGGATGTGTTTCAAACGAAGGAAACAAATTGTAGTTTACTTAGCATTTTTAAACTTTGATTACTGTAGGCCCAGTCTCTTGAGCAATATGTTGGTTCAAATCCCATAATTGCAATCAAGGGAGCCAAAGTTTCAGATTTTAGTGGTGAGATCAGAATTCATTGTCATTTATCAATCAGCAAATTTTCCCCTTGTTGTACTTTATAATATCTTGTTAATGTACATTTGATGTTATTCAGGAAAGTCAATCAGTGTCCTCAGCTCAAGTGCCATTCATATAGATCCAGATAATGTACAAGAATCTTTTGAACTTCGTCAATGGTATGTCTCAAGTCTCATGCCTAAATTGTTAGATATTATTTTATTAAGTTTCTCAAAAACATTCTGTTGCAGGTATGATACGGAGAGCCACGAAAACATCAATTCAATAACAGGCCAGCGAGGTGAAGGAAAAAGTGAGTACTTATGTGGATATTTGATGAACTTAAATAAGGATAATTGTTGATTAAACAATCTACATATTACTGGTGACATATGTATAGAAATTTGGTCCAGATAAATTTGTTGGCATTCTTTCCCTTACAAACCATACAAAAGTCATTCCTAGAGTGTAAACATCCTCGCCAGTTTTCCTTGGGATGTGCACCCTTTCTCCATATTGAACTTTTGTGAATCTAATTCTTTCTTGTTTGAAATAAATTCTTTCTTGTTTTGTGAATCTAATTCTTTTTTTTGTAATTCTTTCTAGTTACAAATGTTTATAAACATGTCGGTGAAATTGCAGAATCTCTTCAAGGAATGTCTGACAAGGTTGAAAAAACACCACTACTTACACGTATACCTTTTGTGGAAGGTTTTCATAGATTTAAAATGAAAATGCACCTTATAATTATATATGTGATGTTTTTTAATCATGGGTATTTTTTCAAAGAACTAATTTACGTGTTGGTTTTTTTTCAAGCCGGAGTATTTTAGTGTTATTGGTGCAGTTACATATATCAAGAAAGAAAATTGTCTTTACAAGGTGGATTGATGTTGCGATAAATCTTTCTTTGATCAAAACTTGTTCTAATCTGTTATTTTGCTTAGGCTTGTCCTAGAAAAGACTGTAACAAAAAAATCATTGAAGATGGTGAACGATATATTTGCGAGAAATGTAACGAGACTTATTCAAGCTATAAATACCGTCTCTTATTAAAAGTAAGCAATAAACAATATGTTCACATTGAAGTACAAAATTCTTGTGTTGATTATTTTTATTTGTGTGTTGTTCAGTTCCTTTTTGTAGATGGTTCTGGTAAGTATTGGGCGACTTGTTTTCAGAATTCTGCTGAATCACTTCTCGGAATGACGGCGGAGCAAGTTGGCGAGCTGATGGAAACGGTATGTACATACAGTTTTAAAAGTTTGCACTTAAATTTATTGATCGTTTGACTTTTTTTGTTTAATTTCAGAACGAGAAACGATTTGACCGTTTATTCGAACGTGGCTTCAGACGAGGTCATTTTTGTGTACGAGCGAAGATTGACAAATTTAACGTAAGTATCAAAATGTATAACTTATTTACAAATTTTATCAAAGCATGAAGACATCGCGTTGTCTGTCATAGGAGGAAGCGCGCTTGCAATGTACTTTTGATAAAGTTCTGCCGATCAACTACAAAAAGGAAACAAGACGTTTGATGCAGGAGTTAGACCAAATGATTGATAGTTGAATACTGATACTGGCGTGCTGATCACGTGTCACGAATATTGCTCACGAACTGTAAAGTCATCTCCAAGTTGAGGGTTTGTTATCAAGGGTTGTACCCTTTATTATAATACTACGAAGGAACTACAAGTTTTGTTTGATTTCACGGACATGGTAAATAGCAATCACATATGTGATAATTTTTGGTCACGCGATGAATTCATGTTGATTGTGAGATCGTGAATTTTTTTTTCATTTGGGTTGATGATGTTTGATTCATGTATTTCGTGTAAAATACTTTAAAGTTGCGATGTAAAAAAAGACGGTGTGTTTCTCTGCGATTATTTGCACAAGATTCCGCTTTGTAATTAATTTTGTTTTACAGATGTTGACCTTACATTCATACCATACAGTTATAACTGTTTAAATATCTAAACATAAGTAATATTCTCAGTCTCTGTTGACATATTCACAACCTGCTCATCTAATGTATAAATGGCTTCTTCAGGATTTAGTGTGCTATAAGGCTTTGCTGCTTGATTTGTTTGCGGCTTTAGGTGTGAAAATGCTATTTTATTGTTGGAGATGTATAAAGGATCGACGCCGGAATCATAAATATTCTCGTTGTTTGTGTTTAACCTTTCATTGTCAATGTCCAAATGTGTCCCATATAAATTCTCCGTCGTCGTTTGATGGTCGTAGATATCCTGTTCATTGATTATGTCATTGATTGTTATTGGATGGTTGTAGATGTCCTCTTTATTGCTTATGCCATCGATTTCGTCTGTTTTGTTCTGATTCCTTTTGTTACCAGACTGGTATTCTGTTGACAATGTGATCTTGGAGCTTGTCAGTTTTCTAAACAGAAATTTGTTGGATGTCATCACTGATGAAAGATGACGTATGTATAACGATGTCCTGATATATTTTCCTCCTCAAAATGCTCAAGGTAGACTCTAAAATACCGTGAAATCAAGTACTTCATATTACACATAGCCAATTAGTTCTTCACCTTAAATTGGCGACAAAGTTTTTAAGTATGATCCCTTTAGCAGCGAGGATTACTATGACAACGAGAATGATGAAGACAGAGCCACATGTTATTGCAATGATGAGAGAGATTGCAACTTCTTGAAGATAAAATAAAGAGAAAAAAATATATAGATAAATTTTAAGGACAACGTGCTACTGGTTTTCTCGAACGAACTTTTCTGTTACTGAGAATGAAAATCGTTCGAATGAGTGAGTGTGATACTACGAATGGGAGACTGGAGGAGAGAGATTTGTAGCATATATAAAACAACGTAACTTACTTTCTGCTGGCGTATATTTCAATACTCCTGATATAAAAAGAAACGAAAGATAAGGTCATTTGTTAGTTATGTGCTTCTATTTTATTTCTTCTAACCTACCGCTTGTGGCTCTTCCTGCAGGACCAACTCCTTTTATTGTTTGTGCCTGAATTTCCACAACTGTTTCTCTTTGGAATTTACCTCTTAACACATACCATGTTTGGGAGCCTGGTACCGTTGTACGTTTATCACATTGTTTATTTTTCTTTGGAAAGCAGATGATGTATGCAATTATGACTCCATTTCTACTTTCTTCATGTGGTGGTGACCAAGATACATTTAAGGATTTATCACTCAAAAACTTAAATGAAATTTGAGTTGGCGATCCTGTTGGAGCTATATGTATGTATGAAGCAATATTCAATTACATTGGCTCCATATCGAGCGATGTTATGACTCTAGATCAATACCTGACGCGAGAGTTCTGAAATGACTCACTCTTGGCAAGCCCTCGCCAAGTTGACTAACTCCTGAGATTTCTACGCGATATTTCGTGTAGGGGAGGAGGTTGTGCATGACCATGCTTGATGTAAACGTACTTTTGAACACCATAGATGTTGATTTAAAATATTTGCTCTTCCAATACCTAATGTGATACTTTGTGATTGGTTCATCTCCTGGGTTTGGTGCGGACCACGTGAGCACAGCTGATCTCGCTTGTTCTTGTATTAATACTGTCGGATAATGTGGGAGTTCTAAAGAAACGAGTCACAGATTTTGCACACGATATAAGCAAGTTTCATTTTGTTACAACTGTTGTATACGTACGGTATCCGCAAATTTCCACCCTCATGCAGGCAATACCTCCCCAACCCAGTGGGATAAAGCGAATAAATTTGGCTCTAACTGCACTGTCTAGAGATCTTATTTGAATGTTTTCATTTCCAGATGCTGTGTTTCCTGCGATGATCTAAAGATGAAAAGGATTTTCCAAGTTATTTTTTTCTCTTTGAACATTATTTCATGCGATGACTTTCGTAATGATTTGTCATAATATCTTTCGTCCGTTTTACCTTTTCGCCGTTTACAGTTGCGTTGTTCCAAGTGTTAGCATCGAGACTGAACATCAATCTGTATGATGTCACGTATTCGGCATTGTTTGTTCCTCCCAAAGTAGCGACCGCTGACACAAGGAATAGTCGTGGCACTTCGATCTCAAGGTAGTTCGTATAGTGTATGTTGACGGCGTCAGGCAGGCACCAGGCTGAAGTTGATTTAAGACGTGCATGATTTGGTGGTTTATTTGGACTTGATGATGGAGCACTGAACGACCAATCATGTACTAGATTGAGATCTGCGGACACGATAGGTTTCTTACACACATCACCTAAAACATAAAAAACGTATTAAAAACGTATTTTGATTTGTTTTATTGATAATACACTTACACTTCACTGTCACGTCTTGACTGTGTCTACAATTTGCAGCACCTATAGTGTTTTTTGGACAATCCATAATTGTTGCTTCGTTCCCTTTACAAGCGACGCCATCTAACCAAATACGTCCAGTTCCTGGATATTCCTTATTGAGCGCACGACCTTGTTCTAAGCCCAGTTGTTTGCACACAACATTCATATTATTGACATTCTCCTTCCAACCATTGTTACAAATTGTGCCCCATTCTCCTTGATGATATACCTCTACGCGGCCTTCTAAGGGTACATTTGATCCAACCAAACGAATGTTTTTGTTTCCTTAAATTATGTAATCAATAAGTTAGATAATATGTGTTTTTATCTAGCAATGCATCTTTTAAATTTAAAATGTGATTGACTTGCCTTCTGCGAAATGCAATACACAAACAAGCATGAATTGAAAAATTCTTTTGATTTTCCTGTTCATACCCTTCACGATAATTTTATTTTACTTCTCATGATGATCTAGGACGATGGGGGTGTGTTTACCGCTTATGACGTCACTGATTGCGCATATTGTTGCCTACTCGCAGGTAAGAAACCTAAAACATCATCGATTCATCACACACTATATTGAGAATTACATAAAGTAACAGTTATTTTTCCAACATGGTCGACGCTTATGATTTATTTCGACGTTTGAGTTTCGGAGCCAAATTAAGCCGAAGAAGATTAGACAAAAGCTTTAAAAGTGTAAAGATTGTTTTTTATTAATTAAAATTGCTTTCCTATTGCTATTCGTGGTTTTAAGATAAGGAATTACTAAATATTGTAGGATGAGAAAGATAGACCTTCTAATGTTGAATTTGATGATGGGGAAGGAAATGTGAGTGATGTTCTTGATTTTTTTGGCGATAAAAGCTCTAAACTGTTTATGAATGAAGAAAAAACTTTCGATAACTTACAAAAACTGAAAAGTAATGAGAAAATTGAGAAACCTCCGAAAAGGAATAAAAAGCGGAAAAGAAGTGAGTAGCATTTTTATATGCACTATAAATTTCCTTGTGGAGCAACTTGTTTGAAAATAGTTTGATATATTTGTAAATTTTCACTCTAGAAGTTGTGAATTCAGAAATGGAATTTGCAGAGAGTATGAGTGTCAAAAAGGTGAAGAAAAACGAAAAAAATTTGTTGGAATTGCATAAAGAAAAGGTATCATACTTAATCTTATCATTCTTATGTGGAAATAAGAAGGTTTTGAGCTTTAACTTTTACTAAAACATCCCCTAACAGAAAAGCAATGCATTTTAATGGAATTATTGCTTAAAACAGTCCAATTATATATATAGGATTGTTGCATTAACCATGGTTATCCGAAAACAATTATCCATAATGGAAATTGTAATCTTATAATTTACAATTATACAAGTAAAAGGGAATTGTTTATATACTCCTCTTTGTTTTTCCTTGTCTTTTAATTCAGGTGAATGCTTTACGAAACAGAAACCACATTTCTGTAAAAGGTGCTGATATTTCAGATCCAATTGAATGTTTTACAGAACTAGATTTAGAGTAAGTATACACAAGACCATGTGTTTGTATTTGTTGTACTCACAATAAAACATGAACTAAATTTGTATCTTTTATCGTAGGTACTCCTGTCCTCAATATATTTTAAATAATATTCTTGAATCTGGCTATACAAAACCCACTCCAATTCAAATGCAAGCCATACCACTTATTCTTCAGGTTCGTGTACATATTTTTTACATGATTTTATTTACATTATTAACATGCTTTACTTGCTAGCATTAAGTAATTATCAGTTTTATACTTTAAAGCAACGTGAACTGTTGGCTTGTGCTCCAACTGGTTCAGGAAAAACTGCAGCTTTTATTTTACCAATTCTTTATCATCTTAAGGTAAGATGATATAAACATTTCTTTCTCCCCTACTCCAATTCTTAAACAAAACGTTGTGTAAACAGATCATCTGCTCCATTGCTACATATATACATTTATATTCCTCCATACCCCTCATCCTGTACAAATAAATTATTTAAAGAGATGTTTTTGCAAAGAGATGTCTTCACAAAGTATGTATATTTTTCTCAGGAATCAATGAAATGTGGGTTTAGATGTGTCATTCTTTCTCCAACAAGAGAACTGGCTCAGCAAGTTTGTTTCATTTATATCTATTTAGTTCAGGCTATTTATTTTTATTAATGTTTACTGGGATTAATGAGCGTAAATAGACGAAAACTCTTAAGGGCAAGAACAGTTCCCTATTTTAGTCTAAATTCAAGCATATGCATAATAAAAAGGTACAGACGTGGCACTAGATGCGAAAACAAGCAAATATTCAAAAAGATGCCTTCACAACAATAATGCAGCTCAACCTATTAAAATTTTACAGTGCAATTTAAGTTTGTGACCATTTCTTATCTTAAAGCGTCTTTGCATGTACTTCATCACCAAGAAAAAAATGTTGGCCGCTTAAAAATGAATTAAAACGAATTTAGTTGTAGTGCCGAATCCTCACCCTAATTAACACACTTCCTAATTCTCGTCCAAGTACTAACCATGAAGGATTCATGAAATTGAGGATCATATTTTGCATGAAATTAATACGAGAAGTGTCCCTTCCCATTGAAAAGTTCCTGGTTAGTGCTGCAAAAATTCCAGCTATAGTTGGCAGCCATTTTAAACCTTTAATTAAATATAATTCTAAGGTTTCTTCTTTACATTGATCATATTGTTTTTTCTTTTTAGATTTATCGTGAATGTTTGCATCTTTCCAAAGGAAAAGCATTTAGAATTCATATTTTAACTAAGGCGAAAGAACAAAACTTTGGACCAAAGTCAAACAAACATTTTGGTAATGTGTCCAACTTTATTTAATGCCTGTTGGTAAAGGAAGATACATCTAAATTAGTGTATAAAAAGACCTTTAGAATTTGACATATTGTGATTCACTCTCAGTGCCTAACGTTTTCAACATGTTTATTTTACAATGTATGTGTGTAAAATTATTGTTAATTATTTTCAAGATATTTTGGTGACAACACCAAGTCGTCTAGTACACCTTCTCCAACAGACTCCATGTGCTATACAGTTAGAAAATGTTGAATGGTTGATCTTTGATGAAGCAGACAAATTGTTTGAAGAAGGCAAAAATGGATTTAGAGATCAAGTGATGTTTTCATAAAATTTTAAAAACAAATGCGCTTGATTAAGCTTTACATATGCATGCTTTTGTCTCTTTAGATTTCAACCATATATCAGTCTTGTTGTAATACTAAAGTGAAAAGAGCATTGTTTAGTGCAACATTATCCAATGGCATTGAGGAATGGGCAAGAACGCATTTGGATAATGTAGTTCAAGTTACTGTTGGTGTTAGGTATGTTTAAGAAACGGTTGACATGTGATATATATGGTGTATGGTGAGAACCAGTAAATGTAGTATGAATAATTTAGTCTGAATACGTAAACGCTACATAACTATTGCTCTTTGATAAAAAGTAAATGTTTTATCATGATGTTTACTTCTTAATTTTCTTTTCCAGAAACTCAGCAACAGAAACAGTAGAGCAAGAATTGTTGTTTGTTGGTCAAGAATGTGGAAAATTAATTGCTATTCGTGATATTATACATAAAGTACAAAAATATATGATCATGTTGTTGTTTGTTTGATACATATGTCTTCATGTTAATTTTTTTTTTTGTCATATTTTTCAGGGGTTTGAACCACCAATGTTGTTATTTGTTCAGTCTAAAGAACGAGCAAAAGAATTGTTTCATGAACTTATTTATGATGGACTCAATGTAGATGTCATTCATTCAGACAGAACACAAAGCCAGGTTTTTTTGTTTTTTTACAATTAATAATTATTCACACATATATGTACATGTACTTTTCTTCACCATATTTCTAACTGTTAAGATGAAATACTTAAAATGATTTCTTATTTGCTTTAGCGTGACAATATTATAAAATGTTTTCGAACTGGCAAGGTAAGATATGAAGGCAAACAGTGCAATGTTATTGTAAAAAATAATGATGTTCCATCGATTAGTTGGGAATTAGATATCATTAACAGAAACACCAAATTTACCACTAGGAATTTCTGCACCAAAAATCCTGGCCACGTTGACTCTATTTTCCTTTCCACATCCATCACCTTTTGTATTTATTTCGGAGTATATCGTTAGGAAGATAATCTAAAAATTTGGCATTGTTTAGATTTGGGTTTTAATTTGCACTGAACTAATGGGCCGTGGAATTGATTTCAAAGGTGTTAATTTGGTTGTAAATTATGACTTTCCAACGACATCTGTGGCATATATTCATAGAATTGGTACGTATCCTTATGAATCAAGTTGTATCATGTATAATGACCCTCCTGCACCCACTTTAAACAAAGTTAAAGTTGTGAGCCTCTCAGTAAATTCATGTCCTTGTCAAGATTGAACATCATGATGAAAAACCAGTAAATTTTAGGTAGAACAGGTCGTGCTGGGCGGCGAGGAAAAGCAATTACAATTTTTACTGAAGATGATGTAGGAAATTTAAGAAGGTAATTGTAAAATTAAAATCATCTATTGTTAAAACTAATATGATCACATTTTCTCAAGTTCAATTTTTCAGTAACAAATGTTTCTTCTTTGTAGCATTGCAAATGTTGTTAAATCTTCTGGTGGTAATGTTCCTGATTGGATGTTAAAGTTAAAGAAACAGACAAGGTATGTAAGTCTTTTGTGTGGATAGTATATGTACATAGTATGTATATTGTGTGGATAGTATATGTACATAGTATGTATATTGTGTGGATAGGAATGGTACATACCCCTCCTGTGTCTCATTTGGCCATGGCTAGGAATGGTACATATTCCTCCTGCACCTGGCCATGGCTAGGAATGATACATATTCCTCCTGCACCTCACCTGGCCATGGCTAGGAATGATACATATTCCTCCTGCACCTCACCTGGCCATGGCTAGGAATGATACATATTCCTCCTTCACCTCACCTGGCCATGGCTAGGAATGGTACATATTCCTCCTGCACCTCACCTGGCCATGGCTAGGAATGGTACATATTCCTCCTGCACCTCACCTGGCCATGGCTAGGAATGGTACATATTCCTCCTGCACCTCACCTGGTCAAGACTAGATGTGGTACATTCCCCTCCTGCACCTCACCTGGCCAAGACTACAGGTGGTACATACCCCTCCCCCAAATCATTTTGGCAAAATCCATCCCAGCTTAGGAGAGAATGAAATAAATTATTTTTGATCGCTTCTTCAGAAAAGCCAGTAAAAAACTATCGAAGCAACCTGTGAAAAGAAAGAGTATAAAAACGACAACGAAATATGATTTATATCAAGCTAAGAAAAAAAGGTTTTTGTTTACATGGTATTTTTTTTTCATTACTTAATCGTTTATGACCATCTTTAATTTGCCTTTTGCAGAGAAATGGTAAAAAGCTCAAAACGAAAAGCTAGTCAATAAAATGGAAATTGTAGCCATTCCGATTATCAAATTTATCGCATCAATTATAGTGTTCACGTGAAAAGAACATGGTTTAAGGTTTTAGATGATGTAATGTTTGCCTACACAAAACACATCTCTTGTAGTACTGTACTTGGGCTTTTTTGGAAACGACCGGAAGCTATTAATAAAGACAGATTTCTTGACTAAAATCTATAAAATTCGGCGCTCATCGTTTGTTTTGACCATTAGGTCTTCTCTTGAATTATTTTAATGTTATTTGATATGTTTTTGAACCATTTTATGGCTTATTACCACAAGAAATATTTTTCGGTTGCCGTTCAGTTCATTCTTGTGTAAATACTTTGCACGGATCCGATATTGTTCTTGTGCTTTTCCTAAAATGCGGGGCGGTCTTGATCGATTTAGAAGGGCTTCATATGAAAGAATATTTTTAGAAGGGCTTCGCCGTTCGCGAGCCTTTACTGTAAAAACGAAAGAGACGAAGGGAAAGGAGTTTCTTCATGGCCCCTACGAGGGGATCTAATCTTCCTGTCTGTGAAGAACGACAATGGAGTCGTGAGGCCCCAAGTGATGTTCAAAAGAACTACATCGAAGCAATAGCGAAAATGTTGCTTTAGTTAACAGATCGGCGACATTAGTCGCAAATTCGACGAAGGAAAATGACGACCACCAAGTCTTTCCGTATAAACTTGAGGTACTTCCAAAGAAGATTTATCTTGAGAGTGAACCTTTGGAACAAAATTTATTTGAACAGGGTAAGCTGTATTTATATTGATCATATAAATTCTTTTCAAAGGAATGTTTTGAAGTTGTTTGATGGGGAAGTACAAATTATGAATTCGTTCGCGAACAAGAATAAACATTTTAGAATTACTTTCATTTTTAAGAATAATTTGCTGCCTTGCTTATTGCTTCACGTTTACTTGGTGTTTTGTCCTTAGAAGATCATTTTTCTTGTTCTACTACCAAAGACGTAAAATTTTTCGCACATTTTTGCCTTCCGTGTTCAATGATTGACATACCATGAAATCATTATGAAACAAAATTTGGGATTTAACCTTATAAAACAAAGCAAAACGTCGGAATTTTCTACCTTATAATACGCTATGATTATGTTTGTATCATTTGAGATTGATGCGAATATGTTTAAAGTGGAAATTTTAACGTTAGCTTACTTTCATTATTAACATCACAGTTTAAACGCAATTACATTTTTTTACATAGTTAAGTATTTTGATCAATTCTATTTTAAATTAATTAGCATAAACTTTCCTTCTTTCTTATTTCTCATTGCATAAAGAAATCATTCTATCAGAATTACATCAAACCTAGTTATCACTAAAATGTATGTTATTAGCCAAATGATGGCAAGGCCATATAATGAAATCAAGTTTCCATGATTTATTTACTGTATTCAAAAACCCTACCATACAAATGATATATCTTTTGTTAAATAAGTATAAGAACATTACAGCTAACTTTTGTAGCTTGTCATTACATATCTTCATGGTATTGCCAACCGAAGCTTGCATGAATATTGAAATGATGTCTCCAATTATATGCATTGTTATTAATGATCAAAATTTTACAATTTAACTTGTTTGTCCTTATCAAAATTGTGTGGTAATAAACATTTGAAATATTAATGAAAATTGTGACATTTATAGTCTCAAAGGATGATATCCAGTTAAATCATAACTTTGGGGCACCTTCTTGTCTTGGAGATGGAGATGAATTTGCTGTGGCTCTTCCTGAGAAATTATTAGGAAAAGGAAAAAACGAAAGAAAAGTAAATGTAGCCACAAGATGCTTAATAAACGACATAAACCCACATTTGTTCCAATACCAGTCATGTCCCTGGATGAGTTGCACATTACCGACTCGCCGTCAAAGGTTTTGGAAAATGACAAAATTAATGGAAAATCATTTGGTCTACATAACCATGTAGCACATAATGATGGTAAAAATGATACAAACAATAAAAATATACAAATGTGTTCAAAACCACCAGCAATAAATGCTGTATCAACTGGTAAAGTATGTGGTGCAACAACACGTGGATCTGGTGGTTGTGGGGACAATGGTGATAGTGATGATGGACATCGTAAACCACCTTGGAAACCACCAGATAATGTACCTACAGAAAACACGAAACAGGTAAAATAATCTACTTAATTCTCAGTGGCATGTTTCAATTTTTTTAATTTAAAATTAATATCTATTCTAGGTTCGTGAACCAACTCCTGAATCAAAAATTTGTCTGATTTTAAATTGTCACATTAACCATTATAACTTCCATGGCAAACCTGAAGATTGTGGTAAATGTCGGCGAGTATGTGATTCATTGTGTTTGAGTTTTTAATTCAGATAGATATTTAAAACTTTAATTTGTTAATTCTTAGGTTGAAACATCCTTGATGAGGCACTATTTTGATGAAAATAATTGTCAATGTGCATGTAATCAATGTTTAATTTGGACAGACGTTCTCAAGTACCATGTTAAACGTTGTCAAATAAACAACTGCAAAATATGCGAGAGGTATATATCATTTTTTTGATATGATACGTAAGAAAAAAGGTTTTGATATGTAGCTATTCAAAATTCAATGTTGTTTAGGACAAAGCTAGAAGCGGTTAAAGAAAGGCCTGTAGTGTATACCCAACATACAATTTCAAAATCATTTGTAACAAATGTTAACAAAGATGACTTGATCATTTGGAAGGTATAGTAGCATATGTTAATGACTTAGACATGTACATTGTATTTTTAAGGTTATTTAATAAGATGTTTGATATTTAAGTTATTCTATATTCCGGGGTATAACTTGTTGAGCATTAATAAACATTATGATTTGGAATAAGAAACCTACTCCAAATACAAGGCCCGTGTTCAACTCAATGTTTTGGAAACAAACAAGACAGTTTTTCATACGGTAGTAGTTGGAATTTATTGCAAATTCATCATCAGACTCAGTGATATCACAACTAATTTCTCTATATTAAAAGCAGATGAAGGCAATGGCATTGTTCTATTCCAAACAACTCAATCCTCTTACTTCTAATGAATTTACTCTTACTGATTTGTTTGATGCCATCTACAACATTCCTAAAACTTTATTTAGGGAAGGCTACCTATTCATTTAGTTTGATGTTGTATTTTTCTTTACCAACATGCTTAAAGTCTGATGATAAATTTGCAATAAATTTGAACTATTACTGTATAAAAGACTCTTTTGAGGAACTCAGATATTGAGTTGAGCAAGGACCTTTTATTTCGAGTATGTTTCTTATTGTACTTCATAAAATTGTGGGTAGGTAATGGATTTCAAAATTGTTTTACCTGACATTTTATGTAAATAGTCAATGGTTAAAGTTTACAGATTAATCAATTTTTTAGTGGAAAACTACTCTCATTGTTTTTTTTTATGTTTTTTTGAAGAGTGAAACTGTTCCTGAGGATATAATGCACTTCAAAGACTACATAATGTACAGTGATTCCTTTGACAAAGGTGGCCATGGATCTATCCACGATATTTCTATCTCTTATGAAAATCAACTGAAGTACTTTAAAAAGTGTGTCAACATAGTGGTAAAAAAGGTAAATGAATTAAAATATTTTTGGAATTGATAATTACTTGTTATATCAGTACCACCGTAATGTGTAATATATTTTTAGACTGATACAATGGGTGAAGATGAAAAGCAAATGTTGTGTCAAACAACAAAACATCAAAATTTGGTTGCCACTTATTTAGTGACACAAAAAACATCTCCGTCAAAACATTATCTCATCTTCATGGAAAAGTGCGGTATGTCCTAAATTGCATTATTTGTATTTAAAGATGTTTAAAATATTTTTTTGTTACTTGTTGATCATTTTTTCATTTAGACATGTCATTAAAATCTTACATGAAAGCATTGCTTCAAAAAGGAAAAAGGCTTCAGTTTTATGAGGCAATGTATTATTGGACACAGATTATGGATGTGATTAAATTCCTTCATTTTCGTCGCATCCCTATTATACATAGGGACATAAAGGCTGAAAATGTTTTACTGTGTATTGAAGATAATCTTGTTAGGGCAAAACTAGCAGATTATGACACAGTTAAGCTATTACACAATGAGTTCACTCAGCCTGGTCTGGTGGCCAAAGGAACTCATGGTTTTGTGTCACCAGAGGTATGAACTTATTGGAGAGTTTGGTATCTTTTTCGTTTTATCATAATTTTTATTTGAAGTATTTCTCAAAAGCTAAACTAAATTTTTCTGATTTTTTTTTAAATTTTACTGCAATCTGTTGAAGTCTATATTTTAAAAATTTATTGAAGTGAATGTTTGTTTTGGTTTTCTGAAGGTTCAAAGACAATTACCACATGGTCGTCCTGCAGACATTTATAATGCCAATATGTTTTTGCTTCAAATAATTTTCCCAAAAAAATTCTTTGAAATGCAGGTTAGTGAAGTTCTCCAGTTGCAGAAAGTAAACTAAAGTAATGTGAAGCTATCCTGATTGTTTGATTAATATCAAATGTTTTTAATTTTAAGAAAGCTATCAAGGATTTGAACTTTAACTATAACTGGCATGATGCTATTGAACATATAACAAAGGATTTTGTTGATGTATGTATGAAACCTTTTTGTGCTCAGTTGTTGGACTTTAGTTATTCTTGATGCATTTTATTTGTTGATGAGAATTTCACTTTTTAACTGCTGGTTTTAAGAAATAGTATCACAGAAGTACTTAAAATTTTTGTTTAGCTTGCTATTACAGAATTATCAAAATTGGACAGTGATTTGGCATCCCTTGTAACTCATTGTTTGAATGTACGTTGACTGTTTTTTATGTTTTAATTTAAATTTAAAGTGTAAATATCTATCAATTATATGAGGTCTTTCCTTCAAGAAATATCACACAGAGATCTTTTTTCTATAGGGTGATAATTAATTCTTAGCTAAGGCTTCAAGATTAAATTTGGGCTGCATTTCATTTATGTATAGTTTTAAATTTTTTGTTTTAGAAAGAACCAGAAAATCGACCAACTGCTGCAGAAGTTTTGAAAGACAAAGCTTTTGTGAAATATTCAAACCAACAGATAAACATGCATGAAATTGTTGAGTTTTTTAACTCCATGAAAATGTCTAGTGATTGACAATGAAATTAAAATTAATTGTATTTCATGTATTTACATTGCTGTAAACTTAGATTTCTCTGGTTTTATTGGGTTTGTTAGCAATATGAAGTATTATTGATTATGTAATGTTACACTATAATATTATTGCATGAAGTATTGATCTTATCTTAGCACATGTTATGTTTTACGGGAAGCCATGAACTATTTTTCTATTAATTAAATTTCTATTCTATGTATTCCTGTTTTCTGATTATAATGAATCACTCAAATATCAACAGGGTTTATTTATGTTTCAGGTATCCTCGTAACTTTCCCCTAAAATTGTAAATATTTTGCTAATATTGTTGTTTTTAAAGTCCTAATTTTTACAGTTTACGAAAAATGTTAAAATTTAACGTAATGATGAAGTGATATTTTCAAAGCATCTTTGACTCTGAAGATGACTACCGCTAAGGATGTCGAAACGCCAGTCAACATCAACAAAAACCGTCCTTCTCAGGACTATACCAACCTGGACGATCTACATTTACAAACATGTAAAATTATGTTTGCATTAACCCATGCATTAACCTTGCATAAAGGCAAAAAGATGCACGATTTTCAAAAAATGGAAACACCTTACACTATTAATGTTCAAAACCAAGTTGAATAACAGACAAGGTTTTTCTTGTATTTTGGTTATAACAATGGTGTAATTTCGGAGAAGCGAAGATTGTAGTAAAATATGGTAAGTATTTGAAACAAATTATTTCAACTGTTTAAGTGGTGTGACTATTGAATGACTCGCAAGCGAAGTATGTTAAATTTTAATCTTAAATGTAGATATAATCATGAAAGTAATTGTCTATAAATATCAATAAGCAAAATAGTTTAATAAAGGTAGTTAAACATTGCGATATCAAAGTTTTTGAATGGTAAAAATATGTTGTTATATTTCGCGGTAAAGATAATTCTTTGATTATGGTAATTGAAGTTTTATCTTTCCACAAATCAATTTAACTGTTTCATTATAATGATACAAAGTATGTTTCTCACGTTGCCATTTTCATATGTAAAGGCGAGGTATATAAATACCAATTATCCACTATCAAGGTGGTAATGGCAATGTTGGGTATGGTCATGTGTTGAGTGTAGCCTTGGCAAAGCTTTAGGAGACCAACAGAACAATCTTTCTGTGGAACCTTTCAAGTTTTAACTCATGGAACAAATTTAAATTAAATTTTGATTTCAATTTAAACTCTTCAGATATCAACTGTAAACAATACAAAAAGTAGCATCATGAAACTGTTATAATATTGTGAATAGTATTGTGGTATTTCTTGAACTGTAACTTTCATATCATAATTAATTTAAACGTTGTGACATTAATTGACTAAAGGCATTATAAATAACCATGTTATAGGGATTCTTATGGGTTGTATCACCATCTTGTGGGGGGTACATATGGGGTTGTATAACCATCTTGGGAGGGGGGGTACATATGGGGCTGTATAACCATCTTGGGGTACATATGGGGTAGTATATCCATGTATTAGATATATAATGATATACAGATAAATGAATACAGCCATGTGAATAGCCATATGGTGGTCAACAAGTTTCTATACATTAATGTTTTTTTTGCTCAGTTTCCAGGACTTGGTATATTTGATGCATTTCCAAGGATATTCAACAAGCAATTTCGATGCTATTCTGTAGCGCTTTGTCCTGGAAATGAGAGAGAAGATGTGGAAAAAGGAGGAAAGAGTATGTATGCCCTGATGGCAATATTTTTTTGTGTTATTTTGCAAATCATTTCTGTTAAGTTTTACTGACATTTATAAAGCTTTTTGTTCAGCTGTTGTGTGCAAATGTATGAGGAGCAGATTTTTTATTCAATATTGTTGTTTTCATCATGGAATTGGAATGATACAATAGCTCTTGGAAGATTTTCTGTGCAGAAATCTGCACAATGTTTTAATTGTGCAATTAGCAATGGTATCTTTGCATTTCAACCTGGGGCGGTAAACTGTTCATATCACTTATTCTCCACTCCAAATTTACCAATAAATAATATCCTAAAATTTGATTTACAGTAGGAAATCCATGGTGAGCAATTTGGCAATTAGATTGAAATAATGTCAGTTTGATTTTATTTATTTTTGCCTAATGCTTAATCCACAACCATTGCAAAGTTGCTATAAACTTCTTTTGTGTACGTAGCTAATAATTTAATGTTGTTCATGTTTTCTGCAGAAGCTATTGATTGATTAAACATGGCTAAAATGCAAGTTAGGAATTCTGAATTGTTGTAGTCGCATCAGTCTCTTAACATGAAATAATTCAGCTAACTGCATTTCTGAGCTTCAAAATGCAATAAATTGGTTAGATTGTGTTTAATTTCTTTATTTATTTAGTTATCATGCCTCCATCAGCCTTGGATATTTTAAGTAAGTTTCATATTCAACATTAGATTATTTGGCTTAAAGAATTGTCCACTGTTTGATGGTTCTTCGTAGATTATTTTTGTATATGTTAAAATCTAAAAGAAATTAATGGCATTGGTTTTTGCGAAGAAATAGATAAATTCTCCCAAGTTTAATTTGTAAGTTTCAATTAACATAATGCTTTTATCTGTTTTTAAATTTTAGCACGTCTAAATATTGTCTATCCCATGTTGTTCAAACTTACAAACAATAATGCAAAGAGATATACTCATTGTGGTGTTCTGGAGTTTGTGGCTGACGAAGGCAAAGTTTTCATACCTCATTGGGTAGGTAAAATTGTTTCAGGCTTTCCTGGGACCATTGGGTTTATAGACCATTTGGTGCAGGACCATTGAGTATAGGGGCCATTGAGTATGGGACCATTTGGTGCAGGGCCATTGAGTATAGGGACCATTTGGTGCAGGACATTGAGTATAGGGGCCATTGGGTATGGGACCATTTGGTGTAGGACCATTGAGTATAGGGGCCATTGAATATGGGAACATTTGGTGCAGGACCATTGAGTATAGGAGCCATTGTGTATGGGACCATTTGGTTCAGAACCATTGAGTATAGGGGCCATTGGGTATGTGGGCCATTTGGTAAAGGCATTTTGACATATGAATTATTGCTGAAGAGAGTATAGTCTTCAGTATTCATTCCTTATTGGCTAAATGCTTTTGACACGTGACTTGACTCAAGGGTTATTATTTTACAGTGTGTCTTTGTTCACCATCAACTAATGTATGGGCAGCTTTCAACAGAGAATTGTTAGCTGTGATAGAAAGCAACATGTATGTACAGCTTTCAACAGAGAATTGTTAGCTGTGATAGAAAGCAACATGTATGTACAGCTTTCAACAGAGAATTGTTAGCTGTGATAGAAAGCAACATATATGTGCAGCTTTCAACAGAGAATAGTTAGCTGTGATAGAAAGCAACATATATGTGCAGCTTTCAACAGAGAATAGTTAGCTGTGATAGAAAGCAACATGTATGTGCAGCTTTCAACAGAGAATAGTTAGCTGTGATAGAAAGGCAACATGTATGCAGCTTTCAACAGAGAATAGTTAGCTGTGATAGAAAGCAACATATATGTGCAGCTTTCAACAGAGAATAGTTAGCTGTCATAGAAAGCAACATATATGTGCAGCTTTCAACAGAGAATAGTTAGCTGTCATAGAAAGCAACATATATGTGCAGCTTTCAACAGAGAATAGTTAGCTGTGATAGAAGGCAACATATATGTGCAGCTTTCAACAGAGAATAGTTAGCTGTGATAGAAGGCAACATGTATGCAGCTTTCAACAGAGAATTGTTATAGAAAACAACATATATGTGCAGAACAGAGTGTTAGCTGTGATAGAAAACAACATATATGTGCAGCTTTCAACAGAGAATAGTTAGCTGTGATAGAAGGCAACATATATGTGCAGCTTTCAACAGAGAATTGTTAGCTGTGATAGAAAACAACATATATGTGCAGCTTTCAACAGAGAATAGTTAGCTGTCATAGAAAACAACATATATGTGCAGCTTTCAACAGAGAATTGTTAGCTGTCATAGAAAACAACATATATGTGCAGCTTTCAACAGAGAATAGTTAGCTGTGATAGAAAACAACATATATGTACAGCTTTCAACAGAGAATAGTTAGCTGTCATAGAAAACAACATATATGTACAGCTTTCAACAGAGAATTGTTAGCTGTCATAGAAACAACATATATGTGCAGCTTTCAACAGAGAATAGTTAGCTGTGATAGAAAGCAACATATATGTACAGCTTTCAACAGAGAATTGTTAGCTGTGATAGAAAGCAACATGTATGTGCAGCTTTCAACAGAGAATAGTTAGCTGTCATAGAAAGCAACATGTATGGGCAGCTTTCAACAGAGAATTGTTAGCTGTGATAGAAAGCAACGTGTATGGGCAGCTTTCAACAGAGAATTGTTAGCTGTGATAGAAAGCAACATATTCTGAAATTGTTTGCCATTATATATTTAATGATGACTTTAAAATAAAGCGGAAATTTGCCGTTGTGAAAATTTTTGATGATTGATTCATCACCATTTCCATGATAGAAAATCTCAACATAAATTTACATGAACAAATTGTCGATAATTTCACCCAATTTTATTATCAGTTATACTACATGTAAATACAACGTGTTTCTTATGTGGCAATTGACGTGTTATTTTCTCCTTTTGTACAGATGATGCGTAACCTATGTCTTGACGAGGGACAAATTCTTCAAGTTGAAACAGCTACATTACCTGTCGCAACTTATTCAAAATTTCAACCTCAATCAACAGATTTTCTTGATATTACAAACCCCAAGGCTGTGTATCCTTAAATGTATAATTTGTGAGCTATTTTTCAATGAAAAGTCTTCCACATAAAAGACAAATATATCATCGTTAAGTTGTTTCTGTATGAAATAAGGATTTTTTCGACAGCTTCTCTTTTTTGTTTCAACCTTTTAAATTATTGATTTACATTATTTTGCAGAAAATAAATTGGTTTTTTCATGTCCATGGAAATATATGGCCTTTTTTTCTTATTGCCAAGGTCTTGATTGTTCACACTTTTCTTAACTATTTTATGCAGTTTAGAAAATGCATTGAGATCTTACGCATGTCTAACTGTTGGTGATGTTATTGCTATAACGTATAACAAAAAGGTTTGATTTCATTTTTTACCTAAAAGCTTTGTTCACAGTACTCCTTGTGTCTGTACTGCGAACGAAATGATCTTAAAATTTGATGTTAAAATTTGATGTTAAAATGATGTTAAGATCTTATATTCTCCAGTCTAGTGTCTTTATGAGTAGCGCCCTCATGTTACAACTAGAGTAAGCATGCAGTCACTTGTAGTGTATTCATCTGAAGGAATATTTTTATGAAAATTATGTCTTGTCCTGTTTCGTCATCTGGAGTGATCTGTAATCTGACGTTGAAACTTTAATCCTTGTGATCATCTGTATATTGTGTCTTCATCAATATTAACACGATACTGAAACTAAAGTCCTTAGTCCTTAGTCTTACATACGGCAATGTAATGTTATCTTTAGAAATAATAGATATTGACATATATGTTCTTGTAGTTTATTCTAGTCAATTATCTTCAACAGGAAAGATTATACATTGAAATTTGAGTCAAGTTGTGGATGACATTTCTCTCATATATATGTTCTTTGTCTTATTTAGGTTTATGAGTTTCTAGTACTTGAAGCCAAACCAGGTCGAGCAGTTTCCATCATTGAGTGCGATATGCAGGTTCTTAAACATTCTTATTTGCAATATCTGTTTTAAAGTAACGTTTATCAAGCAATAATAGAAAAGATTCCAAATTTTAAATCTTTCAGAAAATGTGTACAAATGTGCTGGAAACAAACGGTTTTTAAATTTTATCTATATTTTTACCTTCATTTCATTAGCAAAACTATGTCTAGTTGGGATGGTTTGTGAATGATCGTGAAAATATTAATAAAATTTACAAAACCTATTTTATCATTAAGTTTAGTGCTGTTGGAAAACTCTGTACTACACTTTAGGTTGAATTCGCCGCACCTGTAGGCTACGTTGAACCGCAAAGGCAACCCAAGAAAGATATTCCAGAAGAGGTTGTTAAACTACATAATTTTTTTGTAATCTGAAATTATGTCCAATAGCGTCTTCCCATAAAGTCTTCCCATTGAGTGATCTCATAGAAGTCAACTGTATATATTCTACAATAGTTTTCCATTACTCTATAATTTCGCTTTTAGGAGATTGAGGATGAAATCGATGTTGGTTTTCAGGTAGGCTGCAGGAAAAATAAGCCAACCCGTGGCATTTGGTGTATGATGTAGTATGTGGAGAAATGCATCGTTTGTTTTTTTTTTGTTTTTTATAAATACCTGAAAATTAGGAAACAAATGGCTTTTTTTGACATTTTGACCGAACATTTTTTTGACAATCTACAGACATTCTTTTGAGCTATTGATAAATTTATGTCTTTTTAATGATTTAATTCTTAATGTTTGCCGATTTACTCATTTTATGTGCAGGCGTTCTCTGGATCTGGATTTCGTCTTGACGGTAAAAAAAAGAAAAATTGTACATCAAATACACCTGTTTCCTCTGAACATGTTGATAAAAAACGGTAAGTGTAATGTTCGTTTTACTCATATGATTGTCTTTAATAAAAATAGTTTATTCACTTTGCTAAATTCATACAATAGTCCACCAAAATTATTACATTTAATCAGGGGGGGGATGTTTTTCCTTACCGTTTCATTAAATGTAGTGGGAAAGTAATTTATATAAAACATCTTTTGTGGTATAAAATGTTGTGTTGTACAAACTCCGCGGAGTTTAAGACGGCTTTTACATGATTTTCGCCATCCTGAATGGTCAGAAAAGGCAATGAAAATAAAAAATCCAATATATTTTTGTCTTCGTTCATTTAAATGTGTAAAGAATTCAAAAATTTATGCATTTGCAACGTCCATTTAAATGTACGGATAATGTTTGTGGTGGGATGTATTTTTTTCATTTCTTTTCGAGAATGGCATTTCTTTTTCTAGTGGAATACCTAACTATGATTACTGTAAAGGAACACTCACATTTAAAAGAGTTTTCAAATCAAATAATTTCCAGGTATATGTTGTTATTTTACTATGGCTATCGTTTCGTGTGTAAGGTCATTTTACAATGTATAATCGATATTTAATTATTATATCCAATAATTTATTTAAAAAACTTTGAATGTTTTATTTATTTATATCTTGGTCTTATAATAAACATTAATGATCAGCTTATTGCAATGTTATAAAGAGTTGTAGCGATATGATTTCATATCATTGCAATAAGCTGGGCATTAATGATGTTTATTATTAAGATTACGATTCTGCCTGGAAAATCTATCGCCATTGTTTATATCTTGTCTGATATTGCTACAAAAGTATAACTTGTGTAAGAGGTGCCTTAAAGTACCGAATATAGAATCATACATGCATTTCAAACTACTTTGATGTCTGGTATGCTTAGTTGGATTCATGTGAGTTGAGTATAAACTGAGAATGTATGTAAGAACTATTGAAAGTGCTAGTGCCATATTTATCTAAAGGATATTTTAAATGTTTAAATAAAGGTTTTTTAAACATCTCTAAAGATACGTAATTATTTATAGAAGAAAGAGAACGAGAGCAACGAATTCTCTCCTTTTGCCGGAAGTGGTCAACAGTTGAGACCAAAAAGAAGTCGCAAAAGGTTTGTTAAATACCTGGAGAATTTATTCTCTTATAAAAGTCAGTTTCTTTTTAGCGGTTACAGATAAATTATAAGTTCAATGAAAAAATAGCTGCTTTGGATGTTTTGCCCTATTTTAAATCCCCCCTTTGGATAACTTTCGAACTTCAAAATAATTTTCTCCTTGTCTTTTGATGAAAATGAGTCCTTTGGCTCAGTGTTGTAGTTCTAAAGCTAAAGGTTAGCGCGTATTAGAGCATTGATGGGTTAGACGAATTATTGACATAGTTTAACGTGGGTTTTTTTTGTACAACTATGTTTTAATAAAACACAAAACAATTGACACATCGTATAAAGTAAACATTTTATTATAAACAGTTCGACAAGTACTACATATCATCATCAGTATAAAATATGAACTTTTCAAGAATTATAAATTATAAATGAGTGAAAAGTATACATTTTCGACTGTTGTTTACTTGTAACACTTGTCAAAATGTTTAGAAGAAAATGTTTACTTTACACAAAGTGTCAATTTTTTTGTTTTTCAATGAAATACATTTGGCAGTCGATATTTTTTAATGCAACCTTACATTTATAGAATGGAATGAGCGTTTGGTTTGGAAACTTTGATTAATGAAAAAAGAGTTGAACGAGAATTACCTGATGTTGTCATTTATTGAAGAACTATAGACTTTTCTTTAAAATTGTGTGAAATTGCTTAAACTATAATCTTAGTGGTGAAAATATGAAATTATCTGAACTATGGTGTTTTCCATGAAATATACTCTTTCACATAAAATTCGTGAAGTTTAGCCTTTTGTGAATTTGTGAAAATGCGAGAATTATAGTCTTCTGTGTGGAAATACGTGATTTATATGTCTTTGTGTCACATGTGAATCACCAATAGACTATAATTCACGTGTAAATTGGTGACACACACAGAAAAAATTTTGAAATAGCATGAATAATGATCTTTTGCGTGAAAATTTGTAGAGATGTGTGAATTATAGTCTGTAGTTTGAAAATTAGTGATATGCGTGAATTATAGTCTTTGGTGTGAATATTGGTGATATGTGTGCATTATAGTCTTTTGTGTGAAAATTCGTTAAATGCGTGAATTATAGTCTTTTGTGTGAAAATTTGTGATATGCGTGAATTATAGTCTTTGGTATGAAAATTGGTGATATGCATAAACTATAGTCTTTGGTGTGAAAATTTTCGATAATGCGTGAATTATAGTCTTTGGTTTGAAAATTCGTTAAATGCGTAAATTATAGTCTTTGGTGTGAAATATGGTGATATGTGTGAATTATAGACATTGGTGTGAAATTTGGTGATATGCACGAACTTTAGTCTTTGGTGTGAAAATTGGTGATATGTCTGAATTAAAATATTTGGTGTGAAAATTTGGTGATATGCATGAACTTTGGTCTTTGGTGTGAAAATTGGTGATATGCGGGAACTATAGTCTATGGTGTATGCGTGAATTATAGTCTTTTGTGTGAAAATTTGTGATATGCGTGAATTATAGTCTTTTGTGTGAAAATTTGTGATATGCGTGAATTATAGTCTTTTGTGTGAAAATTTGTGATATGTGTGAATTATAGACTTTTGTGTGAAAATTTGTGATATGGGTGAATTATAGTCTTTTGTGTGAAAATTTGTGATATGCGTTAATTATTGTCTTTTGTGTGAAAATTTGTGATATGCGTGAATTATAGTCCTTTGTGTAAAAGTTTGTGATATGCGTGAATTATAGTCTTGTATGAAAATTTGTGATATGCGTGAATTATAGTCTTTTGTGTGAAAATTTGTGATATGCGCGAATTTTAGTCCTTTGTGTGAAAATTTGTGATATGCGTGAATTATAGTCTTTTGTGTGAAAATTTGTGATATGTGTGAATTATAGTCTTGTGTGAAAATTGGATAAATGCGTGAATTATAGTCTTTTGTGTGAAAATTTGTGATATGCGTGAATTATAGTCTATTGTGTGAAAACTCGTTAAATGTGTGAATTATAGTATTTTGTGTGAAAATTGGTGATATGCGTGAATTATAGTCTTTTGTTTGAAAATTTGTAATATGCGTGAATTATAGTCTTTTGTGTGAAAATTTGTGATATGCGTGAATTATAGTCTTTTGGGTAAAATTGATGATATGCTTGAATTTTAGTCTTTTCTGTGAAAATTTGTGATATGCATGAATTATAGTCTTTTGTGTGAAAATTTGTGATATGTGTGAATTATAGTCTTTTGTGTGAAAATTTGTGATATGCGTGAATTATAGTCTTTTGTGTGAAAATTAGTGATATGCGTGAATTATAGTCTTTTGTGTGAAAATTTGTGATATGCGTGAATTATAGTCTTTTGTGTAAATATTTGTGATATGTGTGAATTATAGTCTTTGGTGTGAAAATTTGTGATATGTGTGAATTATAGTCTTTTGTGTAAAAATTTGTGATATGTGTGAATTATAGTCTTTG